TTGTGTGATTCGACTGTGAAAGTAATACAAAATCACACACACAGAGCAATGTGTAAATTTAAGGCGCGTATAATGTTCATTCAATCACTGAACATTATAAATACAAACACCTTTTTAATTCACATCAATTCACAAAAAAACAAAACAAAGCCTTCTCAACTGTAAAATACAACACAACTAAATTTAAACTTTCTGTTGTTTAACATCACACATCTCAATCTCAATATAACATTCAACTACCACAACTTACTAACTAACAATTCAGAATGAAGAAAGTAATTTTAACAAGATGTTCATCACCATTACAAACTTCCGAATCAAGTCAACCAACAATTGATCATCTTAATTGTAATGAAACATTAAATGAATCAATTGTATTAATGCAAGGATCAACAAGTGATTTCCAATCATCTACAACAACAACAACAACTAATGAATCATCAATATTATCATCACCTAAAAGAACTAGAAAGATTTATAAAAGAAATCAACAATATCAACAACAATATGAACAATCAATGAATAATGAACAACAAATTCATTTATTAAGAATTCAATCACTTTCAATGGCAGATGATGAAAGTGATAATGATGATATTGTCATTCCACCACCACTTACTATTCATGATTCTCCAATTCCATCTTCATTATCTTATCAAATAAGACTATTCAATCCACAACCACCAATACTTATAATAATAATACAGGTACAGGTACAACTTGTACAATTACATCTAACAATTTAACTACTAGTATGACACCAACTACTTCTAATAATAATATATTACAATCAATGAGTCAATTACCAATTACTCCAATTAGAACTATTGATTCTAAATTATTTAATCCAACAACAACAACAACAAATTACAACAAAACAAGAAATGATTGAAGAAGATTCATCACCTCTTGTTGATTCTAAAGATAAAGATGAAGATTATGTTCAAGAATCATCAGATGGTTCATCAGATGAAGATATTAGTAATATGATTGATGAAGATTATGAAGAACCAACTCCAATTAAAACTTGTACCATTACTACAACTAGTTCAACTGGAAGAAGAAAGAAGAGAACTAATTCATCACGTACTCCAATTGCATCTCATTCAACTTTGACTTCTAATACTTCCAATACTGCTAATACTACAAATGCTACAACTGGTGATGCTGTTGATGATATTGATATTGCTAATGGACCAACACAAACATTATGTTGTTTGAAAGGTTGTGATCATGCCATAAGTAATAGATTAAGATTTTCATTGAGAACATGTAAAGATTCTGATTTTAAAGTTGATTATATGAATAAGGGTTTCAATTGGGTCTGTAATTATCACTACTTCCATGATTTGTATTTATATAAGAAGAGTCAAAAGAATTCAAATAACAACTCTTCAACTACTTCAACTACAAAGAGAAAGAGATCTAAATCTAATGCAACTACTACTACAACTACTACTAAACAAGAAGATCCTGCAGTTGTTATTCCAACTATTTCAGTTACTACTCCACAACAACAATCAACTAATTCATTTGAAGCAACCATTACTAATATGATTCCTTCATTACTTCATTCTAATTTATTACTTTCAAGTCAACCAGTGCCTGTTGCTACTTCAACAACAACAACAAAGAGAAAGAGATCTTCTTCCAATGTTAATACAGCCAAGAAGAGTAAAACAATTGTTGATTCAGTTGTTTTAAATACTTCAATGAATTTCCAAACAACTTCAACTCCATCAAGTTTAATTTCATCTTCAAAGATGACATTTGGTAATACAACAAGTGGTGTTGCTACTAAAAAGAAGAATCTCAAAGTATCAACACAAGAATTAACATTGACAAATTCAAATTATGCTCAACCTTCACCTGTTAATACTGATGATGTTATGGCTTTAATTAATTTTTCAATGGGTATTTCAATGTAAATAAAAAAAAACAATTTTGATTCAATGTAGTTCAGTTAAAATATTTATTTCTATTTAATCTTTAACAATAATTTGTAACCAAAAGTTAAAAATACTTTATTCCAATAATTTTTGAACAGTTGACCATTTCACTTTTTTTTGATAGCAATCACACTGCAATCAAATAATCATTTCGCCAAGTTGTTGGTGAATGCTGCAGACAAGTATCATGGAAGGTGATTGCTGTGAAAAAACCTTGAAGTGGTCACTGCAGTTTTATCATTTCAAATGAATTATTATTTCTTCAATTTGATACAGATTAAATTTTTATTACAAAAATTAAATATATTTTATTAAATATTTATTAATTAATTTAAAATAATATTAACAATATTTGTAAATTGCATAGATGTAACAGAATTTGAAAAATTCTTAATATAATTAATACCATTATCTTCAGCATTTGCCAATTCAGGTTCAATAGGAATACTTCCTAAAAATGGAATATTATATTCATTTGATAATTTTTGACCACCACCACTACCAAAAATAAAAGTAATTTCTTTACAACATGGACAAACATAACCACTCATATTTTCAATAATACCTCTAATTGGAATATTTAACTTTTTACAAAAATTAATTTCTCTACTAACATCAATAGTTGAAACATTTTGTGGAGTTGTTACAATAATTGAATTAATATTTTTAAAATCTCTTAATAATTCTGCAAGTGTAATATGTTCATCTGATGTACCAGGTGGTGTATCTATAATTAGAAAATCTAATTCTTTCCAACAAACATCTTGAATAAATTGTTTAATCATGGAATTCTTTTTAGGTCCTCTCCATATCACTGCATCATCTTTATTTTTTAATAAAAATCCAATACTCATACATTTTAATTCTCCATTTTTAGTAATATTGTTATTATTATTAATATCATTTAATTGATTTGTATTATCATTTAATTGATTAATATTATCATTTAATTGATTAGATTGATTAGTATTATCATTTAATTGATTTAATTGATTTAATTGATTAATATTATTATTATGAATAATATCAATATCAACAGGTAACCAACCATCTTGTGATTGAACAATTTCCTTATTTGAAACACCTAAAATACCAGGTACAGATGGACCACAAATATCAACATCTAAAATACCAACTTTATATTTCATATTTGCTAATGTTAATGCTAATTGACATGAAACTGTTGATTTACCAACTCCTCCTTTACCTGATAATACTATTATAATGTTTTTAATGTGACTTAATTTTTCAGAAAATAATTGTTCTTGCATTTTTATATTAATATTTTTATATTGTTTAAACACACAGATTATGTTATTATTATTGAATGATAGTGATAATGAAAAATGTACACTTGGATCGGAATAGATAAATGAACAGTTGTTATAATAGCAGCAGTTTAGTTGTGATAATAGTGTTATTTTTTTTAAAGAATCAGAATCACACAACCGATGATGTACTCCATGGCTGAAGAGTTCTTGATTTTATGAAATAATGGAGTCCATTATTTGATGAGAATATTATTAATGCATACATACGATTATACGTACGCACTTATGGAAAGCATAATAATAATGAAAATATAAAAAGGCCTAAGGAAATGTGATCATCCAATAGCATGATTCATTCAGAATAAATTCCTCATTAACTTTTCATCATCTATTATTATAATATGTTACTAATATTACTCTATTATATTTAATAAATAATTTTATTCTGCTTGTGGTGTTGGATATTTCTTCCATAAATCTAAAAATCCATTAATTATTATTATTATTATATTATTATTATCATCATATTACATCCAAATATCATCACATAAATATTATCCAATTTAAATATATCATTATCATCATCATTATAATACATACATTTAGTAAATAATATCATTGAAACAGCATTAACGATGAGAGGAATAACACTTGTTGTAAATTTATCAACATTTTCTTCAAATTTAGCCTTTTTATCTTCCAATGTCATATCATCCGATTGAATCACTGTATCTACAAAGTTATCATATTTAGTAGCAAACCAAGAAGTCATTTTTTTATATATTTTGATTTAATTTGATTGAAATTTAATATTTAATAATAAATAATATTGTTATTAATAGTAATTTTATACTACTTGTAATATCAAATTAGTAGTAGTCATAGATTATAGTAGTCATAAATAAAAGAGTTATTATAAAAATTAATTTATTACAATTTAATATTAAAAACAGATTCAATCTTTTGAACTAATTGATTAACAATTAAATCTTGATTTTGAATTGTAAAATCTAAATGAGTATTAATCTTGTAATCTTGTTCCTTCTTGTATGGTCTATTTGTAATTCTCTTCTTTGTTAACATGGCATGAGCAATATAACATGAACGTAATGATGATTTTTCAACAATACTTGTTAATAATTCATTATCATTATTATCAGTATTATTGTTATTATTGTTATCATTAATTAAATGTTTAACAGATAAATAGGATAATACATTGAGAATATCACCTCCATTATTATTATTATTATTATTATTGGTAATAAATTGATTTTTCCATTCTTCATTTAAATCATTTAATGATTTACCTAAAGTAATTTTTTGATAATCCATTTGTAATAATTTATAGAGTGAATCAGCTTGATCAATAGAATTAATAGTTTTTAAATATTGGAATTTCAATAAATGAGCTCTATAATCAGATGGTGATAATTCCAATGCTTTTTTTAATGCTTTACTAGCAAGTAAATATTTTCTACTCTTTAAATAAATAGTTACACCATAAATATGTGTAATAATTTCATTTGAATGATATTCTTCTAATTGTTTCAAATATTTAGTACATTCATCAAATAAATTAATTTTAGAAGAAAGATATAATCCATTCAAATCTTCATCTTTTCTCAAATCAATATTTTGGAAATTTGAAATGTAATCATTCTTAAAATTACCATATTCAGTTGGTGAATCAAATGTAATTCCTTCCTTTTCTTCTTTTTGTTTTAATAATAATAAATAAACATTCAATAATCCACAAACTGAATGGAAATAGAAATATTGTGAATATAACTTGTCATAATATTTCATCATTTCAATATATGATCTAAGTGTCATCTTTCTAATTGAATAAGTATGGAAATCAAATTGATCTTCATACATTTCCATAAAATGTTGAACTGTATAATAATATCTACGAACAGCCATTGATAATTCTCCCTTTCTATAATGAGCATCACCACATTCATTTTCAAACCATAAACATTGCATATCATGAACATTATTACGATGATAAATAGCACCATCTTCAATTGGAATTAAATTAGAATCCTTTTCTTCTTCTTCCTTCTTTTCAAGATCTTGTTGTGATGAAGATGATGTTTGAGTTTGTTGAGTTTGTTGAGGTTGTTCTTGTTGTTGTTTGGCCTTTTCCTTTTCTTTTGCTTCTTCTTCCTTCTTTGTTGCAGGATCTTTTGGATGTTTAGCAAAGATACCAATCATTTCATCAGCCTTAACAATTTCATCATGTCTTGTCCAATATTTGGTTGCTTTAGTATTTAAATAACGATCAGATAAATCCATTAAACGTGCTTGTTCCATACATAAAGCAGCTTGTTCAGTATTAAATAAATGTTTGTAAAATTTAGCCTTGAGCATGTACAATTCAATAAGAGTTGGAGTATGTTCAATAGCTCTATTAACATATTCAAGAGCCTTATCATATTGATGAATGGCATCATAATGTTGTGATAAATAAACATAAATCCAAAGTAAAATGGTTGGATCTTTGTTAGTAGTAGTAGTAGAAGTATTAGAAGTATTAGAAGTAGTATTGGATTCTTCTTGATTCATTCTTTCTAACATGGCTTGTTCAATGAGTGCAATTTTACAAGTTTGTTTTTGATAAATTGATTTCAAAGTTTTAAAAAGTGATGGAATAGTCTTGGTAAAATATGGTTCAACAAATGAATTCAATTCCTTTTTAAATCTTTCATCATTTGAATTGTTATATGGTGGACAGAGAGAAAGAATAATCATTTTAAGAACTGGTGATTTTTCTCTAAATTCCTTCAAATCTTCACTTGTTGTATACATTTCAAATAATTTCAATGCAACTTCTTCTTGTTGATTATTATTAGATTTAGAATCATCGAGGAGGAATCTATTTTCACTTGTATTAAATCCACAAGCTAATTGATATTTACCATAATAAGAATAATCTTCTGAATTCTTCTTAATTAATTGTAAAGCAATCTTTTTAGCATGATCTAATTGATTTAATTTAATATAACAATCAGCAAGTAATTCCAAAGTTGAAAGTTCATCAGCTAAAAATTTAGTATTAGCTAATAAAGAATCAGCACATTCCTTATATTGACCATTTTCATACATCATTTGTGCTAAATAAAGTAATAATTCTGATTTTTCAAATTTGTAATTCTTACTATCCTTATTACTTTGTTCAAAAAGTGCTGTCATGTATTTATCAATAGTTTGAATAGCGCCTGTTAAATTTCCACTTAAATGTTGAGCAACAGCATAACCTAACCAAAATGCACCAATACCTGGTTTTAATTCAATTAACTTTCTTCTACTTTCAATCGCTCCTTTATAATCTCTTGAATGAATTTGAACATTACTCAATTCACGCCAAGCTTGAATTTCATTAGTTGGATTAAATTTTAATGAATTTTGGAAACAAGTAATTGCTTGAGAAATTTTAAAATCTTCCTTATACATTAATCCATAAACATGCCAACAAATAAATGACTTGTTATTAACATATTCCAAAGCCTTTTTAACCATATTATAAGCATCTTTTTTATATGTCTTGTCATATAACATTAATTCATCACCAATACTATTATTACTATTACTAGTACCGTTAGAAGTAGTACTACTAGAATTTGTAGTAGAATTCTTATTATAATAAAAATTAGTATTAAATTCAACACGCTTGTTAATTTCTTGTTCTTTAAGATATCTTGTTAATAAAGCCTTCATAGCCATTGTATCACCATGTTGTGGATAATCTCTCAAAATATTATCAGCATAGGACAAGGCTGTTTGATATTGTTTTTCTTCATAAAATTTAATAAGATTACGGAATAGTGCTTCATATTTAGAAGGTAATGTTTGAGTTGTTGTTGTTGCTGTAGCAGACTTGTTGGTAGCAGATTGTTGACTTGTTGCTGCTGCTGAAGTTGTTGATGATGAAGTGGCACCACGCTTCTTGGTCATTTTTTTAAAGCAAAAACAAAAATTTTATTTTTCAACAAGAAATTAAAATTCATTATGAGAATAATTTAACATAAACTGCATTGAGTGTTTATTTTCAATTTAAAATTGGGCGAATTTGAGTAAAATTTGAATAAAATTGTAACAATTTTGTAAAATTGAGATTATCAGCCAATCCATAATTGTAAAAATTAATACCAATTCACAACTTTCAGCGTGGCGCAGACATTTGAACGGATAATGAGTACAAATTGGCGGATGAAATGCCAAGTGCATACTTTTATAATTACTCCCTTAAGAAAGAACATTTTTGAGATTAAGTTCGAATAATGAAATGATCTTTTTTAATAAAGAGAACTGATATTCATTGCTAATAAACATCCAATTCAATAACATTCGGTAAAGAAAGGTAGTTTACAATAACAATCATCTTCAAAATAATATTCATGCGTCCGTTCAATTTCATCAGTCAATTAAGTGAGTACGCACTCACTTAATAATGACTCCACTACCTTTAAGCATTCCAACACGTAACCAGCCATGCCTCCTAGGAGACGGTTTTGCCATAATCATTAATTTAATTTTAACATAATTTGCTCATAATCAAACCAGAATACACCATAATTTTGACGTAATTTTCCCGTAATAAAAACCAAAAAAAATACACAATCACATCATAATCTCTTCGGAATTATCATATAATTATACAGCAATTCACAACCGGATTTGTCATTTCCAGGCAAAAATATTGGATTTATTACGGATATTATTACGAGGTAATTATTAATTAAATTACGTAATAATTGTATTAACATTATGAATTTAATATGGAATAATTATGTAAATATATTGGAATAATTATTACAGAATTTACGATAGATTTTTGACCTAATTATTTTGTAAAATTATGAAATATATTTAATTTTAATTGAATTTGATTTATTTGATTATTTACAGTAAAGCAAATTACACAGAAACTAACAAATATTGAAACAATGGGAACTGTACAAAGGGAAATGACTGTAGTTTCTGTTGTTGCAACAGATGAACATGAAGATGAAAGAGTTATGTGTTGGAATTGAGTGAATTGACTGTGAAGTGACTCCAAAGGCAACAGAATTAGTTGACCAATTAACTAAGGAAATTAATATTCAATATTGAATTATTGAATTATTGAAAAATTGAAAACTTCAGTGTAACTTACGTGATTGTGGAATTAAATTTGGAAATTAATTAAATTCGGAAATTAGACTGAATAATAATAATAATAATAATAATAATATTGGAATATTTGAATTAAAAGTTGATAACAAACCATATCTACAGCCATAGAACTATCAATTTTAGTTTTTTTGTTTTTAGTTGGTTCGGATAATTTATCTCTATAAGCTTTATATTGATCATCTTGTTCATAAATTATTGCCTCATCTTCTACTGCAAATTTCTTACCAGAATCACGTGTTTTTTCTACTTGCTTTCGTTTCAAATTCTTCTTCTTGTTGCTCTTATAAGCTCGGCAACAGTTCAACACTATTTCATCAATCTGAACAGTAAAATTAAACAAACTATTAGCTATTATAATCTAACTTACGATTAAATTAAATTGTTTTTCATCTTTTTCACAATTATTTTTTAAACTTTGAATTTGTGCATTGTTAGCAAAAAAATTTGTTACTGCCACCAATGATGTTGCAGCTACTTGTTGTATTTCTATGTCAGAGTCTGCTCTTAGTTTCTTTGGAAATTGTAACAAAATCAATTAATTACTTACCAAGGAATAATAGCTAACGTTGGTTTCATTAATAATTTCCAAGTATCTATCTTGCAAAGGTTTCAACAAGGTGACAAAGTTGTCAGGAACAAGACTTGTACAATAAGACAGTTTTTGGTGGTGTGTCTTTGTCGTTTTTCTTTTCTCCACCTCTTTTTTTCGTTTTTTGGGAGGTGTTACGGTGGAATTTGTAATAGATGTTGTTGTACTTAACATTATGTTTTGGATGGTTTTTTTTTAATAATTTACAATACGAAATTATTACGTAATGATTTTGTGTTTGGTGGAATACATTGAAAAATAACCACTATTTGGTAGAATTTCATATGGTTTACAATGCTAAAAAAATGATTACACAAAAACCTGGTAACAATGTATCCCTTGATTTTCTCACAAAAGCAACAAAATGCGATAAATGTCAAAAAGAGGAAGAGTACTATGTGTATGAATGTGCAAAATCTTCATTTGATTTAAGTTTATGTTCTTCATGTCGTGATTGTCAAACAAAACGCTGGGTCTGTCCTTTTTGTTGTCAAACATTTACAAAGGGAGATTTATTAAAAAAGCATCTTAATAGATGTTCTAAGGGAAATTGTTCTCTTGCAAAGATAGATACTGTATCAAGATTTAATTGTTGTAATTTTATCATGAACAGTGAAAATTGTTACACTCACATTATTAATTCACATTGTACACATTTGCTAAAATCTAAAGACAGTAGATTACCAAAGCTGACTGAATACGAATCGCAACAGAAGAAGCTAAAACAAAACGGAATTCACTCACAACAAGTTTTAGCTGAAGGTAGTATTTTCGGATTTGCTAATACAATTGAAACTCCCTTTTCAATAATTGACACTCTTTATTTTCCAGTTTCAGAAATATTTCACAAAGAATCGGATGTAAAATGTGAAAAAATTGGAAATTTTGTTTTTAAAGAGCTACCATATGATTTGGGGTGTGAAATTTTAAAAGATGTGAATGGAAAGGGTGTATTTCAATCAAAAGAAGAAATATACTGTTATATTTTGGTTAATCATTTCAAATTGTGTAAAAGTGGGTACGATTTCCTTAGAGATATGTTCAAATACATGGTCCCTGAATCAACTTTTAACGAAATTCCTTGTTACGATACATTACTCGAAAGGAAAAAAGCAATGATCAATTTTGAATACAAACAAGAGGATGGATTTGCAGCAATTTCATTTGAGAATAATTTGAAATTGTTGTTGAAAGATCAAGCAATCACAAAACACATGTGCTTAACACGAAAAGAATATTTTGAAAAAAAGAATATACAAAAGAAAGAAAATCAACCTTACTTTTCAAAAATATTTGGTGAATACCTTGCTAAATGCCCTGAAGATGCATTTCCATTTCTAGTTTTAGAATATTTTGATGATTTTGCTAAATTCAGAACAAAAACCAAGTCAACATGCGCCTCCTATTTCACAAGTTACAATTTTGATTCAGATTTCATGTCAAGTTTAAGCGCAATTCGTGTAAACGGTTTTTCATGGAGTAATGAAGGATTTTGGAAAATGACTGATTCAATTATTCAAGATTTTGAAAATCATGATGGTAAAATCATTACAGTGAAACATCCAACTACAGGAGAAGATATTAAGCTATTCATTTGCTGTATGGGATTTTTATTAGATACACCTGAAAGATTGAAATGTTTAGCACTTATGAAAAATGAATGTTCCAGATGTTTAGATGCGTCAGACAACCTTGACAAAACACCAACAGATTTAATGGGTGCATCCGCGTTTAATCCAACATGTGTACACACATTTAAAAGGAGAGAACATTCAGAAATGAAAGATATTGTTGAGAAATTATCAGAATTACCTAAAATTGCAGATTCTAAACAAAATAGAATTGCAAGGAAAGGTGTAAAAGAACAAACTTGGGAAGAGGAGAGATTCAAAAGTAAGCAAATGTCAACAAACAAAAGAAAACAATTGATGAATCAATTAATTGTCAAAACATTCATCAAATCAAGATTTGTTACTCAAATAATGATAGATCCGTATCGTAGATCTGTAGTTGATTTCTTTCATTTAGAAATTCAAGGATTATTTCGAAAACATCTCAAATTACTTGTACAAGCATTAGAATATGCGACTGCTATGGATGATTTAATTGAAATATCAACAAAGTATACTCTTCCAAATGGAAAAAAGCTTGAATTAAGAATGGATATTGACACTCTTTCAGGTATTTCAATGTTAGATTTTATTATTATGAGTGCTCCTATTATTTGTGAATTAATTTACAATAATAATCAAAAGTTGAAAATAGATTCTTCTAAAAAAGGATTACTCTATCAAGGATGGATTCTTCACTTACAATATTTTATAAGGTTATTAAGGGGGAATTATACTCATGATGATATTGTGTATTGTGAAAAAGTATTTACAAAATTTCAATCCATTTTTACATATTGTTTTGGCAAAGATAATTGCCAATTTCCGAATTATCATTGGGCAACGCACATTTTTGAAGATTGTGTACTTTTTGGGGATGTTACATGGTTTTGGGCGTTGATTTTTGAATTGAAACATTCTGAATTCAAACAATTTAATGATAGAAGTAATAACAAATTACTTGAAGTTAGAGGGTTGCAACATGAAGTTGGAATGAATACATTATTTGCAGATTATCCATTTACAAGACGATTAGTTGGTAAAACACTTGATGTTGCTAGAAAATCATCACTTAAGGTTGGAATGTATATTCAATTCGATAGATTTATTGGGAAGATATCTCAATTAGGGGATAATGTTGTTTGTTGTGATGAAATTTTTACGCTTGGAGAGTTGTGTTATGTATCATTAATGTACAAACTATTCATTCACTCAGTTGCCACTTCAGTAATTCCTCTTTCAAAGATTAATAGCGTGTGCAGTGTAATCAGATTTCCAGGTCTTATTGCTCTCAATCAATTTTCATTCTGTATGAATTATTACCAATAAATACTGGCAATAATTTTCAGTTAATTAATTTCAAAATAAAACAATAATAAATAATCTAATAAAAACTGTAATTTTTATTTGTAATAATTCACATAATTTTATTAAAATTCTTCACGTCATAATACCTAATGTAATACTTCCATAATTCAAATCCGTAATTAAAAAAAAATATTTTTTGCCAGAATTTTGCGATAATAATCCACAATTAACCATAATAGCCGTCTCCAAGGCTTGGAATATTCTCTGCGTTCATTCATTAAAAAAAACCTCGAGAGAGATTTGGTTATCCTTCATCATTTCTAGCCTTTTTACTACTATTCATCATAGGATAGAGAAGGAGAAGACACAATAGATAAATATCATCAAATACAATAATATACTATTATTATATACTATTTCATATATATTAAAGAAGAAAGAGAGAAGGCTAATTCTATCAACAATACAACAAACAACAATATATCAATTACATCAAAATGGGATTATTAAAAGCAGGTACACCACTCAAGTGGACTGATGCACTTTCATTAATTGACTATGTAAAAGAACATGGTATTAAACAATTTATAATAATTTATAACAAGGTAAAAGATAGAACTGATAAAGAATTGAAATGGGGAGATGAAATTGAATATTTATTGTTAGAAAAAGATTCCGAATCACGTCAAGTTTATTTATCATTACATGCTAAACAAGTATTAGATGTTTTAATGAAAGAAGAAGAAGATTTTAATTCAAAATTGATAACACAAGCACCATTAGCAAGTTGGAAACCAGAATATGGTAGATTTATGTTAGAAGGTACACCTTTCTTTCCATATGAAGGATGTATTTCTTGTTATTTGAAATGTGAAGAATCAATGCAAAAAAGAAGAATGATTGCACAATCAATTGTTCCAAAGATTTTACAACAATTCAAATCACCAAATGTTACAAATTCTGTTATTACAATGTCTTTATTTCCATTATTAGGTGCAACAAGTAAAGTATTGAATAGTGATATTAATAAGAGTCAATTTAATAAGATTGGTGATATTTTACCATTAAGTGATGATGAAAGTAATGAAATGTTAACTTTTAATGGACCAATTGCAAGATCACCATACATTCCAGATATTATTACAAATGAACATCCAAGATTTGGTACTCTAACTAGAAATATCAGATTGAGAAGAGGTAAAAATGTTAACATTCTAGTACCATTATATATTGATGAAAATACTAATGTTAATATTGGTAAACAAGTTCATCATTTGGATAATATTACATCTTCTTCAACAACTAGTTCATCAACTCTAACAAATTTATATCCAAATATTGATGAAATTATTCAACAAAAGAAGGAACAAGTACTTTCATCTTCATATGCACAAAGATTGATAACAGATTTTGAACATTTTATTCATATGGATGCAATGGCATTTGGAATGGGATGTTGTTGTATGCAAAGTACATTATTAGCACGTGATATTCATGAAGCACGTAATTTATATGATCAAATGGCAGTTTTATGTCCAATAATGTTAGCACTCACAGCAGCAACACCAATGGCACGTGGATTATTAGCAGATACAGATGTACGATGGAATATTGTTAGTGCAAGTGTTGATGATAGAAGAGATGAAGAAAATAATACAATTTCTAAAAGTAGATATGATTCAATTAGTTTATATATTGGTGAAAATGAACAAGCAAAACAATTTAGTGATTTGGAAATTGAAATTGATGAACAATCATATAATACTTTACGTGAAAATAATATTGATGAACAATTATCAAGACATATTGCACATTACTTTATACGTGATCCACTTGTTATATTTACTGATTGTAAACAAGTTGATGATGAAAATGAATCTGTTCATTTTGAAAATTTACAATCAACCAATTGGCAAACTGTTAGATTTAAACCACCTCCAGGTCCAAATTCATCAATTGGATGGAGAGTTGAATTTAGAGTTATGGAAGTTCAATTAACTGATTTTGAAAATGCTGCATTTACAGTTTTTATTGTTTTATTAACACGTGCTATTTTATCATTCAAATTGAACATGTTAATGCCACTTTCACAAGTTGATGAAAATATGAAAAAGGCACATTTAAGAGATGCTGTATTGAATCAAAAGTTTTCATTTAGAACTTGTTTAGATTCTGATTTGAATTCTAAAATTTCATCTGAAACTTTTTCTAAATGTACAAAGGAATTAACAATTAATGAAATTATGAATGGTGTTCAAGAACAAGATAAGAAATTTATTGGATTAATTCCTCTTGTTAGAAAATATCTTGATCAAATGCATGTTGAAGTTAATGATAGAATTAAATTGGAAAGATATTTAAATTTAGTTAGTTTGAGAGCAAGTGGTAAATTACAAACTAATGCTGCTTTTATTAGACAATTTATTAGAAATCATCAAAATTATCAAAAAGATAGTGTCATTACACAAGATATTGCTTTTGATTTAATTGAAATGGCTGAAAAGATTTCAACTTATGAATTTATTCCTGATTCTTTATTGGGTGGTTTTAATGATTTTGCCAAGACTGGTAGTCAATAAATAATAATAATAATTATTGTTTTTTTAAATTCATCTCAACTACAATTTGAATATATATTGAATGAATATTGAATGGATTGAATGAGAAGAATATAGAGAACATGTAATGTTATAAAGTGAACTATTAACACAACTAAAAGTGAAATGAATTAACTTTTAGATGAAATTATAGTTTGACAATTCACCTTCATTTGGTCCTATCATCCAAAATTGTTTCAACACATCTTATTTCATGTGCATTTTAGTGATTCACAATTTTCATTACAGTAGTGAGGATTCTTCAACAACATTGTTAAACATGATCATCAAATAGCCTTGTTGTTGATGTTATTGTTGGATGTAGTGTTTTTAAAAAAAAAATGTTAAAATTATTAATTACTAGTTCATTAATAGTGATCATTTCATTCCTCTATCTATTCTATCAACAATATATTAAAGTTGAAAATAGATTTGAAAAGTATCACTCTGATCCTACTCTATCAAATATAACTGATTTTGATTATGTTATTATTGGAGCGTATGTTATATTTATTTATTAATATTTTTATTTATTTATTTAATATTTTGATCAATAATACTAATCATAATAACTATATTATTGTAATATTGTAATACTATCATTGTAATAAAAGTGGTACAGCTGGTAGTGTATTATCAAGTAGATTAAGTGAAAATCCTAAAATTAAAGTCTTAGTATTAGAATCAGGAGTATCAAATAATGATTTAATTGGAATTCATTTTCCACTTGGATTTCCAAAGTTTACAATGAATACTTCAATTGACTATGATTACAAAACAATTTCACAACCTCAATTAAGAAATAGAGAAATTTACATGCCACGTGGTAAAGTAATTGGTGGTTCATCATCTGTTAATGCTAATTTATATATTAGAGGACATCCATTAGATTATAATGAATGGAATTATTTATTATTTAATAATACTTCTAAAAATGGTAATTTATCATGGTCCTATAAGGATATGTTAAAATATTTTAAAAAATCTGAAAAACATTTAAGTAAAAATATAAATAGAAAATATCATGGCACTGATGGAAAATGGAAAATTAAACATACTAAAGATATTATTGAAGAAATTGGTCCATTAGTTAATTTTAATTTAACAAGTGTTATTATTAATAGTTTAAGTAATGGTTTAAATATACCAATTAGAGATGGTTAGTTTTATTTTTTAATTAATTTTTTAATTTTTTAATTTTAATTATATTTTTTATTAATTTTATTTTAAAAATATTAGATCCAAATGAATTATTACCAAATGAAGAAGAATTATTAGAAAAAGGAGAAGGACATTCAATTTTAGAAAGTGTTTCATATCATCATCATTCAATTGATGAAAATGGTAGAAGACATTCACTTGCAGAAGCATTTCTAGATTTAGAAACATTAAAACGTCCAAATTTACAAATTAGAACAGAATGTATTGTTAAAAGAATTTTATTTACTAAAAATGGAAAGAATGAAAATGTAGCAAGTGGTGTTGAATATTTAAATAAGAGAACAAATCAATTAATTAAAATTAATGTTAGAAAGGAAGTTATTTCATCAGCAGGTTCAATTGCTTCACCACAAGTAGGTATTTAATATTTACAATATATTACAATATTACAATAATATATATTTAAAAATTATTACAATAATATTTAATATATATTTAATATTTAATATATATTTATAATAATAGATATTAATGGTATCAGGTATTGGTGATAAAGAAGAATTAAAGAAATTCAACATTCCAATTATATCCAATTTGAAAGGAGTTGGTAAAAATCTTCATGATCATTTATTAGGAGCTGTAATTGGTAAATTAAAAGAAGGTTACACTTCACTTCATTCCTATGAAAGTTTGTGGAATTTACTTCAATGGATTATGCAATCTTCATTCAATTTCTTAGAATTTTCAATGGTGAGAAAATTATTCCCAGCTGCCATTCCAAATTCATGGAAATTATTTAATGTTGGAGCTCCACATATTCAAGGTTTTTTCAAATCAAAATATGCAAAGGAAAATAATCAACCATATGATTTACAAATTGTTTCAGTTCCTGGTTTCTTTGTACATCATGCTTCTATTGAATATCCAGGTGAAAATGGTATGTTTTTATTTAATAGTATTATTTAATATTTCCCTAATATTTAATTATATTTAATAATATTATTTAATATGTATTATTTAAATAATAATAATGATAATAATAATAATAATAGGTATTTCAATTGGAGTTGTAAATTTACAACCTAAAGCAAGAGGATATATTTCATTAAGATCCAATGATACCAATGATTCACCAATTATACATGGTAACTATTTTGGAAATGAACAAGATATTAAAGTATTGGTGGATGGAATTTCTCAAATTCAAAAAACCTTCCTCCAAGAACCATTTAAGAGTATGGTTAAGGAATTTATATTCTGTTCTCCACACGATTATAAAACACATGATGAAATTAGAGAATGTTTAACACAAATGTTTACAACATTATATCATCCAACTTCAACATGTAAAATGGGATCTGAAAATGATGAAATGTCAGTAGTTGATGAATATTGTAAAGTTAGAGGTGTTAAAAATTTAAGAGTTGTTGATGCTTCTATTATGCCAAATGTTCCAAGAGGTAATACTAATGCTCCTACTGCTGCTATTGCTGAAAAGGCTGCTGAAATGATTTTAAATGAATGGAATTTATAAATTATTAATTGATATACTATTTTTTATTTATTATTATTTTTATTATCTTCAAATGGTGCAAATTTCAAATAAATTTCCGTTAAAAATGTTTTAAAATTAGAATATTTTAGATTAAAAAAAAATGGGCAAACGTGCTACAAGAAAACCACCACCAAAGAAAGTTGTTCCAAAATTGCCAACATCTTTTGATTGTCCATTCTGTAATAATACAAGTACCGTTGAATGTACAATTGATAGAAAAAAGTCGCAAGGCAGATTAAACTGTCAAATTTGTGGTGCTCAATATCAAACTAATATTACATACATCACTGATCCTATTGATGTTTATAGTGAGTGGATTGATGAATGTGAGAAGGTAAACAGAGAAAAGGAGGAAGAAGAGGAAGACCAAGTTCCTCAACAAGTAGTAAATTATAGATCAAATCACGCTTCCGCACAACATCAGGCCTATCAAGATGATGAAGAGGAAGACGATGAGGAAGAGGAAGCTCCTAGACAAGGCTACAATCATCAAGTCTATAATCGAGGAGGATATCATTAAATTCATCATCATACAATTCATCACCATCATCATTATTCACCTATTATTTGTATTCTTGTTGTAATACAATTCAACAATATTCGCGAATACTCACAATAATAGTAGCTGGAATGATGACAAAAAGCTAAGCACACAAAACTTCTAGATTTATGAAATAAATATAAATAATAATTTATGTATTTTAAAAGAATTATTGAATCTTCTTTTCTTCAGCTGACTTTTCTTCAATTGGCTTTTCCTTGTTTGCTCTTGGTCTTCTCTTGTAAGTTGAAGCATAGAATTTGATGAACAAAACCAAATAAGAAAGGTACAAAGTGAAAGTAGAAGCCAAAGCAATACGTGGTTGAGATGATTCCAAATCACAATGTTCGCTATTCAATGAAATACCTAAAATGACAAAGCAGACAACAAATTGAACAATTTGAATAATTGTGACAAGCTTCTTCCACCAACAATCAATACCTCTATATTGTTGCAAATAGTAATAATACATGATAACGTGAACAAAAGCATTGAAACAGAAACCAAAAACAGCTGGGTCCCATTCAGAGATCAACATGAGATACATGTGGAGTGGAACAGTAGCATGATGCCAGACGTGGAGGAATTGGAGTGGCTTATCCTTCATACACAAAAGGAAAGTATCAACAAATTCCCACCATTTACTGTTATTTTCATTATCATTCCGTGTTATTATTATTATTATAATTGATAGTATTAGAAGGTTAGTATTAGATGATATAAAGTTAATAGTATAGTGTGTGTGATAATAGTTGGTGGTTGAAAAATAGATAATAATCGTCATTAAAAAGTGTGTTAAAATAAATGTGAAAATACAATTGTTAATAAACATCGTTAACAATAAAACTACACATACCTAACCATAAAGACCCAAATCCAGAAAGCAGTACCGTATTGATTGTTCCAATAGCTTCCACTGCTATTACAAATACCAATCAAGAAGGATTGAACAGGAGTTTCCTTTGCAATGAGATATTTAGACAAGACAACTTGTAAAAATCCGTACATCATTCCGGAGAACATGAGCAAGGATCCAAAACTTAAAATTACATTGTGAATAAAACCAAAACCATAGAGAATTGGATTGGCCTTGAAATCAACTGGTCTATTGTGGAAAATCTTCTTCAAAATAAAGATCATGGCAAGATATGACAATACTGGGAGAATTGTTGTTGGATAAAATTGGCTCATATTGAATGGATCGTGTTTATCAAAGGTAAAGTTTAAAATATAGTTACGAGCCTTGTCCAAGGCTGGGATTTGCTCATATGGAAGAGGAAGTGGTTCATTCACAAACTTGTGAATTAAACTATCAATTATTTCTGTCATTCTGCGTTTTTTTTTTGTGTGCGAAATTTCAACAAAAGCCTTCAACGATTCCCTACTTTCCAGCTGGAATCTTTTTGGCGCCAAAGTGTTCGTTGAATATTTGAGCTTTTTGACGGCTGTAAATGAAGTTGTTGGGCAGTTGCCCATCGTCATGTCCGAACAAAGGTAACAGAAAGGAGCAGCGATATCCATTCGGATCTTAAATGTTTGAGGCTTTGAAAAAGTGTGAGAGGAAATTTTAATTGAGAATTTTTTTGCTCCGATTTTTGTAAAGTTAAAGAGAAGCTGAATACTATTGAATCAATATTTGCAATCTCAAATATTGTTTATGATCTTTCAAATATTTGTTGTCAATAGGAAAATTTTAATATTTCATGGATGAAGATTAATGTTGTCTTTTCATTGTGACAGTAAAGGAATTCGTACATACTTCTATTTTCGAATGTAGAATCATATTAGTTAAGCTACAGTAAAAGAGAATTAATTGTAAATAATTGTAAAGAAATTATCATATTCAATAGGAATCAAACATTCATCCTTCTTTCGTATTTATTTCCTATTTTCTCATTTTCATCCGTTCCTTATCTTTCACTCATATTTTTACAAATAGACCATACTATGATTATTAATAATTATTAATTAAATTTTCAAATTGATATACAACATCTGAAGAGGCTATTTTAATGGATAGTTGTCACGCAAAGGCTCTCAAGATAATTTGATTTAACAATTAATTTTTTTAAATTTTTGTTTTTTTTAAAAAATGTTCAAATCATCATCAGCCTTGTTATCGGCATTCAGATATAAATTTATAGCGAATAGCAGCAGCAGTACAAGTTTTTTGAATGGACCTGCTGTTAGAAATTTCTCAAATTACTTGAGTGTCAATTATGCTGGACACAACAAGTGGTCAAAGGTATGATGAATTATTATATTGTTTATTAAAGGAAAATATATCGGAATTTATTTGTGATGATATGAATAATAATATTTGGATATTTGTGATTTACCTATCTTGTGAATTTTATTATGATTATGATTATTGCACAACAATTAAAATTCCTATTAAAATTGAAACAATATTTGGAAATGATGTTGATAATTATATAGATTAAACATCAAAAAGCAATTACAGATGTTCAAAAGATGAAAATTTATACAAAACTTTCACGTGAAATTAAAACATGTGTTCAACTTGGAGGAGCAGGATCTGATAATTTAAGATTACGTTTATGTCTTGAAAAGGCTAGAAAGAACAATGTTCCAAAACATATTGTTGATGGTGCTATTAAATCAGGTTTAAATGAAAAGGATGCTAATATGGAATATATTGGTTATGAAGGATATGGAGCAGGTGGTGTTGCAGTTCTTGTTGATTCATTAACAGAAAATAAGAATAGAACAGCTCAACAAGTAAGAACACTTTTTTCATTACACAAAGGTCAATTAGGTACATCAGTTCAATGGTGTTTTGAAAAGAAAGGAGTTGTTAACTTTACAATTCCAATGTCTCATTCAAAGATGGATATTATTTATGATAATTTATTTGAAAAAGTATCAGATATGGATGGTGTTGAAGATTTAAAAATTGAACCAACTCAAAATGATATGGAAAAGGAATTTTTAGAATGTTCTCTCTTTTGTTCACCTGAATCTGTTCATAATTTAAAATCTCTACTCGACACTGAAAAGACAAATATTGAAAAGGGTATGAATATTACCATTCAAAATATTACATGTGAAATTGGTCAAGTTCCAACTTCATTTATTGAAATTACTGATCCAGAAGTTGCTGAAAGTATTCAAAATCTTATTGAAAAATTGAATGATCACGATGATGTACAAAATGTTTATCACAATGCTCTATTCAACATTCCAGAAGAACAAGATGAATAAATTTTTATTCATTAATATTTAAAAAATAGTGATGGATTTATCCAATTTACAATTTAAGAAAAATTATTTATAATTACTCAATATTTAGAGTCACTTCATGTATTTGATTTTTTAAAAAAATGAATGAAAATAATTTGATAAGAAATTTACCACTCGAACTTCACATTCAAATATTAAATTTTATTTTAATTGATGATTTTCATCCGATCATGGAATATTCATCATCATCTGTATCATGTATTAATAATTTAGAATGGATTTATTATAAATTATTTAATGTTAATAATGATAATAATACAAAACGTAGGAAATATCAACAATTGAATGATAATATTATTTTAATTAGAAATTTATTCCAAAGTTATTGGAAAGTAATTTTATTAAAAAGATATAAATTGGTGGGAATTGAACATTTTATTACAAATACTATTAATAATAATACTAGTATTAATAATAATTATTTTAAATATAAAAATTTAATTATTTTATTATCTAAATATTTTAATAATAAAAATTTAATTGAATTAAATGAATTTAAATTAAATACATTAAATAGATTAGATAAAATATTTGAAATTGGAATTTGTAATTCGTTTGGAAGGAGAAACTTATATTTGAATCAACAATTTGGATTTGATTTTGATGAATTTGATAAAATTTCTTTATTGGATAAATGTGAAACAGCCAAATTAATTAAATTACCAAACAAATCAAATAATGAACAAATTAAAATAATTAATAATTTATTAATAACAGAAATTTCACAATCATTTGAATATTCACATAAATTACAATTATTAGAAAGATTTCATGGAATTATTATAAATTTAAATCGAGAATTTGAAATGTTACAAGAAATTATGGAAATGATTGATAAAGTTAAATATTCAATTTTATTTCCATGTTTGGTAATTATTGATTCCATATATGAAAATGAAAAATTACAATTGGGAAAACAACTTGTTGAATTATTAAAAAATAGAAAAAATTTAATTATTATTAAAAATATAAATGAATTGGGAAATGGAATTGAAGAATTTTTAAAAATTTGCATTAATTATTATCAAAAAGATATTACCGATATTTTAGTTTACGAAAATGGAAAACAAGATGATAGGAAAAAGTGTTCCATCATGTGATGAATTGAGCAGCACAAACCATAATATTTCTGAGTAAATTTCTTGAATTGATTTATTTGAATAAACTGCACTTTAAATCCACAAAAATCTCATTCTAACGAGAAAATTTACTAAGGCTCAACAACAATTAATCTTTCTATTAAAACAAATGCAAACACATGACGATGAATATGAAAAATGCCAATCCATTTTCTGGAATTTATTGGAAAGGCTAACTGATCCAAGAAACAGAGAGGTACCTTAAATGTACATTCGTGAATTATTAACACAAACTCCACGATGTGACAATTTTTACAATTTTTCCACTGTGAGAAAATTCTTTTCAAACTTTGCTGCAAAAACGATTTGGCTCAAAAACTTGTGGATAGAAAGTCATTGTCAGGGATGGAGAAGGAAATATGTGCCAGTGCAACGATAGTATTGCACTACAATTGTTGGACCAATGATAACTTCATTTCAGCCTTATCAATCCAAAACAAGTTGTATTATTATACTTTCTATAAGGGAGAACAAACTCTTGCTATGATTGGTGTGTTGACTCTATTCAAGAGGAATTCATCTGGCACATTTGGTATTATCAACAATTGGACAATACAAAACCCAAAAAACGAATATTAAAAACAAATTATTAATAAAATAACATTTAAACATTTTTACTAGGAGCAGAAGTTTTAAGTTCAATTTGTTTGTCACTTGGCATTCTAAATAATTGTTGAACTTGTCTCAGTGGATGATAAATTGCTAAAAGTAATGAAATGAAACAAATAATACCAATATTGAAAAGATTAAAGAAAATGATAACTGAATAATTCCAAGCAACTGCAATTGAAATGAATAACACACCAATTGACTCTACAAATAGAGAAGCAGATAGACCAAATTGTAATAAAAGTGCTTTTTGGAGAGCTCTCTTTTTAACTTGATAGGCTTGTTGCTGTTCTTTTGTGAAGGTTGTGTAATTCTTTCTACGTTTGGAACTTGTATTGTGGCTACTGGTTTCAGATGGTGGCTCTTGGATGGTTCTTGAGGAATATCTTGTTGTTTTTGGACTTGTTGGTGAGCTAGCTTTTACAATTGGAAGAGGAGTTGAAGAGTCAGGAGAAACACATAGAGTAGGAACAGATTCTGGACTATTGAGTGGTTCTCTCGAATTGGATAAACTTTCACATGAATTTGAAGGTGACATTGCCTTTTCAAGTTCTAAGAGTGTTGGATTCTGAATGGTTGGAATTTGTGGAAGAGGTGATGAATCCATACTGCTGTCTTCAAGAGTCAATCGAGGTCCAATAGAAATGCTGGATGAAGATTCTACCATTGAAGGTGCCTCACTTTGAGACTCTTTAACAAGAGCATTTTGTTGCTTGAATGCTTCTTTCAATGCTTGTTGACTCTTTTTCAATGAGGCATATAATTTATATCCATAAATCTGTACAGAGATGATTGATCAATTTTAGTCAATTGTTAAAGGAAGGAAAACTTACATTGAGAAAGATGGAAATTGCAACACATGCAAAGAAAAAGATGACACATGGAGCAATAAAGATTGAAACTGTGAAATTATATTCAGCTCCATTCTGAGCCAAGATATCTGAACTTGCCATCAATCCATGATAGGTCAGAATGGCCACATTATTCAAAGTTAAGATTATACCAATAATGACAACAAGTGATACCAATACAATCTTTGAAATATTATAACTCTTAGTGGTAACATAGCCAATTTGTCTTGTTGTGGCCATACTATAATTCAATTGTTGTAAACCTATACAAATTTAGTATACTTACAATACATAACAAATAAAGGCAAGTATTAAAATCTGAATAAAAATCAAGACTGAAACTAAAAATCTATCAACAGCTTTCACACCATAATATCCATTATTAATTTTCCCTTGTGCATCTCGACCAGCAAGTAAACTCAACTCTGATGTTGCTCTTGTCAAATTCGAAATAACACAAATTACTTCCAATGTTAAGAGTAACACAAATAAAATTACTTGATTTCTCTTCAATTGATTTCGTTGGAGAATGAAACTAATGAGTGTGAATATGAATAACCCAATAAAAATCAAAGCATATGGTGAAGTTAAAGCAATGGTAATAATACTGTATGTAGTGAAGGGAGAAGGTAGTGTTGTTGTTGATGTGGTGTTGCTATTTGTGGATGAACTGTTTGTGAGTAACAAGTCAGTAGTGGTTGGGTAATAATTTATATGCAATTTGTCCATGATGATGAAAAGATAACGTGATGATGATTATGATACAAGTTAATAGGATATTACACTGTGTGGATTATAGGTAGTAGTATTAGCTGTTAACTAGTGGTGGTTGTAGTAAAGTTGTTTTTTGTGTTTTTGATATTCGAAAGATTGCACTGTTTGAATGTCAAATACAATCCAAGAGACAATTTGAAATAAACATGGAAGGAATCAAAAGAATTAGGAATGATAGAATTTGTATACTCACTCTAAAGTTGGTTTATGAGATTCTTGATGAAACGGAAACTAATCATCTACGGATTCATTAAAATGAAATAAATGGAAAGCCATGATTGAAAAAGGATCCTTTACAATGAAATGTGCACTTCATCACATAAATTGGCCCACTCTAATACAAAAAGATTTCGCTACTTCTCATTATGATGGTTGGTTGCATAATAATTATTATTAATATTCTTCTTGTGAATTAAATCAATTCTTCACCATCATCATCATAGGTGAAGGAATTGTTTAGTCTGTTTCCTCTTCGTGCTATCTGGGTAATATCGGTTGGACGTTACAATCTGATATCTCTGTAAAACAGTTCATCTTGTGTTGTGATGCATTCTTGATTCTTTCCTCTTTTGAGTGGGAAGATCCTTAAAAACTTGATCCAATCGAGGAATTAAGTACTCATATTGGAATTGGAATAATGGGTAGTTTGAGAATCCAGAACTGTTCATTATTCAAGTTCAGAGGAATGTGCTAATTGATGTGTTCTCACAAAATTAAAACCATTAACCACCAAAATTTAGCACCAACCAATTAACGTCTGAAAAACATGAACATCAATAATTTCTTTTAATTGTGAATATAAGCCGTCATAGCTCAGTTGGATAGAGCACAGGACTTCTAATCCTGGGGTCGTGGGTTCGAGCCCCATTGTCGGTATCTGTTTTTTGGTTCATGAGTAAATTCCACCTTTTGCTAAATTGTAAGCTGCTCTCAATTTCTGGATTATTTCTCAGAGTTTCACTTGCAAATTCTAATGCTATGGGTGTTGTCTTGATGCATTGAAGAACAATTTCCTCATCAAATACTTATCTAATAGCTCTAAAATTCCTCCGAAATATTGTGCTGCATTAAGAATGACTTGTCTATCTCTCTGAGGTGTCTTATATGCATAGGCAAAACCTTGATGTTTGTCGGTATCTGATATGTTGAATATTTCTTCTTTCGGAATTGCTCCTTTAAATTGGGCTTAGTGTTAAAGTATACTTAATAATAAGAACATTAAGGGTATTTAATTGATGTGCTCGTCTCGTGGTGTAATGGTAGCATAGTGGACTTTGAATCCATTGACGGAGGTTCGATTCCTCCCGAGACGGTAAACGTGGCGAGCCATGAAATTTTGACATCGTTTTGTTTATTAAAAGTTTGGTCTAATCTTTTTGATTGCCCTTGCAAAACCTTGCTCCTCATATTCTTGCTTAGTCAACCAGAATTTTGATCCCTCTTTTTGCATCAACTCTGCCAAAACAGCACCTCCACAATATACCAAATGTTTTCTTCTTGGTGAATCTTCAACTCTCAAACTAAACTTTTTCAATCTTTCAGAGTCACCTTTTAGAATCTTGTCAAGGTAGAGTGAAGTAATTTCCTTCTCCAATCGTGAAGATAAACCAGGGAACATTGTGCTACCTCCAGATAATACTATATGCGAATAATAATCCATTCTCAAATCCAAATCTGCCCTATTGATTGTTTCGAATATTTGCTTGTGCATTCCTGCATCTTCCTTATCGAGAATACTTGGATTTAACAAGCATTCAGGACCTTGGAAGCGTTCAGCACCAATTTTGATCTTTCTTCCATCAGGTAACTTGTAAACCTTTATGAGTTCAGTAGTTTCCAAGTTTAGTTTGTTTTCCATTTGTAAATCATAGGCAACATAACAAAACTTCTCCTTAATAAGACGAACAGTTTCAATATCTGCTGATCTATTAAATGAATATCCACGCATCAATAACAAATTGATTAAATGATCAGTAACTTCTCTTCCAGCCAAATTCATTCTACCAATCAAATGTTCACAACAATAACCATCATAGACTGGTAATGTATGAGTAACACCATCACCTGAATCAAGTACAACACCTGTCACTAATCCTTGAGCACATAATGTTAAAACAGCTTGAATGGCAATATACAATGCTGAAAATTCATAATGCTCAAACATTGTTTCGACTAATTGTCTAGTCTTTGCCTTTGGATTCATTGGAGGTTCAGTTAAGAGAATTTGACTTTCCATTGGTGAAATCTTCAATCGATTCCATGTGTAATCCCACAAATGCAACATTTCATCAAAATCAGTAATGACACCATTAGTTATTGGATACGAAACTTCCAAAGCAGCTCTGTATTTGGAGCATTCATCACCCACAACAATATCTTTCAATTCATAATCTTCAGAAATGAATTCATTAGAACGTAATAGGGGACGACCAATCATGGAAGGAAATGTTGCAACTGGAAAATTGTTACCAGCAAAACCAGACTTTACAAATCCAGTGCCGTTATCACAGACTATTGTGTGGAGTGGTTGAGTGGTCATTATTGGATTGTTCTGTTTTTTTCTTGTTGATTTTCATTGTGTTGAATTTTGATGTTATATTAAAGATGAGTTTTTTCGTAAAGAATGAATCCAATGATTTCATTGAATTGAAAAAAGTAAATTTCACTTTCAAGATTTATTCATGGGTGATTAAATTTATTTTTACTATTTTTTACAATCAAAGTTCAATGTTCTTGGTTGATATATTAATAAAATTCTATTCACTGATTACATTCGACACCAACAAATCAAAAATAAATGGAAACACAAGTACCAGGTCTTTATCTCATTGAAGATTTTCTTTCTTCAACAGAAGCAACAAATTTAATGAATGAAATCAATCAACAAACTTGGATAAAGAATAGATCTCAAACAAGAAATATTCAAATTTATGGACCTAAACATGATCAGAGTTATACGATTATTCCAAATGATATTACTCCTCTTCCTGAATTTTTGAAAGAGCTTTCGAAAAGAATATTGGAAACTACGAGAAACAAATTACCTCAAATTGATTTGAAAGATTATGAACCTTACTTGGGAATTGATAAATATACAGAGATTTTCATCAATGAATACAAGCCTGAAGATAAATTAGATCAACACTTTGATCATCGTAGTACATATAAGGAAATAATATTTGGATTGAGTTTAGAATGCACTTCAACCTTAACATTTACCAAAAATAACAAGAAAGTGAAAGTGAAACTACCTGAACGATCACTCTATCTAATGACTGGTGATTCTAGAAATGTCTACAAACATGGAATTGAATCAGGTTCATTGGAAGGTGACAGAAGAGTTTCACTCACTTTTAGAACTGTCAATTATTGAGATGATGAGTTTAGAATATACATTTATTTGCAAATCTAGTTCTAATGGTTTCGAATAAAGATTACAATTTAACTGGAGTTCCATCATATTGAAGGAAGGTACCATTTTGTTCTTGATTGAAATTATCAATGACCTTAACAATTCCTGAAACACCAACATCAACAGAGAGTGGAGCATTTTGGCCCCCAAGCTGGGTTTGCAACCATCCGGGATGTAGTGAAATTGCATTGACTTTTCCTTCAGCAAATGCCAAACTTTGAAGTTTAGAAACCATATTAAGGGCTGCCTTAGAAATTGCATAAGAAGCAGAATTAAAAACATGACCAATACCAAGCTCAATTGAACCAATAATACTTGAAATGTTAACAATCAAACCATTTTGGTTGATGAGTTGATTATTGTAAAATTTTTGTGAAACAATAATTGGAGAGAAGGTATTAGTTTGTAACATGTTGGAAAGTTCTTGTCTGGAAACACTACCAATTGAATCTTTTCCAATAATACCTGCATTATTAATCAAGACATCAATCTTAACATTTTGATTCAAGAGTTTTTGAACGAGTGCTTCAGTTGACTCATCATTGTTAACATCCAAGTTTTCATGAATAATCAAACGTTGAGTGGTGACTTCTTGTTGTAATTGAGCCAAACTATCAGAGTGAGATCTAGTTGTTGCGTGAACAATTCTATTTGGATTACTTTGTAATAATTGTTTGACCAATTCCAAACCAATGCCACGAGAAGCACCAACAATGAAGAAAGTATTAAAAACAGAAGACATTTTCTAGTATTTTTTTTTTGATTTTGTTTTGAAATTTTGATCATGTCCACTCATCAAACTTTTAAAGTGTTTTAAAAAATAATTTGTGCGTCCAAGATAGCACTAACTAATTGATACATCCGAGACTTGAAAGTTTGAAACTTACAATGAAAAAGCTCTCATCATATTCCTTCCAAGATTAACAAACTTCAACAATGCAATTCCTTGGAAAAATGATTTATTTACAATAAAACAATGAATTGGAATTTCAAATTTACAAATCTTCATCATCATCTGGAAGTGCAATTGCACTATATTTTGCCAATTCTTCTTCATATTTCTTAATCATTTCCAAATCAATTACAATATCAACTGGACAAATTGGAATTTCTTCAACTAAACTCAACTTTGGATCACCAACAATTTGTCTTGCCAACCACAAGAATGGTTTCTCATAATTGTAATTGCTCTTTGCTGAGATATCATAATATTGCAATTGTTTAGTTCTGTGATATTTGATTGATTTTGGTTTAACCTTTCTATCTTGAACATCAACCTTATTTCCACACAAGACAATTGGAATGTTTTCACACACTCTGACAATGTCACGATGCCATGTTGGAACATTTTTATAGGTGGCTACTGAGGTTACATCAAACATGATGATTGCACACTTTCCTCCAATATAATAACCATCTCTCAATCCCTTATATTTTTGTAAACTATTTTGTAAAGTATTAAATATTACTTACACCAAATTTTTCTTGACCAGCAGTATCCCAAACCTCAAAACAAATTGGTCCTCTTGTTGTGTTGAATCTTAATGGACGAACTTCAACTCCAACAGTTGCAATGTAACGTTTTTCAAATTCACCAGTCAAATGTCTCTTAACAAATGTTGTCTTTCCGGTTCCACCATCTCCAACGAGGAGAAGCTTGAATGTTGGTACTTGATTGTTTGCTTGCATTTTTTTTGATTTACTAATTGTTGTGTTTGAAAATCAGCTCAGATTCCTTGTGGTATTTATATTGAAATTTTGGCGCCAAAAAAAATTCCACCACAAGGAATTAATTTTCTTGCTTTGTTTCAATGACCTTTGTTCAAATTAAATTATTGAGAATACTATTATTAGACAAATTCTCTTCAGAGGAACTATCCATAATTCAATTAAATAAATGATAGCTTTACAACAATATTAATATCTTCAAGCAAGTTCAAAAGTTCATCAAGAAACTCAAAAAAAAATGTCATCACTTCCTAGTTCAATATTGCCACAAGAATTATATTTGGGATCATTTGCTCATGCTAGAAATTTCAAAATATTTGAAGAATTAAATATTGGATGTGTTATTAATTGTGCAAGAGAAATACCCAATCATTTTCAAGATGGGAATATTAAATATTTGAAAATGGAATTAAATGATGATACTCATTTTGATTTAATGCCATATTTTGAAAAGATGATTGAATTTGTTAGTCAATTTAGAGAAAATCATTCCGATAAGAGTATTCTTTTTCATTGTGCTAGTGGATGTTCTAGATCTGCCTCAATGGTAATTGCCTATCTTATGAAAAGTAAGGAATGGGATTGTAAAACTGCATATGAATATGTGAAGGAACATCGAAATAAGATTAAACCAAATGAAGGTTTTGTGGAATGTTTGTTGAAATTTGAGAAAATTTTATATCCGAATAAGGATGTACCTAGTTTGGATATTGCTAAATATCACGAATATTAAAAACCGAAAAATCCTGATCTCTGATTCAATTTTTGTGCATTGGCTGCAAATGAAGAGGCCATTCCAGACATTTCACTGGTTTTTTCATTAATTTCTCTCAATTTTTCCTCTCTTTCATTTAGTTTTCTTAAATTCTCACTCATTTGAAGTTTAGTTTCCTCAATTCTGTTGTTTAGTTCAGATCGTTTCATAGATGAATTGGATGATGTAATTTTGATATTATCATCGTTCTCATCATCTCCGAACAATAATTCTCTATTGGTTCTAGTATAGAGATTATTCAAGTTACTTGAACTACTGGTTGATGCATTTGTTGCACTACTTGTGGTAGTTGGTTGAGGAAGTGGCTTTACAATTGGTTTGTTCTTGAGCTCCAATTCTTTTGAGAGGAAGGATGAAATAATGGTCTTTTCATTATCATCAAAATCTGAATTGTTAGAAGGTTGAGAAGGAACAATATTATTCACAACCAATTGTTTGACAAGATTGAGATCTTCTCTCTGAAGTTGTGTACAAATCTTCCAAAATGTTTCATTGACATCCTTATCTGAAGGTGTAGACTTGGTAAAGCTCTTGAAAAATCCAACAATTGATTCTCCAATTGCTTTAGTTGGTGGCTTATAATCTATAGTGTAGATAATAGGTTCCAAAATATCTGTACTCTTATGGCTTTTTGAATCAAACAAAGTTCCATAAACGACATGGTCATTATTATAAATGAGGAGGTCTCTTCCACTGTCAAAGGTTGATATTTTGAATGGTTGACTTGATATTGGGAGGTTTGATATTTTTTGTGTGAAAATCTTGTCTATGGATTTAGATTGTGAAGATGAAGGTTTCAAGCTAAACATCATTAAATTATTTTGATTGTCCAATAATATCAAACTTTGATTATTAGAACGAACGTATTCTAACGAGCTAGATGATATTATATTGTTATGATTATACTTTCTTCCTTCCTTAATGGAGAACTTTTTCAAACTAATCATTGGTTTTGAGAGAACATATTCTTCAATACCCTTTTCCTTGACAACCATGATGAATTTTGATCGAGTGTAGCCATGGGATTGACCAAGAGGAGGAATTCCCGCTTTGGAAATGTATCCAACAATGTTTGGTTGTTTGATTCTAGAATTTTGAAGATCTGAGAATGATAAATTATTGTAAATTTCCACACTATCAATATATTCACACAAATAATCCACATCACATAAATTGTACATCTTACTATTCATGAACTGGTTTTCATAAAACTCGGCCTCTTTGTCATGGATACTATGTGAAAGTACTTTGAAATTCATCTTTGTAATGTACTGATCCTGAACACAATTGTAACCTGATGGTGCAGATCCAATACATTCAAACTTGGTTTCATTTCTGACATAAACACGATACTCTTCACCTGTTACAACAACAGCCACTTGCCTTGTATCTACCAGTTTATGATTCGAGTTGATATCAAACTCAAATGGAACACCATTGACAATAATTCTATAGTTGGCCATTTCTTCAATCTTTGATAGAGTTTCAAACTTGATATCCAGAATATCCAAAACAAAATTAAAAGATATTGGAAGAGTTTTCTTGAGTTGAAATAAAATGGTAAGAGGACTTGCGCTATTGATTGGGAAGGCAATCATATTATTTTTCACAGTTCCAAATACACTCGTCAGTGAAGTGCTATGAATAGTATAACAAATTGGTCCATTTGGAGAGTTAATAATTGAATTAGGTACGTATTCACTTCTCAACATTGGTGGTAAATACTTTTCATCTACCATTTTAGAAATATTATATTCATTATAAATGTCATTAACAGTGTAAATATCAATAACTTTTCCAAAATTGTTTGCTGAATTTTCATAAATAACGAATGGACATATGTGATCAGCTAAATCTTTCCATCTTGCCTCATGAATATATTTGCTCAGTTTGTGATAATTTCTGGTCATATAGTCTAGATCGTACAGTTGAATGAGCATTACCTTCCCACTGGCAAAACCAAGGAAAGCATAGAGATTACCTCTATATATCGAGCATTCAATATGTGAAACTACATCTTTCTTTGGTAAAATGGATTTTACAAAGAGATGTGAACTCTTCATGTCTGATGGATTGAGTTCAAAAATAATACTTCCAAAATGTTTGTCAAACTCATTTTCAATAATTTGATCAGATGAAATGTCACTTGTAGAGAGTGATACTATCTTAATAGTACCATCTTGGTAAGCAATTAAAAGTTGATTAATTACTTGAATAGGAACTAGCTGGATAATTGGATTATCATTAGAATATTTTAAAACGTTAAAGTTATACTTGGCCACTTGTGCAATTATGCCTTGGAAGTTGTTTCCCTGAGCTTCTGAAATATTAGTCGAGTTGTCTACAGTTGGAGATTTTTCAGTAATGTCATGTGTAAAAATAGTTGCTGATGGAATATGCAAGAAATCTAAATTTCCATCCATAGATGCCAAAATAATTACACTATCGCTCCATTTGCACATAGTTTTGTAACTTGCTTGATTACCAATAGTATAAATATATCTGATATCGTTAAAATATGGATTGCACAAATACAGCTCGACTGCACTACCTAAAGCTTGATCTGAAAGCTTTACCAAAATGTAATTATCTTTATCGACATTAATATCGACTCTGTATTGAGTATATTTCATGCCAAGTATATTCCATCTATTGACAGGTCTTAAATAATACTCAAGCATATTCCTTCTGTACTGTTCTTGATTGAAATTATTAAGAACAGTGTTATATACCAAATTTGAGAGATCCATCCCAGAAGTTTTCAGTACAATAAATTCCTTATTATTACAAATCAAATCTTTTGTAGAGTAGAATGGGGTTGGTACAGAATACTTTTCCAAATTGAATAATTGAAGTTCTTTTTGTGGATAAATCATCTTTTCAAATAAATCCAAAACAAGCACATTTCTATTTTCTCCATAAATCACACTAGCCATTAAAGAGTTTGAATTTGGATTATCAAAGACTGATTTTAACAATGTAATATTTTCAATACTTTTCTGATCACACCATACATGTCTAATAAATTCAATATTTCTTACTTCATAATTCATTTTCAAATAATATATTCCAGAATCTGCATTTGTAGTATCTGATCCTAATCCAAAAATGATGAATTGATTGTAAGAAGTTATGAAATTTGTACATCCCTTCAACATATTCATTTCATAATAGAGAGAAAATGTAAATTGAGGATGATTAATTTCGTATAAAGTAAATGAACCATTTGAATATCCACAAATTATAATATTCGGAGCATGCCAATTCAAACTGGTTACTGAAAATTGTGAAGGAATAACAATACAATTAAGATTTGTTGAAATTGAATTATTGTTAGTATTCTGCACATGATAAATATAGTAAATAACAGTTTCACCATTCGAATAACCAACTGAAATGACATGATCATATGTCGGATGAGGTTCAACACAATTAATTAATAAATTAGAAGGTGGTATAATATTAGGAGCGTTGAAAATTGGATGTAATAACGAGATTGATTGAATAAATTTGAAATTACTTGTTGACATGTACTTTACATATGGATAATAAATATTATTTTTAAATTCAATTGTTGTTATTAATAAATAACCTTTGTAATATTTGATACTTGTTACATTTTGATGATCATTAAAATGTACTTGATTGACAATTTGCTTCTTTAAATAATCATAGGATATTAAAATTGATTTTGAATTTTGATGATTTTTACAAAGACAATAAATGATCGGAAATTGTTCATCATTTTGAATATTTTCAATTGAATATTCATCCGATAACGTAATATAATAATGAGCATCACCACCAACAAAATATAAATTGCCATTACTTCCTCCCAATATTAAAACTTGTTGTGATGGATGATAGCATTGTGATTGAATATTGTTGAATTGTGATGGAAATTGTCCAGTGATTTTAAATTCATATCTGGCTGGAATTAATGAAGGTGGGAGTGGTGGTAAAGTAAAATTGGTTGTCGTTGTGGTTGTTATTTGTTGATGATTGCTCATTTTTATTATTATTACAAATCACAACATGTTGATGAACATTCCTATTAGTATTATTATCATTTTCAATCAAGGATCATGATGTGGGAAATATTTTATGAATGAAATCAACTAATTATTGTTGGGTTTATTGACTAGTTTAATATAATAGATTCAAGATATGTTTTAGCATTTCCAACAATGGTATAAACTCTTCCATTATCAGCACCTAACATTAAATCATTAAATGACTCGCCTTTAGTTACAGATCCAACATTCATCATAAAGGTTCCAGAGTGAAGATCCAACTTGCTATACATTCCATTTCTGTATAAAACAACTTGACAATTATCTTTTGAAACAGATGCAAATGAAACTGTTTTAGATTTCAATTCATTAAGTTTGAATAATTGTGGTGTTGCAATCGAAACAACACCATCCTTTGCAATGGTTACAGTTGTTGAGAAGTGGTACAGTATTTTAGTAGGTGATCCATTGACAGGAACTGTCAAATAAGCTAACGATTTGAAAATGTAAGTATTAGGTTGAGGATTTTCAATACATGTTACTGATGGGTATAAATATGTTGTTAGTGTTCCAATACCATTTGAAAAACTGGATTTTCCAGAATCAACATGAACAATACCGAATGCATCTAAACCATCTTGTGTTTTAACAATTGCTACCACAAAAGATGATAATCCAGTATGTGCTATTGATTGAACATATCCAGGTTCAACTGTTGTAAGAATTTTGGCTTGTTTTGGAGACACTTTTGAAATACTCTTTACACCGTTATAATAGACAATTTCCTCATTATTTTCATTCACCAACAAAAGGGAACCAGTACTATAACTATATTCAGGAATAGTTATTGTCCACTTGACTGTGGCAAGATTATCCATATCTAAACATTTCATACTCTTTTGTTGAAGATAAATGTAACATTTGACACTTTCAACAAGAACTGAAGTTGCATGTGATTCAACATTGGACCAAGAAAGGGACCAATCCAAAGTATTAACAATGCTCACGAAGCAATACTTAAAACATAAAGGAACATATAAATACCCCTTAGTACTCAACAAGACAGGAGCCGAAAGAGAATATCCCTTCTCCAATTGAAATCCCCCATTCGCAACCTTTCCAGTTAGAGCGTCAACAGTGATCATTCCAGAAAAGAAGGTCTCAGTGGCAAATCCTGGATGAGGCTCAAGTTTAAGAGTACCCAACAAGAACCTGTTCCATCCACTGTGATAAATCATAGCCATGGGTGTGTATTCAAAGGTACTGACTACTGGAGTAATTGGTTGAGCATAATCATTATGTGTTGCAGAGAAGGGAGCCCTTCTAGATCCTTGCGCATCAACTTTGTATTGTCTATTTGGCAAAACAGCTGCATTAAGTGTTGTAGCAAATAAACAACATGTGAAAGAAACCAACAGCAACAATACAGCTGATGATACTCCTTCGAGGTAAGTACTGGATATTAAGGAACGCTTCATGGTGTTTTTTTAATGCTGTATGAGTGTTGATTTTTCAAGTGAAATAGACTACAGTAATCGTAGCTGGTAAATACTGCTTCTAAAATGGTTTGGAACTTGAAAATCACCTCAGTGAATTATTAATTTGGTCGTCCAAGTGATGCAGATTTCCGGAAGAACAAGGAAAAGCACTTTTATTAACAAGCTTTGGAATCCCAGGATACAATTAGGTTGTATAGAAATTGGCAAGTGAGGAATTGGAACAACAAATGAAATACCAGATGAATGAATACAACAAAAATAACAGTGATTTCATGGTGATGAATTCGTTTCTTTTAAACCAGCAGAAAGGTAAACTGAAATATTATTTTCATTTCAGATACAGTAAAACATTGGATTGCTCATTTTTATTTACAAAGTTGTTGAGCCATAGATGATGTGCGAAGTTAACACACAATATTTAGATGATCAGTTCAGTCGTATTGCCAAACATTGTTAAACTTATTCTTGAAAACAACTTTGATAACCAATATTTTTCGATTGTACTAGTTCGTGTCTTTCACCAGAACAAAAGTTATACCCATGAGCTGGGTCATTATCATGGACAACCTGAATGTACTTTTCTTTCAGTGTTCGAATGGCAGATTCCCTTGCTAGTTTCTTCTGCTCACTCAAATCTTCCAATTTCTGAGCATTCTCTCGCACATCATGCTCGCTTTGTCTTCTTCTATCTGCTCTTGATTTCGTAATTGCCATGTTTTTCCTCCTTAAATCAGCATACACGTCGTTTTGGAATATATCTGCATCGACTATTTTGTTGACTAATCTATCAGCTTCAGAACAAAATAGAGGGGACGTTTCTTCTGGTATATGAATATTATCAGTGTCTTTGAACTCTGTTTTACCGTATCTAAGTTTTGGTTCGAAAGGGAAGAATTGTTTAAGGGAGTCGTTAAATCTGCCTTCGGTTGATGTTACGTTGGTTGGTCCATTGATAGGTAAGTATCTATGGTGTAATAAATTATCTCTAGTTGACTGTTTTCTTGCCGCCACTTCTTTCCTATCAGGAGATGTGGTAAATCTATCAATCTTCACCTTATTCTGATGTTCAGATTCATCTCTCTTAGGTACTTTGTCAAGTGATTTAAAGTAAAACATTCTCTCTAGTTCCTTTTCTTTTCTACAATCCTCGATATGTTTTGGTTTTGAATTTTCCAATTCATGCCTCGATTTTTCATTGATCTTCCAATTCATTCCAATACTTGTTGAGAAAATTGTCTCATTTTGTTTGGCATATTCATTGACGTCAGGGTGAAATGAATAAGAGAAGCAAGGTCGTGTATTTACAAAGTAGCTAAACTTCTCGGAAACTTGTTTTTTGTGCTCCAATTCCTCTTGTATTGGTCGTTCTGTTATCCTAGATTCTCTCTTTCTGATTTGAAGTTTTTGTATCTTTTCTGCAGAAAAATCACTCTTTTTAAGGTTGGGATTTGTTCTGTACAGCGTATCATTAAGATCTCTCGGCCTAGTTTTTGCCCCAGCTGATGGCATATTTCCATTCTCATCAAGATGTTTTCCGAAAAATTTACGATTAGAGGCTAAAGCTGATAGTGATCTGTTGCCTACCGGATAGGAAACATTCTTTTTGTTTAGAGACATTTTTTATTATTGAATTTTTTAAACTGTTTGTAGCGATTAACGGTAGTTTATTTGGCGGGAAGTATTTGGTCCTTGTTAATCTATCTCCTTATTAGTCCGTGAATTTGGATAAAGATAACACCGTTGATATTGAGAATCACTGCATGATCAGTGGCACTGAGATGTATGCGTAAATTTAATCTCAATAATCATTAAGACACTTATCTCCCTCATCAATTGTAAAAGAGAAGGCCATGGAGCCCATCTCAATAAATCTCTTCTCGAATATCTTCCTATCATAATGTTCTTGTTTGCCTGTATCTGGATCATTGACAATGACATTTTCATTTGTGAATCCGACCAAAGTGACACAATGTTCTGGACTCTTCCATTTAATGATACAATTTCTATCTAAATAATCATACCACACTTCTTCTTCCACAAAGAATGGCTCTCTTTGTTTCAGAGTTGTCCAAATAACAATCGGTACTTTGGTTCTTTCCAAATAATCAAGTATATAATCAAGCGATGATTGAGACAATTCTTTAACTCCAATAATTTGTCTATCATCAATTGGTCTTTTCATCATCATTGGAATAAACATTCCATTCACCAACTCTCTCACTGGTTTTTCATAAACTCTTTCCAATGTGAATAATTATTGTAAAATACCTAAGCTTTAAATATCATCAAATAATTACCCCATTCCAACAGATGCACTCAATGGATCACCAACAAATGCTCTATTCGGATTTCCACCAAATCTATTCAATTTATTTTCATCATTTCCAATTGTATTTCCGAAAGAAAACATGAATGGTTCTCTCTTGAGCATTTGCACCACTTGCATTGCACTCACTTTCACTCCCAAATATTGTAAAGCCTGTGCAGCAGCTGTGGCCTCACAACCAGTCGGTAAACCCTCCTTGTATTGATCAATGGAAGGCACTCCATCCAGAAGAAACATTTTTTTCAATTTTAATTTAATTTTCATTATTATAGAATTAAACTTTTGAGAGATGCCTCATATTGCAAGCCATAAAGAAATAATATGTCTTTTTTACAAGTACCCACCAACTCAATTGGTCAGGGTTACTAGGCTTACTCAAATTTTGTATGAAGGTTTTGAAAAGAAAGAAGAAAAAAATGACCGATAAGAAGATAACCTCATCATCATCCAACAACACTGGAGACGAGAAGGATGAGAAGGCAAGTTTCACCACTGTTGCAGACAATGTATTGAAAAATAGACGTTCTCAGGGGAATAAGGGAGAAGATGCTTCGGAATCGACAACAACTTCTACAACGAGAAGGAGAAAGGACAAAAGACCTGCTTGGCTCAAAGTACCATTGTACTTTGTAGTTATTGCTGTTCTTGTTAGATTATATATGAGATTGGATAGTGTTTCAAATAGAGATAGGACTAAAACTTTAATTTATAATGCTACTATTGTGAATGATAATGAAATGTTCTTAGGATCAGTACTTATTGAAGGAGAAAAAATTAAAATGATTTTACATCAAGAGAATGACCAAGATAAATTGAGTAATATTATGGCAGATCGAGAATATGATAAGTTTATTAATGGAACTGGTTTACATTTACTTCCTGGTGTAATTGATGATCAAGTGCACTTCCGAGAACCTGGATTGACTCACAAAGCTAATATCTTTACTGAATCTAGAGCTGCAGCTGCTGGAGGTGTCACAACATTTATTGAACAACCAAATACTAATCCTCAAACTACCACACAAGAATTATTAGAGCAAAAATTCCAAATTGCACAGAATTCGTCACTAATTAATTATTCATTCATGCTTGGAGGTACTTTGACAAATTTGGATGAAATTTTAAAGACCAATGGTAGAAATGTTGCTGGAATTAAGTTATTCTTGGGAAGTAGTACTGGAAATATGTTAGTGGATGATCCTAAGGTATTGGATGATATCTTTTCTAAAACTAAATTATTGATTGCTGCTCACTGTGAAGATGAAAAGACAATTCGTGAAAATTCTAAAATTCATAAGGAAAAGTATGGTGAAGATGTTCCAATTAGATGCCATCCAGATATTAGAAGTGCTGAAGCATGTTATCTTTCATCCTCATATGCTGTTTCTTTGGCTAAAAAGCACAATACTCGTTTGCATATTTTCCACATTTCCACTGAAAGAGAAACTCATTTATTCGACAATGAAACACCTCTTGCAAAGAAGAGAATTACATCTGAAGTTTGTATTCACCACTTGTGGTTCAGTGATAAGGATTATGAAACTAAGGGAGCATTTATTAAATGGAATCCATCTGTAAAGACTGAACAAGATAGAGAAGGATTGTGGAAAGCTCTATTGGATGATCGTTTAGATGTCATTGCTACAGATCACGCCCCTCACACAATCAGTGAAAAGACAAGTAGTTACTTCAAAGCAGCATCTGGTGGTCCACTTGTTCAACACAGCCTAGTTGCCATGCTCGATTTTTATCATCAAGGAAAAATTAGCTTGGAAAAGATTGTGGAAAAGATGTGTCACAATCCTGCCATTGTTTTCCAAATTGAAAAGAGAGGTTTTATTAGAAAGGGATTTAAGGCTGATCTGGTTTTGGTTGATTTAGATGACCCATGGACTGTTGATAAGAGTAACATTTTGTACAAGTGTGGATGGTCTCCATTTGAAGGTCATACATTCAAGTCAAAAGTCAAAAAGACTTTCGTTAATGGTGCTCTTGTTTATGATGAAGGAGAAATTAATGAAAAGGTCAGAGGTCAAAGATTACTTTTCGAAAGATCATAAATTATTTATTTAATAATCAGCAGAATAAGCTTCCTCATTCAATTTTCTCTGTCTCTTATGACTGTGCAAAACAAATTTAAAGTCCACTACTACCTTATCATTATATGCAATATTGCCCTCATACTCAGAGCTTACAAGTACATGTGTTATATCATTTTTCCTTTCCTCAAAGTTGGTCGCAATCTCACCTCCGTAAGAAATGATATACCTTGTGAGTTCTTGTTTGCCTTTGACTGCCCTATCAATAAAGAATACACACCCCGCAAAGAAGGATGGAAGTGCTTTTGAAGGTCCATCAATCTTTACATCTGTTTTAGGTTTTTTAGAGGCAAAGTTGACCTCAATATATTTTAAAATATTATCTCTGCATTCATCCAACTGTTTGACTACTTCCTCTGGACCTTCAACGGATGATCTTGCAATCATTCTAATAAACTTTGGACTTGGTGTTTTAAGTGACCACTTGTCAAAGTAGTCAAAAAGCTCTCCATCCTGTGCTGTTTGGTAAGCTAAGGCAAATATATCCTCAACAATAAAATCAGAAAAAGATTTCGAATAATTTCCACTGTCATAAAAACTCTTCAATCTTAAAACTTCTTGTTCATCAGACGAGGAAAGAATATCATCTTCCATGGCACAGTCTTGAGCTATTGGTTTGCTCTCTTCTTCCTTAACTTTGAGTTCTTCAACCTTAATTGGAATATCAGCCACTACCTGCTGTTCATCAGAATTTACTTCGGATTTAACTTGACTATTTTCCTTCTTTTCTGATTTTACAATTGGAGGTGGAGCTAAACTTTGGCTATTACTTTTTCCTAGCGATTTATCGCTTTCGTTTCCATCATCATTAGTTTCGTCGTCACTTTCCTTTTTCACAGATCTGGTCTTCTTTTCTACTACCTTTCTCTTTTTTCTTTTTGGACGATATTCTCTATCCTCACCATCTCCCAATAGATCATCACTTGAAGAAGATAATTGATATTCCTCATCAGAACCTTCAATCTCGTCTTCACTTTCATCCTTCAGCATAGAATATTTACTTTCATTCATTCTCCTGGAATTCTTTTCACAATCAAAAACCCATTCTGCATTTACAATGAATGCACCAGCTTTCTTTGCTTGCTTACTCTTTTCATTTCTATCATCAACAAAGGCAGCAATTAAGTGAGTAGTGTCAGCTGTATATTGAGGTCTATATTTTGCACCAATAGCCATGGCAGCCTCTCTAATTTCTGTTCTCTTTGGATTCTGAATACCACTAATAGCTATAATACATCCTTGTAAAACATCAGTCTTATTTGTACAAACTGGACCATCCTGAAGTTTCTTATTATCTTTGATGACTGTTTTGTTACTGACAACAAAACCTGCCAAATTTCCATTTTCATCAGCATCACTTGCATTATCAATTAATTCTTCTTCATCGTCTGTATCTGATGGATCGTCCAATGTCTTTTTCTTTTTGGTTGTTTTTCTTTTGGTTGGCTTTTTAGCATCAGCTTTCTTAGTTGTCTTTTTCTTTTTAGATGAGCTATCACTGGCAGATGCCTTATCGTCATCATCGTCACTAATAGATTTAAATTTTGGTCGTTTTTTGTCTGTCTTGGCTGCTGGCTTTTTAGTTTTCTTTTTAGTTTCCTTATCTGATTTTTCACTGTCATCACTTAAATCATTCTTCTTTTGAGTCTTTTGAGGTTTAGCAGCAATACCACTTGGTAAGGTTCTTTTCTTAGGTTTGGAAGGTGTTGAAGAAGAAGATCCAAGATCTGGAGTAATATTCAATGCTGGTGATAAGGTCAATTTGGTTTTTGCCATTTTTCTAGCTTCCTCTAATTGATCTTGTCCACTTATCATAGGTTCATCATCATCGGAAAGGAAAGGAATATCCAAAGTGGATCCTCTTATAATTAATGGTGTAGAACATTCATCAGACATTTTGTTCGATTCATCTGTTTTTGCTGATGATGATGATTCACTCTCAAGGGCAAAGTATTGCAATCCGAAAGGATAATCACCAAATGTTTGTGTAATTTTAACAGAAAGTTTCTTCCATCCTTTAAAATCTTTTTCATCTTGTCTCACAAGAGCTGCACGATTCAATTGTTTCTTATCGAAAACATAAAGTTCATTAAGTTTGGTCCTACTTTTTGTTTCATGAAATTTTAACATGGAACTTGATGGTAGAATACATGATCCATTACTATCATCAAACGATCCTTTCTCCAATCCGAAAACTTCAATTACATTGGCTCCATTATTCTTGACAATAATTTTATCAATTTTAAAGTTATCATCATTAATATTTAAATAAATATAAACATGTTTACAGGATATACTTGTTTCGAATTTAGTGTCATTATCATTAAATATATTAGAAAGTGGATGAGTAGATGTTTGGAGTGAATCATCCGATAACTTGATCACACTCAAGTTGGCTTTCATTTTATTTTTTTAATAATATTTATTTTAGAAAACGTTCTTCTTTTTGTTTTCCTTGTTTGACTTGAAATATTTTGGCGGGCAAAATTTACAATATTTGAGGATTTATTCGTCATCAAAATCCAATTCAACTGGTTTATCACTTGTGCCTCCTTCCTTATTTTCAGTATTTTCAGATGTAGATGTATCATTTTCTTCAGAATTTTCATTTAAATCAATTGTTGGAGAAAAAGTTCCAACCTTTTCCTCTTCCTCTTCCTCTTTGTCATCATCTACATCCACTTCTTCCACATCGTCTTCGATAACCTTCCTAGTTGGACCCCTGCTTGGTTCCTCTTGTTCTTCTTCCTCTTCGTCATCCTCCATCTCATCTCCAGAACTTAGAATAGTAATATCTTCCTCAGGTGGGGCCTCTTCTTCCACTTCTTCATCAGATTCGACTACAAATCTTCTTTCTTCCTCAGTCAATTCTTCCTCGCCTTCTTCTTCCTCTTCTTCTTCATCTGATAGATTTTGAACATATGCATCTTCTCCCTCTCTTTCGTAAGGCTTAGTTGAGTTGAATTCGCTATAATTAATAATTCCAAGTTGAATTCTAAGGAAGAACTGAGGATCAATATCAGAATCAACTAGTCTAGTAATAAAATACAAAAGTGTTCTTGGATTGATATCTTTCAACCCAAGCTCCTTAAGACAACGTTCAGTGAATTCGTGATTAAAATTGAATTTAGATCTTTCAGTTTCACCATCAAACAAAACCTCAAACAGAAATTGTGAAGTTTTTTCTTCAGCAATTTTACCAAATACCTTAATTCTTCCAGAGTCCAAATATGTTTCATCTAAAACTCTTGTTTCAATATCTGCTGTAAACGAAATATGGTGTCCTAGAGAGCTAATTATAATAAAGTCAATTTTTTGGCTAGCTTCATCTTCTGTTCCAAATTTAAGGAAGTTTGTTACAACGATGCTATTTCTTGATTTTTTAAACCTCTTGAATTGATTAATGATATTATCCAAAGCTCCAATATCATGCCTAGTGAAATTAGTTTCCAATAAATCATCATCACTATCATCGTCAGTCAAATCAACACTTCTTTCAAGGAAAATTGTTATCAAATACTTGGCATTATTTCTTCCTTCTTTTACATCTTCAATATCTTTCAAAAATTTGATACTTGAAACTGAACAATCTACTTGCTTTCGTTGCAAATCAAAGTATCTACGAAGTACATTCTGTGAAGCAATACATTTAGACAATAAGCCAATTGCAGTATCACTTTCTTCTGATCTATATGCCTTTTCTACAAGATTATCTTGCTCAACCAAAAATCTAGACAGAGACGAACCCACTGAGTACTTCAAAACAAAGGAATATCTTGTTTTGAATGCCTTCATGAAATCATATTCTGAAATATTTTCTCTCTTAATGTTTAAATCTTCAAAAAACATTCTCTTATACAGGCAATACCAGAAATAATAATTGGTCTTGAGTAAATCATCCCAATCCTTACAAACAAGCATAATTGTTCCAAGTTTTTGTGGTGGTAAAAATTCACAAATAATATGAAGACAATCAATAGTAAAGTGTCCTCTTCTTTGTCTCTTGGAGTGATCCACTTCAACTTCATCTCGTGATTTTCTCTTTAATTCAGAAGAAGCCTCTACATCTTTTGTTGGTGATAAAGTAGTAAATATTGGTTCTTGTTCTTCATCCTCTTTGTTCAAATCGATCATCTCCGATGATTGACTCTGTTGACTATTCATCTTCTTGAGTTTAATTTTTTCTATTAGATCCTTCATCTCCAATTCCTCGGAATCCTGTGATGATTATTGTTTGTTCAATGATGACAAATATATAAATTGACCAAATTATTGGTAATCCAACGTTCCTTTTTGATTTCAAAAAAAAGCCTTGGTTTAATATTGGCGCGTTTTTTTTAATTTTTCTCTCCACATGTTTTATTGTGAGTTCGAGTGGTAAATGGAAGAACGAATGGATTGAGTATCTGAAGATGAAATTGGTTGAGAAATATCTGGTGTGGATGAAAGAGAAGTACTATTTGGTACATCAGAAGCGTCAGTTTCAACAAAAGCTTCAATAGATTTTAATTCAAATGAAAAAGATCCCTCTTTCAGTGAACTAATACCAAGTCCTATTGAAACAATATCAAAAACTTGAGCACTTGTTGTTTGTTTTGCCTTTCTGATAGCACTCACTCTTGTTTCATCTCCCATAGAGTTGACATAAAAACTTGTGAATGGAATTGTAGAGACAGTCCAAACTCTACCATCTTCATCTGTTTCTTGGAATGTTCTAATCTTGTCAGTTTGATATCCTTTAGATCCATTGAAAAAGATGGCATCTCCTTGTTGTGAATAATCTCTTTCAGGTGTAATTGGTGCATAGAAAAAGACATCATCAACAAAATGATTGAATTCAAAATGAAATTGGAAATCCTCAGGTCTATCTGTTTGATATTTAATCTTAATTCCACCATTTTCATAATCTGATAAATCCAAATGGTAAATAGGATACTAAATATTTAATCAATCATGAAAATTTATAATTATTATTAAAAATTAGAAATATTCGTAATCATTACAGTAATAATTAATATTTGATTAATTTGATAAATTGAAGGAAATAATACCTACCACAAACCACATTCTAGCAAATGATGGTAAAATTTTTCTACCATTAGTCAGAGTATATAATTGTCCTTTAAATATACATGTTCCATTTGATGTTTTACTCAATTCACAATCGGATTTACCTCCGAAAATTGTATCAGTGATTAATGTCCAATTACGAACAGAAGATGATGAAGATTTATAGAGTAATGTTGTTGGTGGTGTTGTCATATCGAATCTAACAGCCCTATCATAGAATTGTTTCATTCTAGTGAACAAGGCTGTTTTAAAATTCAAAATGCTGGTTGTTGTTCCGAGTTTGTAAAGAACCATTTTTTATTCTTTTTTTGATTGATTTTTAAATTTAATTCTTTTTTAAATTTTATTAATTTTGAATGTTGGAATTGAGGATTGAGAATTTATTTGTGTTTTTGAAGTTTTAGCAGACGATTCTTTTTACGTTCTTCTCTATTTCTCCGTTGTTGAGCTTGGAATAGTTTGTGGGTTTGTAACAAGTAAACTGCGACATTAGTTTGGAGTGATTTGAAAAGTTTGTCTGGTAAATTCATTGATTTTTCATCAAAAGTCTTTTTAACTTTTTCAATATCTCTTTTACCACCTAGTAATTTCACTCCCAAGAATGATTCACTGTCATTATCAAGGAATTCAGTTATGATTTCGAATGCCAATTCGAATTTCTTTGCTTCCAAAATGTCAACCTCATGGCTGAGACTTTTACTAGCTTCACCTCCTGAAACATCTGATAGAGATTCGATTTGATCATGCAAATCATAAACTTTCTCACATTGTTCCTTGTACAACATTACCTTCTCCAAAAATAGAACTTTAGAATATTGATTATTTAGTTTGCAGAATTCCTTAAATAAAATATGTAAGCGATCATCTTCCATTACCTCTATAATAACATGTGCATCTGCTTTTTTCAACTTATCCATAAATAAATTATCTCTTCCAATAGTAATAATTAAAACAATTACCATTACTGGAACAATGATTAGTAATGTAATCGAAACTAGAATTAAATTAACACCGGCACTATAATTCATGTACACATCTTCATTATACGCAGCTCTATCAGCAATAATTAATGGATCTCCCAAGCTATTAACAAGTATTTGCAGTTGAGTAAGGTAATTGAACTTGTAAAAGTTGAAATCTTTAACATTATTCACAACATTATTGAACATTATGGTTTGAACAGTTTGAAAATCATTGAAATTCTTCCTCAGCATTGGTATGATTGATTCTCTAGATAAGTTATTGACCTTATTGTACGATGGAATGTCCAATATCAGAGCATCCAATTCTTTGCTCACCACTTTCATTGTACTGTTAACCTCAGAAAGTAATCGTTGTTTTGAAAGTGAACTGCCTAGCATGATATCAAAACTAACTTTGATATCGTTCAAGTTGACCAGTAATGAAGCAACATGTTGATAGCAAGTATCCTCTGTCTTGGATTGGATTACTATAGTATTGTAAGTTTCCAGAAAGCGTTTACGCAAAAAATTAACTTTTTTGATCGACTTGGTGCGACCTGACTTGATTTTGGATGACGTTAAAAACAGACGACTTTTGATTGATCCCCAAATCAACTAACACCAACCTGCAGTTGAAAGAAGAATTAACTCAATTTATTTTCTTTTGATATATTTGCATAATTTGGTGTCAATTCTTCTTACTTTAGCCTTTATTTCTCTCCAAGTTCTTTAGAAGTCTATTTGATAATAGTTCCACTGCAGTGCAAGCAATTAAAACAAGAATTGGATCGACTTTGAATCGATTGTAGTTGATTGCCAGTTGTCTGTGAATCGACTTTGAATCGATTTTGTTGCCAGTAAATTGACTTTTTTTTTCGACTTAAAATGACTTTAGACGACTTGACTTGAAGTTAACTTTTGGCGTAAACGCTTTCTGGAAACTTACAATACCAGTGGAAAGAATGCTCATTACTAATAGTATGGATATGGTGAGAATCATTATTAAAAACGAAAGTACCCTCTCGAAAGTCAATTGAATCTGTCCACACCTGGTTGATATTACAAATTCCTTTTTTCTACCTTTCTGAATGGGTATTGTTGTTTGGTTTTCTTGTTGTTGAACTGTTTTACTATGTCTGTGTGAATTATTTTGCGATGAAGTGTTGTTAAATGTTTGCTGTTGCTGCTGAGGTAGAGTTGAGTGGTTGAATTCTATTTGTTTATCCATCTTTGAGAGGACATCTTCCATCTCTAAGAATTGCATGACTTCCAACTGTTCTGTTTCTCTTCTTTGAGAGTTTAAACTCGTGCTCACACTGGGTTGTTGTGTTGATGCAACTTCATGTTGGAGTGGGTCTTTGGTTTGATTTTCAATGTTGCTTGTGGAAGGATCGTGTTGATTATTAGACATTTTTTTATCCTATTGAGCAATTGCTTGCAGTATCTTCATGAAATTTGGATTTTTGAGGGCTCGGTTATGGAGCTGTCAATTTGCAAAGATGTTAAATTTGTAATATTACCTTTTTTATTTTTCCAAACCTGTCGGATACTTGTCCACATGGGTATCTGACAACAGTCGACAGATACAATTCAGGACCCAATCTGTTAACAAAATGGAGAGGATCTCAAAGAGGAAAATGATTGTCTGGTGGTAGTTTCTTTAAAACACTATTGAGATTTTTATCGTAATCCAATTAATATCACCTTGTTTGGAATTGTTTTACTTTGTTGATGGTGTGCATTTATTTCTTTTGACCCTTTTTAAGCTCTTTAATCTGTAGCTCAGCCGCTTGCAATTTCTTCTTATACATTTCAATTGCAGTTTGGCCACTTGAGGAGTATGAGGTTCTCTCAGCATTAATCTTGGTATTGAGTTGCAGCATCTTTTGCTCGTATTGCATTTTGACCTTTTGCAAATTCTCTTCATTTCTTGTTTGAATTTGATCGTGATCCATTTGGAGCTTATCCAACTCCTCTGTTCTGCTTCTCAATTGTGAGAGGAGTTGAGAACATCTTTGTCTAAGGTCATTCCTCTCTGATCTCAATTTGTGACCGACAGAGAGTGCCTTCTTGAGGCTAGTTTCGGCTTGTGATACATTATTCATCAGTGGAGCAATAACGTTATTCTCGAAATGTAAAAGTTTAGCTTCAACATCTTCATTCACTGTTATGAATCGTCTCTCATAAAATTCCAACACTGATTTAATTTCCCTATCATACTCTGATTGCTTTCCCATCAATAGATTATTCTCTTCCCTAAGCTTTTGATTCTCCAATTCTGTCTCGATCATCCTATTAGAAGAGACAACACATTTATCAATTTCATTATTCTTATCGTCAAGTCTCTTCTTCAATTCCTCAATAGTATTTTCCAAAGCCTTTACTTTTTCCTTGTATTCTTTTTCCACTTCATCTCTGATGGAATGTTTCTCTGATTCCTCCTTATATTTAGCCAATGATATGAAACTCTAAATTCTCCTCTCCACCCCAATACTGTAAATCAAGTCAACTTACCTCCCTCAACCACTCAATCGATGAAAACACTTGCTCTCTTCTTTCCATTTTTTTTCTGATTGGAAAATACCGCCAAAAGTATTAATAAGCTTCAAAGAAGAGAATTGTGTAATTTCAAAAACAAAGCCTTGTTTCTCTTTGCATTTAGTAGCAATCATCATGAAAGAATTTGAAAAGAAAAAATGCTAGGAAGGTCTCTTCATAAAACTCTCAAGCTTTTCAGAGGGCACACAACTCTTCAACATCATCAACAATGGGCTACCACTACTACCGTACAAAAATATAATCATTATCGATTCTTACAACATGGACTATCAGAGTGGAGAGTTAATAATTATTCGTCATCTTTGAGAAGGAAAAAGAAGGGTGTGGATGTGTTTTCAATTTTAAAAACCAAGTATTTGGAGTGTTCGGAAAAGGATGTGATTGAAGGAAGGAAAAAATCTGTTAAATTTTCAGTATTAAATACAGAGGATGTGGAAGAAGATTCACCAATTTTGTCAGAGAAAATTAGAGTTGATAAACTATTGAGTCAAACAGTACCTATCAGCAGAGAGTATGCTCAATTTTTATTATCAAATGGATATGTGAAAGCAAATAATAAGAAATTGAATGAAGATAATAAGTTTATTAAATTTACTGATATATTGAAAGGACTCCAAATTGAAATTTATTTAGAGAATAGACCATTTTCAGCAAATCTCACACCAATGAAACATGTTGAAATGTATGATGGACCAATAGCTCCTATTCATGTACTGTATGAAGACAAGGATGTTATAGTAGTTAACAAACCTGTTGGGTATGCTGTTCATTCAAGCAAATCTAAACCAGAATCTGAGACGATGATTTATGCAATTAGAAATTATGTACTTTCTAAAGAAAAAGAAAAAGAAAAATCAAAGAAAAAGAGCAAGCAAACCACAAACACATTGCCACTGAATATTAATTTAGCCCACAGAATGGAGTCACAAATGTCAGGAGTTCTTATTTGTGGGAAAAACTCACATTCAATCCAAAAATTGAGTGAACAATTTTTGCCAAATACCAACTTACAAAAACAATATATAACAGTTTGTGCTGTGCCAAACATTAATAGCTTAAAGAAGAAATTGAATCCCTTTTATCATTTGAAGGAGGAATTTGATGAAGATGAGGAAACAACTGATGATGAAGAGGGATCAAACCTTTCTGAAAAAGATATTTTATCTTCGTTTGGAGTTTCAAAGAAACCTGACAGGTTTGCTGATCTTAATCTTGGAGAAGCTGAGGAATTATTTGTTGATGACTATGGTGATATGGAAGAGGATGGAGATGAAGAATTAGATCTTCTTGAAGGAATGGGAGAGGAACATGAAACATTGGATTTATCTGGTGGATGGAAGGATATGAGAAAGGAACATGAAATGTTGAAAGAAAAGTATGAAAAGGCAACCAAAAATACCACTCTTACCCTAGAAGGAGATCTCAAATTTGTAATGCACCCAGAGTATAATGTTCAGGTATTACAAAGAGCTGGTACCCATGAACTTCCTAGCACTAAAGTATTGAGAAATATCAAGACAGTCGTCAATGTTCTAGAACTCAATGAGGATAACAGGATTGCTCTTGCTACAGTGTCCATCCCATCAGGTTCAGTCCAACAAGTTCGTTCACATCTGGCAACAAATGGCATTCCCATGTTAGGTGATTTCCCTTACTTTGATCAAGTAGACAATAGAATTCCAATTGGTTTGTCCAAAAACCTTAATGTAAATAAGATATTCTTCCATTTGTACAAAATAGTTTTCCAACACCCAACCAGTGGCAAAAATGTTATTGTTAAGGCTCCTCTCATGTCACCAATGAAAGAATTCGTTGAAAAACAATTCTCAGAGTCTGTGGTTGACAAATATATCAACTTGAATTCAGATGAAGAATAAATAATTTATTTACTTGTCAACACTCAGACTGAGAAGATAGGTTTTCAATGTTTGAATATATGTCTTAAGGGTCAATCTTTCAATGATATCATGATGAGATCCTCCTTCCAAAGTAATAAACTTATATTGATACTTTTTTTGTACATTTTCAAATAATGTTTTACCATGTTCATAAGGTACAACATCATCTTTAGTACCATGGAATACTTCTTGTATTAGATATTACTGAATTCCAATAAACTTACTAATTACAGGAGCATTTACATTAGGAATTCTATTAACATTAACAAACATGTCCACTGGCCTCAAAAATACAGATGTTGATACAATACGGCAAATACTATTAATTATAAATTGGCATTGATAATTCATCTTAATACTTACGAAACGAATGCTTAATATTGACATTAAATAAAACAAAATAAATCACAATTACTTACGACATTCCAAAATTAATCCTCTCACTGGATATTTACTTGCTAGGTAGCATGATGGCCCACTGCCAACGGATGTTCCGAAAATTACAATATCCTTAGGAGGAATATTTTGTGCTTTTGTCAAAAACTCATAAGCAGCTTCAGCACTTTCATAGGTGTCTGTTGTGACAAGGTTAGTACATCAAGTTCATTTCAGTTGAAACTACGTACCACTTTCCGAAGGTTGGTATTGATTTGCAAGACCATATCCAACATATTCATAATGCAATACATTAACTGAATAATATTATTCCATCATTATATATTATCCAATCATCGTCATAACCTACCATTCAAATGATCTCTTAAAACAACCAAAAAATCATACTATTATATTCCATTTCAAAATTAGTTACTACTAAATAATAAACATACCATCGCACCAATATCTGCAGCATTACCGTGAGAATAGATAATTGTCGTTGTTGTATCCTTGTTAGCCTTCATGAAATAACAAGGAATCATCTTCTTTGACTTTGTAGTCAAGAATGTAACAGGATAAGGATATGATTCATCATAGGTAGGTTTTGGTGGAGCAAACACATACGAAGCAACGACATTACCCATTTTCTTCTCTAAAATTCTCCTCGTACTCTGTTAGAGCTATTTTTTATTATTATTTATTATATTTGATGAGCGTGTTTGGAAAAGGGAACCTGTACAATTTCCAAGATCATGAGGGTGAGATATCTTAGATCCAAATTGAAAGACAATTCTTATTGGAAAACATTGAATATTTGAGTGTTGAGGCAATACGCCAACCTTAAATCAGTCTCTAGTTTCAATTCTAGTAATTTTGAAAGCTTTTCTAATGCTTTCTAAATAATGTTTAGTGACAATCGTTTCATAAGAAAAAAAAGAGCAAAATCTCTGTCGACGGTTTGCAAATCTTCCCAAGCAATTTTAGGGTTCGTTGGATTGTTCGCGCCTAAAACTGTAAAAAATGAATCGATATGAAGTGATTGATAAAATCGGAGAAGGTAAGGAATTTATTGTTTGAGGATGATGTTGTTTTTCTAACTTAATTATTATAGGAACGTATGGAGTGGTATTAAAATGTAGAGATAAGGAGACGGGAGACTATGTTGCTATCAAGCAATTCAAGGAAAATGATCGTAAGTTTCAGTACTAAGTAGACCAATATCACCAAAATTTCAACATATCATTGAAATTAAATAGAAAAGGATGAGGTAGTAAAGAAAACTACAATGCGAGAAGTTAAATTATTGAGGATTTTAAAGCACGATAATATTATAACGTTAAAAGATGTCTTCCGAAAAAGAGGAAAACTTCATCTAGTATTTGAATTCTTTGAAATGAATATGTTGGAACACTTATCACTGCAGCCTGATGGATTTAGTGAGGACTTAGTTAAAACATATATGCATCAGTTGGTGAGAGCTATCGCTTATTGTCATCAAAATAGAATAATACACAGAGATATCAAACTCGAGAATATCATGGTTAATAGTAACAAACACCTTAAACTTATTGACTTTGGATTTGCGAGAACAATACCAAAGAAAGATACTGAATTTACTGACTATATAGCAACTAGGTGGTATAGATGTCCTTCCCTCCTACTGGGATGTAAACATTACGGACCAGAAGTTGATATATGGGCAATAGGGTGTATTATGGGTAAGTTGTTATCATTATTTCAATTAATTTTAAATATTTGTAGCTGAGCTATTGACTGGGAGGCCCATTTTCCCTGGACAATCTGAAATAGATCAGTTATATTTGATACAAAAACTGCTAGGTCCACTGACGAAGGAACAGACTAAGATGTTTTTTAAAAATCCAATGTTTAATGGATACAAGTTTCCAGATATGACTGCTTGTGAGGGATTGGAACGAAGGTTTTTGGGTAAGGTCTCTAAAACAGGGCTAGCTTTTATGAAAGGTTGTCTGAAAATTGATCCAAAGGATCGATTTACAGCAGAAGATTGCATGAACCACAAGTTCTTTGAGGGTTTAGAAAAGAACGAACCAGTATTAAGTCCTACTACCCAAGAATCAACTCAAGATCTTCCTCAGGAAAGAGGAGTCCAAAAACCATCTCTTCAAACTTTTGGAAGCAAGGGAAATCTAGTGCACCAACAAACAAACCAACCATCCACAATAACTTATTCCGAACAAAATTCTGTAAATAGTAGAAAAAAGAAGATAATAACTCGACCAATTCAAGCTAGTGAAATGATGACAGGAAACCTTGTAGATGGCATGCCAGAAGAAAGTGACATTTATCAAGGAAATAAGAGAGGAAAATCTAGGCAATCTGGCAGAGACAGAGATGAAGCAACAACCCCTCCAAGGGCTAGCTCAAGAGCAGAAAAAATAATAGAAAAAAAGAGAAAACCTATTCAGATCGATCTCAATAAGCATGAATCGATCAATAAGCCATCAATACCAAAAACTGTACAGACAAAACCAGTGAATCTCAGCAAAATTGTATATACTAGTTCAATAGCGGATAGAAGAGTTAAACCAACTCCATCAAAACAATTGAAACAACTCAATCCTCTAACGGACTCTCCTCCACAAACTCTTAAACAACATAACTATGAAAATGATATAATTGACCAGGAAAATGATAATAGAAATATTCAAAGAACCAAGAAGGAAGTACTAAGGGCACCATCTTCAATCTCTGAAAATGTTAAAGAAGATACACAAGCTAGTATTTCTCCAAGAGCTTCAGGTGAAAAATTTCTTAAAACGAGGAAGAGCAAATCAAACTTGACATTAAGAAACTCCATCAAAGGAGCTACAGTTGTTCCAGATTCTTCTTACTCAAAGATGAATGTATCTCCTATCAAAACTCTTCCAAAACTTAGCCATCAACAACAAGGATATCCATATACTCCTAATTGGGGAAATGTAAATTCTAGTATTATATCAGAAAAAACATCAGGACGAAAATCAGCCTCTAAGAAGTCAACAATCCTTAATACTGATAATTTAGATGATTTGGAAAAAGAACTGTATGATCATTTCTTAAATGATCATTTGTACAATCCATCTCCTCCATCTTCATCAGAAGGTTCAAGACAAAACTTGTTTGCTTTGAAACCGAGAGATCCAGCAGTTTCGAATAATAATAACAACCCACAAAACAGGATGATTCATCTAAAGCCAATTCAAATAAACAACTGATGATTAGTATTACAAAACTTAAAAAGATATCAATCATGTTAAAAATTACAGGACTTTTTATGTTTACATAGATTTACAAATTTTCAGATCATTTAAGAGTTTATCTCCACATGTCGAAAGATCCAAGCAAACGACCAATTGATGCAGCACCACCTCTCTTGTTAGACATAGCATCCATTGTGAACATTTCTTCTCTCAAACCAAATGAACGAATAATATAAGCAGATGATGTTGAAATTTCTTCATCCATCCTCTTGAGACGTTTGGTAAAGTCAACTGTCTTTTGAATACTTCTATCAAGAGTTTGATTTGTGAAAGGAGAAACAAAGTTAGATGATTGACTGTCTTCTTCAAAGGTAACCATTCCGTCAACTTGGTTAATTCTAGCATTAATTTGACCATTATCAATCATCTTGAACAAGAGAGATTCGGCTTCCTTAGCATCCTTCAAACGAGCAGCCTTGGCAATATCAACCAAAGAGAGAGTAACATATGTTGAAGTAAGCTTTTGAATATTTCTTCTATTGAGAGCAGAAATACATTGCTTCATCAAACCCAAATTCTTTTCTTCCTTGAAAACTTGAGCATTTTCAGTCATGATCTTGAGAGCCTTTTCGACATCATTACGTTCAAAAGCAGAAGCAAAATCTAAATAGAGAGAACAGAATGTCTTCATGTGTCTATGAACCAAGTTTGAAGCATTCTTTGAAATACCCAAATATTTACCGTGTACTAAAAGTGAAACCAAAACAAGTTTCTTGGCACTTTCAACCATGATAGCATTCAAAGCAAGAGCTGGAATTTGCATAGCCTTTTTAGTATGAAGAAATTAGAAACTATTGTTGATCAATAAAACAACTACTTACAAGATCATAAAAATTGTATGCCTTTGAGTATTCCTTCATGCCAATATAGATCAAACCACCATAGTAATAATACAACAACATATCTCTTGGTGTAAGTCCAGTGATATCAGTGTCAATATCAAAGATCTTATTTTCAATTAAATTGTATCCGATCTTGTAGTTCTTACTCTTCAAACACAAACAGAGTAATTGACTGTGGACAGGAGTCAAAAATTCTGATGACTTTCGGAAACGTTGAACAGCAACTTGGAGGGTTCTAATACCTCTGCTTGACAAGTTATTATCTCTACACAATTCCATATATCTATTAGTAACATAAACAAATCTGTTAGCGGCTCTTCTAGTTTGTTCACCATCCATAGCTGAAACAAAACCTTCAACTTCAACCAAAAAGCTTTCATCAAGCTTTGGAAGAGTAGCCTTGGCGAAAAGTAAATATGTAATACCCATAGCGTGTTCATCAGGTCTCAAAGCTTTCAAGGCTGTAGAAACATGACCAGTCATTTGTCTCAACTTATCAATGTTAGCTTCAAGCTTCTTTTGGAGATCATCTAATTGATCCTTCTTCTTGCTTTGAAGGATGAGTGAAACAATTGTATCCATTATTATTGCTGATGATGATTATTTTTGATAATTATTTTTTGATGATGATCAAAAATTACGAGCCAACAGCCTGAGGAAGTGAACTTGTATTTTTTTAAATAGTTTTTCTTCCACACAGTTGTTCAAGAGAACATTAACTTATTTTTAGATCAATGGAACTCACTGCGTTGTAATGACCAATGATTTCCACTGTGTGGTGGACCTTACCTTATTTCACGCAGAATTATGAGAATTCTCAACATAATTTCTTGTTAATGTTTTTTTTATTCAATAATACTGAGAATGGCATCAGGTAATAATTTTGAAGCCAATGAAGTAAAGTCAATGTATCTGAAATGATTTTCACTCAACTCATTGGTAGAAACAAAGAAGAATGTGTCGCCATCATCAGGGGTATTGAAAGGTCGAATGAAAGTACTCATTTCAGAGTGTAATTGTTTAGCCAATTGTCTTTTTAATTGATCAGAGATTGTAACGTTGGTGATTAGAACTGTAAGTGTGGTATTACTTGTTGTGGTTTGTTCCTTCCTTTCTGTTGAATTCATGTCAATAAGCTCCTCAGTTGCATATCTCTTTTCTTTAATGGTTTGGCTCCTATGTCCAAGAACACATTCTTGTTTCTTATTGAATATACAACCAACTGGATTCAATACTGAAAATATTCCAATTTTCACTTGAACTCCCTTACATTCATAATATCCAAAGGCGCCTCCTTGACCTGAAGGTTCTGGAAGTGCATACAAATTATCATCTTTGGTTGTTAGATCATATATTACAGACATTTTACCTGCTCTTGCTCCACTTCCAGCGCCCACCAATCCAACAGGAAATGAATTAGTTGTAACACAATTGAATGCCTTTCTTCCCAAAGCAATGTCAGGAAAAACCAATTCTTTAAAAGACTTATCAAAAGAATCCAATTTAAAGTCATAAATAATAGCTCCCTTCACAATTGGTATTTGATTCCACATGCACGGATTTGATCTCAGTTCTGAAATTCCAGCCATAACTCCATGAATTGTCTGTAAGCCAAATAAAGATCCACCTGAAAGACAAATAGCATCCAGATAGCCATCCGAGACATGAAATAACCCTGGACTTCCTCCTCTAACATCAACAACACATGTTGATTGTTGATTCGGAAAGAAGAATACAGTGCAACCAGTGCTTGATGTATCATTGACTGAATAGTTGGCTACACCTATTTTTACAGAATCATCAAAGCCCAATATAACTTGTTTCATTGTTGATCTATTTTTTATTGGAACCTAAATCAACTTTAAAGCTAAGTTCAAGATTCAATTTCGTCATTAAAATCAATTCCTTAACAATTACAAAAAAAATGTTAAAATTGAGTTTTAATTTATTGAATCGGAGGACTAGTGCATTGCAATTGGCTAATTCATCAAAAATATTTCCTACAATATGTAATAATGGGAATATATTTAATAATTATCAATCTAATATTCCGATGATGTTATTCAAATTAAAATCAACAAATCAATCAAAATGTTTTTCAACCACAATAATTCAAAAACAAGAAATTAAAGAGGAGAAGGAAAAGGAATCTATGTTTTCAATATTTACTAGTACGATGCCTTCTCAGAAAGAATTATTTCAAATGTTTTTAACAATTTTAGCCTTGATGGGAGGAACAATGTTTATTCTTTCTGATTTCTTCTTGAATATTCTAGTTAGAAAATCTATGAAATTGTTGGGATGGAATGAATTGTTTGATTATGAATCAATTACTGGATGCTTTTTGTGTGGATCAATGCAAGTCCATAATTTAAAAGTGAAAAAATTATACCTGTCTCAAAATCAGTCATTGAGTGGGAATATTAATGATTTGTACATTGTGATACCATGGTATCTTGTGGCAAGAGAGGTCATTGCAAAGAAGTGGAATGAAAAATCAAAATCATTTCTTGCTCTTCCACGATTTGTTGTAATTGGAGGTGATCTAAATTGCTCAAATGAATCAAGTTCTCAATCAGTTGCAGAATCACTTGGATTTGATACTGTAATTGTGGAAGGAATGGGATTTTTTGATTTGAAAATCAATGGAGAAAACCTGTCAATTGACATTGATCGTTTAGAGATTTTTGACTCATTTGCATTCGAAAGGAATGCCTCTAATTTCCAATCACTTGCTCTGTATTCTAATGGAAAGTTTAAAGTGAATAATGTCAAAATTTTGAGTAATATTCACCATGACGATCCTACCAAAAACTTTGACAGATCCAAACAAGATGAAAAATCAGTGAGCTACTATAACTGGGTTCAAGATAATACAAATAACCTCTCTACTGAGTGGCTCTTCGAAGATGGTAAAAGCAGTCACACATCTGTTGCCGTACTATGTAAGAAACACAATCAACACAACTTTATCCAAATGCAAACTCACTTGTCCAATAATCCAACTCCTCACAACACCTTCAATATTCCTCCTGAAAAATTCCAACAATCACAAATTATTAACTATCTCTCCCAATACCTTCCCTCATTTAAATTTTAATTATTCCATCACCATCACCACAACACCATCAACCAAATAATTTAAATAATTATTATTTAATAAATTTTAATATTGTGTTTCAAATTGCTCATCCGTAACATCAAATAAAAATTTGAGATTCTCGTTTGATGAAAAAAAATGAGTAGCTACAACAATAAGAGAAACTTTAACAACAACGACAGATACAATAATAATAATAATAATGGTTACAACTCTAACAAACGAGGAAACTCTTCGGAAGGTGGTTATAATAACAGATCATCTTATAACAAGGGAGGTAACTCGTATAAAAAGAAGAGAATGGATAATAAAGAAGAAGGTTATCAATCAAAACCTAGAACATATACAAGAACTGATGCCGAAACAAATCCATATACAGGACAAACATACAGTGATAGATATTATGACATTTTAGAAAAGAGAAAACAATTGCCAGTTTTTGATGCCGAATCATCATTTTCTGAATTGGTTAAAGACAATCAAATTATTTTACTTATTGGTGAAACTGGTTCTGGTAAAACTACACAAATTCCACAATTTCTTGTTCATGCTGGGTATTCAAGTGAAGGTAAAGCTATTGCTTGTACACAACCTAGAAGAGTTGCTGCCATGTCAGTTGCTCAACGTGTTGCTGATGAAATGGACGTAGATTTGGGTGATGAAGTTGGTTATTCTATTCGTTTTGAGGATAAATCATCAGAAAAGACAATTTTGAAATATTTAACAGATGGTATGCTTTTAAGAGAAGCCATGACAGATCCTTCATTAAGTAGATATTCTGTTATTATTTTGGACGAAGCCCACGAAAGAACATTGAGTACTGATATTCTTATGGGTTTATTGAAGGAATTGTTACAAAAGAGAAAGGATCTTAAATTAGTTGTCATGTCTGCTACTTTGGATTCTGGTAAATTCCAAGATTATTTCGATTCTGCTCCTGTTATGCACATTCCAGGTAGAACTTATCCAGTTGAAATTTTCTATACAGAAAATCCAGAAAAGGATTACTTTGATGCTGCCATCAAGACAACTTTACAAATTCACTTGACTGAAGGTGAAGGTGACATTTTACTCTTCTTAACAGGTCAAGAAGAAATTGAAACAGCTTGTGAACAATTAACAACTGAAGTGAATAATATGAGAGCTGAAAATAAGAATATTGGAGTTTTGGAATGTATTCCACTCTTCAGTACTCTCCCACCAGAACAACAACAACGTATTTTCAAGGATGCTCCTGTTGGAGGAAGAAAATGTGTCGTTTCTACTAACATTGCTGAAACATCTGTCACCATTGATGGTGTAGTTTATGTTGTTGATCCAGGTTTCTTCAAACAAAAGATTTACAATCCAAGAACAAGAGTTGAATCTTTGCTTGTTACTCCAATTTCCAGAGCTAGTGCTAAACAAAGATCTGGTAGAGCTGGTAGAACAAGACCTGGTAAATGTTTCAGATTATATACCGAGGACTCATTCAAAGGATTGGATGAACAAACACACCCAGAAATTTTGAGAAGTAATTTGGGAAGTGTTGTTTTACAATTGAAGAAATTGGGTGTTGACGATTTGGTTCACTTTGACTTTATGGATCCACCAGCACCAGAAACATTGATGAGAGCTTTGGAAATGTTGCACTATTTGGGAGCTTTAAGTGATGAAGGTGATTTGACAGATTTAGGTGATAAGATGAGTGCTTTCCCTCTTGATCCTCAATTGTCTAAACTTTTGCTTGTCTCACCAGATTTTGGTTGTTCAAATGAAATTTGTACAATTGTTGCTATGCTTTCCTCACCAACTCCATTCGTTAGACCAAAAGGTCAACAAAGAGAAGCTGATAGTGCTAAGGCTCAATTCCAACATCAAGATGGTGACCATCTTACTCTTTTGAATGCTTTCCATGCTTTTGGCCAAAATGGTTATGATAAGAAGTGGTGTTTCGATAATTACCTTAACTATAGATCTCTTAGATCAGCTGAGAGTGTTAGAAAACAATTGGACCAATTGATGGCCAAGTCTGGCATTAACCGAGTAAGCGAAGATCACAACTCTGTCGAATATTATAGAAACATTAGAAAGGCACTCTGTACTGGATTTTTCATGAATGTTGCTTTCAAGGATAGATCCAACCATTATTGTACTGTCAAAGACAATCAAGTTGTTGCTCTTCACCCTTCAACAACTTTGAACCACACACCTGAATGGGTTATTTATGATGAATTCGTTTTAACAAATAAGCAATATGTCAGAACTGTTACAGAAATTGAAGGTGAATGGCTTCTTGATTATGCTCCTCACTATTTTGAAATTGACCATTTCCCACCTGGATCTGATTGTCGTGTCAAGATTGAAAGAATTCACTTACAACGAGAAAGAAGAAATCAAAAGAAACATAAATAATCTAGGTTTTTATTAAATGTACAGTCCAATTTTATTTACGCCTACTTGGAATAGCTGTGTCAAGTCTATGGAAAAGTTGGCTTAAAATTGCTTTTTCAGATACGAAATCTTGTTCATCTTTGAAATGGTTGATTGTTGCTTCTTCTAATTCCTCCCGACTACTAGCTGGTGTCACAGTTTTAATGTTATGATATCTTCTGTATTTTATCAATTGTTCTACTCTCAATCTCTTGAAAAATTGTTCCATCGGAATGGTTGGATTACTAATTGACTTTTTTGTAATTCTCTTTCTATTCATTCCCGATGATAATTGTCTCTTTAATCTTGGAACAGAGGTTGTTACAGGGATAACAGTCACAGTATGTAAAAATTGCACCTTGTCCGAGTTGATATTCTTCTGGATAATTTGTGCTTGTTCTTGTGTTGGAATATTCTCCAAGTTCTTTTCATAAAAGTCATCATCCACAATCACAATCTCCTCAGTATCATCGAAATTTTCATCTTCCTCTTCTTCATCACTTGCTTCACTCCATGATTCATCTTCATCATCTTCAATAAAGTAGCTATCATCGGATGCACTATCAACGCTCTCACTATCAATATTAATATTGGTTGGTAGAATTTTAGATAGAGACAATGAAGGACTCACAGATGGTGTAACATTAGTTATAGTTGGTGGTGCAAGAATTTGAGAGGAGGCAACTGATGCTGATTCAACGATTGTTGATGAAGCAATTACTGACGGAGAAGGAGATGGAGCTTTAATTACTACAGTTAAAGGTCTTTCACCATTATTTTGAATGATAGATGTATAGGTTTGTTGTTGTGGTTGCGGAGGTTGTGTTTGTGGTTGATTAGATGAAGATGATGATTGTGATGTATTTGTTGTTGTTGTTGTTGGAGGAGAGGCACTTGTCAAGGAATTTGTACTATTTGATGAAGTCATTCCACTTCTTTTTCTACTCGATGATGATGATGAAGCAGTGGTAGAATTTGTATTGGTTGTACTCGTTGATCCGGCATTGGAGTTTTGATTGGTTGAATTACTTCTTTTCCGAGAGGTGGATTTTTCATTCTTTGGTTTTTCATTCGCTAATAATATTCGTTATCAAAAATTATGATCATCATGATTAATTGATGTTGATTTTAAAAAAAACAAACCTGTATTTTTAGGAGGAGCTAGCCCCAGCAAGGCAATCCTCTTCTCCTCCAAGTGTGAACTCATCATTTTTTTTTAAATTTGATTTTGTAAATTCTAAAATTAAATCGTTAAAATATTTTCGTTTTTTTGATTCAACAGCATTGAACATTTAATTGAGATGGGATGGTGTCCACTAATTATGTTCAGTAGAATTCACTAAATCCAATTTGCTGTATCAACTCTCCTTCATTGATTCCTCTTTCCAATTTACTCTTAATATTTTCCTTATTAGTTATTTCTTTCCTTGCCTAATAGAACAACTTTGCTACATTAGGAACGCTAAATGGCGCATTCAATACATGAAAATCAACACCCAAATGTTTAAACTTGTAATTTGGCAAGTATAATTCAGGATATTCTCGTGTGATCCTTTTACAAAATTTTTCAAAACTAAAATCCAAACAAAATCCATTTTGTAAAATTGCTTCTTCTTCCAAAATATATTTTTCTTCAATTGTCAATTCTTCTGAACTGTATTTCAATGCTACTCCATTGTGTCTAACTATCTCAGACATAAGTTTCATGTCATGTCTAAATTCATTTGGAAGATAATGAGTTTCTAATACATTTCGTTTAACCAGCTCCAAAATAAATTGTTGATCTTTTCTTAATTCATTCGAAACAAATTCCATTACAGAACGTCCATTTGGTTTAGCAGCTTGCAAAAGAAATTCCCTATCATTACTAAACTCCTCTGGGCAAATAATTCCATACTGTTGAATCGCTATTAAAACTAATTCCTTATCGTGTTGTAGTTCGGTGGAGGCATATTTGAGTGTATATCCACTTTGTTTAACTGCTTCTAGAACTATTTCCTTATCATTCTGCAGCTCTTCTGAGGCATATTTGAGCGCGTTTGAGTGACTTTTAACTGCTTCCAAGACAACTTGTTTGTTATTTCTCAATTCCATTGAGGCATATTTGAGAGCATAATTATTTCTTTTAACAGCTTCCAAAACTATTTCAGTATCATTCTGAAGCTCATGTGAGGCATATTTTAGCGCTAACCCATTTTGTTTAACTGCTTCCATTACAATTTCCTTGTCGTTTTGAAATGGACTTGGTATTGTTTGAATAACAGTTCCGTCTTGTTTCTTAATAGCATCCAAAATATGCTGTCGTTCAATAATTATTGCATCACCGTCCAAGTCAAGTTGGTGTGCCTCTGTATTTTGCGTAATAGCTTTCAAAACGAAATCAGTATCTTGCTGCAATTTTCCAGAAGCAAACTTTAGTGATTGTCTGTTTCGTCTTACTGCTTCCAATACAACTTCCTCATCATTTTTCAATTCACTTGATGTACATTTAAGTATCCAGCCATTCATTTTCACTGCTTCTAAAATAAATTCCTTATTATTCTGCAGTTCTTCTGAGGTAAAGTAAAGTGTTTGATCATAGGTCTTGATTGCCTCCAAAATAACTTGTCTGTCATTTCTCAATTTCTTTGAGGCATATCTGAATGCTGATCCATTTCTTTTGATTGCTTCCAATACTATTGTTCTGTTGTTTTTCAACTCTAAAGAAGCTTTTGTGAGTGAACTTCCATGGAGTTGAACTGCTTTCAAAACAAGATTGTAATCATTCTGTAATGTTCGTGAGGCAAATTCCAATGCAAACGCATGTTGTTTTACTGCTTGTAAAACAATTTCTCTGTCATTTCTTAATTCATTCGACAAACAAGCGAGTACTGATCCATATATGAATTCCTCATGATTAATTTCTTTTTCCAGCACAAGTTTTATAAACTCCTTGTCATTTTTCAAATTTGCAGATGCAAACCAAATAGCATTTACATTATTCTTGACTGCCTCCAAAACAACTTGTCTGTCATTTGTCAATTCATGTGAAGCACACCTGAGTTCATATCCATCCTTCTTTACCACCTCCATAACAAATTCTTTATCAAAATAATATTCAATAGGAATAAAATCAGAGGGAATATTTGTTTTCCACTTGATTATTGATTTTCTGGTTAAAGTAAATTTAATGTGGAGAAAATTTGATCCGAAACTTTCATCAAGTACACAAGAAACAGCACTGCTTGTTATTTGTGGGCATTCTTTTAATTTCTTGCTGGTGGGTAGTTTCTCATCATCGAATTGCTTTCTTTTCATTTTTTTTAGGACTTTGTAAAATCCACTTTGTATTTGATTTTGTAATACAACATGATTGAATCAGAGATATTGAAAAAAGAAGAGAAATGGTTTTATTGAATGTGTATTATTTATAATTTATTTGATTTCATTTCCTTCACAAGTGTGTTCGAATAAGATTGTAGTATTGAAAGAGCTTCCTGCTTTGGTGATTGGCTCAATACATGCAACAAGTTTCTCAAATTGGAAAAGGAAAGATCACTTTCGTCCAAACCTTTGAGTTTGTATTGATCCAGTATTTCCTTCGCACTATTAATGAGAGGAGCTACATCATAATTATCATCACTGATACTGAATAATTTGAATATGTTGGAATATTCATTGTACTTGTCATTGAGCTTATTATTTTCCAATTCATAAAGCCACTCGTCATTTTCCTGATTTTTCTTAGCAATTATTTGATAAATAGTTAATACTACATTTGAAGGAATTTGAATTCTATCAAGTGGTCTTGTGATAAAGTTGTCCAATGGTAAATTCTTGTCATCTGTTATCATATTGACATTGTATTGACATGCAAGATCAGAATAGTAACGGGCACAATTTGGAACATCACCATGGACAGAGTAGAATCTTGCTGTTTTGGTCCCTATATTACCAACTTCAGCCATTCCACAGCAAATTCCAATTCTTGCCTGAATTCTATCATTTGGATCAATGGTCTTTACAATCTTATTACAACATTCGATTGTCTTCTCCAGTAGTTTGCCCTCCACATACTTTGATGTAATGGAGAATTCAAATTCATCACATGTAATAAACTGAATATTTGCCTGCTGTACCTTAATAATTGGACCCACTGAGGACATGAATTTCTCAAAAAAGGAAGAAATGAAATTAGTATCCTTATTGGAAAGACCTTCCAACTTGACATGTACAAAGGCACATCCCTTCTTTAAGTAACCAGTCTTGAAAATGGAAGGAGATTTGAATGATGAATTTCTTGCTAAGTGGCTAACGGCACTTCCTGAACTTAAAACTTGACTTGAACCCAAATTTGAACGTGACTGTCTTGCATTCATATCTTCAAATTCGGTTTCTTTCTTTGCATGCTTTTTGGTTTCTTTTGGAGGTGGAAGTGAAATTTCCTCACTTTGATTAAGCTGAGCAAAGACATGTTCTGGAATGAAAGCCTTAATTTCATTAAGCCACATGACTGTATCATTTAAATTACCGTAAATGGAATGAAATTCTCTGAATGGGGATGATTTTGTCATGTTGACATTTTCTAATTTCATGACTCGTATGAATTCGAATTGTTTCTCTAAGAATCTCATTGGACTTGCCACTAACCAACCAGTCAATAAACTTGCCACTAAACCGACAATGATAATTAGAACTGTCATTCCAACACTTATGGAAGAACTCATTACCATTGGGGCATTGACATCAGATTCGTATAAAACAAAGAAAATGTTCCACTCCAAATTTTCATACCTAAACTTGAATGGTGAAACAATATATTTCACTCCTTCACTTTCTACTGTCAAACTTTTCGACGAAAAGTTTTTAAAGGTATTTCCATTCATTTCGTAAAATTTCTTAATTGTTTTTCCCGCTTTTCTTGTCTCAATGTCAAAAATATTCGCAACTGTCGTTCCATCATTCACAGTTGTATTAATTGAACCACCAATTACAATTCCACTATTCAATGTAACAACCACATAACCATCACCAATCAAATCAATATTACTCGAAAGATACTGAACTATATAGTCAAGTGACAGGTTGATTTTGGCTAGACCAATAAATCTCTTTTTCGTTTGGTTTTTCCAGAGAAATTGATCATAGACCCATTGAGTGTAGGTCAGAGCAAATCCAGAACCAGCTGCAAAAGAAGGATCGCCAAATGCGCCTTCGCTTCCAGTGTCTCTGGTATAGTTTACCATAAATAGCCAATAGTCGAAAGTGTTAACTACTTGAGGAACAACTTTGATAAAGTTTGGAACGATTACGTCTCCTGTGGTGATATTGACTTTATCTCTGTAAGAAATTACTTGACCATAATCTTGTCTTACATAAACTATTCGAAAGGTCATTAATAAATCGTACGAAAGTTAAACTTACCCCAAAATAATGAACTAACAGTTCCCTGAACAGAAAAAGCATATCTATACGAATAGGTATCGTTGAAAAAGAAACCAGCTGAGGTGAAGCCAAACTCTACAATGATTGGATGTAAATAGTCTCTCATATTCGAAACTGTGACGACTCCCTTATTCCAGTCACGAGCCATCATTCTCGTTATCTAATTGTTCGAATAAACAGTTAGAAACTAAGATAAACTAGTCGAATCATCAACATTACCTTTCCAACTGGACTCAAAAAACCTTCAAGTGTTCTACTAATCTTTTGTGCAGATTCGTCTATCAAATTCGTATTCAAATTCTGAATCGAATAGGATGAAACAATGAAAGACGAAAGCCAAACTAAAAGACAACCACTCAAAATCAAAACAGAAATTGTTATCATGACAAATGCATGTAGAGGTATGCAACCTCCTTTCCTTCTTTTTGGTGTGCTTTCTAATAAACTAACGGATTCTTCTGGTACAGGTTGAACTTGCATTTTTTTTGATATGTACTTTTATATACGTCTCTGTTTTTCAAATGCAAACAGGAACAAGATATTGATACATTTGTCCATGTATGGAACGAATGTCACAGATTGGACGCGAAAGAAATAATTATGAGCATGAAAAATACAAAATTAAGGCGAGGGCTTTCAGTATCTGTCCCAAAAAATTACCCGCCAAAAAAATGGGACTGTAACTACTAATACCAATTCGCCAAGAGACGTATATAAAAGTACATATTCTTATATTGATGTTTGAAGATAGAGTCCAGGGTTTTGATTCGAATAATTGTAAAGAAGATGCTTATATATACCTATTTAATTAAACACTTTTCTGTTCAGATGAGGATTTAGATGACATACCGTTGAATTTTTGGAAAGTGAAAATAATTGTAAAACTAATTGCAGAAAGGGATGGATTTTTAGCACTTGAATTTAATGAAGAATTGAGAAACGACAGAGAAATTGTATTAACAGCTTTTGTAAACTTGATGAATTTTCAAGAAAATTTCCACAGCTGACAAGATCAATTCAATACTTAAGAGATTGGTCATTAGTTTGAATAGCATCCTCAATTCAATAGAAAGTTACTCAAAAAATTTCAAGATCATCTTAATCTTTTTGATCTTAATAAAAAAAATGAAACGAAAACGCACCTTTGATTCCATCATTTCCAAGCTTAAGAAAATCAAAAACCAAAACCATCTAAAATTGCTCCTTGATCAACAATACATTTCAGATTCAAAAGAAGAACTAGAATATAATATTGATTTTCTCTCCAGTGATATGACTTTTGAGGTGATCACATATTTAGATTCAGTTCAAGTACTAACAAATTGTATACTAGTTTGCCGACAGTGGTTTGACATTATTATGACGAGAATTAAATTTAATTTTCGGATTAGTGAAAGGAGAGAATGGAAGAAACTCTCTCAAAGTCATCAGAAATATATTGATCGGGTAGAATGTTTGCACTTAAAATATAATCTTTTGATTTTTACAATTATTCAGAAACGATTTTATAATTTACGAGAATTAGATTTGAGTGGACAAAATTGTTACAGGGAAGGTGTCAAGTGTTTGAAATCTTTGAAACATTTGACTGTATTGAATGTTAGTAAGACTAAATGCGCTAATGGTGTGAAATATATTGGAATGATTGAAAATTTAACAAGTTTAAATATTTCATCAGTGCATTTGGAGAACCAAGATGTAGAACATTTAAGTTCTTTGAAAAAGTTGACAAGTTTGGATGTGAATAACTGTAATTTGACTTTTGAAGATGCTGACATTATTAGTAGATTAAAATCATTAACATTTTTAGATATTGGAAATAATGATTTAGGACCATTAGGTTTGCTGCCTATTTCTTCTATGGAATCATTGCAAACCCTCCATATTAACAGAATTTGGATTGAAAGTGAATCCTGCGAAAGCCTTACTAAAATGATAAACCTGACAGAACTTTATATATCAAAGAATGATTTTGGAAATGAAGGACTTAAGTGGATTAGCTCTATGAAGAATTTGAGAGTACTTGATATTGGCAACCATTCAATTATTGATGCACTTGGTGATGAGGCAGCTAAACTAGTTGCCTCCCTTACACAACTTACATATTTAAATATTTCTCAACATGAAATCACCAGTAGTGGAGCAAAATATTTGACATCTCTTACAAAACTGACAACTCTTTTTATTGATGGAAATGAAATTTGTGATGATTTTTTAGACTCAATAAGCTCTTTAAAGGAGTTGACATATCTAAATATTAGTGGTGGACAAATATCTGTTAAAGGGGTAAAATCAATTTCAAAATTACCAAGGTTAACTATATTGGATATTTCAGAATGTGTTGGTTGTTGTAGTGAAGTGCTAAAACAACTTGGCTTAATGAAACAACTAACCAGTCTTCATTTGTCACTTACTGACCTAGTTGAAAGTGTTGAAGGTTTTAAATATTGGCACAAGAATTTGATCAATTTGACCTATCTAGAAATGAATTTCTGTGGTCTAGACGATAACGCAATCAAATGGATTAGTGGGTTGCCAAATTTGAAGTATCTAGACTTACAATCTAATGATCTGACTGATGATTGTATTCAACACTTGTTAGGAATGAAAAAACTGGAATATTTATCATTGTTTGGGAACAATATGACTGAAAAGAAAACCAAACGACTAGAGAAATATCTCAAAAAAGTTGCACATAACTCTGACAACTAGGTTATCCATCAGTGAGTAAATGGTATGTCCTTAGTATTCACATGGTTGTGGAGGAATGTTTCAATTCACCTAGCACATAGGAATGAGTATCCATTGAAAGCAGTACTTATGGGAAAACGTGTGATTCGTCCGAGTGGAAGTGATGTTGATTTCATTTGATCAACTTGTAATTCGTCAGAGGCTAATATAATTGCAAATGAATTCCGGAAACTGCTTCCAGCACAATTTCTCTATAATATTCTAGAGACATATTGGAGTGCAAATCCATGCTTTTTAACTGATTCTAATATAATTTCTCTATGCAATGTTGCAGAGATATTCAATCATTTGAATTGGATTGCTTAATTAGGGTGAAGAGTATCATTTGGTAAAATGTTTGCAGCTTTATCATAAGTTTAATTAGGCTTCCAATAAATAATTAGGTTTTATTTAACAAGTTACACAAAAACAAACAAAATTTACAAAGAAGGTGTCAATGATCTTTACATCAATTCGCATTTCTTCTCTCTTCCAGGAAATAACAATGATTTATTTCTATAATAAATCAGAGTTTTGAAAGCAATTTCTGCAAAGTCAGTCATGTTTCCTTCTCCAGTGAGTGCAGAGGATTCAACATAGGTACAGCATCCAGAAGAACGAGCCATTAATTCTCCTTCTTCAAAACTGATAGGTTTGGAGAAATTTCTGAATTTCATTTGTTTTAAGGATAGAGGATTTTTCCTTAAATCAATTTTACAACCCATTAACATTATTGGAGTGTCTGGCATGTGATGCTTAATTTCTGGAATCCATTTATACTGAATATTTTCAAAACTACTAAGCATTACAATACTAAAACAAAGACAAAATATATGAGTATCGGGGTAAATTAGTGGTCTCACTCTGTCATAGCTGTTTGTTGAAAAACGAACTCAAGAGCTCAATAATTAGAGTACTTACTCTTCCTGCCCTATTTTTGTTTAATTTTAGAGTTTACCTACACTCTACTTACCTGCAGTGTCAATTATTTCAAACTTACTAATAACCTCTTGTTTTTCAGAGTTATTCGATTTAATAGAGTAAGAAATGCAAGCGTCAAGGGCAGTGAAATATTCAAACATTTGTCCATATCCCAAATATTGAAGCAGAGATGTTTTCCCTGCTCCTCCATCTCCATTAATTATCTTTTTGAAATTATAAAACTCTTTCAAATTAGAATATTCAAACATACCAACTTTAGAACTGGCTTTCCATCATTATCCTCTTTGCTAATATTTTCCCTCAATAGTTCAAAGTGAGTTTCATTAACAGTTGATTTAATCTCCTCATAGTGATGATAAATATCCTTCTTTGTTAAATAACGATTTGATGCCAAACTTCTTCTCTGCTCCTCAGTTTCCTCCATTTTCCTATGAAATTCTCTCTTTAATCTTTGAAATGCTTGGTGATAATCTTTTTCCACTCTAAAATAGGGAGAATAGAAGGACTCCATCTGGTACCTATTATATAGTGGAGTTCTATAGTGAACATTTGATTGTGTCTTGTCGGGATCTTGGCTCATCTTGTGAACTTTCTTCAATAAATATTGTTGTTGTATTGTTTCATCTTCAATGATGAGAATATTAAATGATGTATGTACAAGACGCATGCATTCTTGAATGAAATCAATTTCTAAAAAACTAAATATTACTCTGTACATGTCATCATTTAACCCAAGAATTAGTGACATTTTTTTTGTTGTTCTATGGCAGTTCAAAACAACAAGCCATTGATATTTTCGAAAAGCTCAGAGAAAAATTCTTGTTGAACATCCCAACGAACAAAACCTTTCAATTTTCCTTAAAAGCACAACACCACTCAACTGCCTTTTCAACTGCCATCAAAGACTGTTTAAGCGATTATTCAATAAGCGAGCGTTATATTTTAACAACAACAACAACAGCAAAAACGAATAGGATGACTTCAACGGAAATTGTAGAAGAGGAGAATCATTCAAGCAACAAGGATGAAGGAAATATAGTAGAAACAACACTAGCTAGTCAGAATAATTCACCAAAAACAACGGGCATTGAAGAAGTGGACAGAGCAGAAACGCCGATTAATATTAATATTCTCTCACCAATTCATGTTTATGATCCATCATCATCTGCCCTATTAAATTATAATAATAATATAAATCATAGTAGTATTACGAATGCTAGAGGAGGAGAGGGTGAGGAATTGCAACAAATTAGAAAATCAATTGAGGCTATTCAAGGTGATTTGAGGACTCTCTCAACAACATCCTTGTCGGAAACAGTCGTTAGGAATTTACAATTATTTCTTCTTCAACAGGATAATAATCAAACATACATATCAAGGAATGATAAATATAATTATCTGAGGAATTTAGAACACCTTCTAAAGAATATGAAGAGACTAGAGGAGGCTCGTCAAGATGAAATAACCTCACTCCGAACAACTTACGAGGAGAAGCTTTCCCTACTGGAACAAGAGCTTCAAAGAAAGGACTCCCTTATTGAAGTCTTGACAAGGGTTAGTGATGAAAAGGATAAGGTAATTGAGAGTTTGCATTTGTATAATGGAGCTAGAGTTGTCACTCCGAGAGAACTCAGAGAAATCAAACAAGAAATATCCAACTTGAAGAGACAATTACCAGAAACTACTGAAACCTTATCAACCATTAAAAAGGATAGGAAGAAGGCTAGTTCCACAGATACTCTTCAAGGAAAAAGGAGCGTATTCAATTCATATAATTTAAAGGAGAAGAAGGATCAGAAAGAATTAAAAGATAGTCAAGTGAAAGATAGTATAGCAGTTAAAGATTTGAAGGATGTTAAGGATTTTAAGGATCTGAAAGAATATGTTTTAAATCCTAATCGATCGAGGAATGTACATCCTCTCACTGGGAGAAAAGAAAGCACAAACACAAGCAGTGCATTTCCAATAGTACATTCATTAGAAAGATTGCCAAATATTACAAAAAGGACCAAATGATTTATTGTATATCTTTGAATTTGTACAATTTGGAAATTTCACTCTTATTCATTGCATAGTTGTGAATTGAGATTTCATCAAGAAAACCTTTGAAACCTTCAAAACAATATTCATCATTTGAAGCACCAACATAGAGTCTATTCAAACCACAACCAAGAATTCTAAAATCACATTTTTGATCCTCTACAAGGATATTATTGATGTACTCTCTTAATCTATCACCAGAGTAGACGTAGGCAACATGATTCCAAGCATCCTTGTCAAAGAGTTCTTCTCGAGGGAAGCTTTCACTTGTTTCCTCTGGTTCATCATATATTCTCAAACTTAAACTGCTTCGACTGGCATCTGAAGTCAGATAACACTCTTCACTATCACTAATTAATGAAAGAATATCAGCAAAAATTGCTTCATAGTCAACTCTTGGATCTGCAGTAGAGTTAGTAGGAGTTTGTAATTCTGGTACAAGTGAAGGAGTCATATTTGGAGTTGACTTTTGTTTCAATTTAAATTCAGTAACAAGAGATTGACCTCTACAATCATAAAATTCAATCTTTTTGGTACCTAAACTGAAACCACTCTTTGAAATTATACTCTCATCAGTTAAATCCTTTTTAGCTTGTTTAGAATTACTGAAATTGTTATTATTGGAAATTATAATTTAAATACTTACGATCCTCTCTTTAAACTGAAGCTTGTATTCAAAGCAGCTAATGAATTCAAGCTCAATCTCCTAATCTTCTTCTCATCACTCAGACCACCAACACTCAATGAAAATGGATTTGGATTTCCTCCTCTTGGAGATGGTAAATAATGAGTGTTTGATGTGATTGGTTGAGCAGATAATGTAATAACTGGACTTGATGATTCATTGGATGTGTATAATTTCTCTAAATGTGATGCAGCTGATTCTGTTGAAAGTTGATGAATATTATTATTGTTATATTCTTGTAAGATGAGTGTCTTGTTACTTGTAATTGTACTCAACATGGAAAAATCCTTCTCTATTGAAGGACATTTAAACCAAAAACTAATTGTAAATTCTGTTAAATTTCTAGTTGGATTATAACTACTTTCCAAGTAATTGAAACCAGAAAAGTATGCAGATCTACTCCTTCCATTAACACCTTCTGCACTTTCAATATCTGAAGTATCTAAATTTTTAAAACGCAAATGAATACCCTTTCCAGATGTATCTCTAATAATTCGTGAATTTTCAATTGGTTCATCAAATCCATAGTGAGCTGTTTCAATTTTTTGAATCAATCTTTCCCATTTAATTTGTAATCTAATTTTTCCTCCTTTAATAATTGGTGTATTTCTATATCTAGGAGTATTGAGTGGTTCCAATTCAAACCAATCATCAAATAGAACATCTTCTCTAATTATTCTCATTGGAATCAATCGGACACATCCAAGAAATTCTGATTTTGACAACAAGTTATTATTCCACAATGTAATAATCATTGGTGAATTACGAAACAGTGGTTCAAATGTAAATTCTTGATTCCATTGTGGTGTTGCTGTTTTTCTACTTTTAGTTTTTTGAATACAACAATTAGGTGAATTTACACATAATTTACAAAATGCTATTAGTGTTATTGGCAATATTATTCATCATTTTCGACGCATACATTAAATTGTATTAAATATTATTATTGTAAATAGTATTAAATATAGTATTATTAAAAAAAAATATTATTATTACTATTACTTACCATCTCTATCACCAGTAAATCCTTTTCCCTCCACAACTATTTATTGTAAATACTATTTAAATATTACTATTATTTACCTGTTATTGTAATTCTATAGGAAGGAGCAGAATAGGGTGAAACTGTGTCATTCAAAGAGTCAGAGGCTGATTCGGATTCGGGAGCTAATGATGATGATAAATAATTAAAACATCATCAATATAAACAATTCAGTCGAGACTTACCTGATTGCAATGTTTTGAACATTTTTTGTGTTGACAATTAAATTTTGGCATGTTGCTCTGATGACATTGACAGGCGTTTGCGATTGGATATGCGAATATTGCTAACTTTGAAACAATGCATTGAATTGGTGAAGTAAAAATGCATCAGAAAGTATTGAGTAACTATTAGTCGTTCAGTTCAGTTCAGTGTCATGAGTGAAATATTCGTTTACTATGAAATTACATTGTAAAGTATTAAAGAAATAGTTTTGGATGGAATTGATTTCCAGTTAGAAAGTACTTCCTTTTTCTCGCAAGTGAAAGATACGTCGTTTCAGTGATAATGAACTTTCGAATACATTATTTAGTTGATGACTTTGAAGAGGATGTGGTACTCAGTCGTGGACTTGGATTTTTCGTATGCAACATCTTTAAATACTCTTCATACCAAGATCTATTAGGGAATGCCTGTAAATTATCTCTTGCACTTTTATCAAGGCCAAAACAATCAGTCAATTCTCCCTCTCGTATTAATCTTGATCCATTATCTGTGAAATCTTTCAGTATCTTGTTAAATATCTTTTCAAAATAGAGAGCTCTCTTTTTCCACATGGTTATTGTTACAATCTTGTTGATGGCTGCAGGTAAATGTCCATCAGAATATACAATGTGTGTGAAACGAGTACGATATGGACTAATCTTACAGACATAGTAAAAAATGAAGAGATCTGCATGGACACAATCTTTTGGTGTTTCGTATCCATTGAAGAAAGATGTGTGTCCAACGTTCACGTAGCCCTGCAGTGCTTGGTCGTAGATTGTGGTATGAGTGTGTGGAATATCTCTCTTCTTCATGCCAGGAACTTTGAAATCTAATTCACATGTTGAGAAGGTGAGGCCTAGTGTATTGTATTCTGATGGATCTGCTGATTCGTCAACATTCATTTGAGGTTTTCTTTCAGAATTTGGTGGTATATAGCCTAGTTGTCTAATATTCGAAACTGTTCGTCCAGGTTCGTCCAATGAAATGACATGTCTCAGAACTTTCCAAACATCTTCAAGGGGATAATCAAAATTACACACCACCTTACACATGTGCATTCCCTTATGTTTCTGATCTTCGAATACATAGGGTGTTTTCGAATAGTAAAATTGAGCTTGTGTCTTTTTGCTATTTTCAATAGTTTGCCAATCAGGCGAATCTTCCATCAATGAAAATGCAAAATACAAATCTCTATCAAAAATCAAATTAGTTACCAAATCTTTTGGTTTAAATCTAAAATCCACATGATAACCTCGTGAAATATCAACAGCTATAGCTCTAGTAAATGTTTCTCCTTGTTTTTCTAATAGAGTGTAAATTTGTGGAGATCGTGAAAATCTTGGAAATTGATCAATTCGTAAATCCAAGTTGACACTTGTTACAATATCGTGAAATAATAAATTTGGATCCAAATCATGAAAAACTTTGTGAAAAGATTCAAACTCTAGAATTGAACATGATGAAATTTCATCTTTCCATCGTTTCCATAAATCAATCTTGGGTTTTCCTACGTTTAATTCCTTTTCACTTTCTGGTTTTATAAATTTGTACATTAAACCTTCAGCCATATCGTATATTTCTCCACAGTGATGGTCAATTTCGGATAGATTAGGTTGGTTTAGTATCATATCGAATACACGAGAATATTCCTGTTTGTATCTTTCGTATTCGTCTAGAAAAAGAATGGACTCATCACTACATGCCACATTTTGAAGATAATCTCTGAAACATTCCCTCGCGAGATTGTTTTTCATCACTTCTTCATAAACTATCATGTAGTCACCTACATTAAAGCTTTTGCTTTTCTCTCGGTTGGCAAGTGACATATTTTTTAATATTATGATTACGTTTTTTCTAGTGGCTGTCAAACGAAAAGGCAAAATTACAGAAATGTTAAGCACACTTTTATGTGGGAACACAGCAAAAATTGAATGATGTGGACAAGGTTAGGTATCATTAGGGAAAAATTGACTCACAACTGATCATTTTTCAACACCAAGAAAATGGTAATTGACTTGAGAAAAAAAGAACAAGACAAATTACCTTTCTAATGTTGTGGACTAATTGACTGAGCACGATAACGGCTGTTTAGGACTTGTTGGATACACTCCAATACATTATCTTTTTTCAGGTTGTGATGGTTTAAAACAGATGTAAAATAAGGCATTTAAGAATCTGTTCTACGACCTGATTAAATTAACTTTCCATAGATACCATTACATAGGAACCACTGTAATTTCTCTTTATTCTTCTTTTGTGAAGGCGTCTTCATTACTGAGTGGAATAGTTTTAAGGTTTGATGTTACAGAGTTCAAAATAGAGTCACCACTAGGGTCATGGAAAGTAAAAGTGATGGAATAATTTCCTGAGGAATCCTTAGTATATTTACCATCAGCCTTTCTTCCGTCCTGTTCATTTAACAACTCAAATGTTGAAGCAGTGGAAGATGTGACAGCCCAAATCTTTCCAGACTTTTCCTTATACTTTCCAGAGATTCGTTCAGTTTTAACTTCCTCGGTTGTGGTGGTTGTAGTTGTTGTGGTAGTAGTAGTGGTTTCTGTAGTGGTGGTAGTTTCTTGTTTTGATTCTTGTTTTGTTTCCTCGATAGTTTCATTCAAGTCCACCTTTGATTCGTCTGCATAATCAAAAGTGGCCAAAGAAGCTTCGTATTCTTGAGAATCTTCAGTTTCTGCAGGATTGGTTTCTTCAGGTTCTTTCTCTAAATTACTTTGTTCTCCTTCATTTGGTTGGTCAACAAAGTCCTCGTTTGGATTGAAATCTTCTTCAAATTGTTGGTTATTACCTTCATAAACTTCAACTGTTTCTGGTTCCTCATCACTAAAATCGTCCTCATCAAATGACTTTGACCTCCTTACAGATGTATTTATTGGATAGTAAGCTCCTTGATTGATTGGTTGAAGTGCAGTTGTTTTATCGTTCATCCACTTTCTGGATTTGTTCCATTCTTGTTCCCACTTCAAATGGTTGTATACAGGTTGTTTGGTTTGAATTCTTTTAAGGATTGCAGAGTTTTCCTCTGTAATCTTTTTAAGATCCCTCCTTCGTTTATCGGAATTAAGACTACCGACAAACTTGAGATTATTATTCTTATTGTCTAGGTAGTGTTTTCCCATTATTTCTGTCATCTTATCTACAAGAATTCTATTGTCTTTACCTATTTGATCACCTCTCTCTGTAAATAATGAACAATGCTTGTTAATAACGCTCACTGTAAATTATTAAAATTACGTACCCTTTTCCAATTGCTTCTTCTTCAAATTGGATTTCAAGTGAGGGAAGGACTTCGGAGAAGAATTATCAATAGAAGGTTTAATTGTTGCTAAAGCATCCCTATGCTTTTTATAACTCCTCTCTCTGACTGCACGGGTACAGAGATGATTTTGAGAAGGCTCTGCTCTATACATTTTTTTTATATTTTAAAACTTAACGTTTGTTTGTTTCTAAGAAAGGTCGGTTAAGGGAGTAAATTTTGGAGGGAAATTATTGAAGAATGAATTTGCATTGATTGAATCAACCTTCACTCCAACTCAGCAAGTGTAGTACAACACTTAGTTCGCAGCTCGACTGAAACGCAAAAGCATCATCAGATGCGTAACTATTGTAATTTTCTATAATTGTTAATGATGTGCACACTTAATGTTGAACTGTTACAATTTATATTACCTCAATATTCTTCTGTTCCATTGGGTAACTTAATAAATATTTTATGTATTTTCTTAAACCTAATAAGAACAATTTTCTCGTCTGTACAAATAAACGCACTGCATAGACAAGGAACTGAATTTAAATAGTTAAATTAAAAAAATGGGCAAGAAATCATCAGGAAGCGCCAAAACCTCATCTGCTCCTACTTTGAATGCCAATGCTGGTGGTATTCACTTGAGACCAACACCAAATGTTTCTCTGACGGAAAGTGCTGTCGATGAATATAGATTACCTTTGAAGGCTTTAAATTATATTTTCTTTTGTTACTTGTTGACTGATTTATTAGCAGCTTATTTAATGCCGATCAGTGATTGTGATGAAACTTTTAATTATTGGGAACCTACACATTTAATATTATTTGGAAAGGGATTGCAAACTTGGGAATTTAGTCCAGTATTTGCTCTCCGTTCATATATTTATATTTTAGGACATGCAGCTTTAGGAAAAATTGCAATGTTGTTAGGATTTACTTCTTCAATTGATGTTTTTTATGCTATTCGTATTGGACTTGCATTTGTTTGTGCCTTTTCTCAAACTATTTTCACAAAGGGAATTTATGAAAGATTCGGAAGTAGAATTACATTGTTGACAATTGTCACCATGTTGGCATCTCCTGGTATTTTCATTTCATCAGCTTCCTATTTACCATCTACATTCTCAATGTATATGATTATGTTTGCTTTCGGAAGTTGGTACTCTCTTGCTACAACAGATGGTGAAAGATATGTTAAATATTTCTTCTGTGTTTTGTTTATTGGATCTTCAGTAATTATTGGATGGCCATTCAGTGTTGTTTGTGGATTACCAGTTGCTATTGATACTATTCACAAATTTGGATTTTGGAGAACTTTAAAGTTTGCTATTCAAATCAGTGTTGTAATTATTGCTGCTACCATTGCTGTTGACTTCTACTATTATAAGAGATTATTCTTTACTCCACTCAATCTTGTTTTGTACAATAAGGGTGAAGGAAGTGAAAGGTTTGGAGTTGAACCTTGGAATTTTTACTTTAAGAATTTGATTTTGAATTTCAATGTTGCTTTCCTCTTTGCTTTAGCTACACCAATTATTGCTCTTTTGCACTATTTTATTACCAACAGTTGGCATTCATCTCTTCCATCTAAATTACAAACTGCTTATTTAGGAGCTCCTCAAAGATGGTACATTCACTATAGATCTATTATTTTCATTTCTCCATTTTACATTTGGTTCACTTTCTTCTCTTCATTGCCACACAAGGAAGAAAGATTCATGTATGTCATTTACCCAATCATTTGTTTGGCTTCATCAATTACAATTGAAATGTTTTTGAGAATTATTGACATGCTTATTTTCAAGGGTGGTGCTGCTGATGTTACACTTGCAGTTCTCCGTGATTACAATGATGAACCTCTCCAACGTATTGATGACCACAAGATGGGTGCTGTTGGTGTTAAAAGATCAACTATTTCTTTACTTTTGGCCATTCTCATTGTAATTGCCATTGTAGTTCTTGGTCTCTCAAGATCAATTGCTAATGTTAGAAATTTCCAAGCACCTCTCAAGGTTTATGCTGATCTCCATGCAGAACTTTTAACACTTGAAAAATCAGCTCCAATGAATAAGACCAATATTCCAGTTAATGTTTGTGTTGGTAAGGAATGGTATAGATTCCCATCCTCATTCTTTTTACCATCATCAAATAAGTTCGATGTAAGAATTAGATTTTTAAAGTCAGGATTCTCTGGTTTACTTCCAAAATATTTTGCAGAGGTTGAGCCAACATCTTCTATTCCAACAACTATGAATGATGAAAATCGTGAAGAAATGGACAGATATATTCCTGAAAGCAAATGTCATTATATTGTAGATTTTGAAATTCCAGATCAACAAGAAGAAACATACTCCAAGTCAGATAAGTGGAGAGTTATTTCTAGTGCTCCATTCTTGGACACTAATCAATCTCCAGCTTTCATTAGATCTTTCTATATTCCACATTATAGTACTAAAACTAATGTCTATGGACAATATGCAGTATTCGCAAGAAATATTCCAACAAAGAACTAAGTTATAAATCAGCATTACTCCACAAAAATTCTCTATCTTCTCTGTCTTTAACATTGTTCATATGTTTGAAATATTGATTTTCAAATCCGTTACTTCTATCTACACCATCCCATCTCCAACCAGGCTTGATATTAAATCTATTTTCAGGATGTGGACCATCATAGAATTTCTTCTTTTTGGTTTTTGACTTTTTAGAATCTTGTTGGTTTTTCTTTTTTTCAGTAATTAATCTGGCCATTGGATCTTCTTCTTTTAATTGTTCTTTCAATAGTTGATTGTATGAAGAATCTGTTTCATAAATTGGTTTATATTCACCACTCTTGATAGAATCAAACTCTGATATCATTTCTTGACGTTCCTCCTGCTGTTTTAATCCTTTAGCCCATGTAATTTCATTTTGTGTAATCTTTTTTGTTTGTCTCTTTTTCTTTTTCATGAGTTCTGAATATTCCTCAAAAGTAATAATTTTCTTTGTTTCAGGATGTCTGTAGACAGTTTGATTTTCACTAGTTTCTTTTGCTGTACTGTGTGCATCACTTTTTGCTTCCGAACGTGTAGAACCTCTCACAGGAGACAAATCATCATCACTGTCGTGTCTTCTCTTCGTAACAGGCTCTCTAACAGGAGACAAATCCTCATCGTCACTATCATGCCTCTTTTTCTGTACAACTGATTCTTTTGATGGCCTAGGAGGAGACAAATCCTCATCATCATCACTATCATGTCTCCTCTTTGAAGGTGCATCATTCCTATTTACTACAGGTTCTCTCACAGGTGATAAATCCTCATCCTCATCATCACTATCATGTCTTTTCCTCTTTAATTGATTTTCTAATGGTTCGGAAGAAGAGCCAGTTGAACCCTTTTCTCCAACTTGATTCATCACTTCCTGTTCATCATCCACTTGATCATCATCTTCCTCATCGGAATCAGCCCTTCCGTAAGACTTTGGAATAATAATCTTTGAATCCTTCTCAACCTTTCTCTTCTTTTCCTCCATCCAAGAATCAGAAGATCCACTGCTACCAGTAGCAGGTTTCAAATACTTGGCCAAATAGGCTTTATCAGAAATTGGCATTTTTTTTAAATTTAAAAAAATTCATATAAAAATTAAATATTGAAAATGAAGAAAGTTTTTATTTACTTTCGTGTTAAGCTATACTAATCCAAGTGTGAAATTAAACTAATTTATGAAAAAAGTAAATGATTTTCCGTAAGCTCAAAGATCAAACATAATAGGACACTTCTTGTCAAATGAGTGCACACTTTCCCACCAATCACCTGCCAACCGTTAAAAAACAACAAATAAAAAAATGTCATCATCAACTAGCTATGATTTTGGCAGTCCCTTCAAAACCCCATCAAAAAGCAAGCCAGCAATAATTTATCAAGAAATTTCTGACTTGTCCTTTAATCAATTCTTACAAATTGGCCAACAACAAGAAATTGAAGAAATTCCGGATGAAGAAATTGCCAAAGTTGATGAAATGATGGATCTTCACGATACAGACGAAGAAGAAGATTTAATCCATGAAAAATCAGCAATTTTTGATGATGAAGAAGATATTCCTGATAGTCGTTCAACTCCAAGCTTTACTCCGAGAAAAGCTGCGTTTATTGCTAGGAGAGAATCACAAAGTGCAACTGTGATTGAGTTGACTAAATTAGTCAAGCAAATGAAGGATGTTTCTGATGATGCTAAATCTACCAATTCGAAAATTTCAACCATTTTGTTAATTGTTGTTGCTGTGGTTGCAATTTTGTTTGTTTCATCAAATAGACCTTATTGTAATGGTATGTTTCTTTTATTCGAAAGTGTTTGGAATTTATTTTTAATGAATTTATTGAAAATGACCTTTTGGTGTGATTTTTTAAATACTATTCGAATTTTAAAATTCAACTTCAACATGTTTTTTAAAATATTCAATAATTTAAAATAATGAAGAATATTCTTGGTATCCATGTCAACAATGTCCAAGAAATGCCGAATGTTCTCTATTTTCAATTCAATCATGTATTTCACCAAATTACATTGTTCATGATAATCAAGTTTGTGTTCGTAATGATAGTACTGGAATTTTGGGTTATAAATTTGCAAATATTGCAAAGGATCATCTTGAAAATTTAGCTTACAGAGTGGATTGTTTAGGAAATAGCAAAGTTAGTAAGAAAGTTAAAAGTGACCAATTATTTGACATGCTTATTGAAAAGACTCTTAAGGAATATTCACAAAATAGACCTGACACTACTTATTCACATGCATTCAATACCATGATTTCAATCTTTGAAAATAATGAGGATGTTTTCAAGATTAATGTTGAAACAGATCAAACATTTATTTCTTCCAGATTCCAAAGTATTGGTTCATGCCTTTTGACAAAGTATCATTTCAAACCATATAATCGTGAAAGAGATCCAAAAAAGACCATTACTGAATTGACCACTCTTAAGGAAGAAGAAGAAACTCAATCTCCACAAGTTACTGAACCATCTTCTGAAAAGCTTGTTGAAACTCCAAAACCAGAAACTCCACAAGAGGTTTTATCTGAAAATGTTAAAGAAGAAACTAAGCCAACCACCACACCTTCTGAAACAACACCAAATTTGGAAACTGAAACAACACCAAAAACTGTAGACGAAACAACCACTACTCCTCAATCTGAAACACCAAAAACTGTAGATGAAGATAATTCATTCTAAATGCATTCAAACATCAAAAATAAATTATAATTTCTCAAATTAAGCAAGAAACAAATATAAATTATGCCACATGTGCAACACAGCACAGAACGAAACCTGCGCACCGAAATCTTTCAAATAAAGACCTCAGAGAAGAATCTGATTTGTACAAAAGTTACAATATTAAAAACCCTTCGTAATCATCGTCCAATAAAAGTAAGTCTTTTTCAAGCCTCAACGCAACTAATATCAAAAACATAACAATGTACTTTTTGTGAGAGCGGCCACCAATGTTACAAACCACATTACCAATTGTTAATTATTGAAATGTAGTGTGGACACATTAACCTGGTACACTACAATTAAAATTTCGATAACACCGTGCTACAGTAATGAAGGATAATCATCCAGTCAACTGCCACTATGAATTGTAAATCATGATAAGGAAGGCAAGTAAAATCACCGAAACTAATTTGAGGGCCATAAATATGAAAATAGAGAGCCTTGACTTGATAAAGCTGTGAACCAAACAAGACTAGGTTTAAATATATTATCACGTATTGTAACAATGTGAAGAAACAGAAACTGTAACTGAAACCCCTTGTCAAGAAACATTTTTCATATATGAAAATGAACTGCATTCATGACCAATTAATTAGACTTGATACAATAAGACAATTTATCATCCAAATTCCTAACAAGAAGCCGGTAATCTTAAAAAAGAGAATCCAAACTAATCTCAGTGATAGTTCATTCCACTTGTCATACAATAACCCTTTTTGAGTAAATTTATGCAATACAATTTGTTTAAATTTCACAATGATGGCGTCTCATCCAACCTTTCTTTCATGTTGTTCTTCATTTTATTCGAATTGTTTAGTTTCCATCCGCACTTGAGTCATGCCAACTCAACAATAATCAAACAGAGACGCACCACATTTTAATTACAAGATATTTTACCTTGTTGAGAGTGCATTCAAAAAAAACAACAGAAATCTAAAACTTGTTTCTAACACCAGTTCCTGATTTGTTTAATTCTTCCACAAACAAGAATCAGGTCGTACCTACTGGATTGACTCGAATTTCACAAAGATTTTGATCCTCCTGCAATCTGTGTTACTACAGTCAACATTCAAAACAAATCATAGAAAAACAGTTCAATACAACGATAGTTATTGGAAAGTAGTATTCGAAACCAACTCTTTCCACATTTTGATATCAACATTTATATCTTTAACATAGATTAATAATAACAAGTAATTTAATTTGAAGAAAATCTAATCCTAAACACATGAATAATCCGAACGAAACAAACCGAAACCTTATCAGGAATTTAACCAAAGAAACAACCGATATGTACCCATTTGAAACTGAGGATAACAATACAGATTTCAACATGCACATTAATTCCCAAAGTATTCAGCAATATCAAAATTTTGGTCAACCTTCATGGCACTCATATTCCATTGATGGAATGACAGTGAGCGACACTTACCCATCAGAAGCACATACCGCATCGCACCAACAATCCAGAAATTCCTCTACATTCACTACACAAGGATTAAATTACAACTCTCATTCTGGCAGTCATTTGTCAAAAATTGAACGCAAAACAATCCCATCTGAGAGAATAGATACTTTTTCTGGTTTAACTAGTCTCTCTGCAACCGATAATATTAACGCACAAGCACTACCATCAGCATCAGCTACACAAAATACCTCCATTACTACTACTTCTCACAATACTCAATCATTCCATTCATTATTGACATTGCTCTATTAGAAAAAGATTCGCAACAAGTAGAAGAAGAAGAAAAATTGTCTCCACCACTAATAACCTCACAACAACTGCAGTTGCAACAGCTGAATTGGCCAATAATAATATTATAAGAAATCGATCAAATCAAGCCTCTTCCTCATCATCATCATTATCACATGTTAATCATCATCAACAACAATCAATGACAACAAATTCACCATCCAATAATAATAATAATAATAACAACAATTCAACTACTACCAGTTCTGCTACTGCTAATCAACAACATTCCATTCTCATGCAACATCATCATCCATTCTTTAATTCATCCTCCAGTAACAATCTTGTACTGATTGAAGGTCCTCTCCTCAACAATAACCAACCACAACATCATTTGATTCTCTCAGAAAAGTCATCTATTGCCTTTGAACAAGAATATGGAAAAAACCACTCAACTACCTCCTCCACCACTCAATCTTTCCAATCTCCACAACAACAACAACATCACCAGTTATTGATGAGCGCGCAATCAAACTCTTATCAACAACATTCAGGTAATGTTGTTGTAGGTAGTAATAACAGCAACAGCAACAACAACAGCAGTACTGTTATTGGTAATGCTACTGCCGCATTGTCATCATCATCATCAAACACCAGTAACAAGCCTTTCTATGAATAATAATAATAATACAACATTAACTACTTCTAATAATAATAATCTATCAATACTATCAATACTACTAATAATAATAATACTGTTGGTAATAATTGTCTAGGTAATACAAGCCATAATCAGCAACAACAACAACATTTCAATCATAATAATAGCCTAACGTCAACCATGCAACAAAATCAATTTCATGTAAACAATTTTCATAGTGGCATGGAGGATTCGTCATCTTTGGATAATTCACTCAATTCCTTTTCTAATTTGATTATGAACTCAAATAATAGTAATAGTCAGACAATTAATACTCATCAACAGTGTTTAGATGAAGCTCTCGAGGGAATTGATTTTCAAATTATGGATTTGGCTAATGAAGGTTTTCCTAATCAATTTTTATCAAGTACTAACAATGGTTCAGTGAATGATCATGTAGTTGATATGGATAGTAGTAATAGCAGCAGTATTCATCATCATCAACATGCAATAATACCATCTCACATGCCTTCACATGAACTCATCGATCACATGTTACTCAACCACAATAATATTACAAGTACTGCTACAATTGAACAAAAGCAAAATAATAAGAAGGAAGTAAAGAATAACTCACCTAATGATCAAGAGAATTCTGCTAAGAACATATATACTCCAATCACATTTACGGTTGATCAGTTGAGACCTCACTTTGAGACTCCAATCAAGAATGTGGCTGCCATGCTGAATATTTCATTGACTCAACTGAAGAGAGTTTGTAGAAGTAAGTATTTTCCCGTGTTGTGTCATGGTTACAATTATTAATTTCCCCTTGTGAAAATTACTTTTCTAAATTTGTCAACTTTAATACTTTTTGGAATAATGAACCGTTTTGTATTGGATTTGTAAACAGCTGTTGGTATTCCAAGATGGCCATACAGAAAGATACAATCGTAAGTAATAGCATGCCATTCAATACATGTTTATCCTCCTCTCACTAACTTTACTTTAGTTTGAAATCTAAAATTAATGAGAAGAATATTTTACTTGAAAAGTTGTTGAAACAAAGCAAAGTTATTATCGATCCACTTAAAAGACAAAATGTTGAGAATAGAATCATGACCATGAAGAATGATATTACCAATGTTGAAAAGCAAATCCAACAAATCAAAATGGATCCAAAATGTGCAGTTTCTGGTAATTTCGATAACAATTCAGATACCATGCAAGAATCAGAAGGTTCTGAAAACAACTCAATTACATTCCACAATCAAGTGATTACCAATACACATGTTAAGAGTGGTGCCATCATGGGACAAATGCGATCAGTTGTGCACAATGGTAAAACTCCACAAAGAAGAGGATCACAAGTTAAGGGTGGTTCTTCTTCTCAGAATTCTACTCCAACTACAATTGTTACAAATAATAATGGTGTTCCAATTATTATGAATCAATCACAACAACAAATGCAAGTTGACAACTCTAATGGAAAGAGAAAGATGAGAAGCGTAGAACATGTTACTCTCAACAATAATAATTTGTATCCACAACAACAACAACAAATGGATATGAAAAATGTTCAACAGCCAAACATGTTCACTAATAACCAATATGGAAATAGTATGCCAAACACTTCAAATATGGGTAACATGAATTACAATTTCGTGCAACATCAAGTGAATGCTATTGAAATTGATAGAAAGAAGAGAAAGATGAATGATGTATCTCCACCACCTCAAAACATGCAAATGACACCTACCTATCCAAACAATAATACCTTCATCAACTCTCCTGTAAATAATCAAAACTTTACATTCAATAATGCTCCAACTCAACAAAATGCTCAACAATTCTACTTTAATAATGGTAATTACGTACCAAATAATGGTGGAGATAATGCATACAATAATTTGTTGGCCATCATCAATAGAGGCGTAATGACAAATAACAACAATAATAACCCAACTACTACCTACTATCAAAACCAACAAGTGAACAATATGAATAATATGACACCTCAAAATAACTATCTCCAGAATTATTATTCAACAATAGGCAACAACAACAACAATAGTACATTCCAACAACAAACAAATCCATTCATCCCTAATTCTTCTTCTCTAAGCTCAACTGACAATAATAACCAATCTGACACTCTAGATTTGTCCAAAGCTCTTATTTCTCAGTCTGAAATATATTCCAATTTGAGTAAATTCCAATAAACCAACAAAATTTTGATAATAATAACCACTTTTTGGGCTTGAGCCTTACTTGACTGTTCAACAGACAGAATCTATTTATTCTTGTTCTTCTTGTTCCTCATCAACATCTTCCATTTCTGCTGCGTATTGATTCATAATAATATCTTTGAGATCCATTTCGTCATCTTCAAAATCTTCTTTGAAAGCATCTGGAATATCGAGTGACAAATCGTAATGTCTTGGATTTTCATCACTTGGTGTCATGACAAGAGTAGTCTTTGGGATTTTCTTGGAAGCTGGAATGGTCATAGCTTGAGGAAGCATAATAATTGTTTGTTTCCAGTGAGTTGGTGGAGCAGCTGGACTAGTTGAGAGAATGACCTTGTTTGGTTCAAAAACAACATCGAACCATACACAAAATCCATGAACATGTGTTTGAGCTTCTTCATCAGTGATATTATCCAGAGTAATGTGACATTCACAATCAATATATTTCAAATCATCAACAGTAATTTTACCCAAATCCAATTCCTTCACAACAATTGGATTTTTAAGCAAAAGTTGAGAAGGTGAAATAATGTCAACCTTTGGTTTTAAGGAAATTTCATACATGGCCATAGACATGATTGCACTCATATCAAATCCATAAACATCTTCCCAGAAATTAACCTTTTCCTTGTATAAATTATTCATTTCACATGGACTCATGTAAATAATGGCCTTTTGAGGGAATAGTAAACCATCTTGATTTAAATACTTGTCTCTAGCATAGAGAACAGAGTCGAGCATACCCTAATTAAATAACATTTTCCATTTCATCGTAATTTTCCATAATTTTCCATTAAAATTTGCAATAATTTGAAGCATTAAGAAGAACAATTTCAATCATTTTTAAATTCACAAACTCCAAAACCACTCACCTCATGTAACAAGTAGAATCCCATCCATTCACTAATAATAATATCAACCTTTTCAACAGGAAGAACAATTTCCTCAACTCTTCCATGAATAACTTCAATCACATCTTGCAATCCATTATGTTCAACAAATAATTTAGTAAAATTAGCCATAGGACTTGCTTCCACAGCATAAACTTTCTTAGCACCACCATATTTAGCAGCAAATAAACTCAAAATACCAGTTCCAGCACCAACATCTATGAAATTCAATATAAATTCATATATAAAATCACTCACCCATCACAATTTTATCTTTAAAAACATGAGCATTCTCCACAATTGATTTTAAATAACCATCAGTTCTTGGTTTATCCTTTATCATCAATTCATGAACTGAACAATCAAAATAAGATTGGAAATATTCATCATCTTGTTGTTCTCCGCCATTATCAGCATTAACTGTTGAAGTTGTCATTTTGTCATCATCTTCCGATGCAAGCAAATTGTTGGTCAATGTTTCATCATGATTTTCACTCATTTTTTTTTAAAATTTCAATATTTTAATTGAATGACTGTAAAATTAAAATTGAGATGCATTAGCCGGGAGTCGAACCCGGGTCACCAGCTTGGAAGGCTGGTATGATACCGTTACACTACTAATGCTCATCGAGTGTATTTCATCTCACTCGTATGTAATGTAGTGTTTAATTCTAAGACATTATTGTAAACTTAAATATAATAAATAAAATATGGGTTCGGTGTTTTCCATGCTCAAAAATTATCACAATATCCCCAACACCAAAGAACAAGAAAACTCAAAACCTTAGCTCATCTTCTGCAGATAACTTCTTCGAATTCCCATTAAATAAATCATAATAACTACAATTAGATCCTCGCCTATGCCAAGCTCTATTTGAAACCCCAAAACAATATTGAAAATGCCATAATTGTGTTCTCTAAATTTTTCATTTCCAACTTCCTCTAATAAGTTAATGTTATTGTAATTAAAAGATATTAAAAATATTTCAAATTCTTTAAATAAACCATTCAAATGAAACACAAAATAATGAAAGTATTGATCATGTTGTATCATTTTTTAAATATTTTTTTATTATTTTAATAAAACCTTAAATGTTGTAACACTACATTGAAGAATAAATTAATTTTATTACAACACAACATAAGTGCACTCCGAATTATGAAGGTTTAATAAAAAAATGGGAACAAACTATCCCGAAGATTATTCTCAACAACATCACATCACCACTATTAATCAACAACAAGAATTGGCAACAAACAACATGGAAGAAACCTCTTTACCATTGAAAGAAAATTCAAAAAGAAAATATTGTGTAATTGGTGGTTCGGGATTTTTAGGAAGTCATCTAGTAATGACTCTTCTCCGACGTGGACATGCAGTTAATTTGACAGTGAGGAATTTGGGAAAGGTGGAAAATTATGAATTTATAAAGAAGGCTGCTTGTCAGGAGGGTTTGGATGATAATTTGCAATTTTTTCAAGCAGATTTGGCAAAAGATGGAAGTTTTTACAATGCATTTTTGGATTGTGATGGAGTGTTTGCTACTGCGTGTCCACTTGATGATGCACTCACCAGAAATTCATCAGATCCAAAATCAGAGCTCTTTGATCCAATTGTAAATGGTGTGAAAAATGTAGTGAGAGAATGTGTAAAAATTAGAAAGGAGCAGAACGAGAGAAATGACTCAAGGAGATTGAAGAGATTGATTTTTACATCCTCCATTACAGCAGTATCAACAGATGCTCTTTGGGATTATAAATCAAAGAGTTGGCATTACTTTGATGAAGCAGAATGGAATGATAAGGCATCTCTCACTCAATGTACATATGCCTATTGTAAAACAATGTCGGAAAGGGAAGCTTTTGAATTATTGAAAGGAGAATTTTCAAATACTCAATTGGAAATTGCAGCAGTTCTTCCTTCGACCATGTTTGGACCATCAATAGGAATTAGAAAGAATATTGGAATGCAACCAATTATTTCAAGTATTGTAGATATACCAGCACATGTCAGATTATTCTGTCCATCTGTCGATGTGAGAGATGTTGCACTAGCTCATTGTCTAGTCATGGAAAAAACATCAAAACCCGTAAATGATCAATCAAATGGATTTTACATAGATCATGATTACTTGGCATCAAATCAAGAACGTGTCATTGTTCACAATAACACAATTTGCACAAGAGATATTTGTCAGGCCATATCAAAATATCCACAAGCTCTTCAAATTCTTGAAAAAAAGAAGCTGAAACTTCCCACTCAGATACCATTTTTAGAAAATACAATCGGAGATAAAATCCTATTGTTAGGAGCTTACTTAACAGGACCAAAACCTCAATATGATTTATTGAGAGGAATGGTTGGGAAGGAATTACATTTTTCGAATAATTATGTTAAAGGCAAATATGGATTGGAGTTTACAGATTTGGATCAAACAATACTTGAAACTGTGATGCATATCCTTGAGCATGATATGCACAAATTGTAAACTCTCTCACATATTTGATAGGAATAAGCTGTGGAAGTGGACCAAAATGGAATACAATTCATTGAATTCTTACTAAAATCGAATTCGAACACATTCTATGCCATTCATCATAGTTTAACTCTCATGGAATGAGTTTAATTCAACACAAACACTTTCACACTCAATAAGGTTTCAACTCACTGCGAACCAGTAGCGAACTAAAAAACCTGCTGATACTGTAAAACACGAGAATCTGTAGTGACATCTTGTGAACTACCAGTTCAAAAATTGAACTGCTCAATTCGTAAGTTGTACAATAAATAGAACTAATACTAGTAGTTGGTTAGTTCTCGTTGGAGACTTTTGTGGTGATGAATGCCATAGTGAAATTCACGAACTAAGGTGTAGGTCATATAAGCTTGACAATCCAAGGCTAATGTCTTATGTCGAGAGTAAATTTGAAGATTCGGCAAGCGGGTGAATTGACAATTTTATTTATGCGTTGTTTGGCGAACTGGGTCAAAGCAAACAAGAAATATTGAATTTTCATTTCAATTAACTAGGAATTGCTTATTTCTTTGAAATTTAGCTTACCGAGTCTTAATTGAACAGAATAGTTTAGTTTCTATAATGTTATTTTTGCTCTTACAGTGTACGAAATCCTCTTATTTACAATATTTTCCAATATGTTTTTTATTGTTTATTGTCTGTTTACAGTACGGTACCTTCCTTTTTCAAATTGACTTGATGATTGAGATGACAAATTCCGAGTGCCATTCTGGAAATATTCAATGCTATATATTTTCAGTCACAAATTTCTGTCATCTATTTCCTGCGATTGACAATTTGAACAACAATGTTTTTAACGCATCTTACTGCTATCCAGTACTCGAGGTTTCTTCAATAACATGTGCTTGTGTTCATCCTTGTTCACCAAATGAGCATCTCTTCCCGCACACCCCAAGATGAAGACATCATTAAAAAAAAAGTTAACGAACTAGCAAGAAGATGCCTGCAGGTACTGTGTTGGGTTCTTCAACTGTGTCTCGTACAGGCTTTACAGCCAATATTTCCCTCTTGAAGGTTTGTAGGATACTTAGTTTCGAATAGCCTTTGCTAATGCGTATTGATGGAAATATAATGTTCCATGATGGTTCTTCATGTTTCTGTAATTTTTAACATTGTTTCGAATATCATGTTTGTGAATCCTTTCATCTTCTTCAATAGGGAGGCACTATTAGTCAAACTGTTATAGGTGCTGTTATTTCAAGTCTTGTTGTTGCCAGTGTTGTTGCTACCATCTTGATGGTAACTTTGAATGCAACAGTTTACAATCCTGTTGCTGTGGATGATTATTATCAAGTTTATAAGAAAGTGCCTTCAAATTTCTATCCACTTTCTAATGATTATGATACTAGATCTTCAAATTTAACAATTCTCAATATTACTCAACCTGCTCATGGTAAAGCTGTGTTATCTGCCAAGAATACAATTGTTTACACATCAAGTGGAAGTTTTGCAGGAAATGATACATTAGAATATACCATCACCAATTCATGGACTGTTGCCACAGCAAAAATCCATGTCCAAGTTTTGAATCGTGCTCCAGATGTTGTTGATTTGCAATATACAGTCAATAAGAATTCAAAGAATAATAATTTTGATGTTTTCAACTTTGTTACTGAAAATGGAGGAATGACTTCTGATGTAGATGGAGATACACTTTTTATTACTTCATTGGGTGGTTCTGTTTCTGAGGGAAGTTCCATTTCATTTGATGAATTGTTTGTTTATTATACTCCTGCTTATGGCTTTAATAATGAAGAGCAGCTTAACTATACTGTATCAGATGGTTATTCCAATGTAACAGCTACTCTCAAGATTATTGTTGCAAATGATGCCCCAACTGCTGAGCCAGATTCCTATACTGTTAATAAGAATACCATGGCAACTTTGAGTGTCTTGTCAAACGATTATGATATCAATGGTGATAATATTACAATTGTTTCAGGTTCTACTGGTCTCGGTTCTACTGGTACTGTTCTTGTTGGTGCTCAAGGTGCTTTCTTGCAATATATTCCAAAGCCATTCATTTCAACTCCTGCCAGTGATGCTTTCGAATACACTATTACAGATGGAGCACTCACAAGCTCTTCATTTGTTTTTATCAAAATAGTCAACTTGCCTCCTTCTGCAAAGGATTTGACTATTGATGTTCCAAAGAATTCAAAGAATAATCTCATTGATTTGACTTTCTCTGATGAAGATATCTTGGATACTGTTACGTTGACTCCAACTACCAAATTGACTCGTGGTTCTTCCTCCTTGTCTGTTGTTACTTCTGTTAAAAGCGTTTACTATCCAAGTGGTGACTTTTATCAAGTTAATAGCAATGCCTATACTCTTCTTTACACTCCAGAGCAAGGTGTTGTCTACTCTGAATCCTTCAAAGTCAAAGTTAGTGATGGTGTTGATTCTGTACTTGCCACTATTACTATCAATGTAGTTCCTTCTCCTCCTATTCCAGTCAATGATACAGCAACTTGTCAAAAGAATGGACAAGTCACTGTCGATGTTATCAGCAATGATTACAGTCAATCTGGTGATGTCTTGAAGCTTAATTTTGTCTCTGCTACCACTTTGAATGGAGGTAAAATTACCAGACTAGACGATAACAATACCCTTTATGAACCAGCTCATGATTTCACAGGTGAAGATGTTGCTTCATACATTGTCATTAATACCAATGCCGATGGAAGCACTGAAGGCACATTCAATCGTACTGGATATGTAATTATTAAGGTTGTTAATACTGCTCCTGTTGCTGTTGCTTCAAGCTTTACAGTTTCAAAGGGTTTAACTTCTTCTATTAATCCAATCTTGAACAGTTATGATCCAAATGGTGATAAGATTACTTATAATAGTTTTTCTCAAAGCACGTATGGATTGTCTATTAGTTTCACACCTGGTAATGATTATGCTAATTATACTGCTTTGTCTTCAGTTTATGTTGACTATGTCGAATTTGATGTTGCTGATGTTGAAAAATTAGTTTCCAATAAGGCTGTTGTCACTGTTCATGTTGTCAATGATGCTCCTGTTCCAGTTGATGATTTAGCAACTGTTTCATGGAATAGAAGTGTTGTTATCAATGTTCTCGATAATGACAAGGATATCAATGGTGATTCTCTCACTGTTAACTCTGTTTCCTATACTTCCAATAATGGTGCTACTGTTTCAATTTATCAAGGTGGAAAGTCCATTCTCTACGTTCCAAGTAATGGATTCGTTGGTAATGATACCTTCACTTACACTTGTACAGATGGTATGGATGTTTCTGTTTCATCTGCCACTGTAACTGTTTCTGTTTCTAATACTGCTCCAGTTGCTGGTGATGTCACTGCTCGTACTCATTGGCGTTCATCATCTGTTAACATTCCTGTATTAACATCATGTACAGATGCTGATGGTGATTCACTCCATATTGCTTCATTCACTCAAGGTTCTAAGGGTTCAGTCTCTCGTGTTACACTTGGTGATGGAACTGATGGTTTGGTCTATACTTCTATCGAGGCCAATAACTTTGTTGGTACTGATTCATTCACTTATGTTGTTTCTGATTATGGTAAATCAACTGTTGGTAGTGTCAATGTTGAAGTTACTAATACTGCACCAGTTGCCAATGACGATTCATATACAATGCATTGGAGAATTTCCAACAAGCAATTAAATCTCCTTACCAATGATGTTGATGCTGACACTGATCCAATCGCTATCAAATCATTCACTACTTCTTCTGGATTTGCTGGTAATTTGGTTTTGGATTCATCCAAGTCATTTGTTTCCTTCACTCCAAGTTCTTCTGGTTTGGGAGTTCAAAACTTTACATACACTTGTACTGATGGTCCTTCAACAAGTAATATTGCTTCTGTTTCTATTACTGTTACAAATAATGACAAGCCACAAGATAAGACCATCTCAAAGACTGTTCACTGGAGCACTCAATCCACTGGTTCTGTAATTAACATTTTCAGTATTGCTCAACCTGTTGATAACGATGGTGATTCATTGTCAATTGTTACCACTCCAGATCAAGCTCCAGCACACGGTAGTATTACAATCTCAAATGGTGATGCTACTACAATTCCAAACGTTATTTACAAGCAAAATGCTGGATACTTGGGAAGTGATTCATTCAAGGTTCAAATCACTGATGGTTCAAGCTTTTCTATTGTCACTGTCAATGTTATAGTTTATGATAACGCTCCAGTTTCAAATGATATCTCTGAAACAAGACATTTTACTGATGTAAGCAATGGATATACTAAGAATGCTATTGCTTGGTTCAACGTCACTGATTCTGACTCTGAAGATACAGTTGTTGTTAAGGGAGCCTCAACTTCTAGTTGTGGTTCTGTTTCCTACACCACCTCCACTGTTACTTTCACTAGTGCAGCAGGAAGTACTGGTGTATGTGTTGTAACTGTTACTTTTACTGATGGCTTATTGAATAGTGTTGCCAAATGGAATATCGATGTACAAAATTCCGCTCCAATTGCCACACCATTCCCAACAAGTATTCACTGGACCAAGAATCAATCTCTTATTGATATTTCTTCAAGTATTTCCGATAGTGATGGTGATTCTGTATCTTTCTCAATTTCTGCATATGACAGCTCTTATGGTACTCCAACTATTAATTCTGATAAGGTTATTGTTTGGAATCTTCCAAAAACTGTCAAGTTAGGAGCTTCTCAATTGACCATTTCTTACACAGATGGTTGGATCAGTAAGACTGCCTCCTATCCTGTTACTATTCAAAATTACGCTCCAACAGCAGTTTCAAAGAATATTGTATCCAAGTGGTCCACTTGTGTTTCTGGTATTTCCATTGACATTTTGAGTGAATGTTCGGACTCTGATGGTGACAGTTTGGCATTTGATACCACACCAATTGTTTCAGCTCCATCACAAGGATCTGCCTCTGTTGTTTCATCCAAGTTGGTTTACAAACAATCAAGTGCTTCTATTGGAGTTTACTCTTTCACTTACAGAATCACTGATGGTATTGAAACCGCAAGCAACACTGTTACAGTCAACTGTACTGATAACGCACCAGTTGCAAATAGTGATACTGTTACTGTCCAATGGAATACTTCATTCGTTGATATTAATGTCTTGTCTAATGATATTGATGCTGATAATGATGCCCTCACTGTTACTAACCCATCATCTGTTAGTGAAGGATCATTAAGCATTGTAAATAATTTACTCAGATATACATTGAAGAATCCACCAACCCTTGGAGCCAAGACATTCACTTACAAGGCATATGATGGAGCTCTCTACTCCTCAGCTTCCACTGTTACAGTCAACATTGTCAATACTAATAAGCCATCTATCAGTGATCAATCTACATCTGCTCATTGGAGAACTGTTCAAACAAATGGAGTTTCTTACACTGTTTACAATACTCTCACAGATGCTGATGGTGATTATTATTCACTCTCATTCAACACTGGTTCCAGCTCTTATTGCTCCCTTGTTGATTTAGGAAATGGAATCAAGGGTGTTAAATATTTGAGAAGTGCATTTGCATCAAGTGATGCTTGTAAGGTTATTCTCTCAGATGGTTTTGAGTCATCTTCTGCCACATTGACCACAAACTCTTACAATAATGCTCCAGTTGCTGCCAATCTTACCTTGACCTACTCTGGTGGTAACATTCAATATGGTATCACTATTGACGTTATTTCTTTAGCAACTGATTCTGACATTCAAGATGTTCCATATTTGAAGATTGAGAATGTAGGTTCTTCAAGCATGTTTGGCAGTGGTGCTGCCCAACCATCTGACGGTAAAATTGTCTATTTCCCTGACCCAAGCTTAGTCAAGTCATTGGGTGTTGACACTGTTCCATATACCATTAGTGATGGATTGACTACATCAATTGGTTACTTGAAGATTAACATTACATCAACTTCTCCATCCAGTACTGAACAATACTACAATGTTCATTTCAGATACTCAAGTGTTGGATATGTATTCTTACCTCTCGATAAGCTTTCAGAGACTGGTACAACTCTCGATCAAACACCATTATCTGATCCAAACCACGGGGGTATAGTAAGTGTTTCTTCTGATTTGAAGACTGTTACCTATAAACCTTCTGGATCCTATTTGGGTAATGAACAATTTACATTGAAATATTACACAAGCAGTGGTAATAGTTACATTGTCTTCACCATGACTGTTTATGATACTGCCCCAACAGCTCAAGCAATTACAGGTACAGTCCATTTCGGACAAAGTGTTGCTTTCAACTTGACTAGTTACACTTCTGATGCTGATCCATTGGATGTCAATAACTTGTCCTTCTCAGCAGATACTCAACCAAGTAAGGGATCATTGTCTGTTTCTTCAAATATTGCCACATTCACTGCATCCAACACTGTTGGTGTTTACACTGCTAACTACAGAGTTTCTGACTCTATGAAGAGCTCAACTAGTTCAATCTCTGTAACTGTTGTAAACAACGCTCCAACTTCTCAAACCAAGACTATTTCAGTTCCATGGAGAACTTTCAAGGCAGGTATTGAAATTGATATCTTAAATTATGCTCCAGCTGATTATGATACTGATGGCGACTCATTGAGTTTGGTTTCAATTGCTTCTCAACCAAGTGTTGGTTCCGTAACTGTTTTGGATAGCAAGTCTGTCAAAATCCTTGGTTCTGGAAACTTTGTGGGTTCACTTTCATTCAAGTACATTGTTACTGATGGTGCTTCAAACGGTCAAGTTACCACAACTGTCAACTTGATTGTTTACAATACTGCCCCAGTAGCTGTTCCAGATAAGCTCACTACTCACTGGAACGTTGCTTCTTACACTTTGAATGTTGTTGCTAACGATACTGATGCTGAGTCTGATCCATTGAGAGTTACTAATGTTTATGGTTCATTAGCTCCTTTGTCACCAACATTTACCTCAACCAACATTACTTACTATCCAAGAACTGCTCCATCTACAGATACTGTATACTATACAATCACTGATGAGATTGCCACTTCAACATCAACTGTTACTGTTACTGTTACCAATACTGCTCCAACAACAAATTCACAATCATTTGTCGGTTCTTGGTCTTCAGCTAAGAATGGTTTAACATTTGAAGTTGTTTCTGCTTCTTCAGATGCTAATGGAGATTCATTATCATTACAATCATGCTCTTCATCTGTTACTGCAGCTCAAGGTAGTGTCACTTGCTCTGGAAATGTAAAATTCACTCCTTCCAGTGGTTTTGTTGGTAGTATCAACCCAATCAGTTATATTATCACTGATGGAAGAGATACAGTCACTGGTACTGTTTCCATTACAATTTTGAATAGTGTTCCAACAGCCAATACTACTGCAGCTTTCAAATATCACTGGAGAACTGTTTTGAGTAATACTGTTATTGATCTTTCTTCCTATCTTAAGGATGCTGATGGTGATGCTGTTACCTTAACTGCTGTCACAAAGACACTGGTTGGTGTTGCTTCTCTTGGTTCAGGAAACACCATTAACTATAAGGTCAATAGTGCTTACACTGGTACTGATTCCGTTACTGTTTCATTCACTGATGGGTGGTCCACTTCAAGTGCAACATTCAGCATTGTTATCTATAACAATCTTCCAGTTGCTAAAGATATTGTTGTATCTGGTCACACTTCCTCAATTTCTATTCCAGTTATTGGTAGAGCTGATTCTCTCAAGCCAACTGATGCTGATACTGAGGATGGAGACTATCTTGTTATTTCATCATTCACTAATCCAAGTGCAGGTACTGTTGCTTTGAGTGGTGACAAGAAATCATTCACATTCACCAATTCTAATGGAAACTCTGCATCACAATTCTTCAACTATACTGTAACTGATGGAATGGGAGTTTCTGCATCAAAGGGAATCTTTGTTACTATTTCCAATAGCGCTCCTACAGCAACTCCATTAACATTCAGTCGTCACTGGGCTAAGGTTCAAAGTGGCCTCAGTATTGATTTGATGTCTGGAGTTACTGATGCTGATGGTGATTCATTGACCATTGTTTCATTCACTCAACCAAATACTGGTGCTGTTGCTTCTGTTAATTCCACTTTTGTCAAGTACACACCAGTTCCTCTAACTGCTGGGTTCACTACTTCATTCACCTATGTTGTAACTGATGGTTTCTCAAGTGTTACCAATACTGTTACCATTACCATTACTAATACTCCTCCTGTTGCTGTTGATAATACATTCACTCAACACTGGACCAATAATACCTTGTATTTGAAACCTGTTTTGAACGATTATGATGTTGATGGTGATTATATTTATATTAACAAGTTATATCCATCAAGCTTAGTCAGTTCATACAATGGTATCGGAGATTACATTGTTATTTCTAAGGGTTCAACCATTTGTAATAACTTTGCCAATTTGGTTGTTCCTGGAAGCGTTGCCACTGCTGGTTTCACTGCTCAAGCTCTTAAACCAACTGGTACTTTGAGTGTCAACAACGCTGCCTACTCATCTGTTGTTACATCTGCCTCAAATCTCTACCAATATCTTTCACAAAAGTCTTGTGTTGCCTCTCTTGATCAAAACTTCCCATCTTCAGGTGTTTTGTCATTTACTCCAGGTGTATATTGTTTCTCTCAAGGTCTCAATGGAAATGGTAAAATTGAATTGAGTGGAAGTGGTCTTTTTATCTTTGTTGCCACCACAAATTTGAATGCTAACTTTAGTTGGAGTTTCAAGAATGGTGCTAGTTACTTGAACGTTTTCTGGATTGTTGGCGCTGCAGGTATTCAAGGTACATTCTATGGACATGTCCTTACCTATGGTCAACTTAACTTCAATGTTGTTAACATGTATGGTGTTATCATGAGTTTGGGTTCTAATTCTTTGAATTTGAATAATGTTAACTTTGGTAGTGCTCAATTGCCAACAGGTAATACCGCCCTTGTTTTACAAAGTGATTTGGTAACTGTTTTCTATATGAATACCTTCATTAATGGTCCAGGTACTGATTCATTCCAATACACCATTACTGATCAAATTGCCACCTCTAATATTGCCACTGTTAACCTTGTTTTTACCAATACTGCTCCTCAAGCTACTTCATTCTCTAAAACTATTGGTTGGAAGAACACTTTGTCTTTGACAAATGTTGTTTCTCAATACTGTTATGATGCTGATAGCGATTCATTGTCTTTGTTTGGAGTTGGTCAAGGTTCATATGGTACAACAACTGTTTCGGATTACACTACTGGATCTCTTGTTTACACACCAAGCTCCTCAATTTCTTACACAACCACTCTTTCTAATGGAACACGATATGTTACAGACTCCATTAAGTTTAGTTGTTATGATGGTGCTCAAGTTGCAACTTATGCTACCATGTCTGTAGTCATTAGAAATACACCTCCAACTGGAAGTGCAAAGACTACCACCATTGAAAGAAGTTATTCCAATCCAACTTATACTTTCACTGATCTATTGACAGGTGCAAGTGATGCTGATGGTGATACAGTTACTGTTTCAAGTGTTAGTATGATTACTCAAAACACTGGTGCCTCTGTCTTGTTGAACTCTGATGGATCTGTAAAGCTTACTTATGCTACTACTTATTTGGGAACTTTGCAATTCTCTTTCACCTTGACTGATGGTCAATTAACTTCAACCTACACTTACACTGTTACAATCACTGGTAATTCTTTCGGATGTCTTGATTACACAATTTCCACTACAAAGAATTCTGCTGCTACTCAATTTGAAGATGCTTTAAAGACAAGTTTAACAGCAAAGGTTGGTTCTGAACCAGTCACAATGGCTATCACTAACACTGCTACTCTTAATGGTGTTGGTTCCATCTCATCCTCTACTGGTAAATTGACATACACTCCAGCAAGTACCTCATCATCAAATAGTGATTGTTATGCTTCCTATTCTTTGACAAACACTGCTGGACAAACTGCCATTTGTAAGATTATTATTGCTCAACCTAATCAAGCTCCAACCTTGAATGCTTACACTTATGTCTATTCAATTTCTAGAGCTAGTAATAATTATATTTCATTTGATTATATTTCTCTCTCATCTTCAAAGGATGCCGACACTGCAGACACTCTAGTTTTGAAGAGTATTGCAGATGTTGGAACTTGTAATAGCACCGTTCTTCAATCCTTGACAATTGCCAGCAATCAAGTCAAGTTTTTGAGAGTAGCAACATTCCTTGGAAGTTGTAACTTTGTTTTAGCTGTTTCTGATTCTGATGCAAGAAATCCAATTACTAAGAATGTTCAAGTTGGAATTTCAGCTCTTGCTTCTCCTCCTGTTGCTGTCAATGACTTTGTATCAACACAATTCAATACCTATATTGATATCTCTGTATCAAGTTTGTTGAGCAATGACTATGATTCTCTTGGTGGTACATTCACTTTCACTGGAATTTCTTGTCCATCAGGTGATTCCTCATATTGTACATCAGGCACTCCAGCCATCCTCAACCCAGCCGATCCTGCCAACAATAGAATTATCAGAGTTTATCCAGTTACTGGAAGTTGTAATACTCAAAAGTTTGTTTACAGTATCCAATCAGATCAAGATGGTACCTCAGCATCAGCTGTTGTCTCAGTTCAATACACCAAGTGTCAATGCGGTCTTAACTTGGATATCATATTTGTTATTGACGGTTCTGGAAGTATTACAGCTGATAACTTTGTTAACATGAAGAACTTTGCTTCCAATTTGACAACAGGCTTTGGATCAAACATCTCTCCAACTGGAACAAACATTGGTATTATTCAATTTGCCTCAACTATTACAACTCACTTGGATTTGAAGTCTGGTACAAGTCAATCTAGTGTTTTAACTGCCATCAAGAATATGGCCCAAATTCAATCTGGTACCAACTCAATTTCAGGTATTAATACTGCAGTTAATATGATGTTGGCCTCTGGTAGAAAGTCAATTTCTCAAAAGTTATTGATTCACATTACTGATGGTCTCTCAAATGACCCATGCTCTTGTGGTAGCTGTAGATCAACCTATTCATCAAATCCTGGAAACTATGGTGTTTCCCCATCCTATTGTAAGAGCCCTCGCTTCCCAGGCGCAGATTGTACTGTTTGCTCGTGGTATGATGATAGATCTCGTTGTAATCCATGTTCTGATGCCACTGTTAGATCAGTTGATATTAACTCTTGGTCAATTGGTGGCTCTAATAATGCTGAAATGTCACTCTATGGCTCAGTTTGGAATTGGAGACAGCTTGCTATCGGAATAGGCTCTGCTGTAACGGATAGTTATGGTCAAATTCAAGTACAAAAGATGAACTATGATCAAAATAATCTTGTCTTGGTAAATTGGAACGATTTGAGTAACATTTACCAAACCATTATTGATAACTCATGTAATATTGTTGACACATCCAAGACCAATGTACTCGTTCCATTAGCTAGCAGTGGTTACTCTGTTAAATATTTGGGTAAGACCTCTTCTACTGCCACATTCTTGAACGCTTCCTCTCCAGTTACTGTTTTCACATACAATATTAGTGTTGCTACTGGATCACCTGCACTTACTAGATTCACTCTCGAATTACAAGCAGGATACAACCAAGATGCCTTCCATGATTATTCACCAAGCTTCCCTGTTTACATTGGTGCTGATCAAATTACTGGACTCACTGGTTTCACCTACTTGTCATTGCCTAGCTCATACACTATTGCACCAGGTTCCTACAAGATTTACACACTCAAGATTGCAGGAGACATTCCAGAAGGTATTATCAAATTTGGCCTTGCTGGTGGTTCTCAATATTCTCAAGGAACAATTACAGGTCCATCAGGTATCATTACTGCTCCTTCAACTCTACCTCCAAAGGTCAACATGGTTGATTATCCATGGTATAGAAAGATGAGCTGTAGTACATCATTGGGAAGATGTTATTACTTTACCAAACTTCAAAACTATTATGCCGTTGAATCAATGAGTAGTTTGTGCAAGTATTTCCATCCAAACGCTTCATTGGTCCAAATTCAAAGTGCCACAGAAAAGACATTCTTAGCCAACAATCTCCTTCCAAAGAATGAAACCAATGCCTTCTTCTTAGGTACTAAGGGACATGAAATTTCCCAAGGCTCCTTCACAACTTGGTCCGATGGAAGTACCATTGTCTATAAGGATTGGTACAGTAGTTATTATCCAGCATCTGGTGATAGTATTACCTATGCTTACTTTATGGGATCTTATCCAACATATGGTTGGTGGGCTACTACTACTCCTGATGGAGGTATTTATGGTTTGGTTTGCTATGTTCCGATAGGACTAGTTAATTAACCCATATATCTTAATAAATTATTGTTTGTCAAAAAATTGTAATTTTTTTTAAATTCAATGGCCTTAATAACAATATCCACAGTCTTGGCAAAAAGAATGGTGAATCTATCTAGCGAGAGTGGTGATTCTGTGATGATTGAACTAATTTCTTGTGATAACAGCCTTTGTAATATTGATTAGCTCTTACCTATTGAACATGTTCTATTCCTTGATGGACTTAATTGATTTCTGAGCCAGTTTTCTTTCGTGGAACCTTTCATCAAGACTAAGAAAACCGTACATTGATTTAATAACAAGATAATTTATTTTATAAAATATCTTTGAATTTAAATTTTAAATTAACTTTAATTAATAATTTTATTTACTGGTACAATTCAAACATGAATTTAATACAGAAACCCTTAAAGTGAAAACTCAATGTCAGACAAAAGACTTTCGTGCAAGGATTTAGAAAGCATATTCTTGAATCTAACTTCTGATTTTCCAGAAATGAGACTATCATATTTGAATACAATAACTCTGTAATTGTAACAATCCGAAACAAACAATTCACCTGTTATACTATTCAAAACGATACCAAATGGAGTGTTAAGTTCTGCCTCACCACTTCCTTTCTTACCAACGCTTTCTAAATATTCTCCATTCCAAGTGAATATCTGAATTCTATGATTATCAGAATCTGAAACAATTAAATTTCTTGTAATTGGATCTACAATCACTCCTCTAGGATAATTGAGTTTTCCAATCGATTCACCGTTCTCTCCAATCTTTCTAATTAGTGATCCATCAGTTGGTGAGAGGAATTTAATACATCCTGCGTCTTTGTCACAAACAACAAGAGTTCCCAAAGACATTGTGACATCAGTAACAGCTCCAACTTTAAATTGTGTTACAAGAGAGCCATCCACACATGAAAAAACTCTCAATAATCCGCTATCTCTCTCAGTAACATATACTTGTTTCTTTTCCTGATCAACATACAATCCTCTAGCACTAGATAACGTACACGGACCTTTCCAAATCAATTGTTTTGTATCAAGTGAATGTTTTCTCAAACCGCAATCTCCATAAGAATCAGAAGTTGATATAATACAGGGTAATGTACAATCCGGATCAGTATAATCCAAGGCTACATAATAACAATATCCTCCTACATTAACATCAAACATTTTCTCTCTAGTGGTCAAGTTGTGTACCATCACCGTACCACTTGAATAATTAACTAATAATAATAAATTATGTTTCAAGCATATCTTTACATCAGTGATGAATCCCGAGTGTGCTATCGTTGAAATGTATTGAAAATGGCTCTTCTTTGCTTGTTGCATTTTTTAAAATGTTTTAATAATAGATCAAGTTCACTCATTTAAAAATTTGCAGTTTGGCGCCAGGAATTGAACACATGATTGCATTTAAAAAGAAGAAACAATGTTAGACCTATGAAGTTTTGATTCACTTCCAATAGAAATTAAATTTATATGTTTGATGCACAATAAGAGATTTATTGAAAACTTAATTGATTCAATCTAATATCATACATATTAATTGTGGTATTGTTCTTTATAAATTAGGTGTGTGCTGTGTGGATTTACAATTCTGCAAATACTTGAGAGTGAGTGGAATAATTGTCAGCCCTCTTGGACTATTCACATTGATTGAAATGGAATATTTCAAGAGGGCTCAATAAATCAATAATCATAATAGCTAGAGTATTCATTGCAGTAGGTTTCTTTTTTTTTGATTGAACAAGAGACAATTTCATTCACTCTAGCTCACTTGCTATCTATTTATATTTTTGGTAAATGTAACTTTCATATTTTGAAGCTCACACCCAAACATTTAATTTTCATAGGAGCAAAGATCAATGTTGTACATGAGCTTTCACTTTTGTTTGAGATGTAAAGTGATAGAAGCCAGTAAGGTAAGGTTGAAATGATTAATATTCCAGAAATTAAGTAAATTGATGGCTACGGCCATATCACGATGAGTGCACCTCATCCCGTCCGATTTGAGAAGTTAAGCATCGTCGAGCCACATCAGTACTGAGGTTGGAGACAACTTGGGAACCTGTGGTGCTGTAGTCTTTTATTTGGTTTTTTAGAAGTTGCCAAGGAATTATGTTCAATCTTAATGAGAATAAAGGTCAAAAGCAACAAGAGAATAATCATGAAAAGAAATTGTAGAGTTTATTCTACCTCAAGCGTTTTCAAGTGTTTCAATTGTTTTCTGATAGATTCAACTCCTTCTTCACTCACTCTACATTTGCTAACATTTAGTGATGTTAGTTTTTTTAAATGACTGATATATTGAGCTCCCTCGTCACCTATAATATTAGAACTAATATTCAATGAGGTTAATTGACTCATTTCACTAATAGATTTTGCTCCTTCTGTTTCAATTTGATTGTTGCTAATATCTAGATGAGTTAATTGGTCCAATTCTACTATATATTTAGTTCCTTCATCAGTTATCTCATTATGATGAATGGAAAGAGATGTTAAATTTTTCAATTTGCGTAACTGATAAACTCCCACTTCATCAATGTCACTATATGAAACATTAAGAATTTCTAATTGAGATAGCTCACTTATTGATTTTGCTCCATAATTTCCAAAGAAATTATTGCTAATATCGAGACTTTTTAAATTCCTCATCTGACCAATACAGTTAGCTCCCCCAACACCAATACCATCACCATTTATATTGAGATCAGTCAATTGATAAAGCTCTGTAATTGACTGGCATCCCTCATCACCAATTTCGCACTCAGCCACATCAAGCTTTGTTAAACTTTTCATTGTACTTAATAATTTAGCTCCGTCTGCATATATTTGATTAATACCAATATCCAGAGAATGCAATTTATCCAATTTAGTGAGATATTTTACCTCTTCTACTCCAATATCACAGTATCTAATGTTAAGTTCTCTCAATTCTCTCAATTCACTTATCAATTCAACAACTTCATTCTCAAGATGATAATTATAACTAACGTCAAGTTTTTTTAAATTTTTCAATTGACAGATGCATTTGGCTAGCTCAACAGTAATTTCACTGTTTTTACCAGCATATGTAGCAAATATAAAATTAGATAATGAAAGATCGGTCAATTGATGCATCAATCTCAAACAATCAAAGAATTTCTTATATTGATTTGGAATTATTCCAAATTTCAATGAAATTATATTATCGATAAATGAACTATTTCCAAGCTTTTCTAATCCTCCACTGTTAACTTCTTGTCGGAAATTAATAGAAAGTTTTATTCCCTCCTTGATTACTTGACGAAATTGTTTTGAAATTAAAGAACAATTTAAAATTGACCAAGAATCAAGAAATGATAAAATTTCAAAACAAATGTCATTGGAAAATATATCATCAACAAGTATTCCTTGATTATGAGGTGATAGTGTAGACGGTTTTTGATGTGGATTCATTTTTTTTGACAAGTTTCATCAATCTGTTTTATTCGAAAGTGAAAAGTTAGTTTATTTACAACAGTATTATTTTGCAGGTTTCATAAAGTGTGCTGCCATCATTTCTAATGTCTCTTCTGGTGGAATATGCTCTTCAATCATGGTCAACCCATAAATAAATGGAAATTCCAATACTTTCTTTGAATCCTGTTTGCTACTCAACTCGAAATATTGAATTCTTAAACTCTTAATTGAGATTCCATCTTTAACTTTGCTCAATTCTTCCAAATATTTAGTAATTTCAAGTTTACTCACTTTCCTCTCCAAATCTCTCTTCATTCCAATCACCAACATGCAAGCTCCACTTTCTTTTAATTCCTCATTCAATGAATTAGAATTTAAATATTCCACTTGAAAAGTTTCAATTCTACTTTTCATTTCAAAGAAAGATTTCACATCGCTCAAATCAAAACAAAATGTATAAATTCTCGTCTCCCTTAATAATGGTTTGAGAAAGGGAATTCTCTTTTCTTTACCTGAACTATCCCAAAATTGTAATAACAAATCTCCTCTTTCAGAAGAGGTCTTGAATGGAATAATTTCTAATGGTGTGTAAAGATGGGCATCAGTTGGAGAGTATTCCAGTAATGGATTAAAATCTTGATAATTGTTAATAACCAATTTCATTAATTCAGATTTTCCACATCGTTCACTTCCTAAAAGAATAGTTTTGATTCTTTCTCTATATGAAATTGTGTTGCCTCTGTAAAATGAATTTACAATGGTTGGAAGAAAGTGTTTGTAATAAAAAGAGATGGATTCAATGGGCGAATTCAAAACTGGTTTGAACAACATGTTTGGTTCATCCTTTTCAGTTTCGAACGATCTTACATTCCACACTTTCGAATTTTGAATCCAATAACTTTCATAGTTTGTACAAACTCTTCTCATTTTGATTAATTCTCGATGATTTAAAAATTTCAAAATGTGAATAAACACTTCTTCAGGTAATTCCCTCTCAAATATCGAACAATTCTCATCATTGAAAACTAAACTCTCATCCGAATGTTGATAATTATTCTTGTATTTCCTATTAAAATAGTATTTAAATTCCATAATTGGAGCCATCTCAAAATTTCCCAATTTTTGCATCACAGCCAATCTTTCATTTTCGGAACATTTTGTTGCAAGTGGTGGCGGGTAGCTCGGTTGTGATTGTCCCATTTTTTTTGATTAAAAATTTGTGCTCATCTTGAGACTTTACAACGAACAATTTGGAACTTTTTTAACGAATACTTGTTGTAAACTCTCACTTTTTATTAACGAGAACATTATCGAATTTTCCTCTGAATAATAAAACCATTACGAATCCAATGATTAACAATGACAAATCCATCCATAAAATGATATTTGATGAATTTGTGACCTCGCTCTGTAAGACGTTTACAATCACGAGAAAGATAACACTCCAAATGGTACCAATTGCACTGGAAATTACTAAGGAAGTTGCTGGGTGGACAGGATACGTAGAATAAACAAGCATTTGAGAAATTAAAGGTAAACTTGGAATGGCCGAAACTCCAATCACGACAAATGACAGGTAAACCATAGCCAGTGTGAAATCAGTCTTTTCCCATTGCATGATAACTGAAAAACAAGCAAATCCAATACATGCTGTGAAACTGCTTATGCATGAAATCAATTTAAACCTTTTGGTCTTGTCAAATAGAATACTCAATCCGAAACATCCAATCAAGACGAAAACTAAATGAACAAGACCGATATTTGCATTATCGAAAGTAGTATATCCTTTCGGTGTGATCAATTGTTCAAGAATAGCCAAAGTTTGAAAGACTGAATTGAGACACGATGATCCAATGGTCAACATGATGAAATGAGGTGAAGTCAGTAATTTTTTAGCACCTTGCCAAATGGTTTGTTGTGGATAGATATCCTTTGCATTGCTATTTGAAAATGGCTTTTCCCCATGATGCCCACTTTCAATGGCATTGAATTGTCCTTCATTACTTTCTGAATTAATGGTCAGATTGGTTCCTTCTGTTGGTTCTTCATCTTTTTCTTCAGTAGAATCAATTGTTTGATTTTCCTTAATTATCACTGGTGGAGTTGGTGGCTTATCCTTAACGAAAATTACAATTAATACAAGACATGCACTTGCAATCACAGCTTGGAGGACTAAATAAATGATCATTCCGATTTCAGAGCCTCGCATTGCAGTTTGTCCCATTGTAATTAAGCTAGGTCCGATTGCAAATGAAACTCCGCCTCCGATAAGTCCCATTAGGAGAGTTACTACTTGAACGAGGGTTCTTTCCTTATCGCCAAACCAGTTTACACTCAATAGACCAGAAATACTGTGGACGAAAGGTTGTCCAATGGCAATTAAGGTTTGTCCACAAAATGCAATCCACAGATAAGTTTCGCTTCCTTTCTTATATCCAAAACAACGAATCCACATTCCAATAAATGTCAAGACACCAAATATGATCATACACCATCTCAGTCCATATCTTTTCATTACAAAACTAACTCCCCATGAAGTAGGAAGTTGCACAATAAGAAATATCATACTCATCATATTAACTTTCCAATTCTGATGAGGAATGTTATAATACTGCATGATAATTGTACTGTTTTTCAAGCATTTTCATTCATGCACACATGTAAATGCATTGAAACATCATGCATGTTGAATAATATTTAGCTCAATGTTGCCAATTATTAGAAACCTACCCAACAGCAGAAAATGTTGATTGTGCCAACACACTGCTAAACATTGCCAATGTAAATATCAACAAGATGACCCATCTGACCATATACAATTTCGGGCCATCCTGATTCCCTCTGAAAAACCTGATAATTTTCCAATCCCTCCATCCGCCAAAAATAGAAATTGATTTTTGACTTTTTTCATTAATCTCAACTAAAGATGAATCAGCATCATAATTCTCATGATTAGAATTCATGGAAATTGAACTGTTTACTTGTTGCATTTTTAATAATTGTTGTTTTCCATTCAAAATTCAAACTATGAAATGCAATCGAAAATAGTAAGCGGACATGGAGACAGTTTCTAAATGGAAGGGAATTTGAAATTATGTACAGAAAATATTAAGATTTAAAGGAATGAAATACGATTCTCAAGTTCAAGGATCTGAATTTGAATTGGAGGAGGTACGAACAGATTTTGTGTTGCTAGTTAGGACAAGTGGTTGTGCAGAGAGCCAATGACAGTTTTTTGAACGAATTTGATTTCGAATTCCCACAAAGTTTCTAATAAGTGTGCAACCTTTACAACTAGTAATTATACCAGTGCTAATAATCCTACAACATCCTCATCAACGAGTAATGGTTTCAGTCAGTACTTTGGTTATGCAATAACATAGATGAATGGAACAAAACATAAAATTTGCCGACACCAGGGATCGAACCAGGGACCTTAAGATCTTCAGTCTTACGCTCTCCCAACTGAGCTATGTCGGCTTCTTGTATTATACACTCAAAATCTAACATATGAACAATAAAATATATATTTTTCACCTATCGTCATACATCCTTCTTAAGGACCACAAGAAAGAACTTTGTGTTGAATAAATAATAATTTAATTTCTTACTAGATTGTTGCAAAAACTCATTTAGGCCATTTCTTGGTAATTCTTCTTACCCATAGCACCCTTGATGAGGTCAACTGGCAACATAACACCATCAATGAAGAGGAAAGGCAAATCCTTCCAGAAGGCGAATTGTGGAATAGCTTCAGTACCAGTCTTTTGCATCTTGAACTTCAAAACAAGGAATCCAATGATGAAGTAAAGAATGAAAGCAACAAGAGCCAAAGTCATGATGAGACCACCAAAACCATACCAACCCAATGGCAAATCATCTTCTGGAGTTGGAGCTGGAGCAGCACCTGGACAAGCAGTCTTAGTCTTACCACTGAATCCGTAAGTGATAATACCACCTTCCTTGCTTTCACCAGTGAAAGTAAGAGTTGGACGATCAGCAGCAGTAGTGTCACAAGTCAAGGAAACAGCCAATTGTCTGGTAACACCATCAGTGGCAGGAATACCAGCGTGAACAACTTTAACACCAGCATTTTCATCGGCTGGGTTGAGGAAAGAGATCTTTGGAACACCCTTTTGACCTATTGGGTAGCAGAGATTGTATTGCTTGGCATATTGGTATGCTTGAGCATCAACAGTACAAACAGCAGTACTTGGGTTGGTAACAGCTCCACAAATATTGCTAAACAAGAAGATCATCGTAAATTAAAGATCCGCATCAATCATATTATTATTTGTGTACAATTATCAAAATAATGGCCATCATCACAATTAAATATTATTATTATTAATTTTTTTATCCACACACAAAGACAAACTTACAAGTAAAAGTTCCAGTTAGCATCAGTACCAGCGACAGTATAACCAGTACCAGCGACATCAACGGAGGAAAGTTCAATGGTTTTACCAGCGGTTGTTTGAATTGAACAAGAAGAGGCAGCCAAAGTCGAGCTTACCCACAAGGTGCAAACGAGAAGGGCAACAAGTGCGCGTGCCAAAATTTTCATTTTTTTTACAATGTTGATTTTTTTAAGAGGTTGCTGCTAAAGACTCCTTTAAATCTTTCCGATTGGAAGGTTGTTAGTAGGACCATCATCATGAGCAAGTGGAAGATAAGAATTATTGTGGCCTTTTGGAGGAAGAATCTAGATATTTTGTTGTTGTGAATGAATCATTTGGCTACCATTAGAAAGTTGGGTTCTAATGATAATAGCTTGTTCCTTCTCTCTAATATTGGTAGTTGGTGGTTGATATCTTGCGGAAGAAGTAGAAATTATCATCACACAAACATATAGATAATCTAGATTCTTCCCATGAATGGATTAATATCATTACAAGATATGCTAATTAAATTCAATATATTAAGGAAGAAATACTTTAATGGCAATATTACATATTCCATAACCATCATCAAGTCGTTTTCATGATGACGATGATGAAGAAGAAGAAGAATATATCAGTTTGTTATCTCCCCTAGCAAAAGTGTTGCTGCTGGTGCTGAATAATAAATCCTTAATAAACTAACTCCACAATAAACAAGGAACTTTGACTCTTATTAGAAGAGGAGGAGAAATAACTCCGCAGAACTCCTTGATGGTGTTGTTACTACTAACATTGTTTTTCCTAGATCAAAGTTGAAAGGAATTCAAATAGAATTCAAAGAGATTTCCAGAGAATCTCATCTTTTATTAGATCAATTATTATTAATAATTCTTTACAACTTGCAACATCAAATCTTTATTCTAAACTTTACAGAAGAAACTTCCAACAGAAATAATCTCAACATCATCTTTGTAAAACCCAAACTTCACACCATTGACCCAAATCTAGCGTATTTCCATATCCATTCCTCATAATTCGTCAAACATTAGTTTCCTTTAGTTTCTTGCATCCAAATTCAAAATTCGTGTCACTTTTCTTTGAGCATGAAAAATACCAAACTAAAAAATTGTGTTTATTACTCAACAGCATCGTTATGACATCAATTATTCATCATACAACATCGAGGACGGTTGTCGATGAGGATGGTTATGAAGATGAAGTTTCGTCTATTCCTATTGAACTAAACAATTCGAATAATAACAAACAACAACAAGAAGAACAAATTTATCAAAATAATAGAAATTCGTCATTTATGGATGGAAAGAAAAATAATTCACGAGTAGAATCAAAATCGACAATTTTATCACCATCACCTTTGGAAGAAATGTCAGTTCCCTATTACGAAACTGAAAATCCATTAAAGAATCGTATAGGAAATATTGTAGTTTCTGATATATCACCTCGTGGACATACAGTTATGGATGAAAGATCTAAAAAAATGGAAAGAAGAAGAAGTTTACAAAGTAAAATCAAGAAACCATTTAGAGATTCAGTCAATTTGGATTTGGATGATTTATCTTCATTGAATTCATCAATGAGTTGCAATTTACAAATATCAACAACAGCAACACAACCATTGGTGAATGATAATGGAATTGGTCAATTGCCAACAATTCCAAAATTAAATTTAGGACACATTGAAAGTTATAATGAAAATGAGGATGTTTCGAGTTGTGGATTATCTGATTGTTCTGATATTGAGCTCAATTCTCTGGATACGAAAAAGACGATACTTTCTAATATTTCAACTGAAACTTCCTCAACTGTAAATACACCAAAACCAAAATCTACTGCTAGTATTATTGCAAAAGCAAAGAGACCACATACTGCAAGAGAAAGTAGGAGAGAATTGCAATATATTGTGGCTAATAATTGCTCATCACCGATTGGAGAAGATTCGAATGGGACTTCAATGGATAAGAAGAAACAAATTGCTAAATTACTAACTAGCTCACGATCGAATAATTCACTGTTACAAAACCAATCGAATGCCAACACGAATGAAGAACCAAAAAGTCCAATTTCTCAACAATTAAAGAGACATTCGGTGGCTAGAGAATTCAATTCACTTCAAGATTATTTGGCAACGAGATTTAAGGAGCAGAAGCAATTTCTTGGATCAAATTCACCAACCTCGCAGAAACCTACAAATGCCACACCACGATCAACTGCTTTGGAAAGTAAATTGTTGAATATGGCAAATTCATTGAAGAAAACTAGTCAAGTTTTGGAATTGAATGAAGTGAAATTGAGAGAGGAGAGAAGAAAGAGTGCTCAGGCCTGGACACTTTTATCGATTGAGGAGGATAATCACAGCATGTCACAAATGAAATATGAAGAGCTTCGATTCCACTACGATGTCAAATGTGAGGAGTTGAAGAGTGCCAAGAATAAGATTGAACAACTTTCAGTTCAGGTGAAGAAATTGGAGGGAAATTACAACTTTCTGGATCAGGAAAAGATTAGATTGCAAAGAGAAGTTCAGGAATTGAAAAGAACAATTGAAAAAAAGGAAAATGAACGAAGGAAGCGTTGCACTATTTTGTAAGCAAGCAAGTCCAAAACTAAGTTGTTTTAAACGTAATAATTATTGGATGAATTAAGAGCATTCAATATTGTGTCTGAATTTTGTTTATCTAAAATACAAATTAATATTTCAATTCTAAAATATTTAAAAGATATGTTTCAGCATTCCTCCAAGTTCATAGATTTGTTGAGCTGTTAAATCTTTGGAATAATCTCCCAATTTGGAAGCATCAATGCTCTCCACATCTTCAAAAGCCAACTCATCATATTCCTCATAGGTGGTAAAGTATTTTTGCAGTCCTGAACTATTTGTAGCAGCTTCTACCTTCCTAATCACACTCTTCTCACCAGATCTCATTAAATCTCTGTACAATACAATGGTCATCAAGTGCTTTCCCTTCTTCATATCTTTCGGTCTTAGGCAATGTCTGTATGGTCTGAAAATATACTCCACTCTCAATTTCTGCTGTGTTTTCTGTTTGAGAGTCAAGCCAACTCTTGCACTCTTAATGAAAGAGTCGGTGTGTGGTTTGTCAATTGGTCTCAAATAGCAAACACTCGATGTATCCAATGCATCGAAATGTTTCTGTCCCCTGTAGTGTTGTGTAACGAATTCGTGAATTTCATTACAATCAAAGTGTCCAAGTATTTCATCAACACACTTTGATGGTCCCTCAACCAATGTTTTCCTGTCAGATTTCAATAAACTTCTAATCAAAATTCCACCTTTAAATTTATCACTTCCAATAGAAAAATCAATTCCCTTATAATTACCACCTCTGTAATTATTATCATTGGTCTTTGCTAAAGATTGATGAAAATACCACTCTGCTCTAGTTGACTGAAGTGGATGACAATGTGAAAATGGATCATTATGGTTACTACTCGTAACATAATACTCAATCTCAGCCAATCGATAACACTTATCCTTAACCACAAGTTCTGTATTATTAAACAAATAATCAGTTATCGAAATAAAAGTATCTTCAAACTCCTTGGTCGTGTTGAATGATTTAAAATTGTCCAATTCTCTCAATTTGGTTAGAATTGGATTTTCATCAAGTTTTACTTTCTTTAATGATTGTTCATCACCAGCATCAACATGATCATCATCATCATCATCAATTATATTTACTAATAATGATGAAGATGATGGAGATGGTATTTTCACTTGAGTTGGATCAACTGGTTTACTTCTTGGTGATGCATCAGATTGATTGCCACTTTTGAAGAAGGAAAGAATTTCCGATTGTTTGCGTTTGCTCATTTTTTTTGTAAATTCAAATTCAAAAATTTCCATTAAATTGAAGAAAGAATTTGATTGGTAATTAGAAATTTGTAACTGTCAAGAACATGATTTTATTATTCAATCAGAATCTTCAAAGTAATCATCAAAAAAGTTATCATCTGTTCTATTATTTTCCTTTTGCTTAATTTCATTCTCAGTTTCATTTCTTCCATTAACAGTTCCATTATTCAAGAGGGAAAGAAAACTTACTGGATTGTCATTTGCAACTTGGTAATGCATATTTTCCTGATTCATTTTGTAAGCAGTCGTAGACGGCTTGCTTTTCAATGGAGTAGGATTTGCATTTTGGAAGTTGCAAAAGACAGTAAGGTTTGTACCGTTTTGGAATGGCTCTGTTTGGAAGGTGTTCATAGTATTGGTGGTAGTAGGAATTATCTCATGTTGATGACTTGTTTTGATTTTCTTTGGTTTTTCAGCATTTTCTTTTCTGGTGTTCTTTCTTTTGTTTGGTGTTTTCTTTGACTTGGATGGGTTGTCTTCGTTATTCGGTTTTTTGTTTGTTTCATTTGTTTCAGTACAATCATGAGAGCCAAATGGATGGTCAATTCTTGTAATTAAACTTCTACAGGAGTTGCCATTATGTTGCTTTGACTTGATTTGTATGGATATTAATTCAGTGGTGTTTGTTTTAGTGTTGAGACCAGTAATAGCCAAGCAGCCAGTTGGTCTATTCACATCTTCTGGGAGGAAACCGAGTTCAATAATGTTTTTAATGGAAAGTCCACTCACATTCAATCCGTTGGATGCAATATCTTGTCCCCAAACAACTCTTCTTTTAACACGTTTAAATGTGTTGTAAGAGTAGCTCTGTAATGTAAAATATGGCGGAAATTGAATAGTTGTTTTGGATATACCAAGTGTATCATCAGAGTTAATGGTAAAGACACCAAACTGTTTCTCAAACACTGCCTCTTTGATTGAAGATGCTTGATCTCCTCTCAATGTAATATCTTTGGACCAACAAGAATCATTTTCTTCACCTAAACCTCCACCACCTGATCCTTGAATGAGTGGAGAAAAATTGAAATTCAATCCAGTTTTGGCATGTGCAGCTCTTGCTGCTGCAATGGTTCTCGCCTTTGGCATTCCAACAACAGAAGGACAATAGAATTGTTTGATTCTTTCAACAACAAACGTTCCACAATTAAAACCATCACTTTGATCACCATATTCCACCTGAATATTATAAAATTGAGGAATGGCAATAAAGTGGCTTGGATCATAGAGTAGAAAGGAATCATCCTCCCTCTTCAATAATACAATCCAATGACCATCCAGTTCTCCTGTCTTTTCATCGAATGTGTAATTGATGAGGAGTGGCATGGCAACTTTACCTTGCTTGCCAAGTGCAAACAATAAAAAGTCATTTAAATGTGGAGCAGGCAAAGTGTTGGAGTTTAGTTTCGTGTCAGTTGATCCTAATAGTCCATAAGAATTCAAAGGAGAAGGATAGGTAATTTGAACGTTTGTATGGACATTTTCAAAGTACTTTAATAGAAAGTATGAAATGTGATTATCGTCATACTTTTGATTGGCTTTTGGCATGTTGGATGGAATGGCAACAGTTTCAGAAGAAAGTAATGAAATATCCATTCTCCAATATATGATTTGTTTTTAATTTTTTTAATTAAATTTTAATTTTAGTTTCGAATTGCACGCATTAAATCGAAGCTAGAACAACACGTTCGTGAACAGGATAGAAAAAAGGAAATTACATGATTACAATGGTTTACTCTTTGTTTCTCTTATTGTAATAGGATGAGCCACTACTGTTGTTATTGTAATTGTCATGTTCTCTCTTTCTTTTGTAATCACTGTTTGATTGATCCCTAGAGTTATTGTTGTAATATCTGTCTCCACCACTGCTGCCACCTCCTCTTGAAGAAGAATATCCTCTATTGTCTCCTCTATCATAAGATCTACTGTCTCTGTTATCCCTACTAGAATCTCTATTGTCTCTACTATCTCTATTATCCCTGCTAGAGTCTCGTGAATATGAACTACTACGATTTTTATCATGGCTTGGAGAGGCATCACCAGAATCTGAACGACTCATTGCTGATTCATTGTAATAACTTCCAGAACCATATGTTCTTCTATTATCATATGGTCTACTGCCACTTGAAGGTGTAGAAACACCTCTTGGAGTTGACTTTGGTGTGGAGCTTGATGAATATGAGCTATCCTTACTTGGTGTTCCTTTATATCCTCTGTTGTAATAGTCTGATGATGATCGGTGATAATCATTTGATCCTTCATGTCTTTGTTTGTATGATTCATATCTTTCTCCAAATAAATGTTTAGCCAATTCTTCAGATGGTCTCAAAACGTGCAAATTATTGCAATTAGCTCCTTTTGGACAATGTTCTTCTCCTCCTCTATCGAAAAGCTTACATTTAGCTTCAGAAAAATCAAGAACTGGTGAATATTCTGGTGTTAATAATCTACCAGCATGATATTTTCCTTTCAATAATTCATAACATTTCTGAGCATCTGGAATACTAGCAAGTGAAATATATACATTTCCAAACATGTGTTCACATGTATTATCACAAATATACAAATCTTCAATTTTAATTCCATTCTTTGTTTCCAACTCTTTGAAAATATCAGCATAAAAGTTTTCAAACCACTCCTTTATAAATTCCTGAGAAAAAGGTCTTAAAATTCCATTCTCATCAACAAAATGAGCTCCTTTAGGATTTGGATACATGTGTCTGATCATAATTGTTTGTGAGTAGGCTGGTTTTTGATGAAGATGTGAACATCTATCTCCTAATCTACAAGCACCTATTTTCCAATAAAAAGTACAAGTCCTAATTAAAATCATCAATATTTCAATTTACATATTCATCAATTCCAAACACATTCCGAATAATTAATCCACAACAACAACAATAACATGATGATCATCATCATACAATATTAATAAAAACAAAAAAATCAAAACATACTTTTGTTCTGTTGCCATTTTTTTATAAAAATTAATATAATTTAATAAAAAAAATCAAAAACTTCTCTCCACGTTCAACCTCTTGCTAAATAAAAACAAAATAATCATCATCATTGATTTATTATTATTAATATTATAATATTTACTATTGTATGATCAAAACCAACATTGAAATCTATTTTTGCAAAGAGTTTCGGAATTAATCAAAAAAAATGTTATCTTCATCGGAATCTACATTATCACCATTTGAAAGAGTGAAGGCTAGTTGTGCCAAGGTTGCTGAACATGCCAAACATGTCAAATACAACAAGGATGAGGCTACTAAATTCATTGAAAATTACATCATGCCAAATTTGACTGATATCAAAGAAAAGACTTCGAAAAAGTCAGCCTTGCCTTTCCAATTTGATGATGTTGATCATGAGGCTAATTATCGTTGTTTGTATGGCTTGTTACAATTTGGATCAGGATTTAGAAAATTATTACATCAAAAGTTACAAAAGGGAGCTGGTGAAACAATTCAAACTGGTTTGATTAATTGTTTCCTTTCCGAAGATATTACCATTGCAAAGCTTGGAGTTGAAATGATGGAAGTTGTTTCTGATAATTACTTTTCAATTGAACAACATTTTGGAATTGCTTCAAAGGAAGAAGTTTCACATGAAAAGTATGCTGTTATTAAAGTAAGCCAAGACAGTGCATTGAAACCATTTGCTGAAGGCATTAGAAAGGTTTTGAGTGAAACTGCAAGAAGATTGAGGGAGAGAAACTCTGACTCTTTTTCAATGTTTGTTAGAAAAGTGATTGCCGAATATGAAAGAAGAAAGCAGAATGAAGAAAAGTATCAAGATGTTAAGGGTATTGGAAAGGCAGCCTATTTAGTCAATGAGCTAGTAAATGTATTTCCCCAAGCACTAGATGATTGTGCTAATTATGAAACTGAGAATGGAGAATTGTTTAAGGTGTATCTCTATAAGAAGGCTCAATTGATAGTAGGCGAACTTTACTTGCATTTACACGAGGAAGACTCAACATTTGATTTTGATGACATTGGCCAAATGACTATTTTTGTAGATAATGTAATTCCTGCCACTTTGGTCAAGTCGAACATTTTACAAATCGTAGATGAGAGTGTAAAGAGCAAGATTGAAACCAACCAAGTTTTAAAGCACGGCTCAAAGCCAGAGGTGGAACTTAGAGCTCTTTCAGTATTTGCCTGTGAAGAATTAATTAAGATTGCAAACAGTGAACCTTACAATGCCAATATTAACACTCTTCATATCGATTATTTCTTGTGGGGAGATCTTGGTAAGAGAGAGGATTTTAGATCATTCGAGAGACATGCAACACAAGATACAGTTTTCTATTAGAGAGTAAAGACTCAAACTTTTGTTTAACAATTTCTGAGGGCTGTATTTACGGAACTGCTATTCTGTGTTTATCATTTCCTGTACTAATAGGGATGCCTAAGTTTTAGATTAGGTAGGTCATTTTGCCCATTTGGAAATATTGTCCAGCATGTTATTATCAAGTTACAATTTATTCAATGTTTGTCTTTCGAATATTGGGGCTTTCAAGAGATTGTTAAAAGGAGAGTTTTCATCCAGCAACAAATCAGTTATTGACTCATAATCTAATGAGAGCATAAATCCAGAAGAGCAATTTGAAGGAGAGGAACTAGTTTGCTGTGTTGCAATGGAATTAGTTTGATTGGAAATGATAATAATATTCGATTGTAGGGAGGTAAATGAAACAGACTTGTTCTGAATCACAGAATTTGTTGAATTAGAGGACGAATGATGAGAGAAAATAGTGGAAATATCACTAGATGCAGTCGATGCAATTGGAGAGGAACATGTTAAATCAACACATGTATTGCTCTTCAATTTCTTTCTCTTACTATGATGCATGTAGGATGCCACATGAAAATGAGAGGAACATTGATGAATGGCTCTTCTCATCTTCTCCTGTTCAGATGCTTCACATTGAAAACTCATGAGCTTGTATTGGTCTGAATCTGAATTTGCATCTGGTTCTCTTTTTAATAGAGTTGTTGTGGAGCTTGTTGCATTATTATTAATGCTTGGTACCAGTTCAAAGTAGAATTGCTTGAATTCTGCAGTGTCGAGTTGTTTTCTCAAACGTTTTGGGTGAAATGTCTTTTTGCCTTTTGAGCATCCTTTAGGATGGTTATGTTGAACAAACATCATATTGAAGGACATTTTGAATGTTGTTTTGTTTTTTTGAAAAGATTTTTAACATGTGCATCCTGCCGAATTTATTGGTTTCGGCTTGTTGACTGCTTTTGCTTTAAATGTGGCCATATTTGTAAAATAATATTGCCAAGAAATTCCTGAGCTTGTTACCTGCCAAAAACATCCCTGTCCGTCATGATATTGAGGTTATACTCCCTTATTTTATTGTTGAAAGTCGATAAGGGTTTCGCCAGTTTTCGAATATGTTCACCGGTTGAATACTAGACCAATGGCTAAATTCCAATCCAATTGACAGTTGCTGACATTTTGCATTCTCTTTGGAGATTTAAATCAGCACGTGTAAAGAAATTTGATATGTGCCAATATTTCGGTAACTAATAGGATGTTAGCAAACGCCTTATTTCAAATTAGGATGCTTTCACTCGAAGGATGGTAATTACAATGTTTTTATTATAATAGAAATTTCTCATTTGTGCAATGATGTGTGCTCAGAATAGCAGCATTCAAGACATGAATCACACCTTTTAGAGGGAAGAATTGGCGAGAGAAGAAATGATTGAATGAGCACAGTTATATCCAGGACCAGCCATTACACCACCACCTGGATGCATTCCAGAAGAGCATGAGAATAAGTTACTGACACCAACACCATGTTTCTTACTAAAGTAACGATAATTTGAGAAACCTCTGAAAGGTCTATTCAAATACAATTGATCCAAACGAATGGAACCATGGAAGATATTACCTCCCTTAATTCCAAATGTCTTTTCCAAATCGAGAGGTGATAATAAATCTTCAGCAATAATTGAATTCTTAAAACCTGGAGCATAACTTTCAATCTTATCATAAACCTTATTGACATATTCTCTCTTTAATTTTTCATCCCATGTGAAACCTTCCTTCAAATCATATGGAGCATATTGTGTAAATAACTGAATGACATGATGATTTGGATCTTTAACAAGAGTACTATCCAAACTGCTAGGAATGGTCATTTCAATAACTGGATTACTGGAGTATAATTTTGAGGATTTAGCTTGAATATATGAATCCTCAATCTCTTGAATACTTGTTTCAAAGTGAATGGTACCAAAGTGTTCTTTACCAGCTCCATTCGACTTTCTTTCACTCTTTGGTGAGGAGAAACATTTAAACTGTGGCAATGCATTAACTGCAAGATTAATCTTGAATGTGGCACTAGAATAATCAATATTATCGACCTTCCTGGCAAAATCTTCTCCATATGTTGCCAATAAATCCGATTCTGTAACCATCTGTGTGATTGATTTGACAGAAAACAACCATAATAATGGAGATTTTCAAATTGGGTCATGATTAATATTTCCAAATTGACAAGAGTTGTTGACTTACCTTTCTGAATGTTGTGTGAGGATCACAATTACTGGCCACAGCCTTGTTGGCAAGGATTTCAGTACCATCTTCAAGGACTACACCTGTGCATCGTTTGCTTGAATGGTTGAATGTGAATTGTTTAATATTTGCATTTGTGAACACGTCAACACCAAGCTCCTTATTGATATCAGTCAAATGACGAGTGACAGAACCCATTCCTCCTTCAACATAGGCCCAAATACCCTTTCCAAAACCAATATCACTACAAATGTTGATTAAATATTTCATTCAACAATTAATAAAACTCAATTTTTGCGTGAAAACTTACCCCATAACGTGATGCAACAAAACATAGGAACTACCTGGTGTATTTGGTGAGCAATATTCACCAATAATAGCATCAGTTGCAAGAGTAGCTTTCAAAATGTCACTTTCAAACCAGTGATCCAAAATTTTAGTTGCTGGACTTGTGAAAACATCAAATGCAGTGTTAATATTGGAAAGACCCAATTCACGACCAGCTTCAACTAATTTCCTCATTCTTTCTCTATTTTCCTTGTTACCAATGATACCACTTTCTCTATCAAAAAGAATATCCCTTGTGGTTGCATCTTCATCAATACCCAAGTCAATTGGACCACAATCTAATAATTTCTCAACAGCTCCTGCAACTCTTTGCAATTGCTTTTCATAAAGTTCCATATTCTTTGCATCCTTCTTTGAAAATTTAGAAATTTCTCTAAAATTCATTTCAGAATCACTTCCCATAAATAGATATTGATCTTTTTCCAAAGTTGGAGTAAAAGAAGAAGGATTTCTAGGAAGTAATTTCAATCTTCTTCTCAAATCCAAGTCATCCATAATATGTGGTCTAAACAAACTAAATAAATAAGAAGCACGTGAAAATTTAAATCCTGGCTCCATTTCTTCAGAAATTGCACATCCACCAGTCACATGTCTCTTTTCTAAAACACAAATTGATAATGATGGCATTGTTTTCTTCAACTTGGCAGCACATGCAAGTCCATTATGACCTCCACCTTTATTGATGCAAATATTTTAATAATTTTTGATCAAATAATTGCACCGATCATCACACATAAATTTCACATAAAATTTTCACACAAATTTTTCCATCACAAGATCAATCATCACCAACCAATATATATTACATGATTATCTCCATCACGCACACACAATAGAACCTACCTGCAATAATAATATCGTACGACTTTTTAAAGGATGACATTTTTTTTTTTAATTTTCAACACAAATTGATGAACCTTTTGATTTCTGCGCGTTGTTTTTTTTCACACAAATAACAAGAAAGCAGTTACTTTAGATCAGCTAGTTGCCTACCACTTGGATGGCTGTGCAATTGAGTGGAATGCAATACAGTGGACTATTGAGTGGTTCAGAAAAAAGATATTTTTCACACAATGCTCAGTTGAGAGTTTGATAACAGTTGGATGGCTGATTGTTTTAATTGAGATCGTACATGAAGGGTTTTAAAGTGCTGTATGATAATAATCGAGTGCTTTCCATTTGGAAGTGAAAGAAAATTGATGTTTCTTGTCGAGTCAAAGTCAAAAGAACAATTGGAGCAATTTACAGTTTTTAAGTTGAGGTGGTTTTACAGAATTTGATGCAAATGACATTGAGGTATATTCAAGGAGGCAAGGTAAGGAAATATAAAAATATTGTGAGAATCTGTAAATCCACTTGTCATCCATATTAGGATATGCCACTGCCTACCACCATAAAAAAATGTCACAAGATTTGGCAGCAAATGATGCTGTGGCAAGCAATGTTGGTGATGAGCAACCGTTGGATCAACCAAATACAACAAATGAAACTACAACAAACGCAGAGGAAACTCTGAAAGAATCGAATAATTCAATTCCACCAAAAACTATCGGAAACTTTCATGAAAAAGAAATACATTTTGATGATTTCTCACCAAGTCTATCATCACATATCAAATACATTCCTAATAACTCTGTTGAAACTGTTAAATCATATAGTAACACGTCAGAAATCAATGACAATCCAATGGATGTCAAATTCATGCTACAAACTGTCAAACATGCAGCAACAGTGAGCTATGTAGAAACCATGCATTGGAAGAAACACTTTCTCAATAAGAAATATGTTTGGACCTTTCTAACAATTTGTGGAATTTTGGGTGGAATTATCATTTACTGTCATGACTTGATAGTTTTGTACATGTACAGAGGAAGGTTGACAATTATAAATCAATTCGATGAGAAGGAATATTTTGGATTGAGATTATTCCTATGGGTGATTTATAGTTTGTTTTTCGTGACCATTTCCTTAATTCTTGTAGTTCTGTTTGGTCCATATTCGGAAGGTTCTGGAATTTCACTTGTTAAGGCAATGTTGAATGGTGCAAATATTAAAGGAGCATTTGGATTTAGAACATTTTTAGTGAAAATTGTTGCATTGCCAATGGTTTTGGGAAGTGGAATGTTTTTGGGTGATGTTGGATCGTCAGCTCATGTTGGTGCATTATTGACATATAATATGATGAGATTACCTATATTTAGACCTATTAAAAAGGTGAAAGCTTTGAGGGATCAAATGATTGCTTGTGGATGTGTAAGTTTTAATTTTTTTTATATTTTTTAAATTTTTTAAATTTTTAAATTTTTGTAAAATTTCTAATTTTGGAAAGGCTTTGGGTGTTGGTGCTAATTTTGCAACACCAGGTGGTAGTGTCCTATTTGCACTCGAAGCTATCTGTACCTATTACAGTTTGAGAGGATATTTGAAGAGTTTCTATGTTGCAATTATTGCATCTTTCGTCTCTCGATTATTCGATTCTCTCATTGGGCTTAATCTCAACGTGTCCATGACTTGGCACTTTAAACTACCATATCCATCATTTTCCATTCCAGAACTCATAGCTCATGCAATCCTTGGATTTCTGATGGGTTTAGTTGGAGTTTGTTTCTTATATTTAACAAGTTTAGTTATGAGATTGAGATTAAACTATGGAAAAAACTTTCTATTTTTCAAAAGTGAAAAGTTGGAACAGTATAGAGCTACTGCCTTGTTTAATAATCAAGCATTGTGGACATTATTCATTTGTATAATTACTGGCATTTTGACATTTCCAAATTTGATTGGGAAATACATGTCATTATCAGTGAGTGAAACATTGGAAGCATTATTATCACCTAATTCTCTATCTACAGATCAGGGATGGATTATCAATTCTCCAAATGATGTGTTTGTGAGCTTGTCAATTTACCTAGTTGTCAAATTTTGTTTGACACTTTTCACTCTATCTCTTCAACTACCTGGAGGTCTCTACATTCCCATTATATTAATAGGAGCAGGATTTGGTCGATTCTTTGGTGAAATAGTTGCTGTCATTTTTCCAAATGGATTTGTGGCAGGTCAACTCATCAAACCTGGCGCCTATGCAGTTATTGGAATAGTCTCACTCACATCATCCACAACACATACCTTCTCAACAGTATTTATCTTTCTAGAAATGATTGGAGTTGCTGTTCATTTACCTTGTCTAATGGTTGCTCTCATTTCAGTGCAAGTTTCCAGAGCTTTCACAAGTAGTGTTTATGATATTGTAATTAGAGCAAAGAATTGGAAAGCTTTATTGGAGAACGTATCTGATTCTGTTGATTTGAAAGCTTCAAATTTGATGATTAATTTGGATCAGGGATTACCAATTTTGGAAACTAAAATGAAATTGAAAGATTTACAAAAAGTTGTAAAAGAATGTCAATTGGCAAATTACAGTCCCAAAGATAAGATTCCAATGGTTGAAAATTTGAATAATTTATTATTATTGGGTCAAGTTTCTCTTTCGAATATTGAAATTTTATTAGAAATGAAATTAAATCGAAAGCAAGCAAAAAATGGTGAACTCCCTCTTTCTGCCTCTCAACTTTCTGACATTCCACTAGAAGAAATGGATGAAGAAATCATTGAAATTGAATACGAAAGTTGTGAATTTACAATTTCAGAAGGTCAACCAATCCAACAATCTCACATGTTATTTTCACAACTTTCTCTTAATGAGGTTTTTGTAGTTTGGAAAGGAAGGTTGATGGGTAAATTAACCAGAGATTGTATCATTAACCATTTGGAACAAATATCTAAATAAAGTTACTGAACTCATGTCAACAATATTCATGTCAGCAATCATTTGACATTGAAATGTTTAAAGGTCTGATAATATGGTGAATTAACATTACATAATTGGTCTATAATATCATCATAATCAAGATTTAACATTAATTCAGAGTCCATATATGTATCATTGACATGCGAGTTCTGTAAACTCTGTCTCTTGACAACCAAAGAATCCAATAAAGAAACATGTTGATTTTGTTGTTGTTGTATTGAAGTACATGATGTAGAAGTTGTGGCATGTACTTGTTGATTGTCATTTTGAATTATTTGACATGTATGTTGTGATGGCTCTTTACATGTGACAGCCCCAGAACCAGATGAAGAAGAAGGTGAATTTTTCTTTGTTTTCTTTGAATGTAAATAGAAATGTGAAGAATGTGCTTTGATAGCATTCCTTATTTCCTCATCACCATTCGAATGTGAAGTTTCGAATTTTTTAACCTGATACGAATCTTGTGGAATGGAAAAACTTGGTTCCTCACCAGAATTCGAATTATTTGGCACTAATTCAAAGTAAAACTTTTTAAATTCTCGATTATTTAATTGTTTTCGTAAACGTTTTGGTTTCTTAATGATGTTTTGATTTGTGGCAGATGTGTCAGAACTACTGGAAGAGTTTGGTGATGATGCTCTAACAGAAGAATCATTGTTGTGAAGTTGTTGTTGTGGAGTTTCTCTGGGAGGTGACATGGACCCTTTTTTTTCTTTGTTTCTTCCAAAACGTTTCGTTCAGTTTCCCACAAGAATATTCTAACGAGCCAAAAAAGATTTGTTTTACGGCTTGTTACGACCTTGGTGCGATTCAAGCAACATGCAGAATTATCGTTGGAAAAACATTAACAATTCAAGAAAGATTGTCACAAAGAGGCCTTCAAGTCTTGATAGGATTTAATTTGGCATTTGAGTATTGACATTCTCGGAACCATTCATTTTAACAATTGTCTTTTTGAATATTTGAATATTGATACCAATTATTGATCTAGCAAATGATGCCAATTTGAACAAGTCCATGATTCGATGGTTTGCCAATTTAGGGTAGGTGCATTGTGTTTGGAATGAGTTACGGTTGGTGGTTCACAATGTATAACATCATGTGTGCGTGTATTGTTTGTTTGCATGTTTTTGTTGTTTTGCTGTTTGAGAAATTAAGGAGGCAGTTGACAGTTTCTTCAAATGTGACAGCTGTTGAAAGGAAAGCACATTCTTAAAGAAAAGGCGAAATGGACATTAAATTTGCCATTATCATTGATTTTGCACTAATCCAAGTATTTGTCCCATTTAATCTTCGTTTTGCTAGTTAACTGAAAATATTTTGCCCGGTCCTTGTTCGAAATTGGCAATTTTTAATCCAAGGTGTTATCCATTTCTCCTTTGTTGATGATAAGAGTAATAGTTATTCAGACTGTAGTTTAACTGTACATTTGATGAACCTAAAAGTTGCAGTGAATGAAGGAATAGGTTTCGAATAAGGTTTCGTCAAATAGCAAGGAGGATGTTTGAGGAGAATTTGAGGACTTTCACCTTACCCTCTCTTTACATTCAGATTTTAGAAATTAATATAACTTAAAATAATGTCATTTCTTTCTTGTTAAATGATTATTGGAAACTTTTATGGGTTTTTATTTATTTTAGCTGTTGTTACCTAAAATAAAAGGTCGTGAACAATCTATTGAATAGTCCATCATTTATTATTATTATTGGTGAGTAGCTGTAGAATTAAACTCAATAGTTCAGCATTATCAATGCTTATTTGATTAGTGACAGGTTCAGTAAATTGGACAGGATTAACATTAGGCTCATTGAATACAATTGGATTGATTGGTGGTTGATAGATTACAGGAATATTATTACATGGTTGAAGTATTTCTTCTTCTTGATTATTTACAGATTGATTGATGTCTTGTTGATGTTTGGCATTTGTCTTCTTTTTCTTATTAGAGGGAAGACAAAAGTGATGAGAATTTGCTTTAATTTCATTCTTGATTCTTTCTTGATATAAAGTTTCTTCATCCTTCTCCTGCGCAGTTTCGAATTGTAGAATTTCATAAGATTCCTTTCGTTTCAATTTACCAGACGAAACAGATGAAGAAGAACCACTTTTATCAGAAGCTGCAGTAGAATCTACATGTTGACTATTCATTCCTTGACAATTACCTTCTTTTTTCCTATTCGATTCGTTTACTTTCAACTCAAAGTAAAATTGTTTAAAGTGATCATTGTTAATTTGCTTTCTCAAACGACGAGGTTTTTTAATCTTGTTACCAACAAGATTCGGAGAAACTTGTTCATTTCGTCCTTCAATAGTCCACGCACTGGAACTGTCTGTTGGAGAAACTAGACGAAACTCTTCATTACTTCTTGGTGAAGAGGACGAGTTGCTACCATTCGAATAGTGCTCACTGGCCATTCGATTTCTTTTTTTTAAATTTCAGAACCAGCTATTCGAAACTCACTAAAGAGATGCCATCTAACTCGAAATGTCAATTATTAGACAATTTGATGGTTGAGCAATTTTCTTTCAAATTAGGAAATATTTAAGTGTGTGAAAAGTTTTTTGTGAAATCTGTAAGACGAGATTAAACGATCAGGAAAAGTTTAAACTTGAAAGGAATTGCGTGAAGGTTAATGGTGAAATGTAAATGGTTTCGAATGTTGCCTAATTATTATACGAAACTTGATTTTTTCGTTGTTGTGCTCAATTTTGGAGTGGGAATCAGAACGAATCTATCTTCTTTCTACATCTATTAAAGTTCATCAGAATGTTGTGTTCCATTCTAATTGTTGTTTCGAATGCTAAAACTAAATAGTGCCTTATTAGTTACTATAGTATTATTTTTAGAAATTTAATTAAATAGTATGATACTAGTCAATCTATCATAATTTTTATTGGACTACTCGATTTGTAAGATGCTATAGTTGGTGTGAATTGTTTCTGTCAACTTTCGAATAATATTTTACAATATATTTACAGTTTCGTAAAATGAAAATTGAAGAATTTATAAAGTTTAGTTAGAATTAGCTTTTTCCAATTGATTAATAACCTTTTCAAGAATTCGAATAGATTGAGCAAGAACTTTGGAATTTCGTAAAGATTCCAATAAATTTTGATATTCATCACTATTTTCCTTCTTTAATTTCATGACATGCCTCGTTAACAATGTCAACTTTCTAATATCACTTCCCCAATCCTTCTTCTTTAATGTAATTCTAGTTTCGTCCAATTGTCTATCCGAAATCACATCCAACAATCCACTTCGTTCGACATTTCTATAAACACGTGAAAGAAAATTAGTCTTATCGAAAGGTTTATGATTTCTTCTTGTTTTTCCTTCCGCAATATTGACAATTCCTATCACCAACAAGAATAAAACGACAAATGTCAAGAGTGATGACAGTGATGAGCTCCGTGTCATTTTTTTGTAGTTAGATTTATAATAATTGTTTGATGATGATTTGAAGAGAATTATTGCAATCAGGCAAAAAAGATTATAATCGTTTTTTGGTAATGGATTTTTTAATTTTTGGATTTTTTGAAAAATCTTTTGAATTTCAAATAAATTGAATTTCCTAATTTATGTTATTGGATTTTGATCAATTGTGGAAATTGGATTATTTTCAACTTTTTCCATGTACAATTTAAAGTTTTGATGAACTAATTTTCAAGGTAGTTGAAGCTTTTTCCTCCTACTAATCCACAAATCTTGAGCATTCCAAATAAATTACAAATAAATTAATCATTCTCCATGAACCCAAATAATAAAGATTGAAAAGAGGATGATTTTGAAATGCAAGTGTTCAGTGTTAGTAAGGATAACATTAAACACATTTGCTAAATATTTCTCTACTCAAAATTTCATACATTTGGGAAAAAGCCAACGATTCCTCAACACTGGATTCTCCCTTGTAACTTGTTTTGACTGTAAACTTTTTGGGTTGAGTTTGCATGATGGTAATTTCAAATTCTTGTTTCTTATCTTTGGCAAGAAATCCTCGAATCATTGCTTTGAAAGTATCAACTTTTGAGATGGAAATTAGATTCGAATGTTTCTTGAGACAATTATGGAGGGAGGTCAATAATAGACCTGCATGGTTGTAACCTTTGTGAATGTTTTGGAACATGTCCTTCTGGACAGCTATTGAGCTGACCTTTTGGCTCTGGCTGAGTTTGGCTTGGATTTGTTTTGGAGTTTCGAATTTCCAAGCAAAACCCCATCTAGTAGTTTGTCCTTGAATAAATTCAGTTATGTGAAAGGTCAATTGCATATTTTGAATAGATTGATCCTCATAGAGCTTGATTGTTTCATTGAGTTGGTTGACGTATTCTTTCAATGATTGTAGAGTTTTCTTTTTACCAAGCATTGAAGTGAACCAACAATTCTTGAATATTTCAAAAGTTTCCTTCTTCTTGATCAAGTAAAAACTATCGTTCATCATATTCTTGACAAATGTTTCCTCTCCACCTTCAGTAATCATTTCATTTTCATTTCCTCGACAATCATTATTAGGATTTCTCTTAATCTCTTCATCCACATCAAAGAATGGAGGATTACACATTGTAAAGTGAACAGAATCAAATGAATTCACCCATTCCACATTTGAATTTCCATATTTTTCCTTTAGGGATGGAATCAAGCTTTTCAAAATATCTCCCGATTCTTTATCAACCTTAACAAGACAAATATCATTCTGAAATTCATTCATTTCCACATTTTTCTTTGCAAATTCCAAACTTTCCTCACAAATATCACTTGCAATAAATTTCCATCCATAAATTCTCAATCCCAACAATGGATAAATGCAACTGGCACCTGTTCCAACATCAATTCCAACAATTTTCTGAGAATCCAATTGAGTATTTCCTCCAATTTCTAATAAATCATTAATCCAATGAATATAATTAACTCGATTCGTAACTGGAGGACATAAATGATTGAGAGGTAAATTCCATTCAAGTTGATAATCATCTTTTAATAGAACTTTAGTTAAATTTACCATTGATTCAGCATTGGACCAATCAACTTTTCCCTCCGAATCAACACTTTAATAATTAAATAATTAATATTTAATTAAATAATTATTTAAAAAGTTAAACTTAGTTTTAAACGTACTATTGTGCAAAGAAGGGATATTTTGTTGCTAATTGTGCAAAATTAGGAGGCTTTGTCAAATACTTGTTTTTCCGATGCATGGATGAAGATTTCGTTATTGCCTTTGGCTTTAAATGTTTTAGAAATGGAACATCTTCATCAGAGTCACTTCCCAGAGAGCCACCAATATTTCCTCCATGATCCGATTGTTTTTCATTCCTACCTTTCATTCTTTAATTTTTTTTGAAAATTTAAATTTATTTAAATTTATTTAGTAAGCATCAACTCGACCAATAAAGTTGATTGTTGCCAAGATGCCTTATTATTGTTTTTGAAAAATGGCTCAAATTTATATTCTCTCTTTATTTATTCCAAGAAATGAATAAAGTTTTATTGGAATGATTATAAGGTTTATTGAGTCTTAGTACTCCTCCTCCTCATTGTCAGTGTATTCTTCTTCATTTTCATTATACTCCTCTTCATTTTCATTGTACATTTCTTCATTATATTGGTATTTTTCAAGATGTATTAATTGTTTCATTTCACTTATGTATTTTATTCCTTCTTCGCCAATATAATTGTTGCCAATATCAAGTTGGGTTACTTGTTTCATTTCACTTATGTATTTAGCTCCCTCATTACGAATCTTATTGTTATTCATATAAAGATAGATCAATTCCTTCAATTCACTTATATATTTAGCTCCTTCATTACCAATATTATTGTTAGATAAATAAAGACTTGTCAATTGTGATAATTGACCAATATATTTAGCTCCTTCATTACCAATGCGATTCTCAGAAATATTAACATCGGTTAATTGTTTCAATTCACCAATATATTTAATTCCTTCATTGCCAATGCGATTCTCAGAAATATCAAGATAGATTAATTGTTTTAATTCACCAATATATTTAACTCCATCATTACCAATCCTATTGTTATTAATTATTAGATTGACCAATTGTTTCAATTCTCCAAAATACATTGCCCCCTTATCACCAATCTTATTATATTCAATATCAAGTTGGGTTAATTGTTTCAATTCACTTAAATATTTAGCTCCTTCAGTACCAATCTTATTGTTAGAAAGTTCAAGACTTGTCAATTGTGACAATTTACCAAAATATTCGAGTCCTTCATCACCAATATAATTTTGGGAAATATTAAGTTTTTCCAATTGATTCAATGTGCTAATGTATTTAGTTCCTTCATTACCAAGCCCATTGCTTGAAATATCAAGATATGTTAATTGTGCTAATTCACTTAAATACTTTGCTCCTTCATCATTAATATGATTATCATCAATACAAAGAGAGGTCAATTGTTTCAATTCACTAATACATTTACATCCTTCACTACCAACACGATTGCTAAAAATAATAAGAGTGGTCAATTGTTTCAATTCTCTTAGATATTTAACTCCATCATCAGCAATATCATTGCTATGAAAGTTCAAGACTTGTCAATTGTGACAATTTACCAAAATATTCGAGTCCTTCATCACCAATATAATTTTGGGAAATATTAAGTTTTTCCAATTGATTCAATGTGCTAATGTATTTAGTTCCTTCATTACCAAGCCCATTGCTTGAAATATCAAGATATGTTAATTGTGCTAATTCACTTAAATACTTTGCTCCTTCATCATTAATATGATTATCATCAATACAAAGAGAGGTCAATTGTTTCAATTCACTAATACATTTACATCCTTCACTACCAACACGATTGCTAAAAATAATAAGAGTGGTCAATTGTTTCAATTCTCTTAGATATTTAACTCCATCATCAGAAATATCATTGCTATGAACACTAAGGTAGGCCAATTGTTTCAATTCACTAATATATCTAACTCCCTCATCACGAATATGACTGGCATCAATAGTAAGCCTCGTTAATTGTTTCAATTCGCTTATGAATTTAGCTGATCCTTCATCATCACATTTAATTATTAGTTCAGTTAATGATTTCATCGAGATTAATTTTTTGCAAGTATCATTCGTGGCACAAACATCAAGAATTGCAATATTCTGTAAAAACTGGCCACCCATTTCAACACCACGTTTACAATTTAAATTAAGATGATTACATGTTGATAAAATAACATTGAACCACTGTTTGGACACTAATGCACAATTCATGACAATAAATTTAAAATCATCAAGGAAGGACATAATTTCATAAATAATGTCATTCGGAAATTTATAATTATTTGTTTCTTCTTCTTTTTGTGAAAGTTGTGTTCGTGTTGTGTGTTTGTCCATTTTTTTTAATGTGATCAGGTTGTGGATCCATAGCACGATTCATGCTCCTCATCTCGCCCCATTTTTTTAATGCTGATTATCAGGTTGACTAACATAAATAACAGATGTAATGTTGTTTACAATCATACATTCTGATTCGGAAGTCTCCATGGTTAGATTAAATTTTGGATCATTCCAAGTTAGGAAAATAAAATCTGTACAAAAATTGCCTTATAATTTGGAAATTAATGGAAAATCAACAATTGTAACACTGTTACCAATTTAAATTCATACTTAATACTTGGACAAATAGCTAGTTCCCTATTCACTTCAAGTTCTCTCTCAGTTTTTAATTTACATCAAAAAAAATGTTACAATCATCAGCAAACACCACCACCGATGATCAACACAATGATCAACAACAAGATAAAGATTCAGAAGAACCATTTTTTATTGATGATCAATATTCCCAAGCATTGAAAAATGGTCAAGAAGAGGAAGAAGACAAACCCGAACATTTAATAGTATTTAATTATGATAAACTTCTTTCCGATACTAGTAAAATGTATCAATTGAAGAATTATTATGTGGGCGCCTCGAATGGATTTATTAGATTGTATACTGCTGAGGGACATCGTTATTGGTTGGCTCAAGGTAAATTTATATGAAATTTCTTCAGAAATCTAAATTGATTTGATGATTTGATTGATAATTAATTAATTGAAAATATTTGATTTAAAGCAATGTGTCAGCATAGAGCTCCAGATATGAAAGTACATTTCTCAGTGCATTTGGATGATTTACCAAAGGCATTTGAGTTGCTAGCTCAACATTTTTATTTGAGTAGATGTAAATTTGGAATGAAAGCATACATGTTGAAAGATTGGGCTCATAGAAGAGCTCAACAACAGGATGATGTACTTTCTGTTGAGGAAGAGGATATATTGACCGATTTGAGTGTGGAAAAGAATAGTGTAGAATCATCAATTTTGCTGAATGTTAATCAGAATTCTGATTCAACATCTGATATTTCCAATATTTCAATTGATAGTGGATGGTAAGTTTTTAGTATTTTTGAGTTAATTATTCAATGAAATATTTCATTAGGCCAGAACATATGCAAGGAAGAGAAATTACTGTTTACATTTACAGATATTATGATTTGGAAAAGTACAAGACTATTCGTGAATATGGAGAAGGAGGTCTCTATAAGGAATTTTCCATTGATGATACTTTATGTAGATATCGTAGACGTGATTTGAGCGAATATCGTCATGGAAATCCATTCGAAATGTTCGATTTACAAAAGAAACATGAGGAACAGTTGGTATTTTACAGAAAATGGATTCAAGCTGCTGAGGAAATTTTAGAATATCACAATATCAGAAATAATGGATGTGCATTTGGTGATTTGAATTTGGGTGGTAAATATGCCTCATTTAGAAATGAAACATTTGTGCCTCTTCGTTCCAGAGAGAAGGAAGTATTGGAAAATCAAAAAGACAAGCAATCATTCTCTGTGGATGACTTGTTTGTTTATCCTTTGAATGAAAATGGATGGAATGCAAGTGGACATCCTGATGCCAATCTAATTTATGAAGCTCTCAGATTTAATCAAGTCAAACTCTACGACTATGTCAAATGGTTTAACTTGGATTTGTAATAACACAAAATACTATTCTTGAAGAGAGAGACTTCCATTTCACTAACTTGCAATTTGTAAATTGAGCTCATTAACTATTTATTTTTCCATTACAATTCTTCCATTTCACAATGTTATTTTCATTACAATTTTATTGTAAAATTTGAAATTGAAATTAAAAAAAATGTCGCAAGCAGTTTCCTTCACGTTGATCGATTTTTCATCAAATCCATCATTAAAACAACATTTTAGTAAACAACAAGATAAACGATTGAAACAACTCGAATATTTACAAGATTTACAAGAATCTGGAGAATTTATTTCTGATTTCATCAAGGAATATCCGATTCCTCATCAGCCAGATGATTCCGATAGAAAATTTATATTCGAATTGGTTAGATCCTTTCCTTATTGTATAAAAAAACTATCGGATGAATATTATGAAGATGTTGAATTTGTGAAATATTGTTTGGAGATGGGTGTTTGGGATTGTCAAAGAACAATTGAAGAGATTGATGAGGAATTGATTAGAAAGGCTTTATGGAAGAATAGTGATGTGTATGAAGCACTGAGTGAGAATGTCGCTAGTCAATTCACAGCACAAGAATTAATTCAATTGCCCAATATTGATGAATATTTCGTTTCGTCCAATATTCAAGAGAAGGATTTGCTTTCAATTGATAGAAATATACTCATTGAAGCTATTAAGAAGGGTTTAATAACCAACTATCATGTAGAACCATTTTCAAATGATAGAGAATTGAGTTTATTATTAATCAAACAACACAGAAAAAACGCCCTATCATTGAAATCCGATTTTGAATGGAATAGAGATGAGGAAGCATTTGATGCGTTAGTATTTTCAAAGAATACATCCTATTATAATGTAAGAAGAAGGCAGAACGTCTCTGTTTTGAGATGTACACCCAATTTAGTGGATGACAGAGATTTTGTAATGAGAATTATTGAGCACGATCCCGAATCTTTTCAATATTGTTCAGATAGATTAAGGTCGGATAGGGAAATTGCTCTAAAAGCTATTTCTAAAGATGTTTATCAGATGCAATATATTAATTCACCTCTAAATAATGATAGAGAGGTTATTATGACAGCAATATCTAAACATGGTCAATATTTTGGAAAGGCATCGAACGAACTGAAATCAGACAGAGAATTGATATTGTTTGCATTGAAATCTCCCGAACCTAGCTCTGCAGCTCAGTACATTGACGAGAGTTTTTATGAGGATCCAGAAATTAGGGATCTGATCATAAGATCAGGGTATATCTATCCTTTCATTAATCAATTATCTGATTTTACGAGAGAGCAGGTAATTGCATGTGTCAATGCCAATTGTTTCCATTTATCAAAATTTCCAAAATATTTCACAGATGAGGAGATACTCTTGGGTTGTGTAAGAAATCATGGCTATGCACTGAAGGAAATTCCATTAGAGTTTCGAACATTTAACGTTTGTTCAGTTGCTATAGAGGGGTATGCCTCAATACTGTCTGATTGTGATGGATGCCCATTTTTGGATGAATTGGTGATGGATAGTATTAAGAAATCTACCCCATATGCTTATTACTTACCAAAAGGATACAAGTTCAAGAGTGTTGAACAATTTAAAGAAGTTATACCATATGATACAGATGGTGAATTATTCAGGTTTGCTCCTGAAGAGATAAAGAACGATAGAGAAATAGCTATGCACTATGTCAAAATTAATGGAAAGGTTTTCAAAGAGTTGGGCTCGGAACTTCAAGATGATCCAATCATGAGAAAAGAAGCCATTAAGCATGGTCTAAATAAGAGGCCTTTCATCCCATTAAAATAAATTGAACAACCCATGACTCAGTCATTTGATTAGAAAATTTAAGCAATTTAATACAGTAAAAGCACAAAATTTATTGTTTAGTCTCTCCATAATATTCCTTAATGAGGTCTTGTTGGTTTTCTGTTTGAGAGAAAGCGAAACCACGATATTCACCAACCTTAGTTACGTTGGTAAAGAACTTCTTGAGGTTATTAACTTCAATAGGGCTCTTGGTTCTCTTTTTGATCTTGACAGGCAAACCTTCTTCGAATGGGAAGTTGAACATAATTTCTTCTCTTGATTTCTTGTCGTGTTTGCTTTGGATTTCATAGTAGAGATTTCTTGATTGAATTCTAACCCAGAACTTCCAGAAAACATCACGCATACAACAAAGAGCAGCTGTTACCATCAATACAAGCCAAAAGTGTGGTGTTAAGAAGATACGATATTCTTGTAAAATGTCGTAGAATTCCTTTAAAACTGGATATGGATAACGGAAAGCATAGTACAAAGATCCATAAACGAAAATGAAAATTGGCCAAAGTAAAACAGATCCAGCATACCAACCAACGTGCATCCATGTCCAAGAAGAGGTTTCCAAAGCAATCTTGAGAGTAATAACTACCAATGTTGAAGAATAAACTACAATACCAATGCTGTAAGTATCAATATCTTGTCCATCAGGGAATTTGGCTCCAACCAAGCATAAATATGGTACAAAGAAACACACAAGTGAGTGGAAGATAGAGTTGGCAATCCATCCAATGAAAACTTTAGAATTGAACTATTATTGAATTAATTAAAATTGTTAAAAGTAAATACTTACGAAAGCATTTTTGTGGCCTTGATGGTAAAGTTCAGGGAATTTCTCAGCAACAGTAGCAGGTACATCTCTGTCCAAAACTGCCAATACAAGGATAGGCATACAAGAGAAGACAAGGTTATAAAGACCAATTGTCCATCTGTCGTGAATACTGGTACCTGAGAAACCATTGAAGAAGACAAACCATAATTGAGTAAGATAAAGAATACTGTTCTTGTAGAAGCAATAGAGAACAAGTTTGGAAACTCTTCTATAGCTCCAACGACCGTGTACTAACAACAATCTTTTAAGGAAACGGAATTGACCAATAGAATAATCGGAAGAATTTGCAGCTTGAAGACCTTCAACACCAGAAATACCAATACCAACGTGGGCACTTTGAATCATACTCACTATTACAAAGAGTTAAAAATTAAATTTCAATTAAAAACTTACCATCATTAGCACCATCACCAATAGCAAGAGTGACACTGTCAACATTTTGTTTAACCAAAAGAACAACGTCGGCCTTTTGCTTTGGAGAGACACGGCAACAAATAACTGATTTACATTTGATAGAAAGTTGCAAGAACAATTCTCTCAATAAGTGATCTTCCAAAATTGCATGAAGTCTTTCACCATCAACTACCAAACCAAGAACGTCTTCACTTTCACGAGCACTGGTAGCAGCATTTAAAGACTTTTCCAAAAATTCCTTAATGTCTGAATAGTTATGGCCTTCAACAACAAGAATACTCATAGAAGAGTTCAACAAGTCACAAGCAAAACCAATATTGATAGCTGTTTCAAGTTTGTCACCAGTGAGAACCCAAATCTTAATACCAGCATTACCCAATTCATAGATAGTATCGGCAACACCAGTTTGAAGTTTGTCCTCAATACCAGTAGCACCAACCAATTCCATATTCTTTTCAATCTTGGCAGCCACTGTTTCAACCTTTCTAGTTCTGTCCTCAAGAGAAGTCTTAGCTTCCTCATATTCTCTGTGCCAAATTTCATATTCTCTTTCATCGAGGTATGCCTTTGTGCACAAAAGAGTACGCAAACCTTCAGTACCCATTTGTTCCAAGTGATTTAATGTAATTTCAGAATGTTGTTGGTTTGGAATAAGAAGTGGATAAATAACAGAGTCAGCACCCTTACACAAAAGAACTAATCTTCCTTGTGGATCTCTAACAATAACTGATTGTCTCTTTCTATCACTGGAAAATTCAATAATGTCCAAAACTTGATAGGTTTCATCACTGCCCAAGCATCTAATAGTAACTTCATTTGGTGTTCTGGAAATAAATTCAACTCCCAAGTATTTAGCAGCCTTAACCAATGCTGCTTCATCAGGAGATGAAGCTTGATAAGCAATTTCTTGTCCCTTTCCTCTTTCAGGAATAACAGTGTGACAAACAGCAAGAAGTCTCAAAAAATCTTCAACGTTAGCTCTATTTTGATCATTCTTCCATGTAGCGTCGTTCATTCTTTCATCATAGAATTGGAAGTTAGGATTGTTTTTAGCACTTGCTGGTCTGTCATCAACCAAAGGTTTACCTTCTCTCTTAGAAGCGGCAATAGCAATTTCAGTAACACCAGTACCGTACAAAATACCACCAACAGAACACTTCATAACTATTTAGAGTAAAGAATTTGTGAAATATTACAAAAATACTTACAGTCCATCTTGTTTTCAGTAAGGGTACCTGTCTTGTCAGAGAAAATGAAATTAATTTGACCTAATTCTTCATTCAAAGCAGATGATCTAACGTTTGCAGGTGTATCGGTGTCTTCGTGATACATTTCCAAATCCTTGCTCATAATAATACCTTGTACAAGTTTTGCCGATTCAATAGAAATGTACAATGAGATAGGGATCAAATTGTTCAACAAAATAAGGAAAGTCCAAAAACCTTTGAAACCAACCCAAGCAATTTGTCCTGCATTGACTTCAAGTCCTCTAAACAAGTACCACATTTTACTATTATTGGCTGTCCAAACCATAAGACAAATATCACAAACAACAATAAGAGTAATTTCCAAAGCAAGAACGAGTAACACTAATTTGTTGGTAAGTCTTTCAATTCTACTAGTCTTGTGTGGTGTTTCTCTGAATAATAATTAGAATAAATTATCAAATAGCTAGTACATACTTGGTGTTCATCATGAGTTTAGTATCATGACCTGTGAAAGTAGCAATACCAACTATAAAATCAGTGTTTCTCAATGATGATCCTCTCAAACACACTTGTTCTGGGTCCAATGAAAGCTTCTTTCCGTCCTGCAAAATAAGAGTACCTTCATATTTGTATAATCTATTGTTTGGTTTTTCACATTCCAAAGTCATTTTAGTATTTTCCAATACATTTGGAGATATTAAATCCATAGTTTCAGGTCTGGATCTTCTTATCTTCAAATTGGTTTCACTAAATAATAATAATAATAAATAATAAATAATTGGAATGTGATGATGAAAATACTAACCCGTCAAGACTTGATGTTTCAATATAACAAATTCCTTGATGTTCACTTGATGAAAGAATTGTCAAATCACAAGGGAATGGTTCCTTATTCATTACACGAACAATATCACCAGTATGAACATCCTTCCAAAATACATCAACAAATTGTCCATTTCTCAGTACGTGAGCCAGTCTCTTGTTTGTAATATTATCAGAGTAACGTCTTCTAATGTCCTCATAGGCGTCCTTCAACATGGTAAAAATCAAAACTATTGTTATTGTCCAAAGAAAGTGAAATTATAATCATCGTAATTAACATGTTAACAACTATTTGCTTCACTAACAATACATACCAATAGAGAGAGGGATAAAGGTAGTAAATTGACCAGTTGGCGAAAGGGTTGGGATCAACTGCAATACAGCCACAACCAAAAAGTCTTCCGAATCATTAAATTTCAAGCAGAAACAATAGACAACTTACAACAATTGGCAAATCTATGAAATTGTTCCCATAAATTCTTGGGAATAAAGTTTAAATAGGAATACTTTGTAGTTTTGATATCGTTCAATGTGTACTTAAAGTGAGCATTGGCCACGTGATCGTTTACATAAATAATTCTTGAATTTTTCGATTCGGTGGTGTGATGATGGGCTACATTTGTAGTGCCATTATAAGTTGGGTAACTGGCACTTAAAAGATCATCACTTTCATCATCCGACCTAGATGCAACAAGAAGAGGTTCTTGAAGAGTCTTGTTGGTCAGTGCAGGAAGTTGTTTTGTAGACTAAAGCTAAGTCAAATAAATAAGCAATGAAAATCCTACCTTTTCTTCGTCAGACCGATTGATACTCATTCCTATTTGATATTAAAAAGAATATCCAAAAAACAAAAGAGAGATGTTATGATCCAGAAGCAGTCGACTCGTAATCAGCAGTGTTTGTGTTGTTGTGCCGATGAAAAAAAGTAGATGAATTTTTTTTTAAAATGTTATGAAGGATGAGTTGTTACATAATCAAACTCTCTACCTGGCTTCCAATTTGATGGAATTGTAGTTGTGAGAAACATACATTTTAAACAACTATTAATACGTAGTGTGAGTGCGTTCAGAATAAATATTACTAGGGCAGAGTCAGAATTCCCATCGATATTATTGAAAATTAATTTAAGTCTGGATTCATAACTCCATTCATTCTCAATTTTGTTATTGAATTATTTTAAGTGACTAAAAACTACCAATATTTTCTGGTGTTTGATTTTGTGTCTGCACTGTTTTTTGGTTTTCTTCAATCTTTTCAATTACACTGTGACTTCCAACACCATAACTTGCTTCTACATCTCCTGTTATCTCTACCATCAAATAATCATCACCCTTTTCGTCTAGTATTTTACAGTTTGAACTCTTTTCCAGCATTTTTCGCAACAATGGGTACCTCAATCTTTCATCATTTCTAACAGCAACAACTTTTGCTTTCGCCTTGAAATACTTTTTGATGTTGTTGACCATTTGTACAGACATAGAGATTCGATAGTCACCTTCTTTGCTTGGACAAACTGAAACAGTATTGGAATATTCTTTTTCAGTTGTGTTTGTCCAAGACGTCCCAACTTCCAAATCTATCGATTTCTCAACCGTGCTCTTAACGATTTCAGCATTAAGTTCAGCTGAAACTTTATAACCAAATGAACAGCTAATATTCCACGTGTAACTTTCGCTCACTCTCTTTGTGTATGAACGACTAAAGGTTGATCCTATATCAGAAGACTTAACCGAAACAACATCTATTGATAAAAACTCATTTGCTGTCTTTTTGGCCAAGAATTCATTGCTGATAGGAGTTTTAAATTTATCATCTTCATAAAATTTAAACTCAAACACCTTCATCTTCAAAGAATAACCAATTGGAACAAAAGCCCACAAATTACCATATTTGATGGGTTCATTGGATAAAGTAAGGGTCAAGTGTTCGACAGCCAGCCAATGACTTTCTTTGCAGCTTCTAATAGCATATTTATCCTCAACCTTTGTTGAAATTATCTCCCATAACCTCGCCGCTTTGTGCTCGCTGTCGTCTTGGCATGATTTTACACAATTCCTTTCCCCAACCTCAAGAGCTTTGTTTTCCCCTACAAATCTAATCCTATATTTTCCCTTTAAAGCACAAGGAACAAATTCCCACATGTTATTGTCTTCAGAATTGTCTTCTTCTAAACAAATGAGACCACCCTTTTCAACCAATATTGTGTTATAAATGCTTCTAATTTTGTAACAAACTCCAGTTTGCAAAATATCTTGAGCACAGTATGAGTTGTCGCTTTGTTTGACATAAACACCATCAATTGGTTTAGATGAGTAAGGTTCATAGTTTGACTTGCATATTTTCCATGTGGTGTATTCTAATGAGTCATTCAATCCTTCCAATCCTACAGAACACCCCCTAGAATACCCACATAATAGCTTATTGTCGTAACTCTTGATTTGATACCCTCCTTTAACGCTCTCAATTGACCACAACCAGTCACTTTTAGATCTCAAATCATCTTTGGATAAGGATGTTTCGCTACCGAAGCTGCCAACGGAATCTATAATTGTGTCATATATGCTTCTAATTTTAAACTTTCGGCTATTCGGATGTTTAGAATCTTCAACAAGCACAAACTCCCATATTTTGTTTGTGGCATCTTTGTTATCTACATATCCCAATTTTAAGGAATCAAGACCTGTTAAACCATTATTACTATCCAAAGCCCAGTCTTTACCATATCCTGTATTGATGATCGTATAGTAAACATTCTCAGAAATAATATCATTCATATATTTACTAGCTTCTAATTGATTTTCAACTGCACGAAGTTGTAAATCCACCTCCTGAGGTTGTTCTGGTTTTGTTTCGGATTCCAATACTTGAGAAGGTGTTGGATCGTTTATGGTTGTTTCATTTTGATTGGTATTTTGTTGAGTAGATATTCTGAATTGGTGGTGTTTCTTTGGGTTACCCTGATGCAGTTTGGTATTTTGTTGAGTAGATATATTTGTTGGCATTATGATTAGCTTGTTTTTGTTTTATGAGACTTAACCATGGCTTTATCTTGAAATAGTAAAAATTCGTCATAGTTAATTTAGCAAATTTACTAAAATATCATTTAAAATTAAGATTTGGTAATTTACTGTTCTTAAATATTTGCCCTCTAAGGTAGAAGAACTAACTGAAGAAGTAACTCAAATGAAAAGAATAGTGGCGAGTATTGATCCAACATAAATTAGACTCACTTATTTCAGTTTTTTCAAACAAACAACAATCAAAATCAGTTAATAAATGAATAAATATTTATCTAGCTTTCTTTCCTTTAGTTCTTTCAAAAATCAACCTTGAACTTTTCTCCAAGTAATTTTTTCAAATTAGAGTCTCCGGCTAATTTTGGAGAAATGATGCTTAATTTCTTCTTTGAGTAGTTATTTTCATTCAACACAAAAACAACTACCTCAAAAGAGCTTTGGAAAGAGTTTGAACATTGGCTAATGCCTTCTTTTCAGTGCATGATAAGTCAGGAGAAGACGAGAAATAGTAACCTAACATTGAGGATATTGAATTAGCCATTTGGTATCCGGTTGATTTTTGTTTTTATTGTTTTTATTTGCGTATCACTGATATCAAAAGGAATTGGAATATTGTATTGATATTACATTACAAGAAATTATTCAATTAATTATTTTGAAGAAATTTCTTAATTAATTCTTCGTATTTAAATAAACAATCAACTAAGCTTATCACACTTTCTTTGTTGGAAATAATTTCGTTTTTGATCATATCACTTAGAGGGAGTCCAGTAAAATAAGCGAATTGAGGATATTTGTCTGATAATTGGTTAGCAAGTTGTTTGTCTTCTTTGGAAATTTTAACATTCACAACCACCGAGAACAATGAAATTAGTATCTTTCTAATAATTTCAGCATCATGAGGGAAGTTGTTTATTTTTTACAACTCTATATGAGTTTGTTATGAGGAAGTTGTGAAAAAGAGTATAAGAGATAAGGTTACAGGTAGAATTACCAAAGTTTCATTTAGTAAGAATAATCAAAAATTGAAATGTGAATCTATAATTATTAAGAATATTGTGTCTTCAGTCAAAGTTCCAAAGGAATCCATTCATGTTCCTACTATTCATCTTATCAACAAAAAGACTTCAAAATACCATCCAATAGTACTTCCAGCATGTCTTCAAAAATCCAAAACTTATGATACAAGCTCTCACAAGAAGATCAGCCATTGAAGAAAAGATTATCGACATTGCGTTGAGATTGAAGCTTGATCAATATTTGATTGTTGGAAAGGGAGAAGAGATAAATAATAATGTTCGAAATAATTGCAAAGTGCTCTCTGATGTTGTTGAGGCAATGATTGGAGCAATTTGGATTGATTGTGGACATGATTATGAAGTAATTTGGTACATTATCTATGATCTGTTTAAGTTCTAGAAGATGATCAGATTCCGATATCAATCAACCAAAATCAGCCCTTTGTAAATATAAAATGTTCTTTAATAAATTGCAACTCAACATTACTTCTAAGATATTAATACCTTGCTAAATAATTTTATCATTCAGTGCGCTAATACGCTCATTATTGTTAATACATAATATTTAGTGCAGCCTATTTTTGTATTGTTGTAGTTAGTTGGCGCCAAATATTCAAACCCGCCAAAATAAAAACACAAAAAAATGCAAGGATCATCAGACGATTGGGAAAGGCTATCATTCCCAAAATCACCAACATTTTCTCCAGAAGTTGGTTCTTCATCGGTGAGGTTTAGCCTTAGTGGACTTACAACAGGGGACACACCATCACCATCAAATGAGGGAAGAGATTATGGAATGGATGAGTCGCAAAGAGAACTGCCTCACTTTCCAATTTTTTCATCATCAAAGGTAGGAGGAATTAATAATAATTGACGACTGAACTAATTTATTGTATAGCATCAAGATGATGAGCCATCAACATTTTCATCGATATTATTTGCTGACACTCCAGTAAGAGGAACAGAGTCGGAGGCAGTTGCTAAACTTACAAATCATGTAGAAAATATGAAATTAGAATTAGATACGTGGAGAAGTCTGTATAAGGAACTTCAAACAAAACACACAGCTAGACTTGAAAATATTTTCAGAGAACAAAAACAACGAGAGGAGGAAATAAGGCAAAAGTATGAAGAGGATAAATCGTTATCACAGAAAGGAGTATCCAAAGCAAGTTTTGTGATCATGACAGACATGAAGAACTTGTTGTATCTATTCAAACATCAAAATATCGAAAATGTATATGAGATGGTCAACACTGAAATTAATGAAAAGGACATTGCTTCAGATCAATTCATCTGTATATACAAGGAGTTTAAAACAGCATTGTTTAATATTTTCAAATCAATTTCCACTGAAAAGCATATTAATAAGGAACATCATACACTAGTTCAATCACTAAGAGTTGAAAAGGAAAAACTTGAGAAGGAACTTTTTACATTGAAACAATCTGTTGATATTGGGCCATCCCATGAACATGAACAAGAGAAAATTCACGAATTACATGAAGAGTATGCATCAAAGATTGAGGAAATGGAACAAAAGAATTACAAACTTGAAAGTCAAGTTAAGGAATTGAAAGGAATTGATGAAAAGTTCGAGAAAATTAAACTTGAAAGACTTGAATTGGAAAGACAAATTTCCTCAGAAGCTAGGATAAGAGAGAGATTGGAAGAAGAAGTTGAGACCCTAAGATCACTCAAAAATGAAACCGAAACACAACTCAATCTCCTCAAACAACAACTTCAACAAAGAGATTACATTGTGAAAACAAAGCAGACAGAGATTGATAAACTCTCAGACAACTTGTTGAGATCAAATGATAAAGTAAGGGTTTTGGAAGACTCTCTAGATAAGTTAAAAGAAAAATATGGAGAGGAAAATTCTTTCGATTATCATGAGCTTCAACATGAATTAGAAGATTTGAGTAAGAGATTGAATATGAAGATTCATGAGAATGAAGAAATCACTAGGTCATATGAAATGAGAATCAACCAAATGGAAAAGGTGATTCAAGAAAGTCAAAAGGTTATCGATTTGGAAAGCAAGAAAACTGAAACGATAACATCCCATCACACAGAACTTGTAGAAGAAGTAGATAGACTAAAGAATCTCTTATTAGAGTCCGGCGTTGTCATAAAGAACTCAAGGGATTACAGAACAATAGTCGACAAGACTGTCGAGTTTGTGAGTGTAAGAAGCCATCATTTTTCATCAGTAGCAAGAGAATTGGAAATGTCTAAGAAACGCCTAGAAGACAGTGAAAACGATAGAATCATCATTAAGAAGGAGTTGGAGGCAATTATTCAAGGACTAGAACACAAGCTGAGTGATGATACAAGATTGAGAGAGGAAGAAAAATACAAATTTGAAACAATTATCAAGTCTTTGGAAGATCAATTGGTGCAAAAGAGAGAATTTTCAAATGAAGTTATTATGGAACAGACGAAGAGGCTGAACAGAAACATGGAAAGACTCCAAATAGATCTAGCTGAAAAGGATAAGCAACTTCAATCTGCAACCAACACGATAAGATCTCTCAGAGAAGAGTCAGACATTGGAGTTGCAGCTAGGGATGAAAGAATTAGACAATTAGAAGATAATTTGGCAAAGAAAGACGAGGAAATTTCTAAAGCTAGTATGGACTTTAACAAGGATATAGATCATCTCAAAAAGAAGATCAAAAAACTTCAAGCAGATAACGATTCACTTCACATGAGGGTTGAAAACGAAAGATCATCTATGGCGAAAGAAGCGCAATCAGCAGCTTTGCAACTTGAAGATGCATACACTGGCAAACTAAGAGATTATGAAATCAAGTTTGAGGCCCTTAATTCTCAATTATCCCAATATCATGATCAAATTTCAGACCAAGAGGATAGAATCAACTCACTTATTAGAGAAAAGGAGGAACTCATCAGGCGTGACTCTAACTCATCTGTGGAAAAGATTTTGGACGAACAATTACGACAACTCCAAGACCACTATGAGTCAGATAATAGAAAATATTTGGAACAATACGAGCATATGGTCAAGAAGTACAAGATTTTGAAGGAGAGGTTCTTCAAACAATCTCTTAGACAAAACGAGCTTCAAAATTACTTGTTAAAACTGAAAAGAAAACACAAGAGAAAGAAAGAAGGTGGAGAAGACCAAGAACAGGATACAGATCCAGCCATTCAAACAACCGATACAACAATCAAACAAACCTCAAACATTCTATCAATGCCATCGATGATAACAAGCAATAGCAATTTGTATTCCAATACTCCTATTATGAATTCCAATATTATGAATGAAGGAAGACATGTAATTTCTCCAAATACTCACCAGCAACAAAATACCTATTACGATTACAATAATTATCAATCTCATCCTCTCAACAATGACGAACATATCTATCCAAAGTACATTGTAGCTCATCCTCCACCACCTTCAACTACCCTTCACACTACATCATCCCCTAGCGTTCATCACTCTGATCATATGCCTCATAATAATCAATTACCTTCTTACTATCAACCAATCAGTGCTGTGTCAATAACAAAGAAAGCTAGTCAATTAGCTGCAGCATCTCAAAAAATCCTTAACACTGCCCCTCTAACCAATCCAAATGCCACAACAACAACCACAACAACTAAGAAAAAGAAAAAATCCAACACTTCAACCTCAAAAACAAGATCCTCATCAAATCCTAAAAGGTAAATTGCAATAAATAACTATTCACTTCAGCTTCCAATTCAACTGTTGTTGGTGAAATACACGTGTTGATTGCAACTGTTGACGTCCAAGTTAAAAAAAATGGGAAATGCTCAACAGGTTGGTGCGTTACTAGGAAAGAAGGAATTTCCATATGATATCGAAGAGAATTTTGTTCAAACATCTACTCTATGGAAGATTCATAAAGCCAGAAGAAAATCTGATCAGGAATTGGTAACAATTTTCAAGTTTGATTTTGATACAACAACATCACCAGGTATGTTCCGAAGATGGATTTAATAACCATCAATTAATCATCATAATTGTTGTTAATTATTTGATATTTAGATAAGATTGAACTGGCCAAAGCAAGTTTAAAAAGATTGCGTGCCATTAAACATCCAGGTGTTGTTAACTTTTTAGAGTAAGTTTAAAAGCCCTCATCATTGATGAATATCATCATTATCATCAAATAGTGGAGTTGAATTGCCAAATAGTATTTGTATTGTGACTGAATATGTAACACCACTCTCTACTGAATTGCAAAATATTAGAATTCAACTCGGAGCACCAGAAATAATTGCCTACGGATTGTATCAAATAGCTGTATGTATTATCGTGTTGATAATATTTAAATTTTCAAATAGAAAGTATTGACTTTCTTACATGGGAAAAATATGTATCATTGTAATGTAAATATGGATTCTGTTTTTGTGGATAATGGTGGAGATTGGAAACTGGGAGAACTTGGATTTTTAACATCATTCCAAAATAGTGGAGGAGTAGTCAATCCAACTGAAGCTTCTTATGGTGTTCCTGTAAGAACTTTTGGTTCCTTTATCATGAATAAGTATAAATCTTTGGAGCTTACAACACAGAGGTATGTTTATGAGTGATATACTAATCAATATACTGATCTATTTGTGACAGATGGGATATCATTGAGGAAAGTCCATCAAAACTTGATTCTTGGGGGCTTGCTTGTTTAATTTATGAAATTTTTGAAGGAAATTTGAATAATTCAGACGATTTGAAGAGAGTTTCTAAAATTCCAAAAACTCTCAGAGTCGGTTATGATCAACTCATTGATAAGAATGTAAAAATGAGAATGGATGCTGCAAGATTGTTGGAAAATCCATATTTTAAGAACTCTCTTATTGAAATTCAACTCTTTTTGGAAAATATTACAATCAAAGATGCAGCAGCAACTGACGATTTTTTGAATAGATTACCTGACATGTTAACTCAAATTCCACAAAATAATCTGAAGAATAAGGTACTTCCAAGCTTGATTCAACTCATCAAATTCACTAACAATGGCCAAAAAGCTATTGTTCCTATAATGAAACTTGGTAGTCTATTGAATGAGGATGATTACAAGACAATCTTCATTCCAAAAATTATTGACCTTTTCGAAATTGCTGATAGAACAGTTAGAGTTAATTTATTGAGGAGTATTGATCATATTGCCATATATTTGACAAAAGAACAATCTGAAATTGTCTATGAACATGTTTCTAAAGGATTCAAAGATACTTCTCCAGTTTTGAGAGAAATGACAGTCAAGGCAATGATCTCCCTCGTTCCAAAGCTCAAAGAGGATACTGTTGACAATAGCGTTGTGAGATTTATGTGGGCCCTCCAAGGTGATAAGGAAAATGCAATTAGAACTAACACTGTTATTGCTTTTGGTAAATTAGCTGCCAACTTTTCAGAAAAAACTCGTAAAAGAGTACTTTTAGCTGCTTTTGTTAGAAGTCTCAAAGATCCATTCGTTCATTCTAGAGTTGCTGCTCTGAAAGCTCTTTTGAGCACAAAATCTTTCTATTCAGTGAGTGAAGTTGCAGTGAAAGGTTTACCTTTTGTTGTTTCCCTTACTGTAGATGCTGAAAAACAAGTGAGAGATTTAGCTTTCCAAGTTATGAATGAATTTTTGAAGGTTATTTCTGATTTGTCAGAAAATCCAAACTTTACTGAAATTGTTGCCAACGAAAGAAGTCAAGATAGTGCCATAGCAAATGGTCAATCTAGTACTAGTGCAACAACAGGTGGTTCTGGAGAACAAGGAGATTACTTGTCCTGGGCTATGAAATCCATCAAGACTAAAGTATTGGGTGAGAATGAACAACATTCTGGATCAAATACCACAACAAATCAACAACAAACTAGACCAACAAGCTCTCCATCTCTTAGTAGCACCAATACAAATTCTGGATATGGTTCTTCCACTGTCAACACCTCAAATACTGCTTCTTCAACTATTTACAAACCAGTTTCTCTTAACACAACTCCAAAACAAAACTCTCAAGAATTCAACACTTTACAACCAAAGCAAGCAACTCAAAATAAGCCAGTCCAAAGTGTAAATACCAATAACACAGCAAGTACTACAGCACAAAAGAAGCAGCCAGTTAAGAGCTCTAGCAACAATGAATTTGATGACTTTTTCGATATGGATGATATGCCTGGAAATAATGGAAACTCTTCAAGTGGAGCTATGCTTGGTGGTGACGATTTACTAGATGGTGATTGGAGCTCTTGGGATATGGACAACCAATTTGAGATACCAAAAGCAAAGACAACTATTGCATCTTCCTCTCTCAAGTTATCTCATGCCCCAACATCCTCAACAACAACCACTTCTACTAGCTCACCAAATCCAACTCAAAAAAGACCAACAGCCAATACCAACCAATCCAATATCACTTCCTCTCAGAAAAACAATTTTGGTGATGATTTCTTTGCCTCAATGAATGAACCTCAAAAGAAGCAACCATCATTCTCTCAGCAACCACCAAAACAACCACAACCACAACCACAACAACAACTACAACCAATCAGACAACAACAACAACCTAAACAAGCAACCTCAAATACCAACAACACTTCTCAACAACAAAAACCAAAGGATTGGAGTGATAATTGGGAAGAATGGTAAATCATATCAATAAATCTTATTTAACTTATTGTTTCAAATGTTTTAACTTCGAGTAATTTATCGAATTTCCAAGTTGAAAAAAATGAATAGGTCACTCTTTGCTTCTCTCCTTCAGGGAAAAAGTAGTGCATCTATGGAGAATGGAAGATCATCATCATCTTTGGAAGGTGGTAGTGATTCATTATCATCATCATCATTAAATAATAATGGAAAGAACAATAATAATATGGAAAGGAAGAAACTTATTCGAGAATGGATTCAATTTAGCAATCAACAAGCAAGCCAATTATTTACGAATGGACAATATACAAAAATTATGAACAAGGTTTCCGAGTTGGAGAGTAAATTTCCTACACAAGGAGGAGGAGTGGGTTCCTATATAACGGACGAAGAACTTGTCAATGAGTTTTACTATTTGGCCATGATGATGGATAAAAAGACGTGTGGCTATTATTTGAATGCATCGAATGCTGATCAATCTTCATCATCAACAATATCACTGGAGGGAGTTGTTGCACATGTTAGAACGAATATTAATTCAATGATGACTAGGAAAATAGAAAATCAAAACATTCAGATAGGATTGCTATTTGGATTGAAGGTTTATTTAATTGCTGTGGTTAATGATAATTTATTCAGTTCAAGAAACACAAAGGAAGTGCTGGATTCTCTGTATGAGTGTTTAAACTTTGTTATGAGTTCAGTTCTGCAGCTTTTTACTGACCAATCACTACAGAAATGTTTCGAATCACTACAGGAAGCAATTGATTTTAATTTTTCTGGTTATCTATTTGAGGATGAAGCCAAATTGTCTCCACCAACAAAGAAACGAAAAAAATCTAAATTCAAATCAGTCTTTAGTGTAGATTATTCAAACAGGATTTTGAAATTTTTCGATAGTGCAATGAAGGACTCGCTTAATACAGCCATGCTACATTTTCACATTACATTGGCCAGAGTATTGAATTTATACAATTCGGTATTGATATCCAAGAGAAAGTTTTCATTAATAGCTGACAATTTATGGAACGAGAAAGGAACTGGTGGAATTGTTTATGATATTTTGAAAAAATTGAGTGGCATGTCTTCTGAAACAATTTCTGAAAGAGATTCCGCTGATATTGATAATGAAATTAATAATAGCCAAATGCACCTATCTATTGCACTATTGGAAGTGGAAAAACTGGACGCTGCAGTAGCCCAATGCAAGCTCTGTAAAAAATATGTACCAGCACTCTATTTATTGGCGATAATTTCAATGGAAAAGGGTGATATCAAAACATCCAAGGATACCTTTTTGAAGGTTATTGAGCTCAGCTCCAACCAAAAGGAATACTCTTTTTACCAGTCCCAAAGCAGTCACATGGTAGCTCTCTTATTCTTGAAAGAGTCATCACTAAGTGATTGTCTCAATTGGTTACAAAAAGCAAGCAGTATTGAAAGTAATCCACTAAAAAAGGTTGAATCCATGTACAATATGTGTAAAATAAGAGACTATTTGGGAGAGCACCATCCTAAGCGTAAGATTTTACAAGAAATTCATCAAATTCTTGTCAATGAAACATCCAATATTGATGAAGAAGAGAGAAATACATCAATACTGAGTCCATACTTGATTTTAAGCCACATTGGTAATTCGCTAGTGAAGGAGGAAAGCTACTATGACGCTCTTTACTGCTTTGAGCATCTCATCAAGAATTTAATCCACACTGAAGATAAGAGATTGTGGGGAAAAGTCAATCAAAACGCAGAGCATCCAGATGAAAGCATTTCACCACTTCAATTATTGAAAATGTACATTTACTGTCTCCTTCAAACTCATAGCTATGGGAAGGCACTTAGAATCTGTGACTATGCCATTAAGAAACTAGGTGGAATCTCGAGTCCAAACCAAGACGTGATGCTCCTACTCTATAAGTGTGATGCCATGATGGCACTGGAAAGGCCTCTCATGGAATGTGAACAAATTTTGGAGGGAGCTTTAAAATCTGAGGAAATATCAAATACCTTTTTCAAATCTGTGCTTTTAAACAATAGAGCAATGATACTGATTTGTAAACACCAACTAGATGATGCCCTACATTTACTCAGACAGGCGTTTGTACTATTACCGGAGGAGCATTTCGATAGAAAGTTGTTGATTGAAACCCAGTTCAGTATTGCGTTCAATATGGCCCTGACCCTTCTTGCTCTTGATAAAATTGATGATGCTGCTCATTGTTGGTTCTCCATTCGTAAGATTCCCTATCAGAAAGATAAACCAGAATATTACATTGATATGTTCAATGAAATGGAACAAAAACTATTGAAACAAACAGTAGAGAATGGTATTGGAATGGAAGATGATTATGTGCTACTCTCTCACGTGAGTGGAAAGTGTACGAACCAACAAAGAAAAGCTATGGATTTATTCCTGTTAAAATCTTTTGGAAACTATCTCAAAGACATAAAGAAACAAAACCTGGAATAGATTCCATTAACGTTTATAATAGTTTTTGAGTTGTTCTCGGAAAGCTTGATTTGGACAAACAATACTTCTGTGACCTTTGGCATGGTGGAATGCCTCCTCGAATGAAAGTTCATAATATTTCATTAAATAGCTGAGTACAGTGGTTGAACTTCTACTGATACCCATATTACAATTAACAATTGCCTTACAATTATTTTCAAAGGCCTCCCTCAGGAATTGGTTAGCCTGTTCGAAGAGATCAGATATCGAGTGTTCAATTGTATCACCAGTGCCCAACTTTAAGTACTTGTACTTTTTCTCTCCATTGTCCAAGATCATTTCCTCCAAGACATTTTCCACCTCTTCTGCCATATTCAAAATGTAAGTGATTCCAATATCTGTGAGTTCTCTATCGGAACTGGCATTATCTCGATTTCCCAAAAACAAGAAATTTTCAATAATTTCAGATGGATACAATGTTTGATGTCCAATTCTATCTTTAAAAGTGACCACATAACTATACTTTTCCAAATATAATTTGTAACTATCCAGCACATAGACATTTTCAATCTTTCCCTCCATCCTCAATAATTCAGCCAATAATAATACAGGATATTTCATGATATCGTCCGAATGCACATCCCCAACAATTCTGCTAGATGACTCTACCAACTTATCACAATTTGGAAACTTGGCTTCATCTCCCACCTTTTGAATTCCACTCTTCAATTCCGACAATAAAATCTCCTCATCCCCATATAACATTACATTCTTATAACCAATTCCTCTCAATCTAAATCCCGAAACCTTTCCAAACAATTCATTCAAAACCAACGTAATTTCCTCCTTCGAAACAGAATCATTCATCAATTTTTCCAATTTTTCTCTACTCGAAACAATCAACTCTCCGATATGATATTCATCAATGATCGGAGTTGAAAAACTTGCTCTCACATGACTTTGATCGTAATCAACTCGAGAACGAACATCGAGCATTGTCTTGGATAAGGCTGCATCTTGTGTCTTGTTGTAGAAGAAAGTTCTCCCAACTATGCAAATACGTTCAGTCATTTTTTTTTTGATTTTCAATTTTTTTTTAAATTTTATGAACTTGTTTACAATTTTAGTAATTAACTTGGAACTCGTATTTACTCTAATATGGAATTTTGTAATGTTGGTTAACAAATTCTATATTCAATATTTTTGACCTTTTATTGTTTGATTTAAACATCAACTTGGACAATTATTGCCTTGATACCTTTCTTACTTGACATTATTCTGTAATCCAAGGAAATGAACAAAGTGTTATTGGAAAGATTATAAGAATTATAGTTTGATAAATTTGTAAATATGTTATGGCTACAATGTCTGATTCATATCTTCATCTAATTGGTTAACAAAAACAATTCCAGTCTTTTTCATTTCACTCCTCCTCATTTTCATTGTGCACTTCTTTATTGTCAGTGCACTCCTCCTCATTTTCAATATATTCTCCTTCATTTTCCATATACTCCACCTCCTCATTGACAGTGAATTCTTCGTTTTCGTTGTGATCTTCATTTTCAAATACTCATTGTCATTGTACTCCTCTTCATTTTCAGAGTGCTCTTCTTCATTTTCAGTATACTCCTCCTCATTGTCATAGTAATCTTCATTGTTAGTGTACTCCTCCTCCTTCTCATTGTGCTCTTCTTCATTGTCAGTGCACTCCTCCTCATTCTCATTATGTTCTTCTTCATTGTCAGTGTATTCTTCTTCGTTTTCATTGTACTCCTCCTCATTTTCAATATATTCTTCTTCGTTAGTGTACTCCTCCTCATTCTCATTATGTTCTTCTTCATTTTCATTATACTCCTCCTCCTCCTCATTGTAATAGTAATCTTCTTCATTATACTCCTCTTCAATTTCATTGTACTCTTCTTCATTATATTGGTATTTTTTAAGATCCGTTAATTGTTTCATTTCACTTATGTATTTTATTCCTTCATCACCAATATAATTGTTGCCAATATCAAGGTAAGTTACTTGTTTCAATTCACTTATGTATTTAGCTCCTTCATTACGAATCTTATTGTTACTGATATAAAGATAGATCAATTCCTTTAATTCACTTATATATTTTGCTCCTTCATCACGAATCTTATTTCTCTCAATATTAAGAAAGCTCAATTCTTTCAATTCACTCAAATATTTAGCTCCTTCGTTATCAATATTATTACTAGAAAGTCCAAGACTTGTCAATTGTGACAATTTACCAATATATTTAGCTCCTTCACTACCAATCCAATTACGAGAAATAATAATATTGGTTAATTGTTTTAAGTCACCAATATATTTAATTCCTTCATTGCCAATGCGATTCTCAGAAATATTAAGATAGGTTAATTGTTTTAATTCTCCAATATATTTAACTCCATCATTACCAATCCTATTGTTATTAATTATTAGATTGACTAATTGTTTCAATTCACCAATATATTTAATTCCTTCATTGCCAATGTGATTCTCAGAAATATTAAGATAGGTTAATTGTTTCAATTCACTTAAATATTTAGCTCCTCCATTACCAATCTTATTGCAATATAAATCAAGACTTGTCAATTGTGATAATTGACCAATATGTTCAAGTCCTTTATCACCAATATTAGTTCGAGAAATATCAAGTTGTTTCAATTGATTCAATGTACTAATGTATTTAGCTCCTTCCTTACCAATACGATTGTTATAAAAACCAAGAGAGGTCAATCGTTTCATTTTGCCTACATATTTACATCCTTCACTACCAACCCCATTGTTGGAAATATTAAGATATGTTAATTGTGCTAATTCACTTAAATACTCTACTCCTTCATCATAAATAAAATTTTCATCAATAGAAAGAGAGGTCAATTGTTTCAATTCACTAATATATTTACATCCTTCACTACCCACTTGATTTTGATCAATAATAAGAGTGGTCAATTGTTTAAATTCTTTTACCTGTTTAGTTGTATAACACCAAATACCATTCGCAGGAACATTGAGATAGGTCAATTGTTTCAATTCACTAATTTTACCAATATCACGAATATGACTGGAATAAATAGTAAGCCTCGTTAATTGTTTCAATCCACCTATGTATTTAGCGTCTTGTTCATCACATCTAATAATTAGTTCAGTTAATGATTTCATCAAGATTAATTTTTTGCAAGTATCACTTGTGGCACAAACATTAAGAGTTGCAATATTCTGTAAAAATTGGCCACCCATTTCAACACCATATTTACCATTCAAAGTAAGATGGTTACATGTTAATAAAATAACATTGAACCACTGTTTGGATACTAATGCACAATTCATGACAACAAATGTAAAATCATCAAGAAAGGACATAATTTCATAAATAATGTCATTCGGAAATTGATCATCTTGTTGCCACAAGTTCATATTTGTTTCCTCTTCTTCTTTTTGTGAAAGTTGTGTTGTGTGTTTTTCCATTTTTTTTTAATGTATTTGTGATCAACAAGTTTATGGTCAACTCAACATTGAAGCAGGATAAATCCATTCCGGGCAAGTGAACTTTACAAAAACATTCCGATTCGGAAGTAATGTACCTTGGTTACTATTCGGATAGGTTTAAATTTTTGTTCATTCCAGCATTGGAATTTGTAAAAATTGCCTTGAACTTTGGAAATTAAAGTTCACTATGGACAAAAATGTTGCAATCCTATTATGGAACTTTGTAAAGTTGTTGTTGGGTTGACAAATTAAATTCATTATATTTTGAACATTCCAATTCATAATATAATTTTCACTCTCCAAAAAAAATGATCACTTCTCCAGCAGCAGCCATTTCAAATCCAGAAGAAATCACGAATCATAAAATACCTAATCTACTGGAAACAAATCTGGAAAATTCACAAAAATTTGAAGATGAACAAGAATTTACAGTGGAATCAGTTTCCAGCATTTCCGATCGTTTATTTAAATTGACATCTTGTACAAAGCAAATTGCAAATGATGATGAACAAGATGATTTTTTCGCCTCGATTGTAAATTCTTTTGAGGAAGAAGATGCGGACTTATTATTCGGAGATGAGTGTTGTGTTGTTAAGGGAGTGAAATATAGAATTTGGGATTGGAATCGTTCACAGCTTCCAAACTTTTTAGATTATGAAGCGTTTGTGGTGAGAAAGGGGTTTAGGATAATGTGTGTGGAGGTGTTACCTGTTGAAGTTTCGTATTGTTCTGAAATTGTGGAAAGTAGTGGAAAGGTTTATGCATTGTTTAGATGTGTGGAACATTATGAAACTTGTGTCAAGTTAGCTCAAAAGAGAACTAACATTATTCCAATTCTATGTCATTCGAAACTGTACGAACCCTCAGAATATGAATCTTTAATTATGGAACGAATTGATACTTTGTATTTGGGCGTGCATACATCATACACTATGGAAATTTTACAACTAATTTCGAATAGATTCTTCAAAGAAGATATTTCGTTTGCTTTATTCTTTAAAATTCCAGATGGTTGTACAAATGTTGCCTCATTTGCAAGATATTGTTTAGGTCATGAGCAAGTTAAACGATTTTATTCAACTTCATTATGGTTATTGGAAGAATATTTTGGAGTTATTGGAAAGCATCGATTAACTGGCGATATTCCAAAAAATTCTGGAAATACTTGGTAATCTTAATTCAGTATTTTACAAATTTGTTTTGTAAACTTTAAAAAAAAAATGGCGCAACATACAATGACCAACTTCAATACAAATAAAACCTCGCGGAAACAAGAAGAATTGATCAGGGAAGGCTTGCAAATTGTTCATTATTTGTGCGTATCAAGTTTGAGTTCCTTTTTAACGATGGAAGAACACGGCGTAATACAAAATACAAAATTCATCACGGATCGATATTGTTGGAGGAGGGACCAAGGAGGAGTTTCTGAAAATGTACAGACGACTGTTTGTTGTAGAGTGGAGAAGTTTTTGGCGAATGTTTCAATGAGGCATGTGTTCTTGTTAATGATGAGGGAATTATTGCTGAATGATAATAAGGATAAATATACAATTACTGTAGGTTTGAGATGAGAAGTGTTGATTGAATTTTTAATAGTCATCTGCAGAAGTGGTTAGTTTAATTGGATTGATGGCAAAACAATGTTCGAGATTGATGGAAATTGGATATTCAGGAGAGGATTTATTAACATCTATTGAGAAATTTTGTGATACTTGCAGAATGAGAATTATTGTGAGCGAGAGTAAATTTGAGGAGAAGGAGCAATTTTTGAAAATGATCTTGAAAGCATCAAATGAAAATGAGATGATGGAATTGGCTGTGGAAACATTGATGAAATTGAAAATTAATTCGGAAATTAATTCAGTGTCAATGTTGATAAGTACTGGAATAATTAATTGTATTAAAGTGATGGGATGTACAAAGAGTAGAATTGTTGATGGATTAGTAGTTAATATGAAGAAAAATAATTTACCTCTCAGTGGAAGATCTGGCAAATGTATTTTAATTGAAGGAAATGTGAAGGATTCTTCCATTATTTCAATTTTAAAACAAAATGAGATTGACATTATATTTTGCAATGGAGAAGTAGAAGAAAATTTAGCTATTGAAATGAGTAATAATGGAATAATATTTATTTCCCAAATTGACGATAGTAACCTAAACAAAATATCAGATATTTGCGGTATCACACCAATACCAATTTTAATTTTAGAGGAAATGTTAATTGATGATTTCATTTCTAAAGTTGATTTAGAGTCAATAATTGGATTAGATTATGAGGAAGCTATTCATCATGATGGAATGGTTAAATATGTAGCTATTTCGAATCATAGTGGGGAAAAATCACCGGTTATTACTTGTATCTTGAATTCGAATTGCTCCAAAGTTGAACTATTAGAGGAAAAGTATTTTGAATGTCTGGTTTTCCTTATTAATTCACTAAATAGTGGAGGATATCAAAAAAGCAAGCTCCATACACTAGTTTATTGTTTGAGAGATGTTGAAAATATTGAAACTCAACCATACCACTCAGAATTGAATTGTTGCTTACGAGATATTATTTGGTTTGGTATTTCTTCATCTGGTTATGATAAGAATACCTGTTGTAAAATTACGGATAATGTTAAGGAAGGTGATTATGTAGATCCTCAATATTTACACCTTTCTAATCCAACAGATACCATTTCTCTGATCAACTTGTTTGATATGGTACAATCTATTATGAAATTTTATCTCAGATCAGATATTGTTTTGGTCAATTAGCATGTCATATTAATAATTAACTCTGAATCTTGGTTTTCTTCATTGCTTTCTGTTGTTGGAGATACATCTTGCTCTTCCTCTTCTTTTTGAACCTGTTGTTCAACATCCTCAATGCTTTCTTTAACTTCCTCTACAGCTTTTGGTACTTCTGTAATTGCTTCTGTTTGTTGAATAGGATGTGTTTGTTGTACAACTTGATTTGGAAAAACTGGCTGGATAGTTGGATTATTTGGTGTGGCAGGTCGTATTGGTTGAAAAACGTGACCTGGCACTTGTTGACTGACAGGGTATCCAAATTGTGGGCTTCCTGATCCTTGATTAATTTGATTAACTGGCATGAATGGAAATGGTTGATGTGGCATTTGCATCATTTGCATCAATTGACTGTTTGTTGGTGGCACATAAACATATTGTAATGGCTGGCCAGGAATCTGCTGACCATATGGCATTTGGAATGCTTGAGGGTATTGATAAAATGAAGCCATTTGAGCTGGATCATAAGAGGGATAAGGAAATGGTATTGGAATAAATTGTGGCGTTTGGGGTGTTTGTACTTTTTCTATTGTCTTTTCTTTTGCTACCTTCTCTGGTTCTGTGGTTTTAACCTCTTCTTTTTCATCCTCTTTAGTTGTTTCAGAATTATTCCCATCACTCATGGACTCTTCTTCCCCGGTTTTCTCCTCTTCTGTTAGGTTTTTCTTTTCCTCCTCTTCCTTTTGCTTTTCTTCCATTTCCTTCTGCAATCTCTTCTTCTTAATTTTAGCTTTCATAGCCTTAATGGTCTCTGATTCTTCTTCCACTCTATTTGGTGTTTCTTCCAAACAGTCCTCTTGAGACCATACCTTTTTACTATTCCTGATACGAGTATCAAGATCATCTCCTTTAAAGTTAATTTCCACTGGCTCCACTTTGTCAATAACAATGATCAAATCTTTCTTCTTTGAATGTCTCTTGTGTGTGAGAAGCTTTTGTTTCTCCATAACCTCTTCCTTCAATTCTTGTGAATAGACAGGAAGTCCTTCCTCCTTCAAGCTTTCAACATAGGATTGCAAAAAGCTTAAAGAAGAATCCACTTTTGTATTTTCTTCAGAATAAATTAATTCATCCAAATCATTCAAACTCTTTGGATTGTCAAATTCACATAAGGACATTAATTGATACGTTCTTTCAAATACATCTTCATGTCTACTATTTTTCAGTGGTAGTAGGGCAGAGGTGATTCTTTCACCAAGGTCGTCTGGACTTTTGATTTTTAAATATACTTCCATGGATGAACTAATGATACAACTCTTCAATCTTGAATCAAAGTATAGTGATGAGTTTATCAAGCTCAAGAAGAGTTCAATAATATTCTCTTTGGATGGCTCTTCCTCATTTTCCTTGTGGTCATCTACATAAGAGCTCAATCCTCTCAACACATAAACTATTACAGTAAAGAGACAATTAGGAAATAATTTCGAGTCAGTATAAACTTGATCGTATAATAACTTGTAATACCTCTCAATTATAAAAGGTCCCAGCTCTTCATCCAGTTTAGTTTCATCTAAAATATTTTTTACAATAATATTTACAACTTGATCCTCAATAAGGGGTTGGTTTTTTGTGTTCTTTTCGTCTCCTACTGCTTTAAGAAAGTCAACAACTATTTCCACATACCAATAGTAGTCATCAGTGAACCTATCAAAAATATTTCTAATATTTGCTACCAACTCCTCAGCCATAAAAATATCATTCACAGAAATTACATAGGCCAGATATTTGATTAATCGATCGAGAATTGTCTTTGTATTGCTTTGATTGGCCATTCGTGTTAGCAATCTTGAAGTGAGTTTTTGAATTGTTTCGTCATTACTACTCAGAGAATCGATAATCATTTCTTGGTGGAGGGCCACCAATTCAGTATTATATCTCAGCACCATTCTTAACATTTCCAAGGCTGTGTATCTAATGTTGGGTACTTTCATGTCATTATTCCAAATGAATCTCGTTACAGAATCGTAAATAAATTGCAGCATGTGTTGTGAAGGATAGATATTGATTGCTGTTTTCACACACTGAAACATGATTGCAATACCAGTTGCATTCTCTGCTCTTTCAGCTTTTTTGTAAGCTGTCCGTATCAGCTCGTACAGTTCTTGGCTGGTACTCTTGTTTTGTCTTCCCAACAATGTGAATACCTGAAGGATTTTTATCTGAAACCATGGAGCTGGTAATTTTGAGTACATGTAATCCTGCTCAATATTGTATTCTATAATTTGATTGAAAATCGAGACAACATAGGATGTCAATTTTAAAACTTTTGGATCAATTGTCTTTTGACCTTGACTTTCGGTGGAGGAAGAATTTTTCTTCTCCTTAATCAATCTAACATGACAATCAGCAACGTAATCTGAAAGGAAACAAATGGTTGCTGATAACACCATTGGATCAAAATCATTTAACATTGTGTCAATATATTGTAAATAAGTTCCATTATAAGATTCTACATCATCACTTTCCTCCTTCTCAATATTGTAGAATGCGTGCAAAGTTGAGATTGCCTTCTTTCTCACCTCTGACCTCTGATGTTTCAATAAAGGAATAACAAATGGTAATACAGCAGGTATGGTTTCATAATTCAATAATTTTGAGGCAGCAATCAATGCTGAAAGTACAATCATATATCTCTTACTCCTCAAATCCTTCTGAATTGAATTAATAATCAGTAGAATCATTTCATGTTTCCTATGTAATATCAATCCAGCAGCCAAATAAGATAACCTCTTCTCATATAAAGTCAAATCATTCAATGCAATAAAGTTAACCAAATGAATTGATCCGAATTGATCAATAGAATGTCCCAACATTTCACAATATATTAACCTCAATAAGACATCCTTCATCTCCAATCGATTATTAATTAATAGAGGATCCTCCAATTTTTCCTTTAAGGCTTCTTTCATCGATAGCACAGTTTCATTCTCCGATTCTCTACATCTTGTCTTTCCAATCTTTGTGATGAAGGCAGCAAATTCATCAGAGACAGCATCACTCGTTGATTGTGCCAACAAGGCAGTATTGGAATTTGATGATGATTTGTTATTTGTTAAGGTATCACTCACAACTGAGGTAACCAAATTCAAATCCAATGCACTTCCCAATGTGCTTCCTAACCAATTGATCATTTTTTTAATGAATGTAGTAGGATGATCATGCTGAAATATATATTGCTTACTGTACGGTGATGATAATGATGAGGTCATACTGCAGCTTTCAACTTCGGAGGAACAACTTTTGAGTTTGTTTTCCATCACTTCTTGATGAAGGTTCTTATCATCATCGGCTTATTAAAAATTGATTAAAAAGATAAAAATAAAAAATGTCTTCCTATCAACAACAACAACAAGCTAGAGGACAACCAACAAATCCCCTGGTTCAATCCAAAGGAAAAGAACCATTTGTATTTCTAAAGGATCCAAATTCTATTAAGGTGGAAGGAAGTACATCTGTTGAAAAAGTAGCAAAAATTGGACGATATATGTATCAATGGCAAAGTGATAACATGTATGAATTACAACCCGAAGACAATGTTGCAAGAATGAGATTGGCTGCAATTAATTCTAATAATATTTTGAAATCCCTCTCTGTTGCTACTCTTGTTTCATGGGTTGCTACAGCTGGTCATAGAAAGGGAATGTACTATTATCCCCTCCGTGCCTACATCATCAAGAATATTTGTAAAATTAGGCCTTGGCGTACATTGAATCCATTCGCTTCATTTGCCGTTCAAGCAGGTATTTTCGCCTATGCTCTTGGATATATTGGAAACAAGAGAATGGAAACTTATACATATACTTTCTCTCAAGTACAAACACCATATGGTTATCAACTTAGAAAGCTTTTGGCACAAGTTGATGATCCAAAACATAGATACAGTCCAGGTGATTTGACTTCTGCTCGTGATTATGATGCGGATTTTGAAAGAAAGGTTGCTGACTTAATTAACAAACCAGCACATCAAGCCAACACTGATGCTGAACATCGTGGTGAAAATTCATCTCAACAACAAGAAAAGACCACAGTCATTCCACCAAGATACCAAAGAAAACCAAGAATTAACAGAGCAAGTTATTCATGGGAAGAAAAACCAGTGAAACATGAGGATGATATTCACAATAATGATCAACATTATGACGATGAACACAAGGAAGATGATGACCGTCACTAGATGAATCAAAAGTACTTGAAAAATTTTACACCATTTACCGAGGTGTTTGTACAAAGATTTAGGAAGGGTTAATATAATTGCCAAGGTGAATTCAAATTAATTGTTTTCACTATCAGCACACACATTTTAAATTGCTAGAGAGGAGTTGTTTCCAACGTAATTACCACATGTTCAAACATTTTTCAGACTAAACTTATGTTGATAAGAAAAATAAAACCTTTCAACATTTTCAAACTAACCGTGACCCTTCCTCTTTCACAATATTTCACCTAACCATCATGAACATTGTTCAAAACATTTCATTTTCCTACACAATCTTCAATAATAAATTCCACTTTCTCTGATTTTTGTGTTGGGTTAAAATCTTCCTCTTCTCGAGTGAAAAAAAATGTTCAACCAACCAATGTCCTCACCACCTCAACACTCTCCCACCAATAACAATAATGTCTTCAACAACAATAATAATAACGGAACGGTGGTACCTGATGGAAGTGTTGGTGGCGCTGCAATGACTTCCAATGTTGCTCTCAACCCAACAACAAACTTACAAGTCGTTAATGGTTCAACTAGTAATAATAGCCTAGTAACCATTCCAACCAATTCATCTTCATCAACAACAATGAACGTTAATGGCGGTGCTGCTAATCTTTCTGCCTTTAATATACCCAACATTCCATCATCAGCAACAGCCTCAACATTGAGTAACATTCCAACAACAATTGGTAATAATAACAATCAAGTAGGGGATAATATTTCCCAATTTATGCTTTCAACAACAAAATCTGTCCTTTCGAGCATGTCTTCTCCAACAATGAGTAGTAACAATCAAAATGCTCCTTTACTTCCTTCTCCATCATCAATTCAAGGATTGTTGCATAATAGTATCAATTCGAACATTAATGCATTGAATAATAATGTATCACAAACAACATTAGGTGGGATTAGTCAATTGTTGAATCCAACTACTGTTAATTTCAATCAACAAACAAGTCATCAAATTTCTATTCCATCCATGAATACAGCTAATCAAAATTTCACAAGTCAATTGAATAATAATGTCGGTGTAGTTGATCAACAAAGTAATCAATGGATGAATTTTAATCAATCTTCCAATAATTATCAAACACAAAACCCATCAAGTGTTCTCTCCATGAATCAAAATCCACAATTGAATGTTGTCAACAATGCAAACTCAGGTCTCGTAAACAACTTGTTGAATAACCAACAGCAAACTACCAATATAGAATTGTTTAATATGCTATTGGCATCTAATGGAAGTAACATGAACAGTTCAATTGATATGAACAATAATATCTATAATAACAATAGTAATGTCAACACCATGTTCAATAATGGATTAATTCCAACAAACAATATTAACCCAATGAACAATATTAACATTTCGAATAACATTCCAAACTCACCACCTATGAATAATAGCTGGAAGTCTATGGAAAATCCTGTATTAAGCCCAAATTCCTATAATAGACAGAACCAATTTACCAACCAAAATTTTGTCAACCAACAAATCCCTTCCATGAATATTTCTAATAACAATATGAGCAAATTCAACCAACCAAATAATTTAAATAACCAAAACATGTTTGGCTCATACAACATGAATAATATGAATAGTATGAACAACATGAGCATGAATATGAACAATTCTATGAATCGTGGCATGGGTCAACAAATTCAATTCCAAAACGTACAATTCCCACCAGTTAATAACAATCTAAGAGAAATAGTTTTCGAACAATCGGGATATGCAAAGAAGAGAAGAGATAGCTCAACTCCAAGTGCTAGCACAACACCAAGTAAGAAATCCAACACATCCAAAAAAGAAAAACCAACTCCCCAAGCTAAAACCCCTAAAACTCCTAAAACTGCTCAAACAAAAACCCCTCAAACAAAGGAAAAGCCAATTGCTAAACCATCAGTTCCTTCATCAAGAATTGATATTTTGAAACCTCTCCCAGATAGAATTATTTATTACATTTTACATTTTCTTCCTTCTTTCCCAGATTATGGATCTTTCTGTCAAGTTTCCAAGAGATTTTCAGAAATTTGTCAAGTTGCATACTTGCAATTAGATACTCTTTATTTGAAAAAAGTTTCAGGTGTCAGTAATGCTAAAGGTGCCATTAACAGATTTTATAGTATGAGAGAAGATTATATTGAAGATGTGGATGTTATTTCAGTCCGTAGACAACTCGTTTCAAAAGAAAATGATCCAAATAAGAGAAAGTCAAAGTTGGATAACCTTAAAGTTGAAAAGAAAGATGTAACCAAACTGGTTTTAAATCAAGTCAATGTTGATAACTTTAAAAAGTTATTCGAGAATTCATACTTGTCCGAATCTTTGAAAGATTTCACACTAATTGGCCAAAGGTTCAACTCTAATTCTTTAAAACAATTCTTTACTTCACTTCCAAAAGAAGTTGAAAGTGTTACACTTATAGGATGCTTGTTCACTATTGATCTTCCTTTTGCATATTATGCAAGTTTGAGAAAAGATATTTCTCCAAAGATGGAAATACTCTTCAGTGAAATTGTGGTGGTAGGTGCTGCTTCCAACGATGAAAAGTCCAGAAAGAATAAGAAAAAGAAATTGGAAGAAGAAAACCCTAACCCTTTCATTCCAACTTGGATGACTGTACAGGAACTCAAAGATTCTGTAACTGTTGATACATTGAAGAAGATTCAAAATCTTGGATTGGATTTATTGACAGATAGTATTTGTGATGGTATAAGTGGAGCTTGTGCCGCTTGTAGATATGGAGATATTGATTGCGTAAACTATGTGCTCAGACTGATTAATGCTGAATCTATTTCACCATCTGTGAACATGATTTATCAAACCCTATTGTTCAACAGGAAGAATCTCTTACCAATTATTAACAAATTTGTTGAAATTTTCCCTCGTAACTTATTACTTTCTGCTAGATTTACTACTGCTCAACAAAAGCAAAGTAAATCCAAGCCAACCACTTCTGAAAAGCTAAATTATTCATTCCAAAGTTTGTTGAGAGTTGATCAATCTCCATCTGAACTTCCAACTATCAGCAAACAATCCATCGAAGATAGACAATTAACACCTTACCTCTGTGCTTGTGCTTTTGGTAGTTTGGAAATTTGTACTCTCATTTCACCAGAACCAGTTTTACAAATTGACACTGATTCAAATACAGGACTTCATCTTGCTTGCATGAACGGAAATATTCAAGTTGCCAAGTATTTAATTGAAAAGAATCATTCTTTGGATGCAAAGAACAACAAGTCACAATCAATTTTGCACAGTTTAATGTTGTGTCCACCAGAAAAAGACTCTGACGATCTTACAATTTGTTTGCAAATGGTATTGGATAGGCTTGCACAAAGAGGAAATTTAACAGGCATCTTGAGTGCACGCGACCTTCTTGGAAACACATGTTTGCACTATGCAGTTGAAAATAGACATAGCGGAGGTGTAAAACTACTCTTAGATTATTATTCAAAGGGAGATTATGTTGAAAATTACTTGAAGATTGCTAATGCCAAAGAAATGACACCAATCTTACTTGTCTTCTTTAACAATGCTCCTAGAAATGACAAGACTGCCAACATTCTCATCTCTTTGATGAATAATAACTTTGAGAATAACTTTAAAGAGTTGATAATTAGAAAGGATGAAGATGGTGATGTTATTAGTTCCAAGACTATTTTCACAGAAATTCTTGAATCCGAATCATCATTTTCTACTTCTTTCCTCAATCAATATCTTTCTGTTATGCCAGAAAAGAAGGATTCTATTTTGAATTACTCTCCAGACAGTAGTTCTGCTTCTTTGATCTATTATTGTGTATCCTTACCTAAGGACACAACTTTACTTGTTAAATGGTTAATTGCCAATGGAGCTAACGTTCAACAATTAGATTCAAGTGGAAAAACTTTCTTGCATGTAGCTATTGAGAAGGAATCAATAGAAGATTTAGACAGTGTGATTGATAGTCTTTCTTTGATCTTGTCTGCTGAACAACTTAAACAACTCATTATGACTCAGGATAAGGAAAAGAAATATACAGTACTTCACCAATGTGCAATTTCAGACAAGTATGCCAAGTCATGTGCTAAATTAATTTCTGTCGGAGCAGATCCTCTTGCACTTGATGCTGAAAAGAATACACCACTAATGGTCTCTATCAGTTTTGCTAACTATGATGCTTCTCAGTACTTGTTAACAAATGAGTCCAAGAATTTCGTTAATGGAAATAATGTTTCTCCAATTATCCTACTTTTAAGAAATTCCAAAGATTTAAAACACTTCTTAAATGAAAAAGAGATTAATCAAGCAGATTACAATACCTCTATTGAAAAACTTGAAGAGTTAGCCATGAAAATGTTGGAATCTGGAGTTGATATTGCAAGTGATACTATTCTAGATTATGTAGATGAGGATAGACCAAGCGCTTTGATGTTAGCTATTGAAGGAGGTTTATCAATGGAGATTATTACCAAGATTGTTGAACATCCAGATGTATTCATTAATCATCAAACCGCCAAGTCACTTGTGACTCCTCTCCATGTTGCATGTGAAGAAGGTTATTCTGAAGTTGTTACTCTTCTCATTCAGAAGGGAGCTAACATTTTAATGCCTGATAATAATAAGGCTATTCCTATTGTCTATGCCATAATTCATTCAAATAGTGAAGCTATAGAGTTGATTCTCCAACACATTGACTCGTCATGTAAAATTAGAAAGGAAGCACCTAATGCTGAAAAATTGCTTGAAAGAGCTAAATTCTTTATTAGAGACTTGCCAGTTGAATGTTTGGAATCATTCATGTTACAAGCTGTTTCTGAAAATATTTTGGTAGATTTGCTAAATAGAATATTATCTTTGAGAATGGAGCAAAGAAATACGTCAATAGAAAAGGATAGAGATTACAAGATCTTTACTGACCAAGGTGCTAGTGTTTTGATGGTTGCTTCTCAAGAAGGAAAGCTTGAAGTTTTCAAATCATACTTGGAGTACATGTCCACTTTTGAAACATTCAATGGTGGAGAGTTTTCAGAAATTAGTGAAATTCTCAAACTAGGCGATCAATCCAATGATACTCTCGCTCACTATGCCTGTATGGCTCCTGATAATAATAAGAGTACAGCTGCTGTTATCAAAGAAAAGTTGGCTATTTTGGAAATTCTTCTCAAATATAGCGCATCATTGGATATTCAGAATGATGAAGGTAACACTCCATTGCATATTGCTTGCAGAGAAGGATTTACCCCTCTCGCCAAATTCCTATTGAAACAGGGATGTGACAAGAATGTTACTAATAATGATGGAAATACACCAGATACACTTGCTGATGATGGAGGCCATTATGATTTATTGGCAGCTTGCTTTGATGAGGAAGTTCCTGAAAAGCCAGCCAAAACTAAAACCTCCAATAGAAATAAGAGAGGTACAAAGAGAAAATCATCTTCAGAGTCTGATGATGAATTCGTTGCGTCAGATCAAGATGCTGATTCTGATGAAGAATCAGATGAGGATTCAGAAATGTCAGATGACGAAGCTCCAACAAAGACCATCCCAAAAAGAGCAACAAAAATAAAAAGAGAAATGTGAGCTAGTGTTATTTAATAAACTATTATATTTATTCATCATCATCTTGATTGTCAGCATCGTCAGAGTCTTGTGGTTTATCTTCTTTGGGTGTTTCTTCAGATCCTACTTCTTGTGGTGGATCCTTTTCATCATCCTCATAGAATTCCAAAGCATCTGGATCCGATTCCTCGTCTAATTCTTCATTCCTTGCCTTCTTAACTTGTATCAAACTTTCTCTGAATGAGACTAAGTTGGCCAGCCATTGGAATAGCAAGAACGCAACCGTCGATTGTTGTTTTACAGTTTCGAGATCCCACTTTGACATTATATTTTGAATTCTTCTAAACCTGGTTGGTTGATTGAGGCATGTTACAGGATCTAGAGCTATTAATTTTCTCATAAATGTAGTTGGAGTTCCTATTTTATCCTTAACCATATTCCAATCTTTAAGGTCTCTAGGGTTCTCTCCTATGGCTAATAATACAGCTTTAATTATTCTAGGTACACAAGTTGGTGGTCTAAATGCCTTCTTGATTAATGTAATTCTATCCTTTTCTAACTTGGTGATAAATTCCTTTGATGCTTCGAACATCTTTTCGTGAACAACTCTTTCTTTTTCAGCAAGAGCTTCTGAATGTTCCTTAGCTTCATTTTCTTGTATCTTTTGATCAACAGCTGCTTTAGACATTAAATCTTTCCAAATTTGTTCCAAAGCAACAACTTTTCTTTGTTCACTTTCCTTATCCTTTCGTTGTCTGTGAATAAAGTCTCTGACAACGTTTTGTATTCTTTCCACAGCTTTTTCCAATAATTTTCCTTTTGTTTCCATCCACTCCTTAAGAATTCTCTCATTTTCCTCTTCTTGTTTCCTTCTCTTTTCCCGCAATTGTTCTTTTTGTTGTTGATGAAGCATCCATAACCCCAGATACTCTATTGGATCCTGAGGCTGAGCTTCAATACATTCGGCAATTCCCTTAGCTAATAATGGAGCAACAGTCTCCTTCAGATATTGGGCCATTTTTTTTAAAGTTTGTTTTTTGAGGGAGGTTGATAAAAAACGAACAAATTGTAGTTTTTGGCGCCAAACAATTTTTTGCCTTTAAAACAATTAGTTTGAAAATATTTTTTTATTTACAATTCTGTTAATATAAAATTTACAAGAAGGCATCTCTTTTACGTTTTCCTGAACTATTCTTCCTTGTCGATGATTCCTTTTCCAAATAATCTTCTTTTTGTCTTGCATGTACATCTTTGATATTATCCATATTGACATCTTCTGAGAATTCAATTTTTAAGGTTCTGCCATACAAGTGACTATGTTTGAGAGCTTGGTAGGCAGCATGACATTCTTTTGGTGAGACAAATTCAATAAAAGCGAAACCTCTGTGAGAGTTTGAACCAACCTTCTTTGGTAAACGAACTGTTTTAACTTGACCATAGGCACTAAACAATTGGAGTAAATCTTGACGAGTAGCTTCGAAAGCAACGTTTCTGACAACCAACTTTTTGAAGGTAACAGTAACACCCTTTTCTTCATCCTTGAATGAAACATCTTGCTTTTTGAGTTTTGGTTCTGTTGAAGTCTTTACATTGGATTGAATATTTGAGTAGTGAATAACTAGGATGTGGTTATCTAATTGGGCATTGTGTAATTCCTCGTGTGCTTTAACAGCTTCTTTAACATTGTTAAATTCAGCGAAACCAAAACCTTTGCTTTTACCATTTTCAACAACAATACGAACAGATCTTGGATTATAACTCTTGAATAATTCTCTGAGACTGTCTTCAGTTGTCTTAAAGTTAAGATTTTTGATAAAGAGGACGGTGGATTGTTGATTATCGTCACCTTCATCAGCAACTCTAACTGGACCTTCCTTCTTCTTTTCTTCCTTCTTTTCTTGCTCTTCCTTCTTCTCCTTCTTTTCTTCTTCTTTCTTTGGAGGTAAAACACCTTCTGGAGCCCATTGAAGATAGAGTGGAACATTGTAAAAATTCTTATAAGCCAAGTGAGTGAATGCTTGTCTTGCTTCAACTGGTTCATAAAATTCAATGAGAGCAATGGTTCTTGATGATGGAATAATTAGTCTGGAAATTCTTCTTGTTTTGAAAGCAAAGAGATCATAGAGTTCTTGTTTCAGTTTTTCAGTATTTTCATTGAATGGAATATTCTTGACGAGGATGGTGGTTCTAGATTGTTTGACTTGGTTAGCAGGCTTATTCAATAAATCCAAATTAATACCGTGATCTTGGAGTTCTTCCTTAGTTTGTTTGATAAGTTCAGTTTCTGCCAAGGCCATCCTCACAGCAGCATTATCATCTACATTTGAAAAATCCTTGTTATTCATCAATAATTCGCTCTTTGATACACCTAGTTGTCTACTCATACTTTCCATGACAGTATTAGTGGCCATATGTGTTGCATTCCAATTATGTGATGATCCAGCTTGTTCTCTCAATTTCTTGAGTTGTTCTCTTTTGAATTTTGATTTACCCAAGAACATATTTTCCTTCTCTACATTAAAGTTTGGCTTCTCCTTAGCTTTGGCAATGTGAATCATTCTTCCTTGGAAGATTGAGTTATGGAGAGCCTTTTTGGCCTTGTCAGCATTTTCTGGGATCAAGAAATGAACAAAGGCAACACCTCTTGAGATTTTGGTTTCATTATCAATTGGAATGTGTAATTCGGAAATTTCACCAAATGGTTCAAATAATTCCTTCAATTCGTCTTCTGTTGTTGTAAAGTGCAAATTGTAAACAAACAATCTTCCAGTATCTTCATCATCATTCTCATCAAAATATAAAACGTCTTCCTTTTCTGCAGGTTCTATCTTTGAGTCCTCTTCACGTTTCTTCTTTGTTGCTGATTCGTTATTATCGTCCTTCTCGTTTATAATTTTATCCTTCTTTAATTGATCATCAAATTCATCTTCAAGATCGTTTTCCCAAAATTTAGGAGCTGATGCCTTTTTCTTTCCGACATTAAGAAATTGGTCCACTTCTTCATTAACGTCCTTCTTTTCAAAAGTACTCGATTTAACACCTGATGCTGATGTGGCTGCTTTAACATTTGAATGTTTACTCCTTGGAGCATCTAATCTCGAATCATTATATGGCAAAGCAAACTCCACAATAATTTTAGCCATACCAATAAAAGTTTGATGTCTTTCATTGATAGCATGTACAGCTTCCTCGTGTTTCTTATATCCTATATATCCAAAACATCTACTTTTACCAGTCTTGGTTTGCATAATCTTGGCATCGGTTACTTGTCCAAATTCTTCAAATAATTTTTTGAACTGTGAATTTGTTACATGTGATGGTAATCCTTTGACAATTATTCTCGTTAATTTTAATTCCTTTCCGATTTCCATATTCTTCTTTGATGAAATTTCATCGGAGGCAGAATTTCTTCCTTCACTCATCATAACGTCCTGGTCATGGCTCATTTTTTTTTCAGATTCAAAATCATTTTGAAAGTTTATTTTTAAATTAAAAATGTTTTAAAAAAACTAACACCTTGCAAGAGAGCTTTATGACATTTTGGAAGTGACAGATATTGGAACCAACTAGTAGCAAGATAACACTCTATCAGTACTCTAATATGGCCATTCAATGCATGCATTATACGACCACACTCTTGGAAATTCACTTGTTTCTTTCTGTACAATCTCCTACACTCCTCTGTGCACTCCACGCTCATGAAAATCACCAATTTAGAAAGAAAAAAAAAAGAGATAATATCTTTTCAGCAACCCTACTTTATAGTATCCATCTTTTATTGTACTGTTGTGGAGGGAAGGGGTCGTAATTTTAATCGTTTATTGTGGAGCGGCTTTTTAGCCTTAATGAAAAGAAGAGATCCAACCAACTCGAGTCAAATCATTAAACGAATTGTTTGATCAGAGAATGTTTAATGTTCAAAAGGTGCGGAATGATTCAATCTTCCTCCTTGTTGTAATAATAGTAGCATTGTATATTAGTGAAATTAGTAGCAATGGTGTTAGTTGCTTTGCATCAACATTTGAAAGTGAAATGATATCACAAAATCTTCAACAGCAAGATGATGCACTCAATAATACAGTATCACCTTCGTCTTGCCCTTACATGATTTATGGAAAACACTGGAGAAAATACTTGTATGCTCCCGATAGTAAGAATCATTATTCAACATCTGTTTTAGATAGATTGACTAATATTTACATTCCACTCTATAATCAAAGTGAATGGACCATAAGGTTTAAGGAGCAACCAAATCCACTTTCATGTCCTGCATTATATCAACAAATACCTGATGGACCAATGTTGTCCCTTTTTGATCCAGATGAAGATGCTTCTTATCAACATGGAGAGAAAACATATGTGTGTGATCAGTTGGATTTCAAAGATAATTTAGGAGATGTGTGCGATCAATTATTATGTTTTTCTCAAGGGGAGAAGGAAAAACTATTTAATCAGGAAAAGAAATTTGGAATTAACCTAACTGAATTGATACCCACATCTTTGGATGACATTAAGCAGGATGAATTTTTTGGAAAGAGATTAACACTTTATTTTGTTTCGAGGTATATTGAAAGTATTGAATCAAGAAAATTGATTCCACAGGAAGATGATTTCATTTCTGACGAGTATAATGCACTTCTCAATCAAATGATTCCCTCTTTCAATCATAACTTTTCGTTTGGCTTTGAACTTGTTGATGTTTTTTCAGCTTGTAGAGCTTGTCGTGATTATAGAAAAGATCCTGTTATTGAGAATAGAGATATCTGTATGACTATTGATTATCCATTCTCCTGTGAATCATCAGAAGCTACTGAGGAAGATCTTGAAGGAGTTCCAATGAGTAGTATTGGCAAAATTGTCACATACAATATGGCTGGAGATTATTCTTTTTTCCTTACAGGATATAGTCTTTGCTTTTGTCCATCACGGGCCACGTTGCTTGAACAAGGATCTGATGTTAATGTAACTCAGTCAGATTCAATTATTAGAATTGCCACAAAATGTGATTACTACAATGATTTGTGGTATCCTGCCTACGAATCAGGCGTTCTAAGAAAAATCTATTTAGCATTCGAGCTATTGGTATTTTTAATAGCAGCATTATTGATTTGCATTCCTCTCACAGTTCAAGGTATTATGGAACTAATTTTGAAAATATCAAAGAGTAATATTGAAATCCCAAAACTTCACAAAGCATTTAGAAAGAGAGGACCAAAGCAAATCAACAAGGTTCTAAGGAAGGGAGTTTATTTCTACAAGAACAATGCTTCCTCTGCCATTGGAAAGAGTTGGATGAGAATATTATTTAATATTCGATTTATTTCTGCGATAACACTGGTTTGGGGAAGTATTAGTTTTTTAGTGGAGAATGCCTTATTCCTTGATACTGGGTTTTCAATTCATAGTATTCACTTAATTGTGAATGGATACGCTGGTTATTATTCGAGTTTATTGTTTGTATTGGCATTATGGATCGATACAATGATTCGAGTTGAAAAGAATAGTCACAACATTTCGCTAGCGATTGTCATTCCACTCTCAGTGATCATGGTCTTTATCCTAGTTAGTTCTCTTGTATTTGTCTCGTTTGAATTATCAATTCATTTATTCTATGGAATTATGATTTTCTATGCTTGTACAACATTCATGTTTGTAATGATCATGCTTTTACTGGTAATTTATGGAGCCAAGATATTTATCAGATTGAAGGTTCCCTTATTTCAATTTAAGGTAAGTGCTCCACTTTCAAAGGAGACTAACACACTTTAAGATTACAAAATTCTTGATACTCCTCCTCTCATTCGGAGTGCCAACCGTATTGTTCATGATATTTTACCTGGTCCAGAGACTTACTCTTTCACAGACAGGATTCTGGATATCCACAAGATTTTTCAGCTACTTCCTCCATGATGTACTCTCCATTTGTTTTACAGGATTGGGTTTTGCCGTCTCTTATGCACTATATCCTTCCAATAAGGTTGTTGTCGAGTCCTACAATTGTGTCATCTATCTATTATTGTGCATGATTTGTGTTGGGAAAAGAATCAAAAGATATTTAAAAGAAAGGGAGCTGGTAATTCTTCGTCAAGTATTTGTCAATAACTCATTCCAAGCCAATGTACAACCATATGAACATATTGACATTTCTGATATGATACAACAACAACCAATTACATCCTCAATAGAAAATGAACATCCATCCGAAGGATTTGCCTACGACGAAGTGAGCTACTCACGCTTAGAGTGAGATGAAAAAATTTGTAAACCATGGATGAATTAATGGTGAAGATTCTTCTCAAAGGGAAGAAAAACAAAACTCCGAAGTCCACCCAACACTTGAGAGCTTTAACTGAAACTACTCTTCAACAGTAAGAAGAAGAAGAAGCACTGAGAAAATCAAGGAGATTGAAAAAAATCAAAATATTGTCGCAACAATTATTACCATTACCACATCATAATAGACAACATACCATTGTTCGATATTTGATTTAAAAAAACAATTTCACGTCATCAATAACAACAACATCAATGGAAAATCAAGAGAATTTCAACAGCTCTTCGATAGGATATCAAAATGAAGAGGAAGCTGCCTTGCAACAGCAAATTCAAGTCTATAGAAAACAACATCATGACCAAGAATATTCGGAAAATGATGTGGAAGCTGGTGGAGAAGAACAGCAGGAGGAGGCTGCTCCAACAACATCGGAACCTGTTCAAAATTTAAGTTGTACATTTGGCAGTGTTGTTGTTTTTATATTTCTAGGAGCTATCTGGGGTAGTGCTTGTAAGTTGATTTGAATATATATATTCTAATTATCATGATAATGTGTCTGTCAAATAGTTTCATGTAAGTTGATGAAAATTATTTCGAATGCTAACAAAAGTAACAGTTATTAAATTATCTGTTGATCCAAAGTTTGGTTTCAGTGCATTTAGTGTAGTGTTTTTGCGTCTATTGATTGGTGGAATATTCATGTTAGTGCTGTTCATATTCAATTTTGTGAAGAGCAAGGAATTTAGAACACAAGTGAACAAGCATAGAGGAATTAAGACAATCTTGATGATGATGGTATTGGGATTTTTCAACAATGCTGTGCCATTCATTCTTGTTGCATTTGCTGAACAATCTATTAATTCAGGTATTGCATCAATTCTCGACAGTTCCATTCCATTATTTTCCATCTTTATTGCCCATTTTACATTGAAAGGGGAGAGAATTACCTTTCTTAAATTAGTGGGATTAATTGTTGGTTTTGGTGGAGTCATTTTGGTTTGTTTACAGCAAGTCATTATAGGTGAAACACCAGATGATGGACAAATAGTTGGCTATGTAACTGTTACTCTTGCAGCTGCTTCCTATGGTGTTGCTTCTGTGATTTCTAAAAAGTATTTTGATGGTGTTCCAAGTTTGTTTACTGCTTGTGGTCAAATTTTCTCAGCTTCACTCTTTGCCTTACTTGGTGTTTTGATTTATGATCTTGGTATTGATGAAAGACATTTGAGCTATTTCAAACATGCCAACTATCTTGCTTGGATTTCAGTTGCCTATTTGGGAATTGTTTCGACTGGTGTTGCCTATGTCTGTTTCTTCTATCTAATCAAGAAGATTGGAAGCACAAAACAATCTTTGGTGGGTTACCTTTTGCCGGTTCGTATTATTTCAATTATTTAGATTAATAGTTTATTTTGATTAATTTACTAAATTTTAATAGATATTCGGTGTTGCAGAAGGTGCCATATTCCTTGGAGAATGGGAAAACATCCCATTCTATATTCCAATAATTGAATTTGTTGGCATGTTTTTGATTTTTATTGGAATTGCGATAGTTTCCATTCCTTCTTGGAGAAAAATCAAAGAATCAGCTAAATTCGTTTCAAAGAGTTCAAAAAGAGATAAGGATATGAGTGATGCTATTTTGGACCAAACTGTGGAAGAATCAAGTTCTCTTTTGAATGGAGACAACAATCCAACAGAATATTATGACAGAACAAGGAGTATTCAATAAATAAGTATTGAATTCATAGATGGAATTTATAATTTAACAATAATTTAAGTAATTAAATTAATTAAAAAGTATTGATTTAAAAAATTAGGTTTGCTTGTTATTTAATAAGTTAAATATCTTCATTGGCTCCTGAAATGAATTCTGAAAGATAGTTAACAACATCACTTGCAGATGCTGTTGATTTACACTCGAATTTAAGGGTTTCTATGTCTTTTTTGGTTTCCTTCTTGTTTCGTTTCAGATGGGTTAATGCAAATCCATTCTTGCCTACTAGTGCAACATTGGTGAATTTGTCAACACGTATCTCTGCTATGGTCTTTTCATTATTGTCCTTAATATGTATCAACTTGCCATCATCAACAACATTTTGTCTGGCCATTAGGGTAACCTTTTTGTTTTTAAACTTCTTTACAAGCTCCAAATCAAATGATTGAAGGTCAAAGTATTCCTCTTGGTTATCATCATTTTCTCCATCAAATGTCGTATCATCAAAATCAGTTTCACTATGTATAATAACAGTTGGTGAATCTTCTTGTTGATTCCTTTCAAAATAATTGGTAATCATGGTTTCTCTTACACTACCCACTTTTAGAAGACTGAGTTCAACAGAGCTGTCACTATTTGTTTCACTGTCATCAGTATCTAACCAATCATCAGTTTCCTCCTTTCCAATAGAAGCAATTAAATTATCATCATAGTGAAATACTTGTCTATCCAAATTATAGGCAAATTGAATCTTGTTTACAAGGCAATATACAACTCGCAGAGATGAAAGAAATCTTTTTTCTCTCATTGATGTTACAGCATTAATATCTAGTGTTACCAAATCATTGAAACCATATTCATGTTTCAACGAACCAGTATTGAATTCCTCACCAGTAAGTGAAATATGTAACACTTGTTTTTGATTAAGTTCTAGCTTGATTATATATACAGATAAATTAATTTTGATAGAGACAATGTCTTTGAGATGGATCATCCATTGATAGTTTTGTGGTTTTCCACTAGTATCGTCAATGGAATCAAACCAAAGGAAATGGTTAGTGATATAGAGCATTCCTGTAGCTATTAGTGAATTTTCCTTATCCTTCAAGAAGGAAGAGAACATCTTATCTATCACTCTCTCATCAGCAAACACAATAAAATCACCAACTGGACCTCGAGAAGAAAATTTGGAAATGAATTGGTTATAGTAAATTTGAGAAAATATTGAAATGAATTCATCTTGGGCACAATTCTCTAAACGTTTGATATTGTGGAAAGCATCGAATATTAAATTTTCCTTTTTCTTTACCTTCTTTGAATACATTGATTCTGCTTCGACAGGTATTGGAGTAGAAACCTTTTCAGATTTCTCAATTACTGTAAGTTCATCATTTTCTGTCAGGGGTTCAGTATCCTTTTCGTTTTCCATTAGGGAGTCATCAGTATTGCTTGTTTCACTTTCTTCATCACTTTCGAAAGGTTTCTCCTCTTTGAGAGGTGTAGGTTCAATATTTTGAACACTTGGCACATCAGTCTTGCTCTCTTGTTTGGCCTCTGTGAGAAGAGAAGGAAGTGCGGCAGAAGATTTGGCCCTAGATCTCTCAGCAATGTTAGGCTCTTCATCTGGAATATCACTCGTAAACAGTGTTTCTCCTTCTACGACTGAAATTTTCAATCTTGTAAGTTGGAAGATTATAAAACTCCACAAATTTCTATCTGAAAATCTAAATTCAATCTTATTGCTTTGAGTGTTGGCCATAGCAGAGAATGAACCCTTTTCTTTTGCTTGATGCAATATATCAAATTCAAATGAAATGTGAAAACTCTCATCTTTTCCTTGTTGAGTAGCTTTGTAAGTTACACGTTTGGCGTCGTTTAAATCTGCCAAAATAGTGGTTTCCTTTCTGAGGATGGTACTCTTGAAACCAATCCAGTAAATATCCTGATCAGAATTTACAACAATATAATACGTTCCTTTGAGGAAAATTGGAAATCCTCCAATAAATGGTTGTGGTTTTTCATATTGACATGTACCTTTTAAAACATAATCAAATGTGGAAGAATTGGAACAGGACTTGATTTGCGTGAACATATTCTTGTATGATTTTTTCACTAAGGCGCTTTGAATATTAATTTCGGTTTGAGTTTCGAAAAATAGCTTGATAAATTCGTCCAGTGTTCTTTTAGTTTCCTTTTCATTGAGAGTGAATGTTGTTGTTAACTGCTCAAATGGAGTTGTGGAAAGTGCACTCGTTGACTTGATTTTCCTCTTCTTTTCTACAGCAGAGCTTAAATAATCCTTAAAGTTTGGTGCACTCTTTTTAAGTAGTGGCACTTTTTGCAAATGTAAAAATGGAGACATTAGTTTTGGTTTAACTAAATGTATAGAACGAGCTGCTGTTGTAATCTTCTTAATCCAATCGAACATTTGTTCTCTGTTTGATGCTGATAAAAACAATGTTCTATCGGCTGTCACAACCTTGAAAGTGTTAGGTTTAGAGCTTCCTTTTTCAGGGGCTTCACCAACCTGTGTAGATTTAGTAATTGGGAAGCTCTTGATGGCTTTGGTTTGTTCCTCATCCTTGTAGTATTCTATTCTTGTTGTGAATAATTTAAAATATCTCCTCTAATTTGATTTTAAATAATTTCTAGTCAACTAGATATCTTACCTTCCAATTGTGAATATTTCCTCCCTCTTTCACTAAATAACCTTTGTGAAGAAGTAAATCCTCGTTATATTCGTCTGCAGTTCCAGGCATTAACATGTTATCATCAGTTAATTTAAAGTTTTCTTTCGAAACCAAATTTTCTTGATCCATAATCAATCCGAATTGTCTTTTATCATTTTGTTCCGAAAATGAAGACCTTCTCTTTTCACCATTTTCCAATGATGATAAATCATTTAATTTCGAATCATCACTTCTCCTTCTCTCACCCGTAAATGTACTACTCTTATCAGGAGGAGCTTCCTTCTTCTTCCTAAAGGGTATTCCTAGAGAGAATGTTGATCGTGATGTTGTTGTTGCCGACTTTTTCTCTTTGAATTGGTCCGAGTCTCCAGCTTTTCGGCCAATCAGAGTTTTTCTCATTTTTTTTAAAATTAAAAAAATAAAACAATTTAAAAAATGTTTTGGCAATGGTGTTGTGGAGTTTCTTCTCCGTAGAAATAAAAGAAGACGAATGGTTTGTGGATCAGTAACTCAGAAAAAATAACTCCCTGGACAAAATTTACAAACCTCAGTTCCAAACACTAATGATTTTCTGGTATGATCTCTGTAAATTAGAGAATCCCAGCTGTTTTAATACTGACCAAGTGGATGATGGTTTGAGCAAGCTTATTAAAAGATAAAATCAATCCAAAAAGAAAGTATTCCATAATAGCAGGCGAACAGGTGCCAATTTTTAACTAAGGATGAAACTTTCTGTTCAGGTTGAGTAACCTTCACAGAATTCTGTAATCAGGAAGGATCTCAATGGTTTCGCCACTATTTCGTCTAGCTCATATTTTCCGATAGGAGAATAATCGTGAAATGGACAATTTGCATTGAAATCCATCTATTACAATCACTCAAATTTTTCAAATGTTCATCCTCTGCTGTAATCAAAACAAAAAACATAATCTTCATTGTATCAAGCTGATTACATTGAAAACAGGTGAAAAACTCTCAAAGTAATGATTTTCAATTACAATTTTACTGAGAATTGAGAACAGTATCAACTGTAAATTGAATTATCTACAGTAATCTACCTCAGAGCTCTTGACATGTTACAGCTACAGTAGACATGAAAATTTTTCAATATGGTTGGAAATGTTTCTTAATTTACCTATTGACAACTTGATTGAGTAGGTGAGAAGAATGTTACTATGTTACGAGGATTATCCATTTCCCTATCCTTCATTGTTATTCGAAATAGGAAGCGAATAACGAAGATTCATGATAAGAGGAGTTATAGCCCATCAGTTAGAGGACTAGTAAAGATTACAAGATCAACATTGATAACAATAATATCTACTATGGAAAGTCATAATTACATAGTACCTACTATTCAAGGTTTCTTATACAACGATAACGAAAGTTACAAATTCGAAACAAAGTTTTCACTTTTCAGTAGATATGTGCCGCACTTATTGACCTCTGTTACAACATTTCCAATTTCCAACTAATCCCAATCTACAGTTTTCAATTCTTACCATAACTGAGTTGAATCATGGCTAAATGTTGTGAATCGAAAATAACCAAGTAATCAAAATGATGTTATGAAAACTATCAAAATTATCCACTCATTGCAACAGATATGATTTTGATAATGAACCTAATTAGCATGTGTGTCCTAACCATGTATGATATTGTTATGGCGAAATATCCAAGACGGAAGTAGATTCCGTTTTCATTGACATGTTCTTTTAGATTTAATATGGTGTTTTTGGAAGTGATTCTCTTATATCTGCAATTTTATAAATTATCTTACCAAAAAATGTTGATGTCAGTTGGTATCAATTAATATATTGTGGTGATTTAATGAATCTGAATGTTGTTGTAATATTGTTAGAAACCATTGAAGAAAAATTAGTTTGACAACTTTAATCCATTCCATTGTCAATTGGTAAGTGTCTGAATACCTACACTTACAGAATCTTCATTATGGAGTTGCAACATTGCCGTCCTTAATAGAGATATCGTTTCGAATATATAGCTATGGATTGCAATGTCTCGATTGGAATGTGGCGAGATGATTTTCGTTCAATTACACCAATCAAAGAAAAACAACCAAAAGTTCATTTGTATTGATCCAAATCATTCAATGAAAATTGATATAATGGTTCGGGAAAGGCAGTCTTAAAGGTCCAAATCTATCCAACACGAACACCGCGTTTTTTGTAGTTGACTTGCTTTGACCAATTGAAGAAGGCAATCCAAGAAGATATTGAGAACATTCATGTGTGTGATCTTGCAACAAGTCAAGTACGTGTTGTGTATCTTTTGCATTGTTGAGTGATTCGTTGAGTGGGTGATTTGGCTATAAATGGGAGGATAAATAGGATACTTTATCATCCAAAAGATTATCTTGCTCGAAAAAAAAGAACACCCTCTAAACTCTCGTTTTCTAGATATCTTCGTTATCATTCGTTATCCTTGACAGACCAGTTTGACACTTGTCAATTTGATACTCTAGTAAACAATCTTATATCTCCAGAATCGAATCGCTCATAGCAACCGAGAGATTGCCAAACAACTACTCGACAATACCATTGTTCTTTTTTGCTATCAACAATACCAAATATTCACTCTCGTAAAATAACATCCAAAACGTAAGTTGTTGAAAATTCCACTACGATGAATAGCTTACCGCACGATCTTTGAACCTTCCAAACGAATAACTCTATGCTAATGTGTTATGTTGTGTGATCCATTGATTGTTCGATGTGCTCTTTCATGAAACTCTGATGTGGAACATCATTATCAAATTCACACATGTGAATGGCTCTGCTGAAACATGCGTGCACGTAAACTACTGTACTCCTCATCCAACCGAAATTCTTAATTGATCGAATGTAATTCTCTCACCGAACAAACATGACCTTACAAACCTTAATTATACTTCTTGATTTATTTGGGCTCGACTACGTTGAAACCTTAATCAATGGCCTCGAAATGTACTTCGCCCCTTTTTGCATTTGGACAACGTATTGCCCCTCTTTTTTCTATATAATCTGAACCCTCATTAATTAATAATACCTTCAAATTTGAGTAGAGATAGATTCAACACTCTCTAGAACGAAGAGCATTGCCAAATCTTGAAACTTGTTAAACACCTGCACACACACAACTTACCAACTTATCCTGTATTACACACAGCCAGCAGCACTTCACTTGTGTTATTAATCTTGCTTGTTAGAAAAAAAACAATTAATACCATTTACCAACAACTCACGTGTAGTATAATATATTATTGCCTTAGAGTAACTCCCCGCCAAGTCAGTTCATCCTTGATTTTCAATCATCATCATCAAGAACCACGAATACAACAACAATAAGAAGATTACATTGTTGTTTTATCCATCTCCCTAATTACAAAAAGTAACTCACTTCACGATCCATCACCCAGAACTGGAAACATACTTTCCATACTGATATCATATCAAAGAGAAGACACTTAATCCAAAAAAACAGCTCAGCCACTCATCAAGAATGATAACTACTACATCTAGTCAGCCATCAAACAGTCGATTGATTGCTGCCATCTCTCCTTTGGCCTCTAACATCCCAACTCCAAATATGCAATCAAATCCAGAGATAACACAAATCCCATTATCTATATTATCCAAACACTCATTGATGATTAATAGTGCTTTTGGTCAACATGTATCAACATACAATCTTGAAAAAATGTCTGAAAGCAAACAATCATCAACTCCTCTCCTTGAACCAAAACTTGCTTCAAGTGACATCCATTCTAGTACGAACTGTTATGAATTGTTCAGATTTTCTCTGAATAGTACTAAACATGCCACTAACCAAGCATGTAAAGTCAGATCATCCACTAGTAATAGCACAACTCTTACAACATGCTACTCCACCTCTGCCTATCAAAATCAACAACCACATTCCATTCCTAATGATCTGATACATCTTGCAACAATGACACCTGAAACATTCAAATCTAGTCAATCCAAATTGCCTATCATCAGAGTTCAAGAAGTACACTCTCCTATTAGAACAAGTCATTACTATGCTCCAAAGTTCGATCATTCACCTCATTTGAGTTCATTCCACCCAGTTGATTCCATATCTTCTCCTTCTCTCATTTCTCGTTCAAAGATTATTGGTGTTGTCTCTACTTCTAGGTCAAGCTCTGTTACTGATATTCATAGAAAGAGTCCAAGCTTTGCATCTGAATCCTCATCATGCAAATCACCAACTAGAGATGACACTCCAAAAGCCTCCTTGTCAAAAATCCAAAAACCAAAACATGCTACTCAAAAGAAGAGATCAAGTTCTTCCTCCTCAACTGATGAAGAAGAAGGGAAGAAATTCAATACTGGTACTTGGACAAGATCTGAACATGAGCAATTCCTCAAAGGTCTTGAAGAAGTTGGTAAGAACTGGAAACTCATTTCTGAAAACTATGTCCAAACAAGAAAGAGAACTCAAATCGCCAGCCACGCTCAAAAATGGTTCTTGAAATTGGCAGAGATGAAGAAGGGAGGATCTGATTCATCCAACCATTCTTCAGAAGAATTATATTTATAAGTATTCATCAACACCATCCTCAATATCATCACCCACAACATCATATACAACAACATTTGATTAGAAAACCCTAATCAAATTGTTAATCCCACACCTCAAATCATTCTACCCCCAAACCAATGTGCATAAAAACAAACAAGAACAATGTAAATAAAATATCAAAGATTTTACATACAACACAGATATTTATCCAAATATTGCCCAAATCTGCACTAATAAGGCACCAAATCAATTATCTCCAAATCCCTGTGCACAGCTACAAACACAGTTTGAGGGAAAAAATTCAGCGCCAAAGTAGAACGTTCAATGGTCCAGCAACCCACCCGTGTGATCCTGTTCACGAAACCAGTAAAGCAGTTCAGCATGATGGCGCCTAAATGATACTGTTACTTTAACTCACTTGGAAGGATTGCGCGAGAAGTGACTACGATAAACCATTTTTGTAAATTACAACACTCAAAACGGTATGAATCCGTAGAGCATTTCATTAGATTATATAAGGTATTTTAAATGTGCATTAAGATTTTGGAGCTTTCAAAGAGATATCCACAAGATTTTCTTCTTGTGATGTTTTTTGGGTGATACTTGTGGAAAACCGTAAGCAACATTGAAAAAGGGGAAATCCCACATTAATACAGTACCTTACTTGAACATTGTATGAAATGTTGTTCCTTGTCCTCTACTGATTCAATAAATATTAAGGATTTTATCAAGTGGAAGTGTTTTAGCTGGGAAATAGTAATTCAGTAGAAGTGGAATGTTGCTTTCAATTTGCTTCCATATTTTCACTTTAGGTTCATATTTCACAAACAAAAATACAACAACATTCGAATAGACTGAAAATGATGCTAAATTGTCAATTTGACGACGAAATTATTCAAACCTATGAAGAGATGAGAATGGGAAAGGGAGATCACAAAGAATTAAAATTCCTAGTGTTAAAAGTGGAGGAAAATTCTGTTCTGATCGATCACGACTTGACCAAACTTTCAACATTGGAAGAATTGACAAACCAACTCCCCGAAAAGAATACAAGATTTATTATTTATCATTTGGACTTTGAAATGCCAAGCCAAAATACAAATTCACAAGTCAAGGAAGGATCCAGAACTAAAATGATGTTTATCACTTGGTGTCCAAACGAAACTAATGTAAAGGAAAAGTTTCAAGTTGCTGCCATTGTGAAAACTGTCAAACACAAGTTGACAGGTCTTTCTACAACCATTCATTGCAGCAATAGAAATGAAATTGATGAAAAATCAATGATTGAAAAGTGTCTCACTTTTATGAAGTAATCCAATGAGATTAAATCTCTAATAAATGAAATTAATTCATTTATTCTCATTAATCCTCATTACAAGAATGGATGCAATCAATCATTGGAATCTCTTTAAATTGATTGGATTTTGTAAAATATTAATATTTATGATAATATATTAAAAAAAAAATGCAAGACAATTCACTGGTTGAAACTCTTCGTGGACAACTCATTACTCTCCGATCACAAATTGAAAATGATCAAGTCCATCATGTTTATTCCAATGATGAATTTCCATTTTCAAAACAAGAAGAAAAGAAAACATCATTAGGAATTTTTCAACGCTTTTTAAAATCAAATTTTAATTCTCCAAATGATTATATCATGTTTTTATCATCATCGGCTGGATTTGCTTTGGATTTTCAAGGTTTTTCCAATGCTAAAAAAGTAGCCTCGGAAACACAAGTCGAGTTGAAGAGAAAAGTTGTGGAATTGTTGGAAAAGAAGGAAGATCCAAAGCCTGTCCTGAATGAATCTTTGGATAAGGTCTATGATAGTTATAAAAAGTGTTTGGCTTTGGGAGTTCAACGACATTTATGTGATACGATCAGTAATTCAATGACCTCATCCTCATCGGATAAGAGTGAACCAGTGAAGTCCACTCCTCAGACTGCTGTTAATGGGGCTACTATTGAAAAAAGTAATGTTTCAGAAATTGTCAATCAAGTAGCAACAGAAACTGATAACAATACAGAGGAAGAATCTAGAAAAATTATGGAAATTTATGAGAAGGAAGTGGAAATTAAATCAAATGTAATTATATCAACAGCAATGGTTTCGATCATGATTCGTGGTGTGTATGATATTGCAAGTCTTCACAAAAAGGTTTCAGATTGTGTCAAGGTCTATACAGAAACACATGCCAATTACAAATCCATACTTGACAATACCAAAATGGATTTACTGTTTATCATTGATGATGTACTCGATTTTATGGATAAGAAAACATGGGAGCACTATAAGAGATTCATTAGAAATATTGAGAGTGTGGAAAGATGTCTCGAAAAGGAGATATTGTCCATGAAGAATGAAATCTCCAAATGCCAATCTCACCAAAGAACAGCTATTTTTTCAGGCATTGAAGGCAGTGTTTCTCTAATTTCAAATATTTACACTGGAATTAAATTCTGGGAATCAATGACCAGTTGGACTCGTGCCCTCACTCTTGGCTCAGTCCTTGTGAGTTCTGGAAAGTTATATCAGAGTGTGCAATCCTATAATGTTTTACAGGATTTAATAGGTTCATATGAAGAATCATCTGAAAGTTTCAAAAACTACAAGCAATCATGCATTCAACTGAGGGACATTGTAGATAAGCTTAATTGATTGGGTAAACAATGGAAGGTATCTAGCATGTTCAATACATAATCCTTATTATTACATACATTGGATATTTGGAATCACCCCTTCGCATCATATAAACAAGATCCTTATTGGCACTGAGAGAATGAACTATTCGCAAAGTTGGCGGCCTTTTACTATGTGAACAATCATTGAGATCTAATTTGAAAGCAGAACATATTAGTGTTGAACTTGAACATTTTAATCCTTCTTTTTATCAGGGATTGGAGCGACACTCCACAACATGGTTACCTTAGCAGTCAATTCTCCACTTTCATCTCTCAACTCTGCAATTGCATTAATACAAGGCTTACCATTAACTTGTTGCATTTCACTCACATCTGTAAGAATAGTTTCACAAGTGGCTGTAATTTTACCTCTCGATTTTTTAGGATATTCAGCCTTAATTTCAACAGGAATGGCTCTCAATTTTTTGGCTCCAGTTTGATTGGTGACTTGAATTCCACAAACTAAATCTCCCAAATTGACCAAAGCAGCAGCATGAATAGAGTTGAATGGATTCTTCATTGAATACTTTTCACGAATACTAATCACTGTCTTTTCATCACTCATTACTTCAATAGTTGGACTAATTGATGCAGTGTAAGGAGCAGAAAGAGAAATAATCTTGGACAAGTACCAATCAGCAATAGCACTCTTTCCAATCAATGGTAAACTATGAATGGTTTCATAAATCTTCATCGGACGAGCAGTTCTAACCTTTACAATTGGCAAGACATAGACAAGACCAAGAAGTGCAATCACAACAAGTAGAATTACAAACAAGTAGAACAACATTTCGATAACAAACTGCTGCTGCAGGTGATGAATAAGTAGTAACAATGTAATCAAAAATATGCAATTTTTTGATTTTAATTTTCCTATCATCAATGCTATTCTTCCTTGAAATGAAGAATTTTACCTCCGATCGGAATGAAAAGAATAAATTTAAAAAATGATGATGAAACGTGCTGTTGTGTTGTCTAAGCCTAATGTTAATTGCATTAATACAATGTTGAATCGATCATCAACTTGTGCATCATCACTAACTAAAAGATCATCACTAATTAATTGTGTCAATTTGATGAAAAAGCAAAAGGATCAATGTAATTTTCATACCATAAATTCACAGCAGAGAATCAAGTTTGAACAAGCCCTATCCGAAGTATCCAATATTAACTTTGCAAATGTTCAAGCCTTTCTAGAACAACAACATGATAATTCCCTGATGGAAATATTAAAGAAGATGGATTTTAGAAAATTGGCAACAAGTGGAGATTCTGCTATAGTACCAAGATCTACCTTTCACGAATACAATGGAAATGGAAACTTGATGAGGTTGTCGAGGAAACCTGATGAGAGTGTGAGATCTTCTGCAGTGATGGCATTGTTTGTGGAGAGGTGGAGTGAAAAGGAAGGAAGAAGGATTCCCTATCTTGTGTTATTGCAAAAGACACCTGCCAAGAAGAATACTAATTATCAACATGCTGGTATGTTAATTTTGTGTGAATTTGTGATGAATTAATTGTATACGTATGTATTAACAGGTCAAGTTTCATTTCCTGGTGGAGTTTTTGATGAAAAGTTGGATAAAAACTTGTTGGAAACAGCAATGAGAGAAACTTTTGAGGAAATTGGATTGAAAAATGTTGAACTGCTCAATGATACACTTCCTAGTACAACGACAGGTGCTAGGAATTTCAATGTTCAACCATTTATTGGAAGAATAGTGGATTGTGAATCTGAAATTCCATATCATTTGCAATCTGATGAAATTGCACATGTTTTTGAAATTAGATTATTGGATTTGATTGCCAATCCAAATGTCTCTCTATACGAACCACTTGGTAAAACTATTATGGCTCCAACATCAACACACTATGGACCTCTGTATCATTTGAAAAATATTCACTCCATTACTCACAACCAGACAATACCTTATGTTCCATTGTGGGGATATACAGCAACTGTTGTAACACAAATATTGGATGGATTGAATTTTGAACTGGCCAACAAGTAATTTATTCCTTCAGAAGAACTGTTATATGAATAATAATAATTTGAGAATGGTAGTATTGATTAGAATGAAGTTTGAATTGTGACACAAGAGGAAAATATTTGGATTTATTGATAAAGACCTTATTTATTTGGAGGAACTTTGTGGTATCTTCTCTGTTCAGAGGTTTTCACACAATATTCCAAAAAGGTCAATATCTTTTCTCGACTATTCAGCTGCTCATCCAACCCCACATATTCCAAGAATTCTTCAAAGTCCTGTGCATTATTATTCTTGAAAATGGCAACCTGTACCAACTCTTCCAAATCTTGTCCATCTTGAGTTTCAGGTGATAATCCAAAATTCAAATCATATAATCTGGCAACTTCATCCAAAGATCTTCCTGCGTGCTCCTTCTCAATTACTGTCTTTAAGAAAAAGACGTGGAACATTAGCAATTTGCAAGAAACCATATTTGCCTTCCAAGTCTTTTCAATTCGTTTAGGTTGCTCGATTGAAAGATTTGCCAATTCTGGAAACATTTTAACAGCCCACAACACATTTCTAGTGCAAGTTTCTTCCACAATGGCATACTTGACTGAATCCCAATTTAAATTTGCAGGTCCCAGCACTGACAGCAAGATTAAGAACTCACCCAAGTTTGGACAATTATATTTGTTTCTCAAATGTTCGCGATTAACGAAATTCTTGACCTTTCTTTCAATGGCATTGGTTGTAAATGGGAAGATTTCCAAGATATATAGCAGCCATCTGTGGAAATACAAATAACCTTGCAAATACTTGATTGAGGCATGTACTTCACCCTTCATGAGGTCAACTATCATTGAGTTCATAATCTTGCAAATCAGATCAATGTAGACTTCTGGAGAATTGAAGAGATCAGAGTAAGTCTTTGACTTTTCCTTGGTGATGGAAGGATGAGCATTGTAAATGGCTTTCACACTTGATTTGAATAATTCAAAGTCAGCATGTTTCTTATTGATAAAAATTGGAATCCAGAATTTGGTTTCAATTCCCCAAGCACTCTTTACAGCATTATCATTGTAAAAGGCATTTCTAGAGACTAGGTCCATTGGAGAACTGATATTATCAACGTAACCGTTTGGTTTAACTTCAACATTCAATCCAATTCCCAAAGTATCTTCCTTAAATGTGACTTTTGAATGGAAACATATTAATTCCCGTTCCTGAATGATTGCTTTGCTCGATGCAATACCTTTCAAATAGTGACATGTCTGTTCCACACCACTCTTCAAATCTGAAAAGTCTAAATAACTGAATATTTCTCTGATAATTTCTGGTGGTAATTTCATAATATCCAATCGATGGTTGAATTTCAAGTCTTTATATGAAACTATTTCAGTAGGTTTCACATTCAATAAGCTAGCTCTGTGTCTTAAACTTTCCATTACTTGATTTTGAGTCAATACTACTTCACCAAATGTGTTAGTAATCTTTTCCATTGGTTTTCCATTAATCATAACGATTGAAGTATTCGTTTTGCTCGATTTTTCTCCTTTGAACTGATTATCGTTTGATTTGAGTGAGGAAAGAACTTCCAATGTGCTGCTAGCTCCTTTCCACTCTGATTGAATAACATCCAATGTAGCAGTGGAAGAACCATTGATATTGATTTTCTTACTTTTGGATGATTTTGTTCTCAGTATTTGAGTGTTTCCAATCTCATTAGATGATTTCAATGCTGTTGGAATTTGAGAGTTTATAGAGCCCCAATGCGGAGCCCAAGGCCAAAACTTGGCATTCTTTGGATCATGTCCCATTTCAATGAGTTCTTTATATTCTGCATTCTTGATAACCGAAAATTTCGAATATAAATACTTATCCAACAAGAATGATTCTAATTGAAGTAAAATGGATAAGACAGAGTATGTGGAAGACCAAGCAGACCAGGAATCCCATGTACCGTTATACTTGTAAGGAACTGATAGCATGTCTAAACAAATATATGAACCAAATACATGAGGATGGGCAATAACGGAAAGACATTTCACATTTGGTGGAACAATTGGATAATTATCATTGAAAGTTAAGGTCAATGAAATTGCAGTACATGTACTAACACTCTCAGGAACCAGCAATGTTGCAAACCAATTGTACATGTCATATCCTTCTACTTGTCCATTATTCATAATTGGATATGGTTGGGCATAGATATATTCTAATGGATAATCGAGAACCTCCTTCCAATCTCTCATTAAACGTTTAACAGCAGATGAAGGAGATTTCGACATTTTTTTTTGATTATTTCTCTGAATTTCTTCTATATCGCGCTTTAATTGGTTTGGAAATTGTGTGAAGTTTCAATTTGAAAAAGGTGAAGTGACTGAAAATATTGTAAAGCGCTTTGAAAGGTAAAATTGATAGTGAAATATTCAAAAAGGTTAAAATTTAAAAAGGATTTTAAAGAGTGTGAAGGTAGCTTCGATCTACCACCTTAGATTCTAAACAGTGCCTACGTTCTCCCAATTAAACTATTCACACCCGATCAATCTGAATCTTAAAGTTTAACAATTTAGTTCAATAATCACAACCTGTGCACAATTTTGGTTTTGTTTTAATTACAAATTTACTCCTTAAAAAAATTAAGGGAAGAAAATGTACTATTCACTTGTTCTTCAGAGAAAACTACGAGTTTGACAATTTTAAGAGCCTTATTTACATCTATTTTAGCAATGATCACTTGTTGCGAATCTTCCATATTCTTATTATTTCATGGACACAGGTTCGATAATACTATGAGAATTTCTTTCAAATTATGGTGACGTAATTCAATACGTCACGCTATTGTCTTCTTTATTTAGAATGAGTTCAATAGAACAGTTTACAACAATCCAATAAAAAAAAATGAGTGATAACAAAAGATCAACTATTCACACTCACGGAGGATCTTCATCAAATGTTGCTTCTTCCTATCTAAAAATTCTAAATTACAATGTCAATTTCGTCTATGCCACCAAATCCAAATTAGAATCAAATGCATTATTTGTATTTCATGCACTCTTCCGATCGGAGGCTGATGTAATTTGTCTACAGGAGACACATGCTGGATATGAAAGTGCTTTTAAACAAATTAAATGGAAGGACGTTAGAAATTTGGATCAAAATTTAAATGGAAATTTAGATGAAAAATTCAAGGAGGAACAATCATTGATTTCACTCTATCCACATTATGTTTTTTATAATCATGGTGCAGCTGGAGGGATGGCCTTTCTGAGCAAGTATGAATTTTTGGAAAATTCTCAAATAACTCTTGCGACAAATGCCAAGGATCAATATGGAAAGAAAGTTGTGGATGGGAGTTGGTTTCCAATGCATTTGATAACAGTAAAGGTACCTGAGAAGACAACAGGAAATGTGAAACAAGTACTGTTGGTAAATGTACATTTGAGACCTCCTTTGAATGATGATGGATCTGCAAGTTTGTGGACAGCTCGAATGACAAATGTCTATCGCTTGAATGAAATCAAATATCTATACAATTATTTAGAGGGAATTGGAATTATTTCATTCGGAAATACCACTTGTCCAATAGTTATCCTTGGAGATTACAACGAGCATGACAATGATCCATCGTGTGAATTTTTGAAATTATCAAATCTATTTCAAGATGCCCTTAACGAATTTGTTCCACAAAATAGAGAAACTCACAGATGGCCTCTCAAATTCGTATGGGGATTATACACTTATTGGTGGCACAAGAGATTGGATCATTGTGTCTATTCGAAACAATTTTTCAAATGTTTGGATTGTAAAGTCATTGATGGCTATGAGATGAATGCAAGCGATCACCAACCTGTTCTCACAACTCTAGAATTTCAAACAGAATCTCACTCCAATTTGTAAACAATTTAATGATCTAATGATGATATGACCAAAAGCAATAACAATTATTTCTAATTAGAAAACTTATTTTTAGCAATTTTACAAAAAAAATGGTGAAAGATTCATTCTCAGATTTGCTGATAAATTTTTTGCCTTCCAATGACCATCAGGTCGTATTTAACAATTCAGCATCCGAAACTCTGAGTTTTATTTTACTTGCAAACCATTTTTCGGCAGTCTGCAAGGAACGGGTTTCTAAAAACAACAAGATTTATGAACATGTACAACAATTTAAGAAGAGAAAGAACATTCCAGCTTGTGAATATATTCAAGATCATCCATTTCCTGACAATGATTGCAAATTAGCCTTTTTAAAAACTCTTAAAATTGAAGGACAATTATTAGAATATGCATCAGAGGATTTGCAAAATGATGAAACTGTTGCTTTGGTAGCACTTCGAGAACATTATTCGGCAATTAAATTTGTTGGTAAGAAATTGAAAAGCCAAAGAGAATTTATCTTGAAAGTGTTAAAATTGAAATCAAACTTATATTATGATGAGGAAATTTTATTTGAACATCTCCCAGAATTTCATAATGATGATGAATTAATGAAATTAGCTATCAAACAACAACCAAAATGTTTAAAATTTGCTTCATCCCAATTGAAAAATTCTAGAGATATTGTGTTGGAAGCAGTGAAACAAGATGGTTTGGTTATCGAGTATGTTCCAGAACATTTAAAAGATAGAGAAATAGTGATGGAAGCTATCAAGAATTCTAAATATTCGTGTGTTCTCCAGCATGCTCCAACATTTTCCAATGACAAAGAGGTTATTTTACTAGCTGCTAAAAATTCAGGGTTTTCATTTTCGTATGCGTCTGAAAAATTAAGATCAGACAGAGAGTTTGTTTTACAAATTGTAAAAATGAAAGGAGACAGTTTGAAGGATGTTTCAAAAGAACTGAAGAAAGACAAAGAGATTGTTATGGAGGCTGTAAAATCTAATGGAATGGCTTTGTATTATGTGGATCATGGTTACTTCTGTAGTGATAGAAGTTTTGTGAAGGAACTTGTATTGCTTGGTTCTTCTGTTAATTCTAGCGCATTCTCCAGTAGAATCGCTCGAGAATTAATTCATGACCGTGAATTCGTTCTAGAATGCATTTCAGGAGCAGGTAATTCATTAAGCTTTCTTGATTATGGTGGTTCGTCTCTAGTTAATCATAGTGATTTTGTTGATGAACTAATTGATATTCAATGTCAGTATAGTTCAGCAATGTGGACTTCTAAAGATTATTTCAATTCTCTTAATGAGGAAAGACAGTTGAGAATTATTAGAATAGATCCTGTATGCTTAGAACATTGCAAGGGCGAACTAAAAAACAGTAGACAACTAGTATTGGACTATATATTACAAGATCGTAAAATTTTAGAATCGTTGAACGACGAGTTAAGAAATGACCGAGAAATAATCAGGTTGGCGATAAAAGAACATTACGGAGCTCTAAAGTTTGCATCAGCGGAATTGCAAAATGATAAGTCATTGTTACAGGAAGCACTTTTATATGATACTGGTAATTATAATTATGCATCAGAAGAATTAAAAACAGATAAGGAGATACTAGAGTTTTTAATAGGTAGAGACGGATGCTACTTTGAGTATGCTCCTGAATCTTGGAAAAATTCGAGAGACTTTGTTGTAAAAGCAATTAGAAATTCAATGTCAAATATATCTGACTTTTTGGGATATAGTCTGAAGGAAGATAGAGATTTAATATTAGAATACGTAAGAAGAATTGGAAGTATTGAAGAAATACCACAAGAATACAAACAAGACAGAGACATAGTATTAGAGGCTGTCCAATTAGATGGAAATAACTTGAAATACGCCAGTCATTCTCTCCAACAAGACAGAGAATTGTTAATCGTTGCAGTACGAAACGGATTGAGCTTAAGAAATATCAATGAATCAGAATTAGATAGAGAAATAGTTTATGAAGCTTGCAGATATGATACTCATCCTCTGAAATATGTTCCAGAAGAATACAGAGATGAGGAGGAAATAGTGCAAGCAATTGCATTCTCAGAGAATGCTTCATCTTTCGAGTACGTGTCTGAAAGATTAAGGAACAATATTGATTTTATTAGGAAGTTAACTAGGATTAATGGTTATTTGATTCAATATATTCCAAAATATTTGCGAAATGATAGAGAAATTGCTCTAAATGCAATTCGTCATGGATGTAACTACCTATCAGAAGATTTGCAAAATGACAAGGAATTAATTTTAACAGGATTAAAATATTCAGCAAGCTGTTATCGCTATGCCTCTGGAGAAATGAAAAGTGATGGAGAAGTGTTGGAAGCGTTAAGAAAATGGTTACCGCCACATCTCAACATCCCATTTCCTCTCAATAAGGAAATGGCTGCCATAGCATTAAGTATTAAGTCTCTTAATGAATTTGATTATACTTTTAGAGATGATAGACAATTTGCCCTTTTAGCTGTTAATGCTAGGATGATGAATCTTATGTATGTTTCGAATAGACTTAGACTAGATAGGACCTTTATTTTAGAAATTGAACCTAAGCAATTTGATATACTTTTTATACCAATTACATTAAGGGAAGACAGAGAAATTGCTTTAAAATCACTGGAACTTAATGGTCGATCAATTATGTACTTGTCTAACGAGTTGAAACATGAATTCAAAAATGATAGAGAAATTATGTTAAAAGCTATCAAATCTGATGCTATTGCATTCCTGTTTGCCAGTGAAGAGTTACAGCATGAGGAAGAGTTTATTTTAGAATGTGCTGGAGTTAACGGAAAGGTTTTACAGTATGTGCCTCATAAGTTTGCATATAACAGAAATGTCGTCCTGAAATGTGTTCAAAACCATGAAGAAGCACTTCAGTATGCATCCAACAAATTCCTTGGGGATAAGGAGTGTGTAATGTATGCTTCTGGTCAGGGGAAATCGTTTAATTCTTTCTGTTATGCATCATTTGATATGAGAAACGATCCTGAAATAGTATTGAAAGCTGTACAAAGTGATGTTACTTCACTTAAACTTGCATCCTATGAAATTATTTCCGATGAAGATTTTATTGAAAAGGCAATGGATATCAATATTGAAGCACTTTGTTACGCTCACTATTCATTAAGATACAATACTGAATTCCTAAAACGAATGAATAAGAATAATAGAATTGTTGAAAGTGGTTCCAAGATATTCCGAAGGGCAATTGATTTTAACAGTTTATTAGAAGTTTGACCAAGGAATATTGATGGCTAAAATCAACTCATGAGACTTAATAATTATGGTAATTCAGGAGTTGACAGATCCACATTAAAAAAAATGTCCTACGATGTGTCTCATCCCAATGTGGCACTCCCATACTGTTCATCCTACTTTCTGATGAAGAGATATCGTAAGATGAGTACCCTCATCGAGGTTGGCTCTTCCAAAATTCTGAAGGAATGGAAGATTGTAAAATGCGAGGAAAATCCATCTATTTGCATGGACACAGAGAGAAATGTGTTGGATCCGAAGGTTGTTAGTGCAGTTATGATGATTGATGGAAAATTGTCCATGATGAAGGATAGGAATATCGAACCATTGTCCAAACCTACTTTAGAATTTGATCATTTTGTGGGAATTTTCGATGGCCACGTTCTCATGGCCACACCAACATCAGAGAAGGATTATATTTATCAATTGGTTGATTTATCTGGTAAGCAACCTCAGAAGAGTATAACTCTCGATCGAAAAATTCTAAAGCAATTGTTTCACTGTTATATTCCATGTGAGGATGTTTCGGATAGAAAATATTCATTGAATGGTTTATTCTATGGTTGTAACTTTTTCCTTTTCAATAGAGAAACAAGAGATTTCGAACAGTTTGCTCTATCAGACGAAAGCATGTTTTTTAGTTTTGAATCAAGCTCAACATATTCCGAATCACATTCGAATATTCCGTATAAGGAAGGTAATTCTGTTAGATCATTCTTTTCAGCAGATCATAGATTAATTGAAATATTCTTTGATAAGGATATGAAATCTTTGAAAGCCGACAATCACTTACCATGGATTAATGATATTATTCCTAACTCAATTATTCCAACACAAAATTCTGGAATCATTTTCTTTGGTTCAGAACAAGTTTATTGTTATAGACCTGGTTCTCTTTCTAATATTCACGAAGGAAAGTATCAGAAATCAGCAACTTCTTATTATGGAAAAAATGGAGACACAACAATATTGTGGAGTGAAGATTTAAAGTCATGTCTATTCTATATTGATTTGAAATGTGAAGAAGTAGTTAAGGTTGATTTAAATTCAATCAAGTGGCTCCCTTATTGGAGTAAGGAAGAAATTCAAAAGGAATTTGCTTTTAAAACTCACCAAATGGAAAGTCATCCGAAAATTTCACTTCTCACCAAGAAGGAAATTAGCAGTGCTAGAAACTTTAGAGGAGAACATATTTACAAAATTAAGGAGAGTGCAAGAATGTGTGATTTTCAAATCGTTTGTGGAATCAAATGTAAAGAAATGTTTCCAGAATTGTGTAGTGAAAATTATCAAGAAATTGACGTGAAGGAGTTTTCCAATCATTTAGGAGCTCCAATTTATAGAGGAAATAATGAGTATGAATTTGGATATGTTTTGGATGTTATTGATGGTAAAGTTCACGTTGCAGTCTATTCAAACAAATATCATTCGTATCGAATTGAAAAGTTGCCACAAAATCCAAATAGGTTCTTTACCAAAAAGAATGAAGAAGCTTTTGGAATTGTTGAACCAAGAAGTGGAAATGATTTGCCACAAAAACCAAGAGTTGATTTGAAGGATGAGTGGATTATCAACATGAAACGAGAGGAATTGTTGATCGAATCTGGTAAGATTAAGGTCATCGATTTCACAACAGATAGAGATTCAGAAAGTTCACTCATTGAGAATGTTAAAAATGGAATTGGAAAGTTAAGCAATTGAAATTATCAGGTGGTGTCAGACAAGTTTTAATTTACAATTATGAACATAGTTTGGACAATTCTAACATCAGAACTGATTGGGAAACTCCTGGACATATATTTGATGAGGATTTTGATAATTTTGACATGGAAATCAAGCATGGTTGGCATGTTTCTGCAATTGTAGGTTTGGATCATGGAATTGGATTTATTGATGGAGACAAGTATGAAGATAATAATTTGTTCAAGAATACCAATCAAGAAAGTTTAGAGTGGAAGGATGCAATTCTGCAAATCAAGACTGAAAACCAAAATGATGATTGCACCATGTTTCCATTTGGTGTTTACTCTTCCACTGCAATTGGAGATGGAATTTATCCTTGTTTGTACAAGTTAGATCAAGGAAAGGTTGTTGCTGTGAAGGTAGCTTTTGAAAGGTATGGAAATCCGAGATTTCACTAATTCAATTATTATATGAATCTGGTAATGATGATTTTAGTGAAAATATTGAATTTCACTATTTTCAGATTTTTCCACAAATAATATTATTACATGGTGATGATTGGTAGTTGTTCCGATGATGGTTTACCAACTTGAATAATAAAATAATTTCCAAATCATGGCGAAGGATTAATTCCAAAAATTACTATTATTCACATGATGATGAAAATTTCTTGGAGTTACATCTTAAGATGTGAAAACTCTAAGAATTTGTTGATTGTGTTGCCAATATTTTTGAGCTATTTTTCCAAAACAAAATAATGAAATCTTATTTATTGATTTAAACTTTTAAATAAGATAGTAAGATATTGTTCATTGATTTAAATAATATAGTATTTTTTCACATATTCTAGACGTTTATTCACCAAACTCTTAGCACCTTGCTTGGTTTTCATTCAAGTGATTAAACACAAGATAATGGAAAATGAGAGCAAACCACAATTTATTGTTGAATTTATTGAAGACAAAACTTCAGGGTGTAAAATAACCCAGGTATTAAACCGATATCAAGATCTTCTATTGCTGGTCTAGTTAGGTCCTAAAAGACAGCTCGACCCGTTCCCGACGATCAATAGAATTTCGTGTCTATGTTGTAGAGGGTTGGTGATAAATACCAATTCACGTTATATAGGTGCCAGTACATCTGCTACATTCTTTTAAAGACTCTTGTTTTATTTCAACACATGAACTGTTTCAATAGTGAAATAGTTCATGAAGTTGAATGTGAAGCAGGGGTTCCCGAGTGGTCAAAGGGGGTAGACAAGAAGAGAAAAACACCAGAGACTGCTCTGACATTACCCCAAAGAAAGACAAGAAGAAGACCAAGAAGGAACAAACCATTATCGCCAGTACTCCTTCCTCTTCTTCACAACCAGCAACTCCATCAAGCTCTAAGAGTGATACCTCTCTTCCATTTTCAACAGATTCTCCACTCACATTCAGTCCACCTGTTCCTCCAAAGATAGTTGCCTCAGAAAGAAGAGCTTGGGAGTTGACCACCAACAATAGAGCAATTGACAATCTTTTTGAATTGTGCTATTCTATTCCTGAATACCAACGTCCTTATGCTTGGGAGATCGACAACATTATGGACCTTCTTGATGATGTCTACAATGAGTATAACAAGAATGAACCAGAGAGCAGCTACTTTATTGGCTCCATTGTCCTAAAGGCAGGTAACAGACAACAAGTAATAGATGGTCAACAAAGATTGACCTCTCTCTCCATTCTTTACTCTGCCCTCAGAGAATGTATCAATAAGAAAAAGTATGAAGAAAATTTTGAGACAATTAGCAAAGTTTACTTGAAGATTCACAAGGGAACTCTGAAAGGTCAAGCAAGAATTGAGGTTTGCAATGATGAAGAAGGTGTAGCAGGAAAGGAAAAGACATTCTTTAAAAAGTACATTGTCGAAGAGAAGGGATTTGCTAACATTTTAAAGAAGGCCAGTATGGACGAGGGTGACTTTAAGAAGAGCAAGGTTGATGAAATAATCACCAAGCTCGAAGAAGCAAAGGAGATTACTTCCACTTCTGCCATGAATTGTGCCAAAAACTTCTTGCATTCCATCCTTAAAATCAAAAAGCTTTTCAAGAAACAAGAAGAAATGGTTGATTTCATTCACTTCTTGAGTCACAATTGTATTGTTGTTACCATTACAGTTCCAGAACATGCTAATGAACTAGCAATCTTTGGTACTTTGAATTTGAGAGGAAAGGATTTGTCACCAATGGACAAACTCAAGCTTGATTTTGGAAGATTATTTGGTTGCCACAATCACCAAAAGAATCAAGAAATGGTTGATTCTTGGAATCACATGTATCAAGAAGTTGGCGAAGATTTCTCAAATATTCTTGAAAACATTCATCAATTGCTACACCCAACAAAGAATGTGAATGTTAGCAATAGAGAATATTTGAAACTTCTTGACCAAATTGCCTCCCACATGAAGACAACTGTCAATATTGAAAATCTTGGTGAAACTTTCATGAACAATTACATGACTCCTATTTTCATTGGTCATCAATCAAAGAGTTCAGCAAATCGTCCTGTATTCTCCACTAATAATGAGAAGAATCACCTTATTAACAAGATGATCAGCAGAACACACCACATTGCTGAAAATTACCTCCCAAAGGCACAAAAAGTGGCCTCAGATATAGTCCTAGCAACTCTTATTGCTATTGCACATTGCAAGGAACATGGCCAACACTTTCTCACCTATAATGTCAGTTCCAAGGTTGAAGAAGCAGATGTATTGCAATTAATTGCAATTTGGCACAATCACGTACTCCAAGTTTGCTTGTGTGACTTTGCCAAGGTCAAGTTCTCTTACATGATGGCTGAGATCAGTAATCTTTTGAACAACAAAGTTGTTGATTTTAAGGAACTCACAACCATATTGACCAAGACAAAGAGCAAGAAAAAGGGAGGCAAAAAGGCAAGTGATGACAGTGAGGAATCCAATTATTCACAATGGAGCAAGAAGATCATTAGATTAGCCAATAATGACAGCACTGCCCCATCAAAGAAGAAACAAAGTAATGAGCTTAAAAAGATTTTCTCAACTGTTTTACCAATCATTGAAGACTTCCTTTCTGATCCGAATGCATCTAATTTCGACTTGCAATATCCTCGTAATCTCAAGTTATGCAATATCAAACCATTATTGGCTAAGAAGATGGATAATTGCTATCTCCAAATTGGTAACTTTACTCTATGTGGTAAATCATTCACAAAGGATACCACAGATGAAAACAGATTGAAATACTTGAATAAGGAACCATTGAATATCAACAACGAAGTCAAGAAATTGACTAATCTCTCAGATTTCGATGAAACCAAGTGCAAAAACAGAACCACAAAAATTGTTGAGTTACTCGAAAATATTCTCAAACAACTCGAAAAGAAAATACTTTAATTTTCAAAATAATATTAGTAAACAGTTCTGATTTGAGTTTTATTTGTTATGAAAACTCAATGTTAAATAATCGAGAGAAGAATTCGCTCAGGCTCATACCTTTCATGGCAACTGGTACGTATTGGTGTTGATCGTACAAAATATCAAATTCGTATTCCACTCCCTCCAAAAATTGATGCCAGTGTTACAATTAGGACTGCGGAATTACATATAATGATATTGGTGGATCTAAGGAGCAAATCGAATTGAATGGTTACACAGTCGATGAGAAAGAAAACAATATTCTCCTACATCTCACCAATTAAAAACAAGAAATTTGTAATAAACCTACTATCGTACCAGAAATTGACATGATGGTCAACACCACACGCATCACGTTTCGAATAAATATGTTTTGAGTTTCACGTTTCTAACAAAACTCACGTTTTAAAAAAACAAAAACAATGGGTCAACGCCAAACCACAAAGAAGGACACAGGCCTTCACCAATCTCTCAATCTCAAGCAACTTGCTCAAGAAACAGATTCTTCAACGAGTATTGACATTGTTGATTGTTTTGACATGATTGAGAATCGAGTTTATATAGAAAACTATTGGCAAAATATTGAATTGAAAGAAAACAAGAAAGATTTGAAGGAAATTTCCAAAGAATTGCAAAAAACTGACATTTTTGAAACTCAAAACGAAATCCAAAAATGTGTTCAAGATTGTTATCTGTTTCTAAAACCAAGTGAGAGAGAACCATTTTACAAGGCAATTGAAAATATCGTTCTCCATGGCAATCACCTTATTAAAGTTGGTAAATTGGGAGTTGAACTATTTACTGATATTTTAAATCAAGTCAACCAAGGATCATATGAAAAGAGAATGAATGCAATTTACAAGTTTTGGGAAGATTACTTTGACAATGCCAAATATTTAACTAAACTTGAAACTTCCATTAAACATATGGAGAATATTCTGAGAGCCAAAGCAAAGAAATACTTTTGGGCAAGTATTATTTTGGGAGTTGTGTCCATGGTTGGTTTGGTTGGTTTGGGAATTGCTGCAATTACAACAGTGATTGGTGCCTTTGTGGGTGTTCCTATTGTGGCTGGAGTTGGTGTGGTCATGGCAGTTGGATGCAGTGTGGCCATTCCTGTGGTCATGAACTCTTGCATGGAAGCCACTGAAGTCAGTTCATTCGCAGGCAATTGGGAAGATAAATTGATGGAAAGCAAACAATGTTTTAAGAATGCAATGGAAAGTTCAGAATTTACCAGAGCTGAAAAGACCACCAAGGATTATGAAAATGCCAACAAGTTGCCAAAGATTGAAGAATGTGAACACTTGATTAATATCTTTTATCAATTGAGCAAGTATGGAACAGCATTGAAAGAATGTGTCATTTAGAATAATTAAATCATTTTGGAAAATAATTTGTTGAACAATCTTTCAATTCTGCTGTACAATACCCAAACAATTTGATCTTAATTGTTTCATTTCACTTATGAATTTGACTCCTTCATCACCAAGTTCATTGTCAGAAATATTAAGTGATCTTAATTGTTTCATTTCACTTATGAGTTTGGCTCCTTCATCACCAACTCGATTGATAGCAATATTGAGTGATGTTAATTGTTTCATTTCACTGATGAATTTTACTCCACTATCACCAATATGATTATCAGAAACATCAAGTGATGTTAATTGTTGCATTTCACTTATAGATTTGGCTCCTACATTACCAATTAGATCATCAGAAATATTGAATGATGTCAATTGTTTCATTTCACTTATAAATTTAACTCCCTTATCACCAATATGATTATCAGAAATATCAAGTAATGTTAATTGTTGCATTTCGCTTATGAATTTAGCTCCTTCATCACCAATTCGATTATTACATATATTAAGTGATGTTAATTGTTTCATTTCACTTATATGTTTAGCTCCTACATTTCCAATTTCATTGTCAGAAACATCAAGTGATGTTAATTGTTTCATTTCACTTATAAATTTGATATTTTCTCTCAATTCCAACAACATTTCATTAAATTTAACATTAACAATACAATTCATAAATTGACTTTTCCTTAATAATTCAACTCGTCTCTCTGTCAATGGTTTTTTAAATTGAATAACTAGTTTAGAGCGTTCCTTGATCACCTGACAGAATTGTTTTGAAATTAAAGTGCAATTATTTAGAATAAACCACGAATCATCAAGCATGGAAATTATTTCAAAGCAAATATCATCGGAAAATATGTCATTATCTTCGTGTTGTTGGTGGTGCAGTTTCATAGCTTTTGCTTTCTCTTCCGTGAATATTTCCTCCGAATTGGTAATTAATTTAATATATTCGAAATCTTGTCTGTTTCGTTTACTCATTTTTTTTTACAATATTTAAGATAGAATTGAATCGATTCAAAATTTCAATATTTCAAGAGGTTGGAGATAACTTGGTAATTTGTGGAGCTGCAGTCTTTTTATATTTAGTCTTTACCCAATGGAAAGTTTCGAATCTTGTTAAAATTGTAAAGAATGATCACGTTTTTTAGCACATTCCAACATCTTGTCATTTAAGGATAGGAGTAGAATTAATGTACCTCCTTCTATCGTAGCAGAAATTTACAAGTTTGAGACAAACAAGTGATTGAGAGAAAATCAATTGTCAATTCACGTTTCGAATAAATATCTGTGCCACAACTCCATTAATATTTTCAAAAAAAACGGCAATTCAAGTAAATGGGTCAACGGCACACAAAGAAAGATAGTTCCAATCAGAAACCAGAAGAAACTCAACAAACTTGCCTTGACATTGTCGATTGTTTTGACATCTTGGACGATTACGTCTACATTGAAACCTGGCAAAATATAGACCTGAGCAATGAGAACAAGCCAATTCATAATGACAACAACGACGACAAGAAAGATTTGAAAGAAATTGCAGACGAAATGGAAAAACAAGATTTTTCATCGACTGAGCAAGAAATGAGTAAATGCATTAAGGATTGTTACTTGTTTCTGAAAGAAAGTGAAAGAGAATCATTTAGGGAAGCTATTTATGCTATATTGTTACATGGAAATTTCCTTATTGAAATTGGTGAAATGGGTGTTGAGCTATTTAAGGACATTTTCAACCAAGTCAACCAGGAATCCTATGTGAAGAGAATGACAGTAATTCATGATCATTTGAAACTGATTACACATCCACGGTATAGAAGCACTCTTGAATCTTCTGTGAATCATATTGAGAATATTCTGAGAGCCAAAGCAAAGAAATACTTTTGGGCATGCATTATTTTGGGAATTGTGTCCTTGGTTGGGTTAGTTGGATTGGGAATTGCTGCAATTACTACATTTATTGGTGCTTTTGTGGGAGTTCCTATTGTGGCTGGAGTTGGTGTGGCCATGGCAGTTGGATGCAGTGTGGCTATCCCTGTGGCCATGAACTCTTGCCTAAAAAGTAAAGAAGTGAGCTCATTCGCAGACAAATGGGAAGATAAATTGATGCAGAGTAGAGAATATTTTGGAAAGATTATGGACAGTGAGGAGGTTGGTGATGCCAAGAAAACTACGGCAACTTTTGAAACTGGAAATCAATTGCCAAAGATTGAAGATTGTGAACAATTGATTAGAATCTTTAATCAATTGCGTAAATATGGAAAATCATTGAAAGAATGCGTATACTAAATTCATTAAATATAATTCTTATTATGGAAACATTAGTTTAAATTTGTTGCATTTATTGGAATGTAAACTATTAGAATAAGGGAATCTGAAATATCGAAAAAAAAAAGAAACTTTAGCAAAAAAACGAAAGATTCCAACTTGAGTTGGTCAATTTTACCAACCAGCAGGTTTACTACAAGTTGGGCATTTCAAACCAACTTTTCCAGATGGAGAACTTTTACATCCAGGACAAACTCTATGAGAACAACCATTCTTACAAGAGATTGAAGATAAAGTTGAAGCATTGAAACTGCACCAGTCACACTTGGCCATTTTGATTAATGATTGTTTAGAATTGTTTTTTTGATTTGTTTTGAGAAATTGGTTGTGGATCAACTCAATTTATTCGAAAGATATTTTGCATGATGAGATATTAGAATTGTTTCAGGGAGTCAGTGAGTGAATAGTATTATTTCACCATTTATTTTCGTTTTACAATTTAAATAGCCCTCTTGCATTGATTGGTTAACTATCAAGAATGGACACAACATGGATTTATTCGAAACTTTTATGATCTTGAAGATCCAGTCGTGACCATGAACAAATACTGAACATTAAATTGATGGTCATGAACTTTTCTTGCAACACGTGTTTTCATTGAAATGTGGCTCAAAATCCAAGTTCAGACCTGTTCCAAAGAGATTGTTTCCAATAACTTTCCAACAACAAATACAATAAATAGGCCAACCAACTGCATGATTTCATTTTCCACCAAACAAAAAAACAATTCAACTGTTTTGTTATTAACCCAAAAATCAAAAGAAATATTTTCGAAATGGCCAAGTGTGAGTGGTGTAGTTTCAATGCTTCAACTTTATCTTCAATTTCTTGTAAGAATGGTTGTTCCCACAGAGTTTGCCCTGGATGTAAAAGTTCTCCATCTGGAAAAGTTGGTTTGAAATGTCCAACTTGTAGTAAACCAGCTGGTTGGTAAATCATCATTCGTTTCAATATTAATTACAATCAATAGTATTGAAATATTATCATTTTTTGTAAACTTTGTTTTTTTTGGGTAATATTCAATACCTCTTATTGGTAACCAAATAAATATCAATATTCTCATATCAAACAATTTATCTTGTCATTCTTTTTATAAATTTAATCCAAAACCAAAACCATCTCTATTTATAGATGAACTTTAGGATAAAGCTTGAATTATGTAGAGAAAAGAATTTGTGGGTGAATAGTTTAAATGGGAGAACATAGGAAGCTTGGTAGATTCTAAGGTGGTAGATCGAAACTACCTTCACTCACTAACTTTTTTGTAAACTGTAATTTCAATATTTGTAAATTTCCTAATTAATTGCGCAACGAGTTGAACTGTCATGCTGAACACCATTTAAGGAATAATAATTTGTAATCCAATCCACACATTTCCTCAAAAATCCACCTGTTTTTTTCACAACTATATTATTATAGAACCAATTGGTTGATCTCCAATACCAGAACAATGCCTTTGGATATAAATTTAATCCATAAATGAATGGTACACTGGAGAGGATGAATGGTGCAGAGAATGAAAAGGTGTTAATGAAGGATCGAAGTGGGTGGCTCGTTCCAAATATACAAATAGTTAACTTGACAAGAAATATTCCTAAAGTGCACAACAACATAATTATGGCATCATTTCTGGGAATCCTACGAATTCTAATTGTCAAGTTATCTATTCCAACCAAGCTCAAAAAAGTGAAAACCAAACAATCGAAAAAGTGGAGATATGGATGAACTTGTGTCTCATTCCATCCAAAGTCATAATTCACAAACTTGAAATGTGAATATATTGCTAATGGAAAATACAACACTGGATAAATTACAAAAGGTCTAATCATTTTCCTTATTTCCTGTCTTGAAATAGTCCACAGTGTGATGTCTCCTTTTTGGGAAAGTCTCAAATCTCCACATTTAGTTGGTCTTGAAATGGCATCGAAAAATTGGTTGACTGCGAATAATTGACCAACATTAGTCTCACCATTTCTGAGAGTACAGCAAGTGCTTCTATAAACTTTTGCAGATTGAATATCCACAGTTGAAATAGTAACATTGTTTTCTACACCTTCTTGGTAAGAGAGCACTTTCAAGTCCAGTGTACCAACAATTCCACTATATCCCAACATTTTTTCATATAAATACTTGTAATCCTTCACTAAAATTTCCTTTTCAGTTAATTTTTGTCCCTCTCTTGCTCGAGAAACTATTTTCGAGATTTTTAGTTGATTATTGACAAAGTAGAGGTGAATTTTGTAAATCTTATCCATTGACAATTCATATGCCTTAACCAGTTGCAGAAAATCTAGAAATAATAGATTACCTTCAGAGTAACCATCCATTTCATGACTATAAAACAATTGGAAAGGTTTCCTCCCTATTTTTTGATTTTCATACAACCAACATGCATCCAAATAGCCTAATCTCCGCCCCAGCTCCACACAAATCCTCAATTCATCATACTTCTCAATCCTAACGACTCTCTTCCAATCCATCCCCTTCACACACTCCTTCACTGAAACCTCCTCATATTTATTCCTCTCAAAAATCTCCTTCAAAACACCACAATCAACAACCTCCCTCTCCAAATCACTCAGAAGAGACTCAAAACACACAGCCCTCTCCAATCTATTCAACATTCCAATCAGATCCATCTCCTCTTCCGAGAATAAAATTCTTTCCATCAATAAATTCGTAATGGTTCCTTGATGATCATTTTCCAAGTTCATCAAACGGAAAAGACGCGAATTTACCAACGCCAAGTTTTCAATCACATCAAAAAGGCTGAGAAAATTCATAATATTTGCGAGGGAGTCATTGTCGAGATGTTGAAACATTTTTTTAAAGATATTTTTGTAATAAATTTTGTAAAATCATTTGAGAAATGATGTTTTTCATATGAAGAATAGTTACAGAAAAAGAATGCAATTTATTTGAGAAGAAACTTGTTGGAATCTATTAGAAATTGAATTTCAAAAGGTGAATTGTGTAAGAATTTTCAATGAAAGTATCTCACAATGATTTTCAATTCATTCTTTGTCACGTCTCAATTTTCCAATTCTAAAGTTTCGTTTAATTCTTGAAAATCAAAATTATTACCGCTACAATAATGGCAACAATAATTAAAGGAACAAAAAAGAAACAAATAAATGCATTCTTCAAGTATCACCAAGTTTCATCAATCACATGATAGAGTTTCGGATGGTGAATAAACATCCAATTTTGTAATTGTTCAAAATTTTCCTTTACAATTTTAATTTTTGGAATTTTTAAAATTGAATTCTTGTTACAATTATTTCTATTACAAGTTGTACAAGTTTCCATTTGAAAATTATCTATTTTTGGAGTTGAATTAATTTGGTTTCCATCTTCAATATTTTCAATATTTTGAAAAGATGAAGAATTTTCATCATTACTTGATAGAAAACGTTGCCGATTCATCTCAAGAATTGGTTCTTCTTCCTCTATCCGAGGAGAATCATGTGGTTGCATTTTTTTGTAATGTATTCTTGAAAATTTTAATTATAATTGAACTCCGATTTCTTTCGTTCCAAATTTAAATTCCTTTTGAAAATTATTAAAAAATCAAAAAAATTATTTAAAAATGCCAAGATTTGAATTCTATACAATTCCTAATCAGATACGGAGAAGTTTTCAGAGGAGGAAATTATTAAAATCATTCGGAAATGATGTGGATTTATTTGTGGAACAATATTCAAAGCCAAAGGTTTTGTCTTTGTATCGGGAGTGGATTAGACAATTGAATAAAACACTTCCTCTTGCTGTGAGGGAAGTTAGCAAACAGGTATATATCAAATTGGATTTATTTTGTAAATTAAATTTCGGAATTGATAATAATTATTTGAATTAATATTTATAATATTAATTGCTATTATTGGATGATTGGAATAATAATTTAAAAATTATTGATACTTTTGATTTTAGACATTGAGAGCACATTTTGAAGCAACCAAAGATGATTTTAGTCCCTATTTAATTTTAAATGAATTAGAAGCTGGTAAATATGCATTGGATATGTGGAAGGAAGGAGATCGTCATGCACTGAAATATGGTATTCCTAGAAAGTTTTCAATCTATATGGCTGATAGAGAGAAACGACCACCTGATAGTATTACTTATAAGAGGTATACTCCATTCCTTTATTCATTGTAAATTAAAGGAAAAAGTCCTTATTTTGTCCTAACTGGGAAACATCGAATGATATCGATCTGTTATGAAAAACGTGATTAAACTTCTTTCTCTTGGTTTCTCTGTCAGCAAAAGGAATTGGGAATAGGCCGCTATTGATTTGATCATCATTGTTATCATCATCCAGGAAATTATTGAGATCTGATTCTCCATCAAATTCATTAAAGTCCATATCTTCATTAAAAACTGTTGATGGTCTATTCCTTGATCCAGGTGTTGGTGTAATGTTCATTTCATCGTTACTATCTTCGCTGTGTATTAAAACTTCACTTTCATGAGCTTCGAATACATCGAAATTATTTATCAACCCAGAACCAACTTGATTGATTAGTGTATCTTGAACATCTGCAAGTACATCTACATCTCCATTTCCATTGTTATTATTATTAGAAGGAACCACTGCCTCAAAAGCTGACAAATCATGGAAGAGATCTGTTGGTGTCGAAAGACCAGGTGAGGAAATATCAATGTTTGGAATGATGTTATTCTGTGTAAATGCGTTCTGAGAAGCTGGTAGTGGTTGTTTTTGTACATTGTTGTGTCTAAAGATTGGTATTACATTTTGTTGCATTAAATTAGGGTTTTGCATCATCATGTGGTTGCTATTGAATGGGAAGAGAGTAGGAGGAGCTAAATTCGAGAAAAAGTGGTTGGTTGAAAGTGTGTTGTTGTTTGCATGGTGCAAATTATTGGCATTTGGAGAGTTTCCTCCAGAACCAGTGGAATTATTAGATTGAGCCATTGGAGAAAGTGTCAATGTACCAGAATCTCTCGATTCATATTGATAGTTTTGATAGAATGCTGTATCGGAGATTGATCTCTTGTGTCTGGCACGACTGAGAGCAGAATCTTCCTTCTTTGTTGTCTTTTTGGTTTTTCTTACTGGTGTTGGCTCTGTTGATTTTGATGTCTCTTTAGTTGTATCCTTCTTCTTTTCCCTAGCGATCAGTGAATTGAAATGGTTTTTGCAAGCGTTATCTGTACGTCCAACGATGAGTTTGGAAATTTCAGCCCACTTATTTCCAAGTTTACTTTGAGCATCGAGAAGAAGTGTTTCTTCTTCCTCTGTCCAAGGTTCCTTCTTTATACTAGGATCCAAGTGATTGTACCATCTTTCTCTACATTGTTTACCAATTCTTCCTGGTAAATGTGATGCGATCATGCTCCAATTTTCTGGACCATATGTTTTAACAAGTTGTAAAATCTTGTCATCCTCTTCCTTTGTCCAAGGTCCCTTTACAAGGTTTGGATTTAATACTTTTTGCCATCTGTGCAAACATTGCACACTAGTTCTATTTTGAAGTGTTTCCGCAATCTTTTTCCAATTCTTCCCTCCATATGTTTGTACTGCAGCTCTCAGCATTTCATCCTCTTCCTCTGACCAACCTCCTTTTCTGGACCTTCTTACAGGACCTGTTCTTCGTTGGTTGGATAATAAGACTTGACTCTTATCACTTACTGATGCAGCTGTTGATTCAGCGTCAAAATCTGAGGAGGAGGAAGCTGCGTGATGTACATGATGTAAACCCGTCATGTTGGATGGGCTAGAACTTAGGATGGATTCACTCATTGGTGAATTCTGGTCAAAAGGTGTGACTGGATTATGACTATTTGGAATGAAAATAGGTTGCGAATTTACAAGACCTCCAGGATGGAAATTGGTAGATGTGTTGTTATTAGGTATAAGGAAGCTATTTGGAAGCGGCATATTCATGGCACTAGCGAATTGGGCGACTTCCAATTGTTTTTGTTGAATGGCCAAATGTAAGAAGGCAGCAGCTTGTTGTTGTTGAAATAAACTGAATTGTTTTGCTTGCTCTTGTTGGAATTTGGCAAAGTTTTCCACATCTACAACATTCTCTCCATTCTGAGAGGTGCTCGTATTTGATGCATTAGATGCTACTGGTGTACTACTTGTAGAGTTTGCACCGTTTGTAGTTGGGAGAGAATTTTGTGTTTGAGGCATGAGGTGGTTCTGGAAGAATATTATTGGTTGTTGTTGTGGCATGTTTTGTTGTTGTTGTTGCTGTTTTGGAAGGAAGGATTGGGAAGGGTTCATAAATAATGGTTGTTGTGGAGTTTGCCTATTGTTGACACTACTATTGTTATTTGTAGTGGTGCTTGTTGTCGTGGTGGTTGGATTTCCGTTCATGACTAGCACTAGATTATTTGAATCGACAGATGAAGAAGCAAGAGGAAGGTTTTGCATAGGAAAGTGTTTGATGATGTTGTTGCTGATTATTTACAAATAGTTGTTTCAGATATATTATTCGATCGAAATGTGTAATCAAAATCGTGAATAGATATCAATAATTTTCAAGTGATAATATATAATTTAAATCCTTCTTCTTCTGATGGATAATTATTCCGTTTACAAAATTTCTTCTGAAGATAGGAAGACAATGTGTTGTTGTTGTTGGTGTACAATGAGGTTGTTGGTTTGATGCACCAAATAATATATTAATCATACACTTTTAAAATAATAATAGAAGAATACTCAAGCAGCACAGCACCACTATAATTAGGGCAGGCAAGCTATTCAATAGGAGAACAGGCGATAATAATAATTTTTTTCTGTTGTTGTGTTTTTAATTTTCCATCAGCAAAGAAGAACCCTCACTGTGTTTGCTTTCTGTTTTGCTCCTGCGTTTTTTTTGGATCTATGATGGATGAGGAGAGTGAGACCAAACAGAGTAACACAAAGAACCGCGCAATTTTTCATCTGCACAACTCAGCCTGCATGTCTTCTATCTTTGAATTAGAGAGTACACCAGCTTATGCCTTCTTAATAAACTTTTAAGTTGCATGTTTCAGTGAAAGAACAATATCGAGTTCCGTGTTCTTATTATGCATTTTCGCTTGGTAATTTTCCATGACTTTCATTTACAATTTTCTGTTGTTGGTTTTCAACGTTTTCTTGGTCACCTTTTTAGTTGGTAGTGTCTCTTCAGAGAAAATCGTTGAATCTTGAGTTTTACCATTTTCAAAGGTAAAATTGAAGACAATGAGATGGATTACAAAATTTTACTGTATAACTTTCAACAGATACCAGAGTCCCCCATGCGACGAACACTCTGTAAAATGACTTTTATGTATAGTGAGGTTGACACGATAAAAAAATGAGTGATTTTGTAATTCACAACATCTATCGGCAACAATATCAACAGCAGGGAATGTAATTAATTCATCAATGATGAAGCTACACCACCCTAGACACCACCAGTATTTGGAATATTATCCTGAGATACATTTCCATTATTCTTTAATTCAAGACAAATAATCCAGCAAATTATTCTCCTTCCGTGCCATCAGAAGATGAAAATACTCAAGACCGTTACAAAAAATTAATTAAAAATAATATTAGAAACGTAACGGCCGAACAAATTGTGAGGTTCTTGGAGAGGGAAACGTGTAACGGAAACAAAATAAAAACGTCATTATATCTAAAAGCGTCAAGTAAAATAAAAGAATAGAAGATAGTTACAAATATGTTTCAAATCTCCAAAAGGCTATGGGGGACTCTGACAGATACATATATTTACAGATACTTTTTGGAGAAGATTTACCATTTAAGATTTCAAAGGTGAAAAAAACAGCTCATCTCATGAAGCATGCTAAAGGTCACTTGAAGATGTAAAAATTTTAAATACAACGGGACTGGACTGTTCAACATCATCACATGTGAAACTCTTGGTTGACCTTTAAAACTTGTCCAATCTTCCAATACTCCTATTCAAATATATAAATATGAGAAATTGATCAATATTCCATAGTATTCGAGGCATTGAATTTTCCACAATCTGGAAAAGACACGTTTTATTTTCCAATGATCACACAACAATATTGAAAACACGTAGTATTTCAACTAGAGCTTCAACTACTTGAATCTATTTACAATAATATTTGCAAATAAGAAAAATCGAAATTGATCATTCAACTACATTTCTTGATTTTTAAATTAAAAAAAAATGAAAAAACTATCAAAGCAGAAACATGGAAACATAACGTTTTTATCAGTGATCGGAATGTTGTTATATGAATATTTAATAATTTTGGTACAATTATTCAAGTGGATTACCTTTCCATTGTTGAATGTGTTTAGTAAATTATATATCAAGGAACATTATATTAATTTGTCTGATGTAGATGCAATTTCCTTCTTGAAAACTAATCATGTAAATAGACGCCGACTGAAAATATTACATTTGACTGATTTTCATTTTGATTATTATGCAGATCCTCCAGATTGGTTGGGATCAGCAGGTTCGTATTATACTAAAATCTGGGCTTGTTGGTATTGGTTGAGACGACACGTTCGATATCATAAGATTAGCAAACAACAATTGAAGGATATTCTTGTGGAAATTGAATACATTCCAAATATTGACATGATAGTATTGACTGGAGATTTTGTTGATAAATTTTACAAGGTTGATGTGGATTGGGTTGTGGATAATTTCTTCTCTAAATTATCAAAATATTCAGAGTTGGGAGTTTTTGCAGTGTTAGGAAATCATGATGAGAGTAAGACCCATCCTCTCGATAAGGAGGAGGTAATCAAAAAATTATCAAGAGCTGTCACAATATTAGATGCTGGTTCAAAAGCTAATAATCATCAATTCTTTGCTAAAGTTACAAAGGAAACTAAGGAATTCAAGTTTGATATTGAGTTGTGGGGATTTTTAGATTTTTACAGTCCACTCTATTGGGATAATTATCATAAAATTGTAAAGGAAATGAACGAGAGTCCTATCAAGGAGAATACTTTGAGAATTGTATTGAGCCACAACCCAGACACTGTTGCTTGGATTAAGAATGACGTTTTCCATTTTGATTTGGTTTTGTGTGGACACACTCATGGTATGTTCGATATTTTCTTTAAATTTTAACATATTTAACATATTTCATTTATCAAATATTTAGGTGGCCAAGTGACATTACCAATACCTTCAATAATTCTGAAAAACGTACTAGGACTCTTTTGGAAACTTAGTGTAAAGGAAGCAACATTTGATCATTTTGTTCAACATCATTTTTCCTATGAACAGGTTCATCAGATGAATGAAGGAATATTCACCTACCTTCCTATAATTCCAATAATTATTTTCATTTACAAGAAGGTTACTCTGTGGAAATTTGTAAGGCAACGAATTAGTGGATTGAGAATTGTTCAAAGACTATTGAATGTTTGCAAGTATTGGGAATGGGGAGTTGGTCTATATGAATTGAGATTGCAGGACGATTCTACACTCATCGACAGTGTGCTCCATCATCACAAACAACAAGCTAGAAATATTGATGTAGTCGACTCGGCTGATGATTATCAAATCAAACTCATTTACAGAACTTACAAAATCGAGAGGAGACAATTTATTCACACCTCTGCTGGTTTAGGAAGTCATTATCCTCTTCGATTATTCTGCCCACCAGAAATATCCATTCTCAACCTATCCTTCTAAATTTGAATTATTTTCAGCATTTTCAAAACAGTAACCAAAATGAAATCTAGATTAAATTCATAACTTATTATTGAAATAATAGGATTCTCTAATTGTAAAGAATGCAGCAATTTTACAAAATTCTGTCGAGTTCTTTTTAGATAATGAAAGTTACTAAAAAGGTTAGTTTTATGAAAAAGCACTTTAAAAAAATGAAATCACATCAACAACACTTGATCCGAACATTGTGTTCCTCACCTCTTGTGAGGAGATCATTGCCAATACAACAATGTAATTCATTGTTGGATTTTCCATTATTATCAGCTGTGAAAAGATCATCGGAATGGAAAATGATGATGAATACAAAGATAATGATGAAGGAATTTTCAATGAATTCTAAACAATTATTCCATTCTGGAGTGAGTTTAAGTGATAGTGCTAATAATATTGGCTCGATTTACATTGAAAGGACAAATATTGCAATTGTTGGAGCTATGAATAGTGGAAAATCAACTCTGATGAACTGTTTGACCAATTCAAATACTAGTATTGTGGATTCTACACCTGGTACAACTGCTGATGTAAAGATGACAACTATGGAGTTGCACGGTATTGGTCCAACAAAGTTATTTGATACACCAGGTACTGATGAGGCATCAGATCTTGGCGAAAAGAAGAGACAAAAAACACTGATTGCCCTTAAAGAGTCCGATATTGTGGTTGTAGTGGTGGATCCTTTCAATGGTAGCAGTGTTCAACAAGCCAAATGGTTGACTGGTGAGTGTGAAAAGAATGAAAGACCATTCTGTATTATATTCAATGTTTCCGAGTTGAAGAGATCATCTGTGGAGAGTTTGAGTGATAAGCTGGATTCGATTGAAACTGATTTGAAAGTCAATGAATTTGAGCAACAGGGAAATGTTCAAATGAATAAGTACTTCTGTGGAACTACATGTGTGGATTTGGAATCAAAAATTGCTCACACCAAATGTATCAAGTTCATTGAAGATTGCCACAAGAAGAGTAAAATGAAGGCAAGCTCTACTCCAATGTATCCAACAAGATTACTTCCAAATTTAATGGAAAACTCTACTGTATTTTTGAATATTCCAATGGATGAGGAGACACCATCTGGTAGATTACTCAAACCTCAAGCCATGGTTCATGAATATTTACTCAGGGAGTATAGCAATGTATTTTCATATAGAATGAATTTGAAACATGCAAGAAGTTCGGATAAGGAGCTTGTGGAAAAGGAGAAGAAGAGATTCCTCGAAGCCATCAAAACTCTTAATTCAAATGGAAAATTACAACTCTTAATTACCGACTCGCAAGCTATGGATATTGTGCATCCATGGACTATTGATGAGGCAACAAAGGAGAGTATTATTGATATCACTACATTCAGTGTCATTATGATTAACTTTATGAGTAATGGAAGACTTTCAGAATTTTTGAAAGGAATTGAAGCATTCAAAGCTCTCCAACCAGGCGATTCAGTCTTACTCTGTGAAGCTTGTAATCACAACAGAATTGCAGATGATATCGGTACTGTTCAAATACCAAGAGCAATTGAAAAAAGATTTGGACAGGGAAATATCAAGGTGGATATTGTCTTTGGCAGAGAGTATCAGCTTATTAAGGATCTCTCCCAATACAAACTCATTATTCACTGTGGAGGATGTATGATTGATAAGCAAAAGATGAATGCCCGTCTCTCTGACCTATCCAAAGCAGGTGTTCCAATCACTAATTATGGCCTCTTGCTCTCCTTCCTCCAATCTGAAAAGGCAGTATCAAGAGTGACTAAACCATGGTTGAATCCTTCAACTCCATCTCAATAAATATGAATGAGAATTATATTTATTTTACATGATGGTACACTTTTTCTTATCATTAGAAGTCATTTCATTGTTTCTTTCGGGACAAGTTAGTAATTCGCTCAGTTCCATAACTCTTTCGAATACTTTCTGAGCATCTTTCAAATCAGTTAGAGCGGTTGGCATGTATTGCACTCGTATTGGATTAGAATTTAGAGTATCCTTGTACTTTTTGAATAGGAATTTGAGAGAGTTATCAACTTTTTCCTCTAAAATCGTTGCATTATTGTCAAATTCTGGAAAGAGAGAACTTAAATCTTTTCCTTTCTGAATTTGATAGCTAAACATGTCCATCTTATTGAATAGTAATAGTATTGGTACATTTTCATAGAATGGCTGATTGAATAACTCTTTGAAAAGTTCAATGGAATCAATCAGATCATTAACATTCTCATTCTCGTATAGACTTTTAGTGAAACCTGACATGTTGACCACAAAAACACAGGCTCTTACACTACTAAATGAAACATTCTTGTATTTTCTTCTTTCAGATGATTGACCACCGGTATCAACAAGTTTTAAGGTTCTAGGAAATTGTTTTTCCAAATCGTTAAAGTTGTGAATTTCCTTCTTTGGAAATCCATCAACTTCATGATATCTTATACTCGTTTCTATGAGACCCACTGTTTTCTGTCTTGAATATACAATATCTGCTATCGAAGGAACATAATTAAACTCACAAACTCTTCTCAAATTTGATGAATTTAACAAAAAATGTTCAATTCCATCCGACAATCTTTCATTCTCCCTGCATGATTCGACAGTTTTCCTAAATATTTCTGAATGATTCAATAATCTCAGAATCTTATCAGGCAAATCATCGTCCATCTTACTCACCAAGTTATTCATGCGAGATGGTGATCCAGCTCCACTTCCAGGTGAAGCACCATGTCCACCACCACCAACAGGTGATGATGCATTAGCTCCATAACTTGATCTCTTATCTGGCGTGTTGATTGGTGAGCTAGGAAGTGGTGAATCCTGAGTTGTGCTTGTGGATTTCTTTGGTGTGGAGGTGCTATTCGTTGATTTTGCAATCTGAATGATATAGTCACATTGTGAAAACTCTTCCTGACTAATCTGTCCTCCCTCGATGCATCTCTCGCAAACTAATCTTACATTCTTGAGAATGTCTTGAACAATGGATCCCACGAGACGTGTTGGATTGTAATATTTGGAAAATGTCATTCCGTGAATTTGTTTTAACAAGGTTGTTTTGCCACTATCGCCTAAGTTTCGAATAATAATTTAATCTATTTGGCTTGCATTACAACATACCTGAACCAAATAAAAGTATTTTAGCTTGATCTTGCTCTAGCATTTCGTCTAGATCGACTTCAGAACGATCACCTGTGGAGCGAAGCATCTCTTTTTTTTTGTTAGTAAATCTACCCGAAAGGTTTAGTCCAACTCGCATGAATAACATTTATTTTCGTTCCTCCATTGGGAAAATAGTGCCGATTTTGACATTGACCAACTTTCTAAATAAGGACTGCTTATAAAATTGTGGTTAGAAATCCATGGTTGTTAAGGTTTAGCTATTTTTCATTCGAAACTCATGGTTTCTCATTAAGAGTATTATATGGTTGCAAGTTCGGAGAAAAGAAACCTTTAACATTCATGCGAAGAGCATTGGCCAATAAATACAATATTTTGTTGCATTCTGTTTGACTTTAGAATAAAATAGAGAATTTTCCAAACGAAACTTATAAGAACATTACAGAACTGAGTCCATTAATTTAGTTCACTAAAAGAGAAAGGCCCTTATTAAAAACTCAACCAAAATTTTGATAGTTGCAGGTAAATTTTGAATTTTCACACAGATTCAACAAGTTTCTTTGAATTTCTAAGGAACAAGTCAAATTTCAAGTCAATTTTCCAGTTTTTTATTGAAAATCAGCTTGTGAATAGGGATATTGATGTGATTGATTGGAATATATTCCATACTATTTAATTGTGTGAGGAAATTGTCTTTCTTAAAGATTTTGCTCAATATCTCAATATTGTTTGAACTTGTTGCTTGAAAAGTTGTTAAGGGGAGCATATCAATTATATGCAGTAAGGAATGGCTTGGTCAAAACTTAAAATACCGACCATGGTAATGAACCATGAATAATAGTCGCAACCGTATGGTTGTGAGTGGTTTTGCCTGTGGGCATTAAGGTCATGGAGAGATTTAAGCAGATGAACTTTTTACAAAAACACAACCCTGTAATTAATATTCAAAATATCCATAAATGGGAGATTCGAAATTTTACAATTAAATTCAACATGCTTAAAAAAAATGTCCTCACATGTTCAAAACCTCTGTGCCTTACTAGTTTCTGTTATGGTTGTAGTAGACTTGATGGAAAATCTTCAACATGTTAAGGCAGGTGATGCTTCTCTTGCTTTAACCAAAATTTATAATACTGCATCATGTTCATCCGATGCTAATATCGTTCACTATAGATATCATGTTGACGATAATTGTGTAACAACAATCCTGCTTGCATTAATTCTTATCCAAGCTCGTTCGGTTGGAAGAACGCCACAACATGCTATGATGGAGATAAATATCCATTACCAGCTGATTTTTCTGAAATTGGGTGGTGGTCTATTCATGATTTTGAAGTTGGTGATTATTGTCATTTTAATGGTGATAAGATTATTGAGATTAATAAGTTCCAAATTGGTAAATGTGTTTATCTTCCTCTAATCAAAAAATACGCAATAGCTGATGCTCACTGTTATGGCCTATCTTATTGTGATTCTAGTAATTGTGAAAAAACAAGTTGTACATGGCAACAGATGGATATGCTTGGTAGCTGCTCAGATATTTATCAAGTTGGTCACCCTCAATTGTTTTTATGTAAGAGTGCTGCAAATAGTATTGTGGTTTCAATGACTGTTGTATTGGTTTGGGCTTTGATGCTGGTTTTTTAATTGTAAAACTGTAAATTAAACACTCTCAATTAAATATTAAATTTCTAAGAGATGCTTCCTCATCTTAATAGTGAACTTTACTGAAACTTTAAGTTTGAGAGTTACATGATGAGACAATTCTTCTTCTTGTCAATATTATCTGAAACAAAATCTTCCTTCAGTAATTTACTTAGTGTTAGCATTTCCATGAGCACTTGATTGGAATCCTGATTATTCAGCAATGAAACAAATCGACAATGTAAATAATCTTTCCTTGACCAAGCTTTTGATTCAAATTTCAATTTTAGAAAAGAAAGGGAAGATTCAATTCGTTCTTTAGCAGATTGCCCTCTATTCTCATATTCTGGAAATATTTTACATAAATCATTTCCACTCTCAATTAGACTTGAAAATCTCTCGACCTTATTAAATAGGAGAAGAATTGGAATATTGTTGAAACTTTCATGGTTGACCATTTCTTCAAACAGTTCTAAACTATCAACAAGTTCATTCTTTTCTGGATTTTCTTTTGATTTCTTATTAAACGAACTTAAATTGACTAAATATACACATAATGTAATGTTGTGGAAGTAACCTTTCCATTTCTTTCGGCAATTTCCACCAAAATCTAATACAGAAATACAGTTAGGATATTGTTTGAGGAATTTCTCATCCATAGCTAGTTGTTGGAGTTTTGGAAATCCTTCTGTTTCACTATAGTACACTTTTCTTGTATCGACTCCTTTAGTTTCCATTCGAATACGAAGAGAATCTTCAAAATTGGGAATATTCGAAGCCTTACACAATCGATCCAACGTTGAAGAATTGAAGAAATATTCACACGAATCACTCACATTCAATTCATCCCTATACTTGTCAAAAGTTTCTTTGAAAACTAAACAATTCGTCCATAAATCAATGATCATTTCTGCCGTTTTTGGAACAAGCAAAGCTGGTGAAGATTTTGATGGAAATGAATTCATTGTTTTCGAATTGGTTGGTGACTGTTCCAAGTCTTTCTTGGGAGCTGATTCAATCAGTGTTTTGCAATACGAAAGGTATTGCTGATGTAAACGAGACGAAATGGATTGAGTATTGACACACTTTTCGCAGACCTTTCGAATATTGTTTAAAATATCGTTATGAATGTATTGCATTGCAATTTGTTTTGCATTTCCAAGTATTCTATTCATGAGCGTTGTCTTTCCACAATCATCTGAACTTTCGTTTATTGTATGCGAATGTACAAGAACTTACTTGATCCCAACAAGAGAATTTTAGGGTTCTCACTATCTAACACTGGATCTTCATCATCAAATTCAACGCCTGATAGAGCCAATGTATTCTTGAGCATGTTCTTTTTTTTTAACAGACTAAACCCTGTCAACAGTCAGTTTCGTTACTTGAAATGAACGAGTTCAGTAAAGTTCTGCATTATCTATCCGATAAGATCTCATATTTTCAATTCAGAACTTTCATGCTTTCATATTGTTGAAATTCTTCTCCAAGATGTTGGTTCCTACTAATGTTATTGATGAATTGAAATTTGGGTCCAACAACCAAAACAAATAAGGCCATTATTTCCCTATTGAGTTTACTGAAGAAGTAGAATCAAGGACCTTTTATTAATTCTAGAGAGTTTCCAATAATGAAACAAATCAAAGAGTTACAACTTGACAATACATTAATATTATTATTAGTAATATTACTAATGAATTCAACATAACTTCTCTTGTGGCTTTCTATACCTTATTATACACGATTCGATTCCTCAACAGCAGGTAATGGTTACTATTCAACACCACAGCATAACCTTACTAACATGATACGGGTCAGAATTTTGATTAAAGAATCGAGATCGGGCATGATTAATCACCATCATGGCTAACACATGATCAACATCTGATTGTATTGAACGAATTTGTGATCGTGAGTGTAATCATGATTAATTAATGAAATTCTGGTATTCTATCCTTCAATCTCATGCATGATAATAAACGAAAAGCAAAGTTTGGTTGTAAGATTTTAAGAAATTGAGAGGTTTTATTAAGAGATTTCCAGAATTCAAAACTTTACATTGGAACCACCAATAGAAGGTTCTGGAACCCCCCATTTTGCTTTGTACGAAAACAGTCGAATTGGTAATTTCAGCTCTTGTTGACATATATCAAATTGTAAAAAAGCACATGGATGAAATTCTTGGAACTTTTGGAACTCTTCCTGTAACATAAAGGGTCTAAAAGATAGTTTACTCGTTGAGAAAAAATTCTTCTCAAAGTTACATAAATCATCAACCAATTTCACTTCTCATTAAATTTTCCTTTCCCAATAAAAATTCTATATTTGAACTTCTCACCTTAAAAAGGTATTTAAAATGTTTGCGCAACTTTACCTTAGGAACTTTAAAAAAAATACATCAACATTTAGTACTTACAACCACTTCAATTAAAGAAAAAAAATGACGAACGAACATGCTTGGTGCTCTGATGAGAGAATTGCCCAACTCTCCAATGTTGAATACGGAAGTGAATTTGCTCTTAAAGTTGCAAAAGCTTTGGTTTCCGGAAAGAACATTGTTAATAATCATCGTGATTATTGTGGATTGGCGTTGTTTTATGAAAATTCGGAATATGTATTGGCTTATTGTAATGATGGATGTGATTTTGATCCGATTGAAAAGTTTGCTAGTGAGGAAGCTTTTGTTGAATTTTTAGCTAAACAATCTGATTTTACGTTGAGTGGAGCTGATAAGAATAGCAAGCTTTATGAAGAATCAACATTTGCTAGAAATAATCAGAGAATTAATAGGGCTTGTTTGGCTTCCTTGTTGTGAATAAAAAAGGTTCCTTAATATAATTTGGCTTTTAATGATAAAATTTTTTGGAACGATATATCCCCCTTAGCTCAGTCGGTAGAGCGTCAGACTGTTAATCTGCAGGTCGGTGGTTCGAGCCCACCAGGGGGAGCTAACCTTTTTTCTTATTCTTTATTACTATCAGCAGAGTTGGACCAGAGTGGTGCCTCTGTGAATAAAGGAATTACTGATTCCTCCTGATAAACAGGCCAGCCATCCATGGCATGGTGTGATGATAGCTTTTCCTAATTTTTTAATTACACGAAAAGATTACAGAATTACTAGCTCAATATGATTGGGAAAATAGTGAGAATGATGGTTAACAAGAAGAAAAATCATAGGGAGCACAATAAATTGTTCATCAATACAATTTAACCTTAATAAATGCTAACAGCAATAAGTTAATATTTTATGACTGCAACACAAGGGCGGTTAGCTCAGCGGTAGAGCACCGGATTGCAAAGTTAATTGCAGGAGACATCCGATGGTCACGTGTTCGATCCACGTACCACCCTTCCTTTTATCAAACAAATCTTTTTATCTAAGCAGGAGGAGGTTGAGTATTACATGAATCCAAAGCGAAATCTTCATCAACAAAGTGTCCACAAGCATATTTCATCAAAACACTTCTCACTTTTCTAGAATTAATATCATACGACTTGAAACTCAACTTGTCCTGATACTGTTCCATTAAATTCTTGAACATTCCTTTTTGTTTCATTGAAGTGAAACAATTACAAAGTGAATAACAAAATCCACCATTTGAATGAACGTAGACAACACTATCTGGTGTCTCCTCCTGACCATCACGAATAGAACACGACCACTTCTTCTCTTCCTCACTAACAATTGTATCACAAGCTGAGAATGGACTGTAAAACATTTTCTTTTCACAATCCATAAGAATTGGATACTTATTGGTGGCATAAATGTATTGGAATAGCGCTTGATCTTCAATTCTTTCCTTTGGTTCACCTCTTTTCACATTCAATCCAATGGAAAGTGCCTTTCTAATATCACGTTTTCTTCCAACGTAAAGTCCACTATTTAAATAAATTCTATCATTTGCTGATGCACAATTTCTCTTAACTCTATAGCCATTAATGTCATAGTAGTATTTTTCGACCATATTCTCCTCCTCAGGTGTTTTCTAATAGGGAAGATTGTCATTACGACCCTCACTTTTTGACCCACCCAACCTCACTGTAAGATCGTCCCAACAAATCCTGGCCACTGCATGTGAGTTTTTTCACACTACCAAACATGTTACCGCTGAAAGTTGAATGTTCTGACCGTTATATTCAACAAAAAAAAACAACAAACAACAATTACTCATGATTTCATCACCCTGCTAACTACCAACCTTCATCAGTACCAGGAGGAGAGTTCTCCCTTTGCTTCCTTCCACATCAGCCATAGCACATTCAACCATAACAATCTAGATGAATGCCTGCCCAAAGTTGTTGGTACACAAACAATCAAGAACCCAGAAGTACTTGTTGCTAGCAGAACAAGTGATAATTGATACTTTGAACACTGTCTCACTCTTGGCTAATAAACCTTCGGCTCTACTTTTGCCAATTTTTGTTTTTTGCTCTGCTCTACTTTCTGACCCACTCTGGACCACGTAATTATGGACATCCTTTTTTCACGACCCACCCACCCCCACATAATTATGACAATCTTCCTAGAGTATGAATCGAGAAAATTAGTAAATTCTATTAGAAACACTTACTGTAAACATATTTTGAATGAAATCATTTGGTGGCCACTTATTCTTTTCAGCAATAAACACAATAGGCCAATCTCTCTCACTATCTTTCAAATCAATATTAGCAATTTCCTTGATATAGTAAGTTTCGTATACTTTCTTGACATTTTCAATATTATTGATGAATAAAACATCTGTTGCATCACTGAAAACAATAATATCATGATCATCAATATAGTTAGACTCTCCACCCGATAAAAATTGAAAAGTCCTCTCAATCTTCTTCCAATGAGCTTTACATTTCACATGTCAATTTTCACTAATTAAATGCCAACCATCAAACTTACTATATTTTGCTTCAGGAGCACCGTCAGCACCAATAACTGTTGGTGGAACATAATTAGGTGATTTTTCATTATAATTAAACAAATAATAGGTTGATAAGAATATTTTACAAAGACCTCTCACTCGGTTGAGTTTTAAATTTTCAGAATTTGTGAAATCGACATCTAGATAAGTGACAGGGAATACTCTGGCTTCTCCTCTTACTCCTCGCTTGGACGTCAAATAAAAAATCATCACCAAACTTGTGAGGATGAATAATAGTAAGAGAATTGTAGGTAAATTACATCTTGACTTGCCATTGACATTTGACTTGATTAGATGTTTCTCTGAATTAACGTAAGGTAAGTTGGAAAATGAAGCTGTTGATGTGCTGCTGGAAATGTGAGACTCTAAATCCTGTGAAATGTTTGGTCTTTGCATTTTTTTTGAAAGGTCACAGCTAGTTGGTTTGTTTGTGGTTTTTACCCATCAGTTGATATGTTTCTTAAAAGAAAACCAACAATAAATAAACTAATGGATATAAAGCTCACACTACAACTTCTACCTATTCTTAGGTAGTTTGTAGCCTGGTTACTGCTGTTTTTAGGCATTAAGCTTTATTCAGCAGGTCCAGAAATTAAATAAACTAATCAATACAATCATACTATGATTTCTTAACAAAAAGCAAAAACTAAACTAAATTAAAGCAATCTGACAATAAACCAAGTTGTTTTTTGGAGAAACAACTCCCATATAAAAAAACCTACTCTTGTAGGAAAAAAAAAAAAAATCGGTAAAAACTAAAAAGTTAAGAATTAAAAAACCTACTCAACCGTCTTGACACTTACGAATCAAAACGAGAATGAGAAAAGAGGTATGTTCAGTACATATTGCCTTACTAATAGTAAGGGAAAGGTATCAGATACCTTCTAATCAACATAAAGTTGATCTGTCGGTTTTAGATCACCAACAATTGGTTTTAGATCACCAATCATGATAAAAAACATCAATAAATGATGTCAAATATCAAATAATAATACAAAGATAAAAAGATGATAACAATCATCTTTCAATAATACAAATAGAGTGAAATCTTTCAATCAATTGAGAAAATATTTGAGGATTGGTTAAAAAATCACATTCCAAAGTATTAAGGACAAAGGTTAGAACCTTTGATTTGAATAAACTAATAATAATAGAGGGTGGGCAAGGGTGGGACCATAGTATGACAATTTTTTTGAGCATACTTTCTATTATTAGTTTATTCAATTGTTGTTTTCAAGAAACACTACTTTATCTCAGTAAACTTCGATAAGAACATGTTTCTTAAAAGAAAACCAACAATAAATAAACTAATGGATATTGTCCCGAGAAAGGAGAGTAGTAGACAAGTGGCGAGCTGCAAGAGCTTCTTGTCTTTGATAAGGTTGTAAAGATTTCACATCCTTATGTCTAGTCCCCATAATAATATCCTGAGTAGGAATTCCCTTGATAATACTCTCAGTAGTTGCACCAATACGTAAACTGTGACCAGAAACAGTGATTTCTGAATCAACAGAGAACATAGCATTCTTGATAAGTTGAGAAACATCTTCAGTGTTGAAGAAAATATTGTCCTGCAATGAAAACAATGGTGAATCTGCTTTTTTGAAATGCTGTACAGTGTCTATGTAATCAAAAAGCAATTTCACTGGACACACTGAAGGATTTTCAAGATGCTTGTCAATAGTAATCGGCTTTTCTAGTAGAAAGAAATCTGTTTTGTGACCACTGAGATCTAATTTGATGTTACCATTTCTAAGCTTTGTAACATAACCCCACTTGAGTCTAGCTAATTCACCTGGTCTAGCGAAAAGTCTGAAACCAATGACTAACATGGCACTAGTGAGTTTGAAAATGAAAGGATCATAATGATCTTTTCTCTGAATGAAACCTTCAATATGATGATAGAAAATTGGATCACGTTTCAAAGCTTTTCTATCAATCAAGGACCAAATAAGAGTAATTCCTCTTTTAATCTTATCATAAGACCATGAAATTGGAAAAACTCTTCTCTCAATATTGGCCCAAAATTGAAGGGATGGTCTCAAGGCTTCAACACGAGATGTTTGACCTTGAATTGTAAGATAAGCTGCATAATACTCAATAGCATAAGGGTCATCCATTGAAATATTGAATGCAGTAATAAACCATAAGAAACCATTATAGTTTCTAGTGTAAAGTTTGAAGGTTTCTTCCTTAATCGAAACCAACATCCCTAAATCTCTGGTTTGAAGTATAAGTTTCCATCCAGATGAGCAATTATGAACGTCGTTCCTTCGAATTTGATCCATAATTCGGATAATAGTTTGATTAAAAGCATCCTTCTTGTGATACTTTTTCTCTTCTTTAATAGCTTTAAGAGTAGAGGCCACCAAATCGAGGAGCTCCATTCTGGAATTACAAATGTCGCTATTGATCTGGATTTGATAAGATGAATGAGAGCTTGACTGATCAATCCTATTGGAGGAACACAATAACTCACTAGTTCTTTTTCCCAAAGACTTTTGAACGCGTCGTTCTCTTTCCATGAATTGAATACAAGGGTAGTTGCCGAACTCGTTGTTGCAAATCTGTCCACATGGTGTATTCCAAATTCTTGGTTGACTAATTCGATTAGTTCCTTGGTGGATCCCCAATCCATCAATCGACTCAACCTGTCTGCTAGGAAATTCTGTTTGGATGGGATGTAAATCACTTTGCAAATCCACCAATTTCTTCTCATTAGAATCTTTGAGATGTCTCTTGCTATCTTTGCGAGATCGTCTTTTGATCCATAACCCTTCTTTAGATATGCCACGGCTACCATGTTGTCTACTCTCAATTCGAAATTTGTGAAATCTGGATAAAGATTTAATTCGTCTGCTTGTTTGAAATAAAGCAGTAAGGCTCTTAGTTCCTTGACATTGATGTGCTCTTCTCCATTGAACTTTCCAACAGTAACGATTGAACCTGAGTGAATGCCGAAACCTTGAGGTGTTGCATCTGAATTCACAATCACTGGGAGAATCCAATCCAATTCGAACGGATGACCATCGTTCTTTTGAATTAACTCCCTTAGAATCAATAAATCCTTGAATGCGCCTTTGTGAATTTGCATTGATGCGTGCCAACCTCTTCCTGATACTACTGAAACCATGTTCTTTCGAAGACGACACATGAATGGTGAAAGGTACTTGTTGGCAATTGTTAGAAATTCCAACTTTCCTAGGAACTTGGCAACTCTCTTGCATGGAACATAAAGCCGTTTCTGGGAAGCATTGAGTAGCTCCTCTATGAATTCTAAAGCTGTAATCCTTTTGTCTTCTGGAATTTTTACCAAACCTTGATGAAAGTCTAACAAAACTCCTAGGTATTCTATTAATTGAGTTGGATTTAAACAACATTTGTCTTTTTGAATGAGGAATCCAAACTCTTCTAAATCCTTTAGAACTATATCTCTGTCTAAGATCAACTGATCTTTTGAATGATTTACCACTAAGATATCGTCTAAATAAATGAATACCGAGATTCCTCTTACTCTCCATCTTTGAACTAAGACCTTCATTATCTTGGAGAATAATCTTGGAGCAATGTTCAGACCGAATGGTAGGCACTTGTAATGGTAAATCTGGCCGTTGTACCTGAATCCCAATAACTTTCGATCTGTTTCCTTCACTGGAACGTGATGATAACCTTTCATCAAATCTATTTTGATTCCTAACATGTCTTTTGATAGAAACTTTAGAGTTTTGTGAATATGATCCATTTTGAATGAGTCGTTGTTTATACCAGCATTTATGGATCTCAAATCTAGGATTAGACGAAACTGGTCTTTGCCTTTCTTCGGAACCACGTGAATCGGATTTATGACAGTGTCCTTGTTTCCAATTTCTATAATATTGGTTTTGAGTAAATCTGAGATTTCGCTCTTTAACCATGAATCTTCCTTTTCTGAAAAATGAGATCTTAGTGGAATATCGATCCATTTTTCTTTTTCTGAATGGATTGGAATACCCTCTCTTATCCATTCTGCAACAGTTTTGGGGAAGATTTGCCACTTTTTCCAAAACTGTTGTAATCTTCCTCCTTGGAAGGAGGGAGTGGAAGAGTCATTCTGACTTATCCTTATCTTTTCCTTGGAATTTACCACCGTTTCCTTGACCCTTATTGTTTTTCTTTTGAAACGGTTTCTTCTTAGAATACTTCTTGGTAATTCCCTTTGGACCTTGTTGCTGCTTGGTTGCTTTGTAGTAATGATATGTTGTTCTAATATTATGAAGTTCACTTTCGGCAGCAGTTTCGAAACTATTAGTAGAAATGTATCTGTTAAGGAATTCTCTACCAACATCGAAAGTGGAAACTTGTAAACCTTCTTTAAGGAAGAGGGCTTCAACTTTGCAAATCATTCTACAAAGTTCTGTAATCTCTGTCATGACTGTAAAATCAAGTGGAGAATTCAATGCATATTCCAACAATTCAATTTTGATTTGAGTTAACTCTACTAGTTTAGAATAACCAATACTGTTAATCTCATCCAATCTAATGTCTGGGGCAAACTTGGAAATCACATCCTTGTATTTAAGGAGCAAATATTGAATTCTTCTCTTGGTCTCCTCTTGTTTACGGTCTTTAAGTATCTCGGAGGATACTGCAGAAAGTAATAAATCATCTCCAATAGATGAAGGAACATTGTAAGAACTTCTAAGGTCTCTATAAGTTTGACGTAACCAAACTTCTGGAGATATAGCTTCTGGATTAACAAAATCATCATCTGATTCTTCTTCTCTCTCCTGAACTTTCTTAGTAAGTTCAGAGATATTTCCTGTTACGGTTCTCAAAACTCCAATCATTTCTTGCATTTGGGCTTTGATCGCCATGATATCATGTTCAGATGAACTACTGGCAAAACTATCTCTACCTGAATTGGAAGAAGACGAATTGTTTGACGAAGAGGGTGCAGTTGAAGAACTATCCAACAAAGTTGAATTGCTTAGCAACGAACTGGAAACAACAGTTGAAATACCATCATCTAAGGCACTGTTAGATGATGAAACTGAAGTAGATTGTTTGCGCTTATTTCTATTAGCTACAGGTGACATGGCCTTTAACTTTCTAAGCTTCTTAGCAGCTTGTTGTTTTCTTGCTTTCACTGGTGTTGTGGGGTATTCTACTTCAACTGCTGGGAGATCTTCATCAGATGAAGAGGAGTCAATATCTTGAGGCTTCTTAGCGACCATAGTATGACAATTTTTTTGAGCATACTTTCTATTATTAGTTTATTCAATTGTTGTTTTCAAGAAACACTACTTTATCTCAGTAAACTTCGATAAGAACATTAGAAGTAGTAAAAGTAGAGTTGTGATAGTTGTTAATTAAAACAAAGAAAAACTCTTACAACAAGAAATAGACAACTAGATTCATGGAGGTTGATGGAGTAGTTTAAAAATAAATGGAACAACTAATATCTAACATCAATTAAAATATATATATATATATATATATATATATATATATTTCAAATATCATCATTTAACTACTTTCAGCTTTTATTGTTAAAATCATAAATAAATTTCCGGTGTTTATTACAACTAGGTAAAACTGAAACGGTATTACTAAGATTATTCATTATTGGGGGCTAATTGCCAACATTTCGTTTCAGATTTATTAGAGGCATTGAATTTGACACTTCCAGTGAGTGAATCTTTCAAAATTTATTTTGACAAATTGAAAAGAGGAGAAACTGACAGAACTTTCTTTGTGAATGAAAATTTGGCAACATTATTTAAAACATGCAACATTACAAACCCTTATATTGGTTTGAAGAACATTAGATTCGAGAATAGAAAATCATTGGATGAATTTTGTCATTTTCTTGAACATATCAAATATTTTGACATTGAGGCAGGTCAAAGTGATTTTTGGCTTTTGAAGGCATTTGATAGGTCATTTGTTTTGGTTGGGGAGGATGAAATTTGTCTTACTTTTGATTCTACAGGAGTCAAAGAGAATGGATTCTTCACAACTAATGGAGGAAGAGATCAAGATTCCATCACTCATATCAAGTACAGTGTTAAAGATGTTGATTTCAGTGATTGTGTATTAAAGAGGTAATAAATGATTGTTATTTACTCTTTCAACAATTGCTCAATTACTTTGGTGATAAAAGAATAATTGTATTAAGAATTTGTTATAGATAATAATATTTCTCATTCAGATATTAAGGTGATAAGACTTACAATATTACAAATTAAAGTTGAATCTTTGTTAATAAAATATATTGATGAGGAAGAACCTTCGCCAATATATGATTTGATTTTTTTAACAAGTCTATTTTATCATGTCAAGTTAAAGATTAAAATATTGATATGCTTGTATTTCTTTATCAATTTGAAATAATTTCAAATCAAATATCATATTATATTGAAAAACAACATGGAAATATTTGCTTATCATGGTATGAGGCAGATGTATTTTTAAACATTCGTGACGGTTTAATAGATTTTATTAAGGATCATGATGAAGAATATATAAATGGAAGGGAAAATAGTGACCTCTATTTAATTCAACAATTTTCATGGAACAATTCATCATATCAAATGATCAATAAGTAGAAGAGTGATCGACCTTTTTACTTTCTTCAATAACCTGAACAAACAAGATTCGTCCAAGAACTCTTGACTTCACTGTTCATACAGTCAAAGACTGTAGCGGGATTGTCGCCATATTCCTGGCAGGCTTCCCGTCCAAATTAACAATTGAAATCGTTTTCAACTTATATTCCTTTTGCATTGATTTAACCAATTTCTTAATTTAATCATTAAGGTAGTTGTTTATGAATAACTTTTTAAGAATGTGAATGGCTACGGCCATATCACGATGAATGCACCTCATCCCGTCCGATTTGAGAAGTTAAGCATCGTCGAGCCACATCAGTACTGAGGTTGGAGACAACTTGGGAACCTGTGGTGCTGTAGTCTTTTTATTCAATTACTTAACCATGCCATTAAAGAATTGAGTCCCAAACTTCTCGATTGGAATTTTCTTCTTATCAGACAAAATTGTTCATTACAATGCTTCAAAAGGTCCGATCACGTTTCCAAAACGTGAAAAAGACAGCAGATGATCAAAATACATGATACAATTTAAAAAAATGGGCAACACGTCAAGTATTATTAGATTCTCTGAAGAAATCAGTCCACCCAGTGATGAGATTGAAGAGGCAGAGGCAAAACCTCTTCGAGAATGTAGCAATAGGGACTTGTTTTGTTTATGTATTCATTACAATTTCAAGAACGATACTGTCATAAATGCTGTAACAATGAACAATGATTTTAATGGAAAGTTATTCGAAGGGTTGGCAAAGGAAACTAATTATGCCAAAATTCAACAAGAAAAGGAACTGTTGCAACAAAAGATGTCCAAGTACAAGATTGATAATATTTCTGCAATTGTGTTTTTGGAACAAGTTATCATGAAGAAGAAAATTGATGATGAAAAGAGTGGAAGAGTCAAGTTTGAAGATGATTCGAATAGATTAGTACTAAATGTCTCGGAAGATACTTTGGAATCAGATGGTCAAGCTGGCCAGAATTCTACCTCTGTCAACCCAGTGAACAAACCCAACAAAACTTTTGAATCAATCAATGAAACACTTTTCTCAAAGCCAAGTATTTCTCCAACACCTGCTATTATTGATGCTACTGCGTACCCAACCACAACCGATGTCCAATATAGTGCAAACAGATTAACTCTTTTAGAAAAGGATCGAGTTGGAATGGCCAAGAAAAAGTTAGAGAAATATTATGATTTCTTGAGAAAGAATAATAGAACTCCCAAAGATGCTAGAATGACAGGCGATTTGGAAGTGGATGCTCAAAACTTGGTGTGTGAAGATAGATTATTGAATAGGGAATTTATGAGTTCTATTGTTAAGCAAAATTCAAAGAAGCTTAATTGTGAACCATTTCTGCGAGTCAAGTTGTTGATTTCTGATTTAGGTAATAGTCCTTTTATGACCAAGTTAATGAGCTACTTTTCAAATGCTGATATGGGAATTGTTCATACTGGCCTTTTAATTGGTGAATGGAAGATTGAATGGTTCAACTCATCAACTGTTATTGTAAGGAGTGACTCTATTCAACAAATCAAATCTGACAAGACAATTGCAGCAATTGACATTGGAGAAATACGTGGTGCTGAGAATGTTAAGCAAACATTTAGAAAGTTGACTGAAATTATTTGTAAATATAATGGATCAGTTCAATATCACCAATTCAAAGCCAATTGCCAACATTTCACATCTGAGGTACTATCTGCTTTGAATTTGCAACTTCCAAAGAGTGAATGCTTTGACAAGTATTTTGATAATTTAAGGAATGGAAAAGTTGACCGAACATTCTATTTCTCTGAAATTTTGAGAGATATGATTAGTAAGACTAATATTTCCAATGATTACACCAACAAGAACTCCTCTACTTTTAAGAATAGAAAATCACTCAACATATTTTGCAATTTTATCGACTCACTCGAATATTTCAAAACTGTTGAAGGTAATCAAGATTTTTGGCTATTGAAAGCATTCGACAGATCATTTGTTGTGATTGGCGATACAGAGGTTGAAGTAATTGAGGAGAATGGTCGATTGAGGGATAATTGTTTCTTCTCACTTAACGGAGCAAAAGATCAAGATACCATTAAGAAGATTAGATATAGTGTTATGGGTATTGACTTTAGTGATTTTAAATTGAGAACATCAAATTAGTGGAGATCTATTTGTTTTCCTATTAAGTTTTCAAAATTATTAAATATAATGTACATAATTACAATAGAATTAAAAAACAAAAATGCCATTTCATCGTAAAGACACATTCCATTTGACCGTTATTAGAGGAAATAATTTGATGGTATCGGATGTAGGAGGAACAAGTGATGGATTTGTGGAAGTGTCTATCATTGGAAGAGATTGCAAGGCTTTGGCCTTCTCAGGGAAAACTCCAGTCGTGATGAAGAGCCTTAATCCAACCTGGAATTGTGATTTTGAGAGTGAGTTGGCGAAGATTGATGATTACGGAAAGGGAATTAAGATTAAATTTACAGTATTTGATTTTGATAAATTCACAAAGAATGTAAGAATTATTTATATAATATATTTAATTCTTAAATATTAAGGATACTATTGGAAAAGCAAGTTTGAAATTAAAAGCAGAAGAATTAAAGACATCTCGAGACTATGAAAAAACGATACAATTAAAGGAGGCAACTTCTGGAACAATAACAATCAAGTACAGATATGAGAGTTATCTTGCTAAGGAAATTAATAATATGGAAAAGTATTCAATTGAATATCCATTTGGAGATAATTCTGTAGAGTTATTCATTCTTGATGAATATTACATTGGAAATTTGAATTTTGATGTTTCGGAGAAGAGTGTATTGTATAGGAAAGAAGATGAAGATAAATGGATACTTGCATGGTTTGCAAATTTTGGAGAAGTATGCCCCGAGTTGGAGTTTGATGAGATTGTGGCAAATATCAAATCTGAATCCATTGAGAAGTTAATGTCTACTTATTTAAACGCTCAAGATATTATCATTAAATCAGATTCACCTCAAACAACTAGGAGAAATTAGAATCGCCCAACAATCCAATGGATTGTGGGGTATCTATATGAGTTATGGAGAAAATGATATTGATATGGTTGTCCATAATACCATTATTAACATGTAATAGAAAATTCTGGAAGGTCCATATAATTATTCTTTCTTTAATTGATAAATAAATACTCTGTCATCTGAACATTCTGGATTTTGTTGTTTGGTTGGAAGTTTTTTCATTGAAAATTGTTTGGAAGCTTTTTCAACAAACATTTCATGAGCTGTATCATTACGGACTGATTTCAGTGAAATAAATTGAATCTTGTATTCCAATAAAAACTCAACTACTTACTTTCATAGGCAATCAAAATGGTTGTTGACATTCCTGCAAGTGCATTCAATAATTTTAACAATGGCTCAATGCATAATTCTTCATAGACAACATCAGATCCAATAATCATATCAAAAACTCCTTCTTCATCACCCAACATTTTCTTTTTAAATTCTTTCATTCTATCCACTTGATCTTCATTAGCCCATTCCCATTCAAGCTCTTCAACTGAAATATTTTGACAAATTGATAAATCACTACAATTATAAGAAACATTTTGTTTTAAAATCGGAAGAACAATTTCTCTATCGGTAGTAACAACTTTTTTACATCCTAATTTTGCAAGTAAAATTGATGATATGCCACATCCTGCTCCTACTTCCAATATGTTTTTAGATTGGAGTTTTAATTTGTTGGCTTGTTTTTCTAAATATTTGCAAAGAACAGGTGCTGATGACCAAAGCCTCGAACCACAAGTTCCGACGTTATAATCTTCAACAATTCTTATAGTTCCCTTTGATGTTTCTAAATTAAAGTATCCTTTCAATCCGTTTTGTTGATGGGAAATGCAACCACTATCGTTGTTTAAAAGCATTTTTGTGTAATTTGGAAATTTATTTAACTTTAATTGAAATTAATTAAAACCATGGTATTTGTTACCACCTTCTAATTCTCCTACTTGGATGGTTTCCTTTTCTAAATAAACTCTTAGTAATAAGATGCCATTTTCAATACTGCTCTTTAGATTTTGTGCTGAATTTGTAACAATGACATGTATTTCAGTAATGTCATTGTCGTGCCCAATCATATTTTCAACATCTCCAAATACACTAATACTTGTGAGAATTTTAGCTTGCTCTTCAGAGAATTTAGGAAGAGGAGGTTCAAATTTAACTTTTTGATAAACATATTGACCAACATCTCGTTCAGCTTTTCTGTAGCTCCAAACCTTGCCTCTTAATACTTTTCCTCGCAACTCAGCAATTCTTATTTCATCACTAACTGTTACAATTCTGCTTTGATTCTCACAATAAAGTAAATCATGAGTTTCCTCTCCCAAAAATTTACACTTTCCAAACAATAATTCTACACATTTGTTCTCATATTTTGGATTAAGATATTTTACAGAGAGTTCTAAATCTTCTCTCATTGTCCAGAATTGATTTTCTATTTCCTCACTCTCATTCACTACATCTAAAATATATCTAAGAAGGTTGTCCCATTCTTTTACAATTATATCCACTAAATAGTAAGATCTTGGTACTTCTTCTGAACTACCTTTAGGGTTGAATTTCATAATTTCTAATAATTCGGTGGCTATCTTTGATTTTTCCATATCATAGAAATAATCTTGCAAAGCAAAGAGAACTTCCTTTTCTGTTAAGTTCTTAAAACCTTGCAAGAAAATATTAAAATCGCCATCTCTGAAACACTTTAACCTGAAATAGCATCTAAAGAAATCAACCCATAATTTCTTGTCTTCAGGTGATCCTTTAAATGAGGTTTCATCTCCAAATATTAGATTAACTATAATCATTCTAATAAAGACCTTCGCGTTTTCTCCATATTCTTCAACAGATTTAAGGTAAATTTCTTCATGATCAACCAAATGTTGCATCCACACTAATATAATGTAAATATTACAGCAAGACTATAACTTACAAGATTTTCCAATTGTATATGGTCTGAATGTATTAAAAACAACTTGATTCTTAGAGGTCATCAATCTTTGGAAAATGTTTTGGTCGTAATCCCAATTTCCAAAAATTGATTTTGGAATAGGTGTTGTCATAGCAATATCCCTCATAATCTCAAACACTAAATTGTTCATTTTTACATTTGAACTAAGAAGGGAAAATGTTGGCACAGATAGTTCTCTGAATGGCAGGTGTTCATAGTCTTCAAATTCATCATCCTGACCACTTTGATTAGATGATTGAGGATATAACTCTAGTACACTGAAAAAATATGGCACCAACAAATCTTTGGGGAGTGTTTCATAAATATATTGTAGCGATTTTACACACCCACCAAAGCAAATTGCATGAATCGGTTGCTCAGCCATATTTTCTTGGCTTTTAAGGTTAAGCAATCTCTCCAAAGTCAAACTCTTACTTGAGAGAAGAGTAAACAGTAAGTTGTCGCAACCACTTCTAAGAGAGTTTAGAATTCCCTCTATAATTCCAGTATCTTCCCAATTAATAGTCAACCCTATTTCTTCAATCCTGTGAATTATTTTTTGAAGGGCATCACAATTGGCTTTCTTGATTGCATCTGGAAGTAAATTTAAAATTGACTCTTCTGTAAGTGTTTGCACTATGGTATCAGTAAGTGTTTCAATTTGCCGCCTCTTAATTTCTGTATTTGGTTTGATGGAAAGTATTAAATATTGACAAATATCCATCAATTCTGATTGTTTTAACAATTTGATATCAGGGATTATCTTTTCCAAAAGATCCAATCTATACAATCCAGTGGCTATTGCACAGGGGATATTACCTTTTAACAGCAGAGTTTTAACAGAATTCCAACTAATATTCTTATTTTTTGCATAGCACTTTTTCCACATCTCGAAAGAGCTTTCATTTACCTCACCAAGAGATGCGATCTCTGTGTATATATCAATTGGAATATTTTGTCCCAAATAATCCTTAATAATACACAATTTCATTGTGTCATTGATACATTCGGGATCTTTCTTAATTAAATACTCCAATTTAGTGACATCTTTAAAATTTTTCTCTAGAACCAAAGTACAAAAATCCTGAACTAAGTCAGTCCAATAATATTCAGTATAGATATTGTCAGCCATTTTCTTGAAGAATGTGATATCACATTTTTCTATGAAAATATCGTAGTCTTTTTGAACCACTCCATCCTTAATTAATAGAGGATAAACTTCTGATTTTCTTGATTTGTCTAGACTCAACTCAATATGAACAGATTCACATACTGGAGGAAGATTTTCAAGTCTAGTACATGGCTGAACAAACTTTTTCAATTTGAGGTCATCAAAATCAAGAAATTGTACCTTCAAATCGTCAGTTATTTCGAATTCATTGCCAAAACAAGGGAATGAAAGGGTTAAAGTCAGAAGCTTTTTCAATGTCGAAATATCAGCTTTCTTAATGTAAAGAGCTAAAATAAGAATATGAGTTTGAAGATCCTCTCTGTTTCTGGTAACTGATATCAAGGATTTTAAGAGCGGTAAGGTGAGACCGGAAATTACATCTTCTTTTCTGTGAAATAATGAACTAATTGAATTATAAATCATATCCTCTTGAGACCATTTGTGGTGGCCAGTATTAGAAGATAGATTTCCTACTGTTAATCCAAATTTGAGCAAGTAAGCAACAACATCCTCTATCATATCAAGCTTCTTGTTTTTGATTAATACAGAAAGTATGCATCCGCACGAGTTTAGTAGCAAAGAGCGAGTAGAATCATCTGTTGCTGCTATCGATTTGATTCTATCCCACATTACTTTCTCAATCTTTGCTACACCATCTGAAACTGATCTATCCAAAGACAAAATGAACTCAAATGGAGAACAAAGGGTGAAAGTATTTGCTTTTTTCAGTTTGGAAAAAATCTCTCCTTTGCTATTGGTTTGAACTATTAATGACGAATCAGTTACATTACTGATACACTTTTCAAGTACAGGCATCATCTTGGTTTGTGTCCTCTTATTGATTGCAAGTTCAATAATTTGATTAATTTCTTGGGGCAAAAGCTTGTAGTCATATTGCTCAATTATAAAATTGATTAGAGGAATATTTCCTGATCGCATATTAAGAATTACTCTCGACAAGGCACTACTTGAAGAAGTATTTTCAGTATTATCATGTATATATCTATCAAAAATCTCAGGGACCAATTGAACAACCATTTTAGCTACATGTACACTAGTAATGTATTCAGAAATGTCAATATCATTATCAATTATTCTGTTTTCAAGTAAGTAGTGCAAAAGTGCTATGTTCTCTTCGCTAGCAGCCTCTGAAAAGAAGGACAACGATCCTCCAGTAATCAATTTGGTTTGAAGTAATTGGTGAAAATTCATCTTGTTTTCTATTTGCCATTTGATTTCTTCAAATAAATAAGTCATTAGGGTGTGATGAGAAGTATTTTTGAACTTTTTGGCATAATTATAAACTTGAGAATTCAAAACATCAATTGCTGTTTTTGAGCTACCATTTAGAGAATTAAAAAGACTAATGCACATTTCTTTTGAAATACTCTTTGAAATTTCTAATAACACTGATTTGGTCAATCCAGGATTGGTGTAATAATTAGAGACCAACACATGTGATATCAATTGTGAATTTGTATCTACAGAGCATATTTCGCTCTCAAGCAAATCCAATTCAGTTAGCTTTTGGATCAATATTGTTGCAACATTGTGACTTCTAATATAGAAAAGGGCGTTTCTCCCAAAGCAGTCCTTATTTTCAATTCTTGCCCCACAATCCAATAGTTTTTTAACGGCAGCAATATTATCGACTGAGACTGCAAAATGAAGCAAAGGAATACCAAGAGATGTCCACATATATGTACTGATATTTTCTATTGAAAATTCCATACCAGCTTCAATTTTTATCAAGCACTCTTCAGTAAAAGTCATAATCTTTTCAAATTCTCCAACAGTTGGAATGCTTACTATTGGCTTAGAAGTATCGCTAACTCTGTTTGAAGGTAGCTTGGTTTGATCAATAGTAATAGATGGGAGAATAGAGTTTTGTAAAATTGATGACAGTTTTTGGTCGTGTGCAATGCAAGCAAGTGTTTGCACCTTTGAAAAGACTGTAGTAGTTTCATTATCACTTCCATCGCAATATCTCTCCATTCTCAAACAACTTGCAATAGGACTTGCGTATCCCTTAACTGTTATAAGTACAACCTGGTGTTCCCTCACTCTTACACCCTTTAATATGTCATGCTCATCAACAGATTGAACAAGATCAGAAAATAGAATGTGTGGTTCTAACGTATTTGCACTATAATCAAGACCATCTCCAGGAATTATATTTGCCTTATGACCTTTATGCAATATGTTCGACCAATCATTCAAAATCTCTTCATCATGTTTTTCATAACTTTTAATATTGAATCTACGGAGTGAAGATGTTTTGGTGTGTTGAAGAACAGCTTCGGGAATGATTGGAATCTCAGAACGATTTTGTTCTACTTGTGTTACAGTGTTTGTAATTTTACCAGTAACCCTTGCTGAGGTTGGTGGTTGATCCGAGCTTTGAATTCTGTTTTTTGAGGGTACTGATCCTGATGCTCCCATATTGTATTATTTAACCTTCAAAGGTGTAATTTACAAATTATTTTGTGATCCTTAAACTTAAATCAATTGATGATTTTGAAATACAAGAGTATGATCAAAAAAGATATCGACACCTTCGGGACTTTTGGTGCGTTAATTGTTTTTTTTTTAAGTTTTGTTGCTGATGAACCTTAATACAAATGTAACTGAACATGTGATTTCAATATATTATCTCTATTACTTGAGGATTTCATTGGAGATAAGAAATCTTGTTGTATGGAAGAAGATATTGATTCAATTCCAACCATGATCTGATAATGAATGTTATTCTTATTGTAGATGAGTACTAAAAGTTCATTATCTAGCCAAAGAACCATGTTGCCATTGGAGAGCAAGAACAAATCCATATGAAGAAATGGAAAATGTTATCTACGAAATATAAAGATCATATCTAATATCACCTTTTGGGCCGTCAGAATAGCTATGAACAATTTTGTCTTCCATTATAGTTGGTGATTTCTTTGGTCGTTTAAGAACTACTCTCTTAATTCCAGGATGAAGATTTAAAGCCCACTCAACCATAGATTTCTCATAATTAGCAGAATCTATAACTGTAAAGTCTGGATTATGTATTTCTTCAAAATCTATTAGAGTCATTATTTGTCTCAAAACTTGTAAATCATATTTTGGGAGGGCTGTACCAGTATGAGTAAACATTGGATCAATATAAATGACATCAGGCAACGCTGTTTCTTTGAATGATTCACTTGTTAATAATCTGGAATCTGTTTCTGTAAATAAGTGTAGAATATTTTTACAATAACCCTCTTCCTTTGCTCTACTGATTGAACTCCTCAACATTAGAGACATGAGTGGATGTCTTTCGCATGAAATCAAGTTGAATCCTAACTGAGATAAAATGTTGGTATCCTTTCCTAAACCTGTGGTTGCATCCAACACTGTCACTTGTTCAGCTTTTCTATTCTTTACACTACAAGCTTTAAACAAGGCACTAGATTTTGAAATTCCTCGATTGGCCAAATTATTAGAATTCTCATTCATAAAATCAATGCTCAAGGGTTTGTTCAACTTGGATTTTTCAATAATTCCATTCTGAATTTTTTGTAAATCAAACATTGGAACAATTGATAAAAGAGGTGTCATTTTTACATCATCACCCGATTCAACATTTAAAATAAATAATGGTGATGCATTATCATCCACTTGATTTCCATATTTTAATTGATACTTGTCTACAAATTTGGGAAATAATTCATTCCTCACAAATGCATTAAAAGTATTACCAACAACACCTTCCGATAATCCTGATGATGCTGCTCCGATAAAACCCTGATGATGTTTTGATGTGAAGCGAACAAAAAGTGCTTGCCTTACACTTTGCTTCATTTTTTTCAACTTTTTAACGGAAAATTTCCCGCCAAAGAATTTTAATGTTATTTTAAATTGAAAATGTCACATGTTAAATATTTTATGAAGAAGACTTTGAAAAAAACAACATCAACTTCATCACGATGATATTACGAGCTATCCTATTCTTCATTTTGTTTGTCATCCATGTCATCATTATTCATGCACACAGGCAAACTATTGTTGTGAGTGATTTGCATATAGGAGGACCTTGGTTTCAAACTAAACAGTCGAGACATAATTTAAAGCAATTCCTCTATGATTTGGCAAGAACGGAATCAAAGGTAAGAGGAGAGAATGGTCCTCCTCTTACTAATATTGTTATTAATGGTGATTTCTTTGAATTTTGGTTGGATAAAGTAGACGAAATGCCAATTAAAAATACAGAACTCTTTGTGAGTACGGAAAGATTCGGAGCAGATATTAAGAAAATCCTTCAAGCACTAAGAGCTGCCTCAGATTTCAATCAAGCAAGAGTAGTTCTTACTCAAGGAAATCACGATATGGAAATATCCAATTCTGATTTGGAAATGTTACGAAATGAATATGCATTTGATAGATTATTCTATAAGACTGAATATTCAGATACAGGTGTAAGATTTGAACATGGACACAAACGTGATTTCTTCAATGCACCACATCCAGATAATATTCGTCCACTAGGTAAGTCCTTCGAGACATCCTTGTAACAACAATTTCACATAACTTGATATAGGTTATTACATTGCCAGAGCTTCCATAACAAGTGGTGTAACATCAGCTCCAGGTGTATTGAAAAACTTTTGTTCACTCTTGGCCTATTTCATTGGAAACTTTGCAACTGGTACTTGGGGTGATGTTCTTCATGTTTCTGCCATTAAGAAGGCATTTGGAGATTATCCCTACAATAGTACAACTGTCTTTAAGGGAGGTTGTTTTTGGGGTAATTGTGATAATTGTGATGTTACAGTTGAGTTGGCCAATAGAAAATACTCATATTTGAGAACTAGATATACAGCTAATTATACAAGTGGTGAAGTGAATGATATGGTCAGAGCTAGTTGTGATGATTATTCACCAATTCTGACCAGAATAACCGATCCAAAACAAGATAAGATTGTGGTGATGGGTCATACGCATAAACCACTTTTAAAATTACTGGAAAGCAAATCAGGTGCTCAATTTTTACATGTCAATACAGGTGCATGGATTGATGGATCATCTTATGATTATGTGAAAATTTATTACAGATATGAAGAGTCAATTGGTGAAGAAGTTGCCTATCTAGTTGAAAGATACCAATACAATACAACCTCTCCACAACTAATTGAGTCAATTAACACAACCTTTCTCTACTCTGAAGAAAATCTTGCAAGAAAATCCTCAAGAAATATTGAAAATCAATTGGTAACTGTTCCGTCAGAGTGGACATGTCCACCCTCTCAATATTTAGATGGTAAATCATGTCATTGTGGATGTGGAGCATATGATCCAGATTGTGACAATGCTAAACTCTTTGAAATTAATAATTGTCCAAAGGTGAGAGGAAAGTTTGTGAGTGGATGTCATAATGTCACTGGCGTTTGTCAATACGAATACTCTGATGCACCAGATGAGTGGACTTGTGATAAATCTTTTTGGAATGCTAATGATGGATGTGATTGTCAATGTGGAAAAGTTATGGATCCAGATTGTAAGGGAATTAATATTTGTAATTGTAATTCGGCCTCACTTTCGTTTGTTTCGAATAATGTTTATTTAATTATTCTACTGATAGTTTCCATATCATATTTGCTTATTTAGGAAGAAATTTTGAACACCCTTACTAATCCATTAAAATTTGTATTTGACATGTTTCTAATACTTTCACTTGAGTTTCTTCAGTCAATTAACCCTTCTGTTTCAACATCTTCACTGCTGTGCTTGGGTTTCTCCAATCAACTGTCCATCACAATCACAAAAAAAAGTCATCAAACCAAATGTCATCCGTACAAGAACTTGAACGTAAAAGATTGGCAGCCATCTACGGAGGTGATGAGGAAGAAACAGATAACAATAACCCTTCCTCATCAGATGATGAAGAAGAGAAACCAACAACAAATGATAAATCACCTCAAGTGGTCGCCACAGCTGCAGCTGCCACTTCAACCACTTCACCTCTTGTCAATCGATCAGCAGCTAGAAAACAACTTTTTGGAGGAGCCATGAAAAATTTGAAGAAATCAATGAGTACATTTGCTGGTAAAGAAACTTCTTCTTCTTCTGAAGAGAAACCAGCTGCTACTAAATTTTCCACAGCCATTCGTGTGATGCGTTCGATAAAGGAAATGCACTCACGTGTATCAATTTTGGTTGATGATGTTGCAGAAAAGATGGATTTAGATAAAGCATTGGAAACTCCAGATATTATCTTGAATCAGGATGAATTATTTGAGGGTGCAGGTGAAAGTGCTGGTTTAACTATTTATCATCTTGTGAAAATGATTCCAATTCAAGTACCTGAAGAAGAACATGGAAAATTCAATTCATCTGATTGTTATATTTGTGTTTATGCTTTTGAAGCTCAAGATGATGAACATCGTTTAAAGAGGATTCACTATTGGATTGGTAAGAATGCCAATACTATGAAACAAGCTGTTTGTGCCTTCTTGGCTGATGAATTGGCAAAGAGAATTAAAGCTTCTCTCTATAGAGAAGAAGAAAGAGATGAATCTGAGGATTTCCTCGAATATTTTGATCATCACATTGAATATAGAGATATGAACACAACTGAAGAAACTTTGCTCAAAGTTACAAAACCTGCTTTCAAACCACGTTTAATGAAAGTTGATGCCGATCACAAACGTCGTTTACTTGTAAAGAGAGTTCCACTTTCACTCAAGGAAATTCAATCAGAATCATCCAATAAGGATGTTTTTATTATTGAAAATGAAGAAAATGTCTATGTTTGGATTGGAAGTGAAGCAAGTAAGCTTGAACAATTGAAAGGTGTCGATGTTGCTCGTAACATTATTCACGATGATAGAAAAGGAAAAGGTGAAGTTAAAATTATTTCACAAGGTCAAGAATCTGAATATCCTGATATTATTCAAACTTTCACTGAATATGGTATTGTTCATGAAAAGACTGATGCTTCACAAGATGCTGCAACCCTTTTCAGTGTTTCTGTTCTCTCAGTCGAAGATAAAAAGTATGATATTGCCAAAGTTGCTGCTGGTGAATTGAAACGTGACATGTTGGACGAAGAAAAGGTTTACTTGTTGGAAACAAAGAGTGAACTTTATATATGGTTTGGTAAGAAATCCAAATATGTTGATAGAAAGTGTGGTGAAGCTTTGGCTAAAACCATTCAAGAATCCACACCTGATATTTTTGAAACTCACAGTTGTTTCTCTGATTCTGAACCTGTTTTATTCAGAGAGAGATTCTTACTTGGTTTCTACTTGTATGATACCCCAGAAATTTATGAAAAGAAGAGAAGAGAATTGGCAACAATTTGTGATGATGAATTTGATAAGCAAGAAATTGATATCAAGGTTGAAGACTTTGATTATAAGGAAAAATTGGATTATGTTGATCCTGATGATGAAGGTACAGGTACTGTTCAAATTTGGAGAGTTGTCGATGCCAACTATGCTGAACCAGTTCCAGAAGAAGAATTGGGTAACTTTTACTCTGAAGATTGTTACTTGATTCTCTATGAATGGAATCGTTCTGATCAATTCGCTGATGAAGATGAAGAAGAGGAAGGAGAAGCCCCACCTGAAGAAGAAGTACCAGAAGATGATTACTATCCAGAACCTAAATATAAGGGATATGAATCTGATGATTCCGATTCATTGGAAGCTAGAATGAAACTCATTGATGGTATGGGTGTTAAGGTTTCTGAAGCTGAAGCACCTGTTGTTGTTCCAAAGAAAAAGTATGAAATTAAGAAGCAAGAAGAACCAGAAGAACAAGAAGAACAAGAGGAACAACTCATTGTTAAACCACTCAATATTAAGAAGAAGAAGATTTTCTATCTTCCAAGAAGAATTCTCTATTGTTGGGAAGGTTCTGAAAGTAAGCAAGTTGTCAGTGCTCGTATTTTGAAGAGAAACTTCCAAAACTTTGCCTCTGATCCAATCAATCCAGCTAAGATTGTTACTCAAAAGGAAGGTAAAGAAAACGATCACTTTATGAAGATCTTTGAACATATCATGACCATTCACAATGGTTCTATGTCTAATAAGCGTTCAGTTTCTGCCCTCTACAGAATCTATTGTAAGACTGTTAGAAATTCAAAGGCCATTCAAGTTGAAAAGAAGAGAACCAATTTGAATTCAAATGATGTCTATATCTTGTTGGGCTTGAGAACTGCCTATTTGTGGGTTGGTATTTACTCGAGTGGTAAGAAGAAGGAAATTGCCTTCAAACTTGCCCAATCTTTAATTGGAAACAGAGATGTCTCTGCCATTGATGAAGGTTTCGAACCAGAAGAATTCTGGGAATTGTTCCCTGAATCCGATAATCAATATGTTGATTATGTTACTGAAAGATTGAACTATCCAAGAGGTATAGTCATGGAATGTTCCATTATTCAAAATAATGAATTCAGATTAATGAGTGTTGGTGAAGTTGGTCAACAATTCTTACAACAAGATTTGAATAATTCACATCAAATCTTGATTGTCGACTATTCTGAGGTTATCTTTATTTGGTATCCATGTACTCCATCTACTGCCTTGAGACAACTAGTTCTCAAGGGTGTTGCCACACTTTTACAAGAAGATTTGAATGAAGAAATTGAAGAAGACGAAAAATCAAAACCACAAGAAGGTGAAGAACCAACCGAAGAAGAACTCGAAATTAACAACAAGACCATTCAATCTCTTAACAAGTATGAAGGTGAAGAAACAGCTCCTGAAATTCCACGATTCCCAAGATCAGTTGTAGTTTATGAAGTTGAACGAGGACTCGAACCAAAAGAATTCAAGAGTGGTTTCCCAGTTTGGAGAGCAGAGAAACACTACGTCGATCAACACGAAGACACTCTCAAGAAGGAAAAGGAAAGTGAAAGCAAATTAATTGCCAAATCATTGCCATTCCTTCAAATTATCAGAGAAAAGTATCCTTTCCTCATTACTAATGATGAATTTGTCAATGTGCACAATATGGTTCACATTGTAAAACTTGCACGTCTCTGTAACAATAATTACATGATGCTCATGAATAATTTGGAACAATTGGAAGAGGAATATAGAGAAGTCATTGATTTTGGTTCTCATTTCGAATCATTTGCCAGCGATTTATTCAAATTCATTGTCACCAACAAGATTCAATAAGTTTCAATTATGAGATTAGTGTAAAATTTAAAAAATAAACTTCCATTCAAAGTAATTAATTATAAAAGACAAATTCCAATTCAATTCAATAGGGTTGAACCTTATCGTTGATCCTCAATCAAAAACCAGCTAAAGATATTTTTATTGCATTATTACAAAAAAATGTTCAAATCTGGAAAGCTTTCGCTTCGAGTGCAATTCAACAGTTGTACAACCTCAACCACCAAACAATTATTTAATCATCACCATCATCAATTTGCTAATTATTCTACCTTCATCCGTCCTTCTCTTCTTCATGATGAAAGTGAGGAAATAAATCCGCTCCAAGCACACGAAATTATTGCCAATATTAAAAAACAATCCTTATTGATGAATAAGAGTAATAACAACAACAATAACAATAACACTAATACAAAATCATCAGTAAAATCGAGAGGAAAGAGCGCAACGTTTATTCCATCACGTATTAGACATCGTATTAGATCGGGTTCTTCCTTTCCAAACGCTTCTCTAGGCTTGTAATTTTTATCTTCATCAGTACACTAAATATTCGTTAATTGATGTTGATTAATAATTCATCATCACCAATTTAAAAAACGTTTTTATTAGTAACGAAGTAATAACTACATTCTAGGGTTTGTTGTTTGCTCTCTTCTTTCATCATCTCGCTACAGTGAATTATTTTTGTAAATAATTTCAAAATTGGTTAACTTTCCTTGTAAATAATAACAAAATAATAATAATTAATATTTATTAAATATCATTAAATTTTATTTAAATTATATTTGAAATATTAAACTCGTTCTAATTTGGAAAACCTTCTTTTTGTTTGGTCTGTTCATCATACCAGAAGCCTTTCATATAAAAAAATACATCAACACTTTTCGAGAGAAATCCTTTATTCACTCTTCTCAAAATTGCGTTGCACCAATTTACTTGTTGGAAAATATATTGAGAGAGTAGAGACAAAATGATAAAACGAATTAAAGAAGCATTCCGTAAATTTAAAGAGGATGATGATTATGAGGATGTGGATGATGTTCGAGAGGAGAAGGTTGAATTGAGTACATCAAAGACTAATGAAGATATTCATCACAATAGTAGTGGAGGAACAGGTCCTGTTCATTTGTCTTCTTATCCAACGTTTGTTCGTGATTTACCGAGATTAGTATCAAGAAAAACCAATCACTACAGAGTGAGAAGAAAAAATCAACACGTTATTAGGAGCAGTTTATTGAATCTGACATCAGTGTATCACCTTTTGATATCTTGGTATGTTTTAATGAAGAAACATTTGTGGAATTGTTAATTTATGATGAAATTCAATATATAGGTCTTGGTGGAAATTACTAATTTTAATAATTTTGTCTCATTTAATTCTCCATTTGGTATTTGCATTGGCATATTTTGTTGCTGGTAAAGATACTATTGGTGGATTGAATCCTGATTTTGATGAAGGAGATTATACAGCATATGCTTTTTTACAATGTTTTTTCTTTTCAGTTCAAACAATGTTTACAATTGGTTATGGAGGTCTCTATCCAAAATCCATCTATGCTAATGTTTTGGTTGTTTTACAATCATTTTTAGGACTTTTTACTTCGACAATTGTCGTTACATTGAGTGTCGCTAAATTTTCTAGACCTACTAAACTAAGGAAAAGAATTTTATTCAGCAAGAATGCTGTAATTAATCATATTGGATATTTTTCAAAACAAGATATATTTAATGATGTAAATCAAAGAGCTCAACAAGCAATAATACCACCACAACCGTTTAAGGAAACTCTGCCAATGTATTTGATTTTCAGATTTATTAACTCGAGAAAAACTCAATTTATTGCGACCAAACTGAGATTACTATTCATTGAATGGAAGAATGAAGATGAAAGACATGAGCATGAAAGGGTAAATACAAACCATGCTAAACGGATTATGGAACACCAAAACTTAGATCTTAAAAGATCTAATGTGGGAGTTGTTCAGCAGTTTGTTGAATTATCTTCAGGAATGAAACCCAAGATAGCTGACAGTAATGAAACAGTTGTAGAGGAAGCTGAATTATACAGAAATTCCGAAGATCAAGAAACTACAGCTTTAAGCACATTTTGGAGAAGAAAGAAGAGAGTTGGTACTTATCCTGTTGTTTCAGAACTCTACTTCCAAATCAATAACCAAGCAGGAAAGTCTATGGATATTGATTTATCAACTCCACTGTTGTGTTTACCGTACACTGTTGTACATTTTATTACCATTGAATCACCACTTTACCCTTACTTGGTAAATGGAAAATTGAAAACTAGTAAGAATACTGAAATTATTGCCTGCTTGGAAGCTGTTGATGAAGCTACGTCAGCAAATGTCCAAGCACGATTTTCTTACACTATGAATGATGTTTTACTAGATCATGAATTCACATCGTGTGTATTCAGAAATGATCAAGATGATTTGGAAATTGATTATGATTCACTGTCGTCTGTTAGACCTATTAAAAGCAATTAAAAAATATTAATTTATCAACCCAAGAGTTTATTCATACCTTGAATGCTGTCATTAAAATGTTACACGCTTTCCAGAAAAAGTGCAAATGTACAACATAATTAAGGGGAATGCATTATAGTTTGTGCAGATGGACCAGTTCGTTTCCAATCCAAAATAATATTGAATTATATTTAAAGAGAATGAAGGGATTTAATTAACAAGTAAATGCCTGACAAAGAGAAGGAACAAGTTCATTATTAGAAACTTTGTGAAAGAATTATCATCTACCATCCCCTAACATTTTTCCATATAGCAACCAAATTCAAATCTGTAGAATTATCCACAACATAATACTTGTCAAATAAAGCAGCGGCAAGGCAACTGTGATTAGGAATGATTGTAATCTTAGTGCCAACCTTAAATTTGTTAAAATCGATTGGTTTATCACCTGTCACAATGCCAATTTCTTGAGTGAGACCTGTTAGTTGTAATGATTCATCTTCCATTATCAGTCCATATGATGCGTTTCCTGATGATGAAACTCCAACATCCTTACTGAGAGACAATGCTCCACAGTCAATAGCTAATTGATTCTTACTTGGTCTAGTACTAATAACACTCGAAACTAAATATGCAGAACAATCGTCAACACTGCAACTTCCAATCTTTGTTTGCATATAATCAAAGAATACATAATTTCCAGGATGAAGCTCATTTACCAAACTATCACTAGTCTTCCATTCATCTCTTGAACCAATCGAACAAGTTGGTGTTGATCCCACAGCAACAGTCTTTGGTTTAATTCCGACACTAATGAGCTTTCTTGCAAAATCTGAGATAATTTTTGCTTCATCCCTTGCTACTACTTTAATTTCCTCAACCCCTTGGCATCCATATGAATGTCCAGCATGTGTGTAGAGTCCTGCAAATGAGAGATATGGAGAATTATGTATTCTCTTCACTAATTCAACAGATGCCTCACTATTTGGATCTACACCAATTCTATGTTGTCCAGAGTCAACTTGAACAAACAGTGAAAATTTAACCTTATTCAATTTAGCATAATCCTCAATTAAATCCAAGGAATCTTCATTATCAACCTCAATATGAAAAGCTTTGAGATTTTGTGTTAATTTTGCAACTTGTTCCAATTTACTTTTAGAAGAAATAGGTACAGCATAATGAATATCATTGAACATATCGGAACCATAAAATTCAGCCTCTGCCAATGTTGAAACAACAATCTTTCTCTCTAGCATATCTTTTGTTTGTAGCCTTGCTCCTTCCAATGTTTTGTGAGTTTTAACATGTGGTCTCAATGAAATCCCACAATCAGAAGCCTTCTTGATCATATTTTGACAATTTCTCTCAAATCTCTCCAAATCCACAACAAAACATGGAGTTTTCATATCCACTATCCATTCCTTTGAAAATTGTTTTGTCCAAGGTGGAGATTGAACAGATCTGTGATGATTACATCTAATTTGGTTATTATTATTATTACTATGAAGAATATAATTTAAAAGAACATTATTGTTAGAGGTTATTATTGATTGTTTGATCGTGGAAAATTTAATACGAAATTTCGTGTTGAGCATTTTCTTTTAAAATAATAAATAAGATGAGGATTTAAACAATTTTCCTCTCATCCCATCGTACTGAAAATTATCAACTATTCTTTGATATTGTTAATCTTCTATACTTACGTAATGGATTAACAAGTTTAATTCATTTGATGATGGTTGTATTTGACTTGGATCAAAAAATTTAAAGCTGGAAATGATGAATTAAAAATAGATTATCAATAGAAAACAATATAAAAAAATGTCTCGTGGATCATCATCAGGTTACGATCGTTTTATCACTGTCTTTTCTCCTGAAGGAAGACTTTATCAAGTTGAATATGCCTTTAAGGCCGTAAAGACACCTGGTATTACTACTATTGGTGTCCGTGGTAAAGACTCTTGTTGTATTGTTACTCAAAAGAAAGTTCCTGATAAACTCTTGAAAGCTGAATCCGTAACACATGTATTTAAAATCACTGATCGTATTGGATGTGTAATGACTGGTAGAATTGCTGATGCCAGAGTTAATGTTCAAAGAGCCAGATATGAAGCTGCTTCTTTCCATTTCAAATTCGGATATGAAATTCCAGTGTCTTACCTTGCCAAGAGAATGGCCGATAATGCTCAATTATTTACTCAATATGCTGGTATCAGACCACAAGGTGTTGTCATGATGTTAATTGGTGTTGACGAAGAAACAAAGGAACCACAATTGTATAAGATCGATCCTGCAGGTTATTATGCTGGATATTTTGCAACAAGTGCTGGACAAAAGGAAACTGAAGCTCAAAACTTTTTGGAAAAGAAGTTGAAGGATATCAAACAAAACGAAGATGGTAGTGAATGTGCCTTATCAACTCAAGAAACTGTTCAACTTACTGTCAGTAGTTTGCAAAGTGTTTTGAGTTCTGAACTCAAATCTGCTGATATTGAAGTTTGTATTGTTTCTGGAGAAGATCGTAAATTCAAAGTATTGTCATCTGAGGAAATTGACACTGTTTTGAATGCTCTCGCTGAAAGAGATTAAATCCACTTGTACACAACCTTCCTCATAAAACTCTTGTATTTATCTGATAATTCTATCACTTTTTTGAAATTCTTTACAATTACAAACAAATATTCTAATGAACAAAATAAGACCTCTTTCAACGTGACTATCATGGCCTTAATAATTGCATTTTCAAAAAGTTTGGTGCCCCTTTCACCGTAAAGCCAATGAACAAATAAAGAAGAATAATTATGGAAGGATTATTTCACTTTGGCTAAAAGACCCATAAACAAGGCCAACAACAAGAACTCACACTAAGCAACCAAAGCCACCTGTACAATCTAGAAACGATCCCAAAAAAACCAATCCAGTTCATCCACCACCTTCAAACCAAAACTACCAACCACGTTTTGAATCCATTCTACCTTCACTGGTGCCATTCACACTCTTGAACAATACGATAAATTCAAATCCCAATTTTAACAAAATCCAGATCTATCAACAACATCCACAAGTTAGTGCGAACAGATATTTTGTTAAACCGATTAAAAACTCCTCCAACTAGAAATCCACAACAGAAAAAAAAGAAGCTTTAATTCTCCTCTCCACTTCTAATTTTAGTGTGTTGGTTGCATCATCATTAACGATTGATCTTTTTTAACTCCTAGCCTAAGAGTTTTCAAAATCACAAGAAGAAGAACAACAACTAACCGAAAAATCACAACAAAGATGGGAAATTCATCATCAATAGTAACACTGTCAACCTCGGAGGAGATGAGACAATTTGTGGAGAAGGATGATGAACAATTAAAAAATCATGCAGTGGAGAATGGTAAATATAGAGAAGGAGACTTGTTCATATCGAGGAAGGGAATTGAAACATTATGGAGAAAATATGATGTTGATGGAGACAATTATTTGCAAGATGTTGAAATTAAACAATTTCTTCTCGATTTGATTAATGCAATTCATAATAGGAGTATTGAAGATTTGGAAAATCAGAAAAGATTGAGAAAGACGAGGGCAGGATCCATTGATCCTTCTCTTCAAAAAAGGTATCAGACAAGATTTCAAGAGATTTTCATGCTCACTGAATTGTATAAGAGTAAACTCCCAGAATTGATGAAAGATTTGGATGGTGATGGTGATGGTCTCGTTAGTGAGGAACAGTTTTTTAAATATTTGGAGAATTTTAATACTTATGTGTGGGTAAGTTTTGTGTTTTTTGTGCATTTTCATGATTTTGTAAATTCTTGAAATTTCCAATAATGAATTTTAAATGTTTAGAAGGAGTTATTTGCAGATAGTATTGAAAGTTTCAAGAATGAATTTCAATTTTCTTCATCACCTAATTCTCCCTCACTCTCATCCTCACCTAACACTCCCAATTTTATTAAACCAAGTCCTCGTTCGCCAACCAATTCAATTTCCTCATCACCAGTTGGGACACGGTCATTAGTTTCAGGGAATTCTATTTCACCCACTGAAATTTCACAGAAATCATCCTTTCCATCTATTCCTACTGAATATGATTCAGTGGGTGAAGTAATTCACAGAGAGGATTTTTATGAAATGCATTTACCAACGACTTGGAAAAAAGGAATGGCTCTTCCTAGTGGAGCTCCAATATTCACATCCCCACTCGATAATGGCAAACTCAAAGAAGATATACTGTGTACACAATTATTCACGAAAAATTCCTCTCTGGAAGAACAATTTAAAAGATTGGAGAGAGGAAGCACCAAGGTTTCAAATTTCAAAGTTTTACAATCCATGACAAGTATTACAAATGAGAGAAATATTCAACCAGAAAAACAGTGTGCATTTTGTACTTTACAATTTGATCAGTTATTACCAATCAACAAGACCAATACTGTAAAGATGACAATCTATCAAAAGATAGTTATCATCCAAGATGGAATGGGCTTGATGCATCAAATCAAATATACCACTAATATCAATCCTGAGGAAAGAAATGAACAAGTTTTTGACAAAATGATAAGAGAAGGACTTTACACAAGGTCTTTATTAGAAATAGATACAAAAGAAGTTAAACTTTCAAAAGAGTTATCAATGTCATTCCCATCCATTATGCACATGGAAGTCCAAGATGGATATGTATTTTTATTTCACCCTGTACAAATATTATCAAATAATTCAGAACGAGAAAATTTCAATGCCAAAATATTACTACCACTCAATTTTGAAGAACAAGTTAACACAGTTGTAAAGGAAATTTTACAATCACCAGAAGGTACCCTTGTTACATCAGAAGACATAGAAATTGGAAATTTGAAATATCCAGGAAAGAGATTATTTTTTACTTACAAGTTGGAGAATTTCAAAATTGGACAAATTTGCGTTTTTGTAAAGTCACCATCTTGTCATTATTATTTCAGCTATACTTCATCATTATCAATGATGAGTCAGAGCTTATTTTATCAATTAATTGATAATCTCACATTTATTAATGTAAACTCACTCCACATTAGGAAAGATCCTGTATCATTGTCTCAGACAGTATCAAGGAAACACAGCCCAACAATAAGTCAACGAAAACAAATGGCTTTACGAAGAGAAAAGTCACTTGTAACATCAACCTTAACTTCTCAAACAATTACCGCCAAATCTACCAACCCAAATATTCCTACCAAATCATCAGTATTTAACTAATAAAAATGAAATCTATTTTGATCTTGATCTTCTCTTTTACGTTTCTTTTCAAAATGGAATTTTGATGCTTGACTGCCAAGTAAAACATCCACCAAATTGTGGTAGTCAATAATGTAATACTTTTCACATTTTACACCAACAT